CAGTGAACGAACGAACAAGACCGTTAACCAAGCCTGTCGCTTCATCGTCGACCGAAACCAGAAAGGCTGGGCGAAAGCCTTACCAAAGATACGATTCGACATCATGAACACGGTAAACACCTCAACCGGGTTCTCGCCATTTCAGCTTCGCTTGGGCAGGAGCCCTAGATTGATACCCTCACTACTGACTAAACAGGAACCTGCAGATGCTTCAGCCGAGGAGAAGAACGCCTGGGATCTAATCCGAAAGCTGGAAACAGACACTTGGGAAGCCCAGGACAACCTCCTGAAGGCTAAGATCTCCCAGTCATTTTTTGCAAACAAAAACCGTCAACTGACCTTCCCTTTTAAGGTCGGAGATAGAGTCGTGCTTTCGACGGTGCACCGCCGGCAGGAATACAAAGCACCAGGGAAGAAACGCGTAGCAAAATTTATGCCTCGTTACGACGGACCATACAGGATTACGGACGTCGATGAGGACCATTCAACCGTGACACTCAACCTCCCAAACTCACCAAATATGTTCCCGGTATTCCATACATCTCAAGTCAAACCTTTTACGGAAAACGACGCCACACTGTTCCCGTCTCGGGAGTTCGAAAAGCCTCTGCCAATCGTTACCGAGAATGGTGAAGAATATTACATCCGAGACATAATCGACGAACGATGGCACGGACGCGGTTGGCAATACAAAGTCCGCTGGGAAGGCTATGCACCGGAAGACAAGACGTGGCTACCAAGATGAGAACTGGAAGACACCGAAGCGCTGGACGTTTGGTTAGCGAAGAGGAGGTCGGACGTTTGAATGTAGTACGTTTTCCCCTTCCTCCTGCCGGCCGGTAGCTTTTTTCCCTACGGGGTTGTTTTGATGCACCCGTGCCTGGTCTTGTTGATAGATTTCTCGCACGGGCAGCGCCACAGCCCTGTTGCTACATTTTGGGTTGAAACCTTTAGTTTTTATTATGGTTGGTGTTTCAGAGGAGGGGAGGGTGTAATCCTGATGGATCACATGTGATGCTGACACGCGCTATTGATGCGTATTTACTGATCAACCGTGCCCTATTTATTCACGCGACGGACATCCCTTTTAGATAGAGTACTCTCTGATCTTGTACCTCTCTGTTCTCTACTCGACGTATACACACTGGTCTCATTCTACCATTTGATGTGAGTGTTTGCTACCTACCCTGTAGGATAGATTTACAGATAGTCTCCAAACAGCATGTTCAAAGTGGCAGACACATTCCGATGGTTGGTCGTCATCCACGATCCGGAGCTCATAGAAGAACTACGGAAACTGCCTGACAGCATCGTATCAACGAAAGAAGCTATCAGGGAGGTGGGTGGCTCCACCTTGGTCAGACTTCTCCTGTGTTAATGACAACTAGGGTATTCAAATGAAGTATACCCTTGGAGACCACATACTCAACAATCCATATCATAAACCAATTATTGCAACGAAACTGAGATGGGCCTTGCCTGAGCTCATTCCTGGAGCTCATGAGGAAGTCACAGACACGTTCAATGAGCTGATTCAACCTACAGAAGGCAGGTGTTCTTCCTGCAAAACATTCCGTGATTTGTGAGACGATTCCCTTCTACAGACTGGACCAGCGTAAAAGTCCTCAACACGATGATGAAGATCATTGCTCATGCTGGCAACCGCGTTCTTGTTGGATATCCTCTTTGTAGGTTGTCCTGTGCCCAACCGCCTGCCCAAAAGCTTACCGTCCTGAAGGTAGAGATCCCGACTGGGTGGACCTCAATGTACATTACACACTTGATGTTGTCAAGGCGGGCATTACTCTCTGAATGGTGCCTCGCTTGCTTTGCCCATATGTCTTTGTCCAGAGGCATAACCGGATTCCAGTTCTAATGGCGAGGCTCTAAGGATCGCAAATGCACTCATATCAAACATTCTGAACAGTATTCATTGAGGATTGAAACATCTCCGGCCTCTGATTGCGGCACGTCGGAAAGCTCGTGATGAGAAGGGAGAAGACTATCCTGTAAGTGCAAGGCTTGTCTCTTCTGTGGTTGATATCTAAATTACTTCCCACAGTTTGACATGTTATCTTGGTTCATGGATGCCGCAAAGGATGAAGAGAAAACAGATTGGCATCTTACAGCGAGAGTGATGATGGTTAATTTTGCTGCGATTCACTCTTCATCGATGGTACGTCGACAATATGATCAAGTATATGTACTCTCATGGTGACACTTTCTCCAGACATTCATGCACGTGCTCTATTATCTCACTGCCTATCTGGATTACATCTGATTGTTGCGAGACGAGGTCGAAGAAGCCATCACGCGCCATGGATGGTCGGTGGCTGCACTCGACAAAATGCATCGTGTCGACAGCTTTATCAAGGAATCCCAAAGACTTAACCCTGTGGCCATCTGTAAGCGCACCGTCGAACCATCAGTCCTTCTGAACCGCATCCTCATGAAGGACCACATCTTCTCTGATGGCACCGCGATCCTGAAAGGTACCAGCATTGGCGTTGCCACGGACACTACCCATCTCAACGCGGATAGATATGAAGACCCTCATCGCTTCGATGGCTTCCGTTTCGTCAAACTCAAGGCACGAAACCTTAGCCACTCACCCAGTAGTTCCTTCTCCCAGACAAACAAGTTTGACATTACCAACACCAACTCTGATTCTCTCGGCTTCGGGCTCGGAAGACACGTCTGCCCAGGGCGATTCTTCGCCGCGAGCGAGTTGAAGATCATGCTCGCGCATGTTGTGGTCATGTACGATATGAAGTTGGCAGAGGGAAAGAGGCCCGATAATGTGTGGCTTTCTGTGACTTGTGTGCCAAACCCGACGGCACAGGTTTTGTTCAGGAGGTGCGGCGTTGCATGAGGAATGTGTTCGGCAAAAGAATTATGGCCTTTTTTATGTAATTTGGTATTGTAGGATACACGACTGGTGACTCGGCAGATGAAACTTCGAACTTTGAAAACCGTTCAGTAGGAGGGTTCCGCTCTGGTCCTCAGATCTTGGTAAGCAGAACCCCTTGGTAAACCCTTCACAGACGCATCACGAACTGAAATGAAAGGAAATCTCCGTGGCAGCGCTCGCTGCAGACTGATTATCAATATTGGGCTATGCGCCTGAAGGATCTACCTTGTCCTCTAAACCGATTTTTCGGCGTGAATACTGTTTGGTAGAAAAGAATCATATACATTCATACTTTGGGGTTAGACAGGAGGCCAATAAGCGGTAAAGAAGGGATTGATTTAATATAAGAAAGCGAAGATAAATAATTGAATGAACGACTTGTTGGTTACGGCGACCGGCCTAGTAAGGGTTATGGGCTTACGGAGCGTTGGTCGCGTTGTAGTTAGGGCAAAGCTGGCTCCAGGCGGCTATGAAAGATCAATTTCGAGGGTTTGGTTCTTATTCAATTCACTCACCAGGAGGAGTAGAAACATTAACCGTATCAATGTCTTCGGCAAACACTACCGAGAGGCCGCTAAGATGACGCGAAGAGATTAGAAGGCTCCAGGGAAAAGAAATCGCGATAAACGGCTTACATTTCGAAGTGCCAGTCAATGTGGCTGATGCACCCGAAAGTGAGACAGGGGGGAGATATGTCAGGAAGTGACGCACCAGTGCATGATCCAAGGTCCCGGGTTGTCCGTCCTGAATCGAATGGTGACATTGTCGCCTGCACCGCCAATGCTGACCACGTCGCGTTTAATCGGGTTGGCGTAATTATAGGCCGAGCTTCCGACGCTACGGACGACATCGAAGGTGTGCTGAAAGTGAAGTTTAGTATGCTAAGGGATAAGGAAATTTTCCATCCGACTCACTCCATGAAGATGTATGGGGTGCTGTAGCGCACTCAACAGTCAGACCAACGGGGAACTAGACACACAGGTATTAGCACATACCGGACTTCCAACAGACCCGCCAGGAAGGGAGAGCTCGACGACTCTGTTGGGCGGCAGAACGTAAACAGAACCCCTCGGAAGCAGTTCCGCAGCTGTCCTTGTGCCGTTCATGATCTGCAGGAGAACAGGGACGGTCGGCGGAGCAAATGTGGCGTTGTTAACCGTGAATCTGTTGTTAGTCGCGTTGAACAAAATGTCGAGGTTGAGGTTCACGTCCGCCGCGCCCACTTGGGGAGTGCCAGGTGCGGCAGCCCCTGAGAGCGGAACTAAATTTGTCTCCCGAAGGGGATTACTAAGCGCCGAGGTCGTGTTTGGATCAATGGTTGGTGCGCCCCAATATCTCAAAATGGCAGAATTGATCCCGCCGGCGAAACCTTGGGTGCCGACGTTTGGTTCCGCGCGGATCCAATAGTTGGACACGGGTTGATTGGTGTTCAGGACGAAAGAATAGCGCTGTCCGGCGAATATCTGGATCAAGTCGACCTCGAGTGGGGTTGTGTTTACAGTTTCGACTTCGATAATCGTCTGGGATGAAACAGGGGTGAGAGCCGCCAAGGCGGTATAAAGGATTTGACCCACCATGTTGTGTCCGTCGATGGAGAACGTGTAGTTAGGATCGCAGGAGATAGATACCAGTCGGAAGCGGTAGCGCCTATTGGGCAAGACTCGGATGACCGCGAGAGGTACAGTGGGACCACCGGCGTAACGTCCAATCCCATTAATCAAAGTGGCGTCGGGGGTGGGGACGAGTCCAGCAGATGGGGCGATGACATGGTACCTATACATGTGTTACTACCATCCTTTAATGTAAATGCCCGTAACAGAAACATACCAGTCGGCGAGAGTAATGATAGTGCTCTCTGTTCTGGAAAGTCAGACAAATTTATGCACATCATTTATCATTGTACGTACCATCGTCGAACTCGTATCTATTGTTCCACAATAAGTATTGGACATCCCTAGGTCTAGAAAAGTTTCTCACCTGTTTCTGTGAGGGTCCTGACGGTCGTAGACAACCATCGCTCCTTGGAGGCCGTCACAATATTGCGTGGCTAAAGAGGGGCTCAACAGTGATAATAAATCACATTAAAGAAAGGCTTACAATGATGGGAGTGGTACCAGAACGTGCCTGCTTGGTCTGCAGAAGAGAATTGATACACGAACGAGTTCCCCGGAGAAATAGGGCACTGGGTCACCCCGACTGGACCATCGGCCCAGCTGCTGCCTCTCTGGAAGAAGCCGTGCCAATGCTAGGTCCAAGTGTTCAGATATTGATTGTCTGATTTTGAACGGGTAGAAAGGAGCTGGCTTACAATAGACGTGCTCCTTAGCATCGTCGTGTTGGTTAAGGCGTCGATTACATTGAGTTGGAACATATCACCCTGGCATCGAAAATCAGTATTATGCGAGAAGAACAAACAAAAAGTGACGACCTTGAACCCCATAATTACTGGGCCTGGAAAGGCGATGGAGCTCGCGTTGGTACCAGCTAAAACAGCACTGTGAGTCGGGAAGTCAGCACAATCTGTTCCAACACTCGAGGTGGGGGAGTCGATGGCTCACGAGCGGTTAAAGCCGTCAGGCGAAATAATCTTGTTGGCAATGTGCACGTTTGCAGTTGGGCCTATTGCAGCATAGGCACTCGTGATGGTAGATAAATAGACAAGGATCGGGAGAGAAAGCATATTGTCGCACTTGAGAGGAAAATATGAGCTTGATGATTTTCAGGATGAGAGCAGAGTCTTTATACCCAGCTCGAACACCTCTTCCTGGAAAGCTAAGTCCTCGATAATCCCTCATCCACGGCAAGATTCGTTAGGTCCAGATACCCCTGGGCTCAGGAGAGAGGCGTGGAGCAGCGCCAACGAGTAAAAACGCTGAGGCAAAGAATCAGTGCTCCGGCAGAGATGAATGAATAAAACACAAAGCAATTGACGCAACTGCAAGAGATTCATTCGTAGATTTTGACAGAAATCGAAGGCTTGCTGAGCGGGCCTGACTGAATGGAGGCATTTGGGCGAGGCAGGCACATCAGGAAGTTCATAATTTAAAGGCGATCACCGCAACCGCGGGCCCGCAGCTCGACATTTTTGGGATCCCGATGGGAAGATAATACTTAAGCGTTCATGCGACGCCGTGGGTGTGTTATGGAAGCTAGACGGGCTTACATATCCGTCAACAAAAGAGGCGCCAAATGACGGACGAACATGACCTAAAGAGCCCTGGTCTGCCGGGGTGTGCGAGATATAAAGGCTTTTCGAGACCAATCGTTGAGTCCTCATCTTTCGAAAGTACATCAATATGCAGTTCAAACGTTCCACCATCGTAGCCACCAAAGCACTCGCCTTCCTTGCAGTATGTACATACTGTATTCGTCCTTCTCGTTTCGCAAGATTGATGTTTCAACGCTTTAGCTTGCGATTGTCTCGACTGAAGGAAAAGTCCTCACCGTCGAGAGGATCTTCCATACCATCGTCAGTCAGTCGCCTTTCCTGGTTGAAGAGACGACGACTGTATCTTGGACGTGAGTGTGTTCCCACTTCTGCCCTAGTGTTTACTGACCTCATTCTGAATAGTCAGAGCACGAGCCTGAGCACCACGCAGCCGACAGCTGCCCCCACCCCGACCATTAATTATTGAACCTAAGTGATCCAACTTCTCCCTGGTATCGTAAGTTATCTCCAATTTATTACCCTCTGATGCAAACAGATTTTTGTATTTTTGTGCAGGCACGGCGGGCCTGGTTAGATGAAGCCTTTCAAGCTCAAGTTTCGTTTACCGTCACGTAGAGACAAGCGCCGGAATCTAGTGGATGCCTTGAGAAATGTTAGATACATAATTATATCATGAAATCATAACGTTACGACGGTTATTCCAAATTTACGCTATCGCCACCCAGGAATGGTGGGCCAATTTGCAGGCCCAAAAACCACCTCCTGTGCTCTCCAGGGATCCACGGACCCAACCCATCCACTGGGGTCCAGTAAACGCCAGTTGATCCAGGCTCTGTAAGGCTCTTAGATTTGCAGAGCGCTTCGACCGCCTCCGCCGTGGAGCCCAGGTAGTCGGCTCGTCCATTGAGAAGGTGCCCGTTCGGAGACGCTCCGGGAGCGAAATGTCGGGATCTAGGTAGGGCAGGTCGATGTTGATGAGCTAGGCAGAGCGCCTGAAAGAGCGGTGCGACAATCTTGTTCGCGGCCTCAAGCTCGCCCTGGATTGCGAAGACGTCACGCTGTCCTCCGTCGCGTTCCTACCGGCGTTGACGATTGTGTACCACTGAGGCGAAGGTTCTGCAACTTAAGCGAGGGAGGAGTCAGGGGGCGAATATGATGTCGTGGTAGTCCCCACCGTCCATATCGCACTTGAGCGAGAGAGAGAGCGGCGTCGGCATACTGGGGGCGAGGTCTTTCGAGACGGATGGCAGCGAGAAGTCGCGGAGAAGATTGAAGTCGATCAACTTGCACCGCGTAGAATGAAGTACGAGCACGTCGTTAAGTGCCCGTGCTTTGTTCCTCTCTTCGTCAAAACTGGGCCATTCGGCTCCTGGTGCCAACCAATGGTCAACCGTGACATGCCACGGGAGGTCTCTCAACAACCGAAGTTCCGACCTCCAAGTCCGCCACAGTCTGGAATATCGGCTTGGAGAGAGAAGATCGGTTTCGTCCAGAGGCAGAGAAGGCTCTCGGGGATAAGATCCTTACGTTGACAGACGCCAGCAAGGTTAGAAGGAGTGCGAATGGGCGATGGTGGGGGTGGGTTGTATTGGTTCAGCGACGCGATACTAGGCTCCAGCCTTTCTTCTTCCTTGGCTATTTCCTCCGCTCTTTGCGTTTCCCGTTGTCTATAGAAAAGTTTAGAGCTCGATAGCCCCTAGTTTGGTGAGAGTAGTTCGATGGGGGGCTTCGCTATGTGATTCCTGGGTGCGAAAGCGGTCATCTGAGCCCCAGGGAGAACCGTTTGCGTTCCGTGAGTCGATTCATAATGAATAAGACCGGGATGAGAGAGCTGAGAGCGACGAGTCTATTACGAGTGCAGAAACAGGGATTAGTTATACGGCACCGCCCCCAAGAATGCGAGAAACTCACCTTTCGAAGCGATCACCAACGTCTAATGCACAAAGGATTGGAGTACCAGATACCAAAGGCTGGGATGCCATTGAACCGCTGATATGGGGTTGAAAGGAAGACATGCGAGTGATTATCTTGTCAGACTCAGAATTCCGGGCATCGACTGGATAACGTGGCTCAGTCAAACACAGGTATTCCGAATTCATCATTCGCAAATCTTGCGTTGGTCTTGTGTCGTCCTCCGTGAAACAGCATCGTAGCTCTTGATCAGTAGTGAAAAAGTGAATTGGAAGAGGTCGATCCGTGGTAAGTCTCCGAGTTTGTGGAAGAAAAGGTTTGAAGACTCCAGAGTGGCAAGCTATCGTGGGAAGTCTTTTGTTTACACAGCGGACTGTCCGGGCCACGAACTCTCACGCGTTTTCCATCTCTCTTTAGCGGTTTCTACATCAAAATCCTAGAAAGCTGCTATGGAAGGGTTAATAAGGACGTCGCCGATCTATAAGCGCGGTTCCTTGGATCTGCTTTTTCGACAAGAATTAACAATGCTGAAGACCGGGATTCCGACTGAGTAGGTAGAAATTGTGCTTCGATGAGCCATAGGCAGACTAGTGATTGGGACCACCCTTTATCCCGTCCCTCGTTTACTTCGTCGTGAGCTCATGATAGAGCTTCTAAGTACGCCTAACTTTTGTCTAGTATTGGTTGTGAAGGGGGCTGTGTTGGCCATAAACATCCTCTCGAGAACAGGTTCATAGAGTGGATGTGTCGTGCATGCTTCGGGGCGGAGATGTTCCACCTCATAGCTCGTCCTCGAATATAGCCCATTTTACAAAGCCGAAGAGAGGGTACAAGCTTAAATTCGCAACTGGAGTGTTGGGTGCTTATCTCCCTGCCGATCTCCCTGCTGATCGAACGCCGCCCTCGTGGTCAGTCGCTCGGAAAGATACTGGACGAAAATGCTCATGTGTTTCACCAGTTGCTGGTTTGATTTCGACTATCATTTGGATGAGAGGAGTGCATGATTACAGACGGACTGGGAAAGCCTGACTGGTAGTAAAATTTCGCCGCTTGCGAGCTTAAGACAAATTTCGTACAGATGGTGGTCAAGTACGACGTGAACTCGCTGGGGAAGGCGTCCACCCTGCGAATAAGCCCATAGCTTGAAGTTTCGCGCGTCCCTAGACCCAGGAGCGCTCTCGACAAACCACGCAGCAAGTTGGTAAGCGCTGTTGGAGTCCGGTCTTTCCGTTTAATGGCGGGAAAACAATGGAAATTTGTCGGGCATCATCAACGCGTAGACCTCGTCTAATGCACATTTGGCGGAAGTTGTAAGGATATTCAACAGGATTTCAGGTACCACGTCGATCGATCTCGGCCGCACCTATTTGAGACCCACAGACGCCACACAAATACCTGAAAATTGCTTAATTTGGCTGTCACGAAACACGTGGCTGAACTCGTGCACGTGGTTATTTTCCGTGGTCTTCGACAAGATGTCCTCCACCCTCATTCGTCGTCTTTCTTCTCGGCAGTTATCAAACGGCTCCACAAGGTCATAACTGTTGCAATTGAGTTAGAATCAGGTCGATTGGTCCGAGGACTCGAGATTCAAGAATACTGGCAGGAATGAGTCATCCTAATAATAATAAGGTCCATTGAATGTCTCCCCAATGATGGCACCGTAGACGGAGCTCCGAACTTAAGACGATTCCGTTTATGATGTGTTGTGGCTGCTCAAATTGGACGATTATTATTTGTGTAGATTAGATTGAGGCACATCCGCTTCAATTCCCTGAAGAGTGTCTCGGACGTACGACGGGGATGGGGTTAAATGTGAACGTTCCTGTCTCAATAAAAATCAAGGACCCAACCAGGCTACGCAGAATTGGGATGTCGCTTGCGATGTTTTTACCGAGCACTCGCATCATGAATTACAAAGATGAGATCATCACTTCGCCCATATTATCTGCGTCTCACCATAGTTTACCCATAAGAGGGTAACTTATCTCCTTGGATCGATCCTGGATTTTTTTTTTTTCAAAAAAACTCGCCTCAACACCTCAATGACAAGCATCCAGATTTATGAGCAGGGCGTGCACGGTATCCCCATCAATAACCTGCAATTGTTCCTCTTTCGTTCCCTCCTCCGAGTCGGTTCCCGCCCGTTGATCGCGCCTCTGGGAACTGGTGAGAAGGCCCCGGACCTCTGTCCCGCTCGGGATCAAAACGAATTGGAAGGGCGGGCTGTCCAGGAATAGATTTAATATCCCATCCCATCGCCAAGTCTTTCCCCGCCCTTGGAGCAAAACGTTCCCAGTTGGGACTTCCAGAAGGCTTGACAATGATCAGAGGACATCGGCCCTCGGGATGGGTATGGCCGGGGCCATTCGTTGTTTTCCCCTCTGCTTTCACCATTCTCGTGCCATTTATTTCCGCCGTAAATTTGACTCAGCCATAAGGAATATTTTGTCACCAAAGGTTCCGGCCTTCCACGCGGGCGGTCGGGCCGGGAGAAGTCGTTATTGGCTGTCACTTCGCCAGAAGTTGCCGTTCGCTCTTGCGAGCGTAGGTCATGTCGAGAATGTTGTGGCTCAGAGTAACTCGGGAGAGACTTAGCGATAATGACAGAACTTTCCATAAATTCTAGTTCACGTAGCCCGAAGTTACTTAATTTTTTTCGGTCATACACAGCAGGCGCCTATTTGAAATTGAATCAAACTCTCGTTTAATCACGCGGGCTACGGGTCATTGAAGAATAGCTTTCCGACTGCTGGGATACTTCCGGTGCACGAAAGGCGATCGATCCAAGACCGGAACCCTCATTCTTCTCTTTTTCATCCTCGGCGTCCGCCGCCTCCCGTACATCGAGTAACAGCCTGCATGCCAGAGTATACTAAGTCTACAATCCTCTTTTGCAGCTAGGTCACTGTGACGTACCTTGTGCAAATGGCAGGCTGTAGCCCCTTTTGAAGAGCGACAACCGTATATGGTGTGATAGGAACTGTCATCGCCCACATCGCGAGGAAGTTCAAAACTGTGATACCTTGCAAGTTGTCAGGACAAAGAATATCACATTTCATGTTAGCAAAAGCGTACCGATGATCGCTAGGGCAGAGACCAACATATGAGTACATATGATCTCTGCTAGCATTCATAACAAACTAACCGATGAAGTAAATCAAACCTGAATTGAGCCGTAGTCAGAACTTGTCACATCAAGCATAGAGGAAGAGCAGTATCGTACGATCTCGCATGATAGTCCGAATGACCCGCTTTGTCCAGGAGGTACTGTATGGAGACACTGAACAAATATACTGATGTCAGGACGTTGAGCTTCGGAAAAGGCAAAGGGATTCTTGCATGATTGATACGATTTCCATGCCGTGAGGACAAAGGTTACTATGAGGGAGAGCATCATAAAATTGTGAATAATGAGGGGAAGTAGCATCCTTACATATTTCCAGTAGTAGAAGGGGTATCCAGGAGGCGGTGAGGATGACATAGAAGAGATCCTCAGAGCAGACGCCTAAGCAGCCTCCAATCCCAAGGTAAACCCCGATGGTCCCTAATTATGTGTCGGTCAAGAGGAAGGTGGGCGAAGACAGATTACATCACTCACAGCTCTCACACCGAGGAAGGAATACAGCAAAGCATACAAGGTTCATGATTGCCGCGATGACACTTAGAAAAATAAGAAACCATAACAGTAGTCGTTTGCGGAACAGCGCGTGCGTGCATATGATCAGGGTGCCTAAACTGTATAATTATGGTCTCAAAAACGAAGTAGAAGGGAATATTTACATTCAATGAACCCGACTTCAACAAGATCGAGCATGAGAACCTGAAAGAGATGGCCTTTGCAGCTACACATCAAGATGTCTGGGCATCAGAAGGCGGTAAACGGAAAGGGTTGACTACTTACAACTGAAAATAAAGTCAGATCTTCGAACTAAAATATTTTAATGTCACGTACTGCTGTCGCTGCTGATGGGGCAAAATATTCCCCTGATGACCTCGACGGGACAGATGAGCATAAGTTCCAGTACGGCGGCCTGCGATTCGCTCACCGTAAACGTCGACCGCGAAAGCAATGGGCGGAATGTAGCGGTTCTAAATGAATATTAGCGTGAAACAAGGGGAGGGGCTCGGAATCGATCGAAGTACCAGGAAAAACAGGGTAGTCATGAGCGTCTTTTTAGCGTGCCAGACCCGTTCGACCTAGAATCAGAAGTACGTACTCAAAATGAGGGTTTCAATATCGGCATGGATCATACCTCTTGTTCTATTGTTAAGGTCATGTCAAATAAGAGCACCGTGAATGACGCGGCTGCAACAAGATTTTAGCGCCGCGCCGGTCATCTGCGGTCCTACCAACCTGCAATGCACTTCATGGATAGCCGTCAGCATTGAAACGACGCAAAAAAGTATGGGAAGACCTTTTCAACATAAACCCCATGGAAGAAGTCAACTAGCATTGACCAATCGATGTCCATCTCGCGTGGTGGCAAATAAACGAGTGACAATGGCTCTTAGTGATCGGTCAGAGATCTTGTGCCAGGAGAAGAAGAGGAGAAGGAGGACAGTCGCAGCAACGATGTAAAAAGCGTCAGGACCTCAGGCTTTTCTAGCTGCCAGCGACGTTAAAAATGGGCCAGAGCTAAACTGCCCCAGATACCAAGCGGTGCTGAAGCTTCGACGTCGTCTCGTCTCAGCAGGACCTGTTGATCATCCTCAGGCGGCCTGTCAATCACTCGGATGGCCGCGCTAGGTAGATCACAATGATCTACAGAGTCTCCCATAGGAGCGGAAAACGTGGCTCTAGCGCCAGTTCATCAAGTTGATGACAAAGATTAAACCGCGAACGCACCAAAGCTGTTCTCTTTCGTCGATGCAGAACTTCCAGAGCCTCAGTTCAGGCCGACAGTAGCTCCAAATGTGGTCCTGTAGCCTTTTGCTTCACTTTATAATGGATAGTTGGGCATACCCTTGGAAAACAACGGAAGTTGAACGTTGAGCGTTGACAACGATTTCGGCTTGTTTTCGGCATCAGCGCTGATGGCACAGCCACTCATCGTCGAAGCCGGATACAGAAACCTGATGTAGCTCAGTCATTTCCAGAACAACATCCAGCGCCTTCTGACTAGACGGAATCAGCCTTTAGCGCTTTAGCCCGCGTTTGAGCAAAATTAGAACGGGGCAACCGTTGCTGATCAAGTGCATTCTGGGGAGCTTATCGAGCTGTTGTAGCCTTGCCGTTGAAGGGGAACGGAGTGGACATCTCAGCTGATAGGATGACGAACTTATTGTCTACCATCAGTCGACAGTGTCTTTGAATAGCCTATTAGATCACACCGTGCGTTGAGTGGGTCAGAATAGCAGTGTGAGAAAGAATGGCACAGCGCCTTCCGGACTACACAAATTGATAGGTTACAATTTCCCCACTTGTCTGCGCCCAGCTCGAGGTTGATGAGTGCAATCTACTACTAGTATTTGTCTAGTTTGGCTGCGAGATGGGCCGCGACCAAGCTTCTCAAGGACAAGAGTATCACGGAGTTGTGCATCTAATGGTCAGTGAAGCCGTGACAAAAATTGACTGTCAGTGCTGGAACCTTGAAATTTTGACCCTCGGCGCGTGACTACCGCGTTATCTGTCGCTCGGCCGCCACACAAAGGACTACTAGATTTGGTAGTCAATAACACGTGGATCGCGTGATGGCGCAGCAACATGACACACCCCGATTGCTCAAGGAAGAAAGAAGGTAGGTCGCTGACTCAATAGAGATCCTATCGTGCTCGCTCTTGCGACCACCACGACGATCATTGTTCCTCAGAGACAACAATATTTGCAGGACCTATGTACCCGTCATAAACGAGGGATCCATTCCCATGTTGCGGCACAATAGGAGCATTCGAACCATTCGAAAAATCCGCAGCAGGTTCCTTTGAGAAAGAAACAAGAAAAATAGTCACACGAAATAGCCCCACATCATGAAATCGGTTGTCGCAGACTCAACCCCCGAACGCGTCAGCTCCTTTTTGGCACCGCGAAAGGGCCAGGAACGTGGTTTCGATCGATCTTCTTTTGCGTCCGCAGATAGTCGGCGATCCGGAGCGACGATGACGAAGCACCCCAACGTTTCCTTTACATCACTCGTCCGGATCAGCTTCCATCCCCATTGGCGCCTTTTTGATTCTGGTCCCGCTGATCGCATAGGCAAACAGGTCCGCTTCTTATCTTAGTCTAGTCCAAGCCCACGATTAATAGAGTAGAGGAAGAGTTGCCTTGAAAAGGCTTTCTTGTCTCATGCGATCCGAAGACTTGGCTGTTATGCTCTCGGAGAAGATTCTGAGGGGTTCTATAGCTTCAGATGGAAGGTCCCTGTCTAAGAACTCTCTATCATCGAAACACGCGAGGGTGAGTCGACTGCCTGAGTTCTTGTAAGTTGAACACCCGACAGTCGTGCGCTCATGACGCCCAATAGGTGCAAATGACCTCGTGTTTCGTTCTCGTATTGTTCGAGTTACTTTCTCACCGGTGTCCCGGCACGGACGCGCCACAGAGGACGGAAAAACGACGCACAGCGAGTATAACCTATTGTGTACGCTCCAAGGAACGAAATTCTGGTGTATGACAGTGCACTTTTTGAATGAATACGTCGGACTTGAGTTATCCGAGCCAGGTGATAGAAGGCTCATCCCCGAAGAATTCTTTACGTCAGCAGGACTTCTGGGCGTCGCGAAGCACTGTTTCATTCAAGGCGGCATAAATAGGGAAGTACTGGATATACGAATTAAAGAGTTTAACATTTTAAACAAGTGATTTCTCAGGCAGCAGGAGGGAAGGTCTGGTTGTAGATGGGGCAAAGGTCGTCCCAAGCAACTAATGAGAGCAGTCAGCACTGTGTGGAATTGGGATCCTCATGTACGTACCAGGAGGGTCGGCCGCGTTGACGGTTCCGGTGTCTTCAGCAAATACAACTGAGAGACCGCTATATTCGTGTCATCAGAAGTCGCTCCGGGAAAGCGTTCTCCCAAAAAACTCACATCTCCAAGTGCCAGTCAATGTGGCTAGAGAAGAGGAAGAAAAAGAAAACATCAGCAGGAAGGAGGGTACGGCCTTCGAAAAATACATACCAATGCATGATCCATGGGCCGGGGTTGTCCGTCGTAAACCGGATGGTGACGTTATCTCCAGTTGTACCGATGCTCACAACGTCGCGTTTGATCGGATTCGCGTAGTTGTATACGGAGCTTCCGGCGCTGCGAACGACGTCGAAGGTGTGCTGGAACACATGGTAAGTCCTCGAAGTCGAAAAAACCTACATCTTGACAATGCCGACTCACCCCGTGAAGATGAATTGGATGCTGGAGGAAGAAAAAAGTATCAGCCGTGGAACCCGAAGAAGCTAGAGGTATACATACCGGACTGCCAACAGATCCACCAGGAAGAGAAAGCTCGACAACTTGGTTCGGGGGGAGAGCGTACACAGAGCCGGAGGGGAGCAAATCAGCTGCAGTCAATGCGCCACTCATGATTTGCAGTAAGACGGGAAGAGTGGGCGGGGCGAAAGTAGCACCATTGACGCGGAACCTGAGGTCATCAAAGCCGAACGCAATGTCGAGATTGATGTTCACGTCTGCAGCACCGACCTCCGGAACCCCAGGTGCAGCAGCCCCTGAGAGCGGAACCAGATTGGTCTCCAGCATAGGATTACTAAGCGTCGAGGTCGTATTTGGATCGATCGCGTCTGCGCCCCAATATCTCAAAATGGCGGAATTGATTCCGCCATCAAAGCCTTGAGTACCGACGTTTGGCTCCGAGCGGATCCAGTAGTTCGAAATGGGCTGATTGGTGTTCAGGACGAAGGAGTAGCGTTGTCCCGCGAAGATCTGGATGGAATCGACTTCGAGGGGGACTGTGTTCACGGTATCGACTTCGATGATGGTCTGTTGCGTCGATGTATCAGGAATCACGGCCCGTCGCCGAGGATTGTCACTCCCATGACTCACCATTGTATGTCCATCAATGGAGAAGGTGTAGTTGGGATCGCAAGAGATGGACACCAAGCGGAACCGGTACCTCCTCTCGGGCAACACCGTGATGACTGCGAGAGGGATAGTCGGGCCGCCAGCGTAACGGCCCACGCCGTTAATGAGAGTTGCGTCTGGAGTTGGCACAAGACCAGCAGACGGCGCGGGGACGTGGTACCTAAATGCTTGTGAGAATGCAAATTATGGGACAGAAATGTCGAAACTTACCAATCCCCGAGCGTAATAACCGTCGTTGCTGCAAACAGGAGGGTGTCAAAGCAGTCTTGCAGGACGTAATAAGCTCTTCCTTACCGTCATCGAATTCGTAGCTATTGTATATGAGTGAATAAAGAAAGAATTAATTCGAAATAATCGAGACTTACAGGCTCCTGTGAGGATCGTCAGGATCATAAACGACCATAGCGCCTCTAAGGCCATCGCAGTATTGAGTGGCTAATGGGAGACGTTTAGAATAAAAATGGACTTCGAGAGAGGGAAACGTACAATCATGGGAGTGGTACCAGAAGGTGCCCGCCTGATCTGGGACAGAGAATTCATACAAGAACGAATTCCCAGGTGAGATCGGGCACTGTGTGACCCCAACTGGACCGTCGGCCCAGCTGGTACCACGTTGGAAGAACCCATGCCAATGCTACCAGGACGTTTTAGTTAATTTACTTACAGGTGAACTCGAATGCTTACAATTGAGGTGCTCCGTAACATGGTGGTGTCTGTCAAAGCATCGATCACGTTGAGCTGGAAGGAGTCACCCTGCAGCAAAGGACTCAGCGACGACGAAACATAAGAGAGATGAAGGCCAACTGTACCTTCCTCGCGAGGATAAGTGGTCCAGGAAACGCGAGGGAAGTGTCATTGGCGCCAGCTAACACAGCACTGAGGGAGAATCAGTCACCAAATTGGAAAGTCTAGAGTAAATAAGCAACGTACGATCGATTGAAGCCATCGGGGGCGATGACTTGGTTGGCGATATGCAAGTTGGCGACTGGCCCTATGACGGGCGACTGTGCCACAACGACACTGGCGACGACGGAAAAGCAGACCAAGCTCGCGAAAGATAGCATATTATCGACACTGGAAGAAGGGCGAGTAGTCCTTGACTTTTACTGCGCAAGTCGAACCCTTTTATCCCACTCGAGAGCCTGTCGGTAAAGTTTTCTTTGATCCCAGTTGACGCGTACTTCAAGGAGTTAGAGCAGCAGATTTCCAGAGAACGTAGAACGTGTTCTGGAATACGTCGTCAGTAAGAAGGCTGAGGTAAAAATGGAAGGGTTCGGCAGCCTCTCGGCGAGAAGAAGGGCGCACGACACATATCAAACGACATAGAAGTTCAGGGAGTATAGGCAGTTGCTGAGAGGAAGCATAAAAGAGTCGCAAGTGAAACGACTCATCAGGAGGCATTTGAGCGAATCAGGTACGCACGGTCCAAAAGGAGATCGCGGCCTCTCCGGCCCACCAATCTTGAACTTAGAAGAATCCCGACGTAGCTCGCGTGTTCGCGCGACGTAGCGGGTAGCTGTCGAAGTGGGGCTGAGCTTACATATCCCTCCATTCAGACGAGAAGGTCTGACACTTTTCAAATTACCTGAAGCACTGCGGGAAGATTTAGGAAGATTCGCTATAAATGCCTCTTGGAACAAACCATGAGGCTCCCCAACCTTACAAAGAACCACTATGCAGCTCAAAGCTTTCGCCATCGCGGCAGCCCAAGTCTTCGCTGTCGTTTCAGTCAGTAGCTGCCACATTTAATGTTGCTGAATCTGACCAAATATTCCAGGCGGCCGAGGCGCAGCGAGTCTTCACCGGCGAGAGGATCTTCCATACTATCGTCAACAAGTCCCCGTTCATGATTGAAAGGACGTCTACCTTTACGTGGACGTAAGTATACCTCTTCGGTTTTACATCAACGATCTCTGAGTTTCGTAATAGTCAGAGCGCGAGTATTAGTCCCACTGAGCCTGCTACCTCCCCTGCTCCGACCATTGAGTATTGAGGTCTGAATGAGGAGAGACCCTTACATGGAAACGGTGCGTATAAGCACTGTCCTGCCGAGAAAAGTGCTGACAATAAAATGTCAGACGTATGGGATCGCGAAGGAGGATGGCTCTGTAGTTCGATTGGTCATGTTCTTGTTGTGGATTTGAAAGTCATGGTTACCTTTGGTTGTATTCTTGAAACGGCCGTTTGCAAAGAATTCACGTCAATGTAATGAATAAAAGTGGACGAAACAAGAGAATCACGAGAGGAGGTTGTCATCAGCGAAACGCGTCGTCAAGTGTGTCAGTGACTTACTCAATCGGCCTCATGTCGGTGATCGAGACGAATTTAGATACCCCAGAACGGGCCGCTCTCCTCATGGGGGATAGGCGCCCATCGTGGCTCCCCTGACCTCTTACCACCATGAAAGAAACTGACCCTGACTTTGGTCCATCGAGTTCTTCCTACCCTCAGAGCTGCTCGTCTTCTAGCTTTCTTCCATCAATGCCTCGAGTCGCGCACGATAGCAGCGTGTTACGCAAAGTCACCAACATCGGGGATCCAGGGTCTCCTGTGCGTCTGCAGCGTCACACTCGGCGCTAGTTGCGTTAGGCTGACCTTCACGGCCTGCAGTCCCATCGATACAGGCGATCCGGGTTAGAGAACGACGATGGATCTTCTCGTGGGTTCCAAATGGCAAGGTGAGAGTGAGATCGGCTCCATCTCGTGGCGATCGTGCTGATAGGTCTTGCTCGCAGCCTACAGGTCATATCATCTCTTTCGACACCCATATCACGACGCAGGTCCCACAGGCTTCCTGCCGATGAAAGAGGTGAGGGTAATGAGGAAGCTCAGACCGTAATACGCGATGAACAGAACGTGAGTATAGCCCCTTTCGTGCAACATATCTTCCTTGAATACTCTCTTTAGGTCTCTCCCTATGGGAATCTTCCTGGATGGGATCAGAATCCATATGTACCTTGGTCGCTGCTAGTTGAGAACTCGTCACGAATCGAACACGCAAAGCACGAAACGTACGCCAGGGTGAAGGCGTTCCGGGACCTGGGACTAAGGCGGCGGCAAGAGGAGGCTGGCCATTTCCAAGAAACGACGGGGGAGGACCAGGAACGGCTGAGAGAGGAAAGGGAAGCTTTCATGCAGGAAGTGCGACAACGTCGTGCCTTGGAACTTGAAGCAAAAATGCAGCAGAAGAAAGAGAGGTTAGAGAAGGAACTTGCGAGGAAGGAGATGGATGCCGCACGACGTAAATGCAAGATGGAAATGCAGGCCAAGAGAAGGCAGGAAGCCGGTACGATTGGGCAATACGTCGTGCTCGACTCGAGCCTTGTTACATGCCGCGCGGGGTTGGAGATCTTCCAAGTCATCCCTGGATTCGAATTGTGTCGCATGACGATGAAGAACCTCCCCTTCGACGTCAAAAGAGAGGACATACGAGCAATCTTCTCCCAAAAGGGCATTTCGCCGGTCGATTACTGCGTTCTCGATTCAAAGGAGGTCGATGGGAAGACGGAGACTGGGGTTCTCGTGAACGTTGAGCAACGCAATACCGTGCTGCGAACCCTGGATGGCGTGGCATTGTGTGGACGGGTCATCTCCTTGCACCTCAACGACTCTCCAAGTTGGACAATGGGCAGCATGACGAAGGAACCAATGCTCTTGACGGTGTCGTGGAAACTCCCTGTTCAGACATTGATCGCCATCTACAATACGCCAGCAGAGGCTGTCCAACAGGCCCGGTGGTTGGACGGGAAGACATGGAAGGGCCAACAGATTTCGGCTTGTTGGGAGCAAGGGCATTCGAGAGCATCCAGTCTTGGCCAGGTCACGGATTTCCGAACTGTGAAGCTCTCAGGATGTCGACTCGGGGCAGAAAGAGACCCAGAGTTCGTGCAATTTGTCGGGACGCCTTCCAGGTTCATCATCCCGGATCCAACCGCGACCACCTGGCATCATACTGTCATTGCAGACGTTCGAAAGCATCTGACTAAATACGCTGGAGCTCAAACGCAATCCCTCGAGATTTCGACGACTGGGACAGGCGAATGTTTGATCAGAGTAGAGTTCGAAGATTGGGAAGGCCTAAAGGCAGCGCACGCGTCAATAGACGAAAGAAGTATAGGTGGCGGTCCGATACTCACTGCAACGAGGCCTGGCCACATCCAATATTCTATCAAGATACCAGTACAGCAGTACGAGGCACAGAAGAAACTATGGGACGTCCTGTCCAAGTCTGACCCCATCACTAACGCCTACGTCCGCGCCCAAACCGAAGACTCGCACACTGTTGAAATACGTCTCTTCGGCGCGGACCCAAAGACAATGGGCATCTTGAAAGTCAGAGTCGAGAATCTTGTCGCGGGCGAGCAGCTTGGGCCGGAGTACTGGCATTCCACTTTCGCATCCGAGAATCGGTCGAAAAACTTCTTCGACTATCTCCGACTTGCAACTGGCACATACGCTAAAGGAGACGCGAAGGCCCTAACCCTCAGGATTTACGGCGAACCTCGAGTAATCGAAAAGGCTCAGGTGTTGATCAGGTCCTACGTGGGTAGAATGGCAGGAATTGAAACCAGAACGACGTTGGATAGAGACTCCGTGGGGTTCTTTGTGAGAGAAGGCCTTGGACGGCTGAAGGAGCTCCTAGGAGAAGACAACGTCAGGTTCAACCTTGATTCAGAGGTATGCACAGTCACCATCAAAGGAGGCGAAGAAGCCAAGCACCATCTCAGGCGGCTCATCGGCGAGTCGAAATCGCAAATGCAATTTGAAGACGAGCTGCCAGGGATCGTTGGGCGGACTTGCCCGATTTGCTATGACGACGTGTCGAACCCCGAGCAGCTCGGTTGCGGGCATACTTATTGCTCGGGATGCTTGAAGCACTTCCTACATTCCGCCACCGACACTGACAAGTTCCCTCTCGTCTGCATGGGCGAAGACGGCAGGTGCAACGCGCCGATCTCCATACCCTTCCTCCATCGTTTCCTCCCTCCCCAAGTCTTCCAGCAGCTCATCGAAGCCGCGTTCAGGTCGTATCTCCAGAAGCTCCCGCAGGAGCTGAAGTACTGCCCGACCCCCGACTGCAAACAGATCTACCGCGTCCGCCAGGATGTGAATGCCATGCAGTGCCCGTCGTGTATGTCCACTATCTGCCCCCGTTGCAACGAGGAGGGACACGAAGGCATGACCTGCGAGGAGAGGCGCATATACAAGGACCCGGCGGAACAAGAACGTCTGAATGCAGAGCTCGCAGCGGGTCGAGGGTACAAGAGGTGTCCGCGGTGCTCGGTGTGGATTGAAAAAGTTGCTGGATGCAATCATGTCAACTGCAGATGTGGCGTTCATATGTGCTGGCAGTGCTTGGGCATCTTTGCGAATGGCGTCTACAGTCACACATGCCCTACAACTAGAAATTGAAGGTCGGAGCTGCTGGTGTGGCATAGATTCGTCGAGGTTGAAGGTGTGGAGTTGATCTCGTTTAGTGTATGCATTGCAATAGGGAGCTGGCGTCAGAACTTGTTTACTCACGGAGACAGGGGGCATTGTAAGAACATTTAATTCTTGGAGATACTTGCACACAATCAAACGATGTATCTTATCATCGAACCGTGACGAGCCCTGACCGAACCGTGTTCGCGAACACGCAAGACGGGGGTTCCGGAATCGGAGGCATGGCTAGTTTCGAAAGTGAGACCGAGAAAAAAAGGAATTACCAAAATTTGAGACGACGTACGGGGTAGGAGGGCGGCATGCCCAATGGTATCCCACAACAAAATTCAATTATGCATTCTCAGTCAATAACACCCAAATGGTCTTCCTTGATTGTTCCAATGGCGAACTAGGAGAAAATAGAAGCTATGAAGCCGAGAGAAGATGAAAAGTAAGGGACTCACAATTTCCGTTGCATCGACACGGGTTCCAACGATTTTTAGTCGCACCTTTGTATTTCTCTCGATGATCTAAAAAAAGAAGAAATGAAGCAGAATTAACCTATACACGGCAGAAACCTTACCTGTTCATCGGATGCGAAAGAAGGCGGATTCGAATTCGGGTCGTACTTCATGTCAGGGTGAATGAGCTGAGCACCTGAGTGTTAGGAAGTGCGAGATGCGAAAAAGGGCAGTATATGCACTTGATGAGACACAAAGACCGTTAAAGGACCGACGTCCGCAAAGAAGCCCATCTGGGAAGAGAAAATGGTGTCAGAAAGCCTACCCTGCGAGCAAGGCCAAGACACGACGCACTTTGTTGACATTGTTCACAACCCCATCCACGACCTCTCCCTTAAACGGTTTGAAGACAATCGCGCGATATCTCGTGATGAACTCGGCCTGCCCGCTTCCACTGAGAACCATGCCCTTCCCTATATCCAATATAGAGACTACAGCGATGATGTAGCCGAACTGGCCAGAACATGTTCCCTCCACGTCCTGGTAGAGTTTTGATTCGAGAAAGTTGAGCATCCGAGGGCCGAAATACGAAGGATGTAAAAGGATCGTATGGGTGAGCTCTTTCTACGCGTCAGAAGGTTAGATAGACAGCAGGAACTGGCATTGAAGAGCTTACAATGAAGAACATGATGATGGTTGGTGGTCAAGAGAGACAAACTAGGCCAATTGCAGAACGGTCATGCATTGGGTAGTCCGTGGAGTCAGATTAACCCACGGCCTCCAATCGTGCAAGGCCGACTAGCTCAGCTGGTTAGAGCGTCGTGCTAATAACGCGAAGGTCTTGGGTTCGATCCCCACGTTGGCCATTATCTTTTAACCTTTTTGCCAGTCGAGCAAGTAGCCTTTTTTCCTGCATGCAGGAAAGACACCTTTTGTCACTTAAATTTAGAGTACTTCGCTCATTGGTCGCAGAATCAGCAAACTTGATTCTGATTAAACAGGTAGCGTAGAACAAGCAGAGGCAAATACACAGTCGGGATGACGCCAAGTCCCTTATCTTCCTGGACACCCACCACAATGAGCAATACCATCTCATTCGACGAAGAAGTACGATTATACAGCACGAACGCTGAAAGAGAGAAATTCAATACGCTGGCGACTCTCTACGGCATCATCGTTGCTCTGAACTATCTGGAGCAAGCCTATGTTCGAGATTCCATCACGGCTGCAGAGTGCGTCCGTATTCTCATCTCAACTGAAGCGCATACTGAGCATCTGTCTCTTGTGAAGAGATATTCGCCAGCATGCACTCGTTTACTTTCGCAGTACAAGACCATGTTGAAACTTGTGGCATCTGACGTACCAAACATCGAGGACTTCATGAAGCGATATCGGGTTCGTGCTCCACCAATTCAATCGTTGTTTTTGCTCTGATACCGCCATAGATGGACCACCCTGCGGCGTTGCATAGACTGAAGGTTGGCGTACCAGCGACCGTCGAACATTCGAGCGAAGCAGGACCAGAAACAGGCAAATGGATTGCAGAAACTACCCAGGCATGTCGCTCCATGGGGTATATGTCAGGGGTTCTTACTGTTTCAAACAGAGTTTCATCACCTTCATGGATGGTCTTCGATTACGCATGCGCGCGAAAGATCAGTTGCATCCGATGCTTCAAGAGTTGGTCACTGGCTATGCTCGATTCAAAGGAAGCAAGGATTGGGAGGGCCGCAGTCGGATGGTTTCCTGGTAAATCTCCTGCGGATGATTACACCGGGATTGTGGGGTCTCAAACCTGACTACAGGCTCATCACACTCAACGGGATGAAGGCGTCGGAAGAACTCACAGAGGAGCAATCTCGCCAAGTGCGTTGTCTTCGATACGCTATTCCGAAGTTTGCTAATCCCTCCGCAGCTTATCTTCGACGTCGAGCATGCCTATGCAGAGTTCTTTCGCAGTTTGGGAGGGGAGAAGGACTCGGTTTCTTGATATTAGTGTCGATCTACATCAAGCCACGATAGTTGTTGATCAAAGATTCAACGACCAATTCAAGCCCTCTTGATGTATTCCCCGAGGCCGTAAATTTAGAGAGAGAGAGAGAGAGAGAGAAACTACAATTCCCGACGTGAATACGAATGCAAGAAAGCTGCTCTCGCCAACATAGAGCACCAATCGAACTCAGCAACGACGTCGACGAAGCTCTACATTTGCAAACGTGAGCAGCCCACATCTACTTTTACCGTTGCAGGAGCAGCCTGGATATCGATACCTATACTTACAACTCCTCAGCCATGATGATCATGATGGTTTCTGCCTGTCCGACGCATACAAAAGCCCGACCTACCGCCTTGCTCGACGTCGACATCCATTCCATGCGTTCCGAATTTCGCTTCCCTGTTCTGAGGTCAGGTCTTCTCTTATCTAGAGCAGAGGTAGTGCTGACAGCCCGTCAAGTCCTGCGTAACGACCATCTTTAGCCGCTCGGGACGCCCTAGGACGACACTCCTCCCACTCATTTGATATCACTCTCGTTTTGACCCACATTCGTTAAATCTGTCTCTCTTTCACCTCAAATAAGCACCCACCTCGATCGCACACTTAACTCTTGACGGCTCCTCCTTAACCACTCATGGGGCTTATTGACTTGAGGGTTGGAATCAATGTAGATCTCTGGCCCATAACGGAAGGTCGTCATCTGAAGTTCGTTTCTTTTCAGGATGGCCGCCTCCCAACCTGCTTACCCCTTCGAATCGGTCTCTCTGCTGCTGCGCCACATGAGGCGAGCAAGTCCACATACCACCATCACTACCCTCACAGCCTGACTGTCTTCGTCATCGGCGGCTCACAAGAAATGATACCGCCCGAGCGCAGGCGTTTCAGAGACATTTTCTGGACAGTAACCTACCCTGTCGGTTGGTATATTCCAAACAGTCAAAGGACCTTAGCTCAAGACAATTACAGGTACCAAAGTGGTACTCGGTCTTACAGACGGGGATGGGAGGTTAGCTCCATGGTCTTTGAGGTCGTCGGTGAGCGTTTTCTTCATTTTACGGCTGATCATCAGAAAGCGAGAGACGTTCATCTGACTCGACCTCTGCTTGTCGTGTTCCTAGCGGGTCCTTCTGCCGAATGTATCAAGCGGCCGAATTCTCAAGATGGGTCGCCTGCCAGGTACCAATTTACTACCAATATTGCACGGCCCCGCCAGGACTTGATATTCTCAGACGGCTGGAGATTTGACGCGGTTGGCGGGAATGAGCAATATCAGCTATCGTCTTTGTCTACGCGCGAGCCTGCATCTTATCAGATAAACATGATGTCGATGTCTATCACCTCTGGTTATACCTCCTCGGCCGAGTCTCAGTCAGACCGTTCCACTCGTCATGATGCTGGGAAACCAACGAGAGGTTCGGTCATCTTTTTTTCCTCATCTCGCCGAAGTTGACCAAATGAAACCCACTCAGCCTCGGTTGCTGACGCGTGAGTGTCCGCCGGTAGCACGTACCGTACTTTGTGGGGGCTGTTGATCCAAATGCTTCCTTTTTGTTCAGGACTGGTTCCTGGGCGTCTGGAACCGGTGTATCACGCTTCCGAGGTACGTATGAGGCTTATTATCCCAAATCTCGATTAGAATGTTTGACCACTGTCAAAGGACGATCTATTTCTCCTAGCGAGCCCAATTCGATCGGGACGATAATTGGGTCCCAGGTTCCGAGTGCGGGATTACTTGAAGGAGTTGCAGAGCGCTTAAGAACAGGTATGCTTCCGTTACCTATGTCATACATGGAATGTTACCCGCTTACTGATTACTGATCTCTGTCAACTCGTCTTTGCAGATTACGCGAAAGCAGAGTCACAAAACGTGTTGCAGCGGCGAGACTCGCCGACGAACTCTCAAGGATTGACAACAATCCTGATCGTTGACATCGTAGCACTCGCTTTGTTACTTCTCGGTGCGGCCTTATGCGCCATCCAGGCTGTTCTCAAGCGGCGGGCGCGTCGAAGAGGAGGATCAAACGGAAAGACCTCCGGTATTCCCTTGGGGAATGTTAACGATCATGACGTCGCCGAACGGCACCCACCCGCAATTGTGTCCTCCAGCCCACGCTCAAGCACTTTGCGCAGGCAGTCCCTGGCCACGGAAAGTGTCCTCAGCAGATACAGCCTCAAACCCGAAGAGATGGACTCACCACCGCCCGTGCCTCCCACGACGCCGACAACCGCGAACTTCACCGAATCGCCCCTTCCAACTCCATTGTCCATGTCGTCTACGCCCAGCACATGGCCTGGGGTCACGCCGCAGCTTACCAGCTTTCCAGACGCGGCTTATGGAGACCCGTACCCAAGCCCAAGCGTCTCTGGGGGAGGCCGACGACAGCAGCACAAGAGAAGCACGCAGCTGAGCTTCTCGAGTTTCGCCTCCGTGCGGGCTGCGAAGGCGATCTCGCGCCTTGCGCGCTTCTCCAAGTCGGCCTACCCCGACGAGCCAGCGCTCTCAGATGCCCATAGCGCGGTGCTCGCGAGGCAGGCGTCGGGTTCGTCTTCGCGGACGATGAAGAAATCAAGCAGGAACACTCTTCGTCCGGGTACGGCGTCGAGCCAGAATGAACAGGACAGCCCGGTCGAAAGCAACGAGAGTCCTGTTGGTAGTGCGAGCCCCAGTAGAACAGATTGGTATCAGGTCAGCGAAGATGCACCTGCTATGCCTCCCCTTGTGTTCAGACACGGAGACTTGCATATCCCTTTTCGATAGTTGTAAATATTATCCTTTACTTTGTCCAATTTACCTACGAGTACGGAGGCTGCACGATTATGTTCAATGCCTTGGGAGACGATTAGGGACTTTGTACTTTGTCCGAATACTGATGTATGTACGGAGTTAGTTCGATGGACGCGTCCTGTCAGAGGTATACCTGGTTTCCAATACCCATTAAGAAAACACGAAAAGAAAAATAATATACCCTTTCAAAATCAAACCGTTTCACTTCAAGGAATCCTCTCCGCATCCAGCATTCCATAGAAGGGCGACTCCATATCCCGAATCTCGACTGATTTGCTCAGCCACTCCCGGACGTCCTTCGTACCTTTGACGTCGTGATGTGGGACCTTCAAAGGGGACAACAGCGCCGAACTTCCTGGTGCCTTTGTTAACCTGTCTGCGAAAGTGGCATGTTGAAAGATCCTGTCGCCTTCCCGCCTCATGCTGCCCGTTAAATGCCGCATCGCGCTCTTTGACAGCTGGATCCTTCGGATCCTTCCGTGGGCCGAGACGTACTGGCAAAGGCATAAGACATCCGAGGAGAGAAGTGTGTCGAGCGTGATGCTACGAAGCTCTGGCCATGGTAATCCTTCTGTTGGCGGTCCTTCTCCCACCTGGGCAGAACCGCTTGTTTCTTCCACCCAAACCGGCTTTTGAGTATTGATCGAACGTCTCCTGACCAAACCGCGTCTATTTGGATTTTGCCTCGTCAGAAGACCGTCCATGGGCGCGCGGATAACCTGGAGATGGCGAAGGCTGGTTAGCGAGTGGAAGAGATTGATATCGCGCTGCCCGTCGGGGTTACTAAAGAAATACTGTGGACAGTTGGATATTCTAAGGGTGTCGATCTTCGGCAGGGAGATGGTGGGTCCGAATACGAGATAAATCGAGACTTCGCCGTCAATTTCCAGGTACGAGAGATTGGGGGTATTGAGCACGCTGGGGAGGTAGACCGACCGGTTGTCACGCATGCCATGGACGTGCGTAAGGCTGACGGCGAGGGACTGCAGTGAAAGTGCTTCTATTCTCTCAGGGGATAGAGAACGCGGCTGCAGAGGGCAAAGTTCCGCGAGAACCAAGTGTGTGAGGTTTGGGGAAGCAGCGAAGATGGCTCTTGCGTGATCTTGTGTGGCGTGAAGACCCTTGAGTGTGAGAGAAGTGAGATTCGGTACAATCGGTGCGAGCCAAATCCCCCCGAGGCTGAGCCTGGTAAGGTTGGGTAAGGATTGAAGCCATTGGAAGGCCTGCCTGAATGACGCAAAAGCGACGAGGAATGGATGCTCGCTTAGATACAATGAAACCTCTCGGAGGGATGAAGCGAGAGCCATTCGGTTCATGTCGTTTGTTCTGAGGTCCAGGCCTGTCGCTGAGAGGCGTATGACGAGACGACCGAGACAATGGGGTTGTTGAGTGATGATATCCAACAAATCCTTAATCAAGTCTGGCAGTTTATCTGGATATCCCAACGTATCGTCCAATATCACAGAGATGGGGAGGGCGCCTGATCTCTCCCTCCATTCAGATATCCAGGTAAGGCAATCTTCTTCACTCCGTTTGTGGAGAGGGACGAGGATGTACGCCCATAGATTAGGTGTGATATGGGCCAGTTGACGCCAGTGCGAACATATGGATGAGATAAGGATAGGAAAGGGAAGCGTCCTAGGCTCTCTATCTTGCCAAGCTCTGGTCCCGAGTGTGAATATGCGCGCCAGGATTTCGTTAGGAAGTTCCTGTATGGGCCCAGCGTTTGCGTTGGGCCAATGCGGGAGCTGTGATTCGTCCATATGACGTTATACAAAAGATAGAAAAATCCTGAGATGGGAACAATGAGTGCTGCTACGCTCTCGCAGAAAGATGCGAACGAACGGCAGTCGCGTGTGATGGAGGCAATTCTGTGGTCCTCAGCTCGCAGATACGATCTTCAGGCTTCAAGAGTCGATGGGAACCTATGGGAACTTCATCGGTCTCTATCAGATGCAAAGTCGTAGGATAATAGTGATTAATGGAACCACTGACTTGTTCGTTGAGGAATCAATTGGCCCTCCTGTATTCCACGATGAGATCGCTACTACTGATACAAAAGAAAGACTTACCTGGCCATAACATAATCTTAGATGTATGTCGAAGATCGTAGTTTTGAGGAAAGCTTAGGAATGGGTTCGCGTCAGGCGGGCCGTGTGGTCCTGTTTGGCCGCACTCGCCTGATCCGTGTCTGTTCCATCATCGGCATCTTGTCCTTCTCCAGCCTTCTCCCTTCTCCAGCCTCGAACGATGCCAGCGATGTGCTCTTGCTCGTATTCATCGTTGAACTTCGAGTCTTCAAGGCGTCATTCACGCATTCTTCCGTCCACCGGCCTTCATAACAATTCTTTCGTTTTCTGATGTTCGCAGTGGCTTTCGTCTGATATCCAAGGCCATGCAGTCGTCCAGCCAATGTGGACAACGCATTCATTTCCTCTACTCTAGATTGTTGGGGCAATTCAAATTCTTTAGCGATGAATAGAACTCGAATTCGCGAATTACCCTTCGCAAATCACGGCTCTTCGCGCCGAGCGTCTTCGAGCACTTCTCTGGCAACTAGATTCATACCGACGGGCGTAGGAGGTGCCGACAAGACACGGCCTTCACGCTTAAGTTCCACGAAGTTTTCTAGAAGAAGCCCCTCTACCATATTTCGAAGTCGCAAGGTTTCTTTCTTGACGATAACGTCTTCGTTGATCTCTCGACGATTCGCAGGTTTCAAGCTCCCAACACTGAACAATCTAATACTTCTTCGCATAAATTCCACGACCTTCAAGCGCTACATCTCGAATAATTAAATATACGATCCAGTCCACTGATTACGGTACGTCAGCTCGCATACTAATGTTCGCCGATGCTGAGATAGACGGTCCACCATTAGCGTAGGCGACTCGGAAGCTCGTTAGTTGATGGTGGGAGTTGGGGAAACGACCGGCTCGGTTGGGCTAATGCTGGCACTTTGACTGTTGGTGCGTCAGATCCATTACATGGTTCGGCAAGACGAGCAGCAGTACTCACGTCCAGGTGACAGTGGTAGTACTCTCGACCAGGAAGGGCGACTGCTTGATGATGGTATGAACAACCCTCTTAGCCGTGTGCACCTCAGGCTTCGGGTCGGGTTCAGCTCGGAGGTCCAACTGGGGAGATGTTCGTCAGGTTCAAGAAGATAATGATCAAGGAGAGCGACATACTGCGACGACAGCGAGAACTTGAAGGGCGGCAAAAGCAAGAGTCTTGAACTGCATGGTGGTGGTGGTCTTTGGTGGTGTACGGTGTCAAAGTTGGGGGAAAGGCGGCGTTTCAAGCTACGCCGTGTTTATATCATGCCTGCTCGGAGGGCTTGTGGTCCTGTTTGGTGAGCAATATTTCGAAATCTCCCCAACTTGTCCTAGATCGGACCTCTGACTTACACCCTGAACGTACCCCTCTTGAAAGGCAACCGCGACGTCGTGAGAAGCACGCCAAGTCCATCATATCATCCCGTTTTGACTTGCATCCGCAGTCCGTTGATCGCTAACTTTTGAAGACTTCCGTCCCTGACGGCGCTACGCGCAAATGCCTCCATACTTGCCAGAAGGAGACGCGCTGGCCGAATTGTCTCAAGACTGCTCCTTGTCGTCCGATTCCGATTCGCCTGTCGTAGAGGCTGGGACTGCACGGGAAGGAAGTTCAGCCGATCTCGATCTCGATTCTCTGTAGACTGTTGGATTCAGTCCCAATGACTCCTGCAGTCTGCAGACTTCTCGATCCTCGCACGCGATTTTTACTCCAGATGGGCATCTGAATGCGTTCACTGCGCGCCAAATTTGCGGTCCCACGTACGTCCATCCCTCCCGTCCTGTCCCTGGCGGCGCGTCACCCAGATTTGCCCCAGAAATCAAAAGTCATGCGGACCGAAAAGTCCCACTCGTCCGCTGATTCCTGAAACGAGTTCGAAGGGCATATAAGGGCCCTGCGGGTCTGACCCGAACCCCCCAACGAACCGTCGTCTCATTCATTCCCTTCGGATACAGTCTATTCGAGCATGCGTTCTTTCTTGAGCTTCGTCACTCTTTCCGTGGTCGCCAGCGCCTATGCTGCAATTGGCCCCAACGCCAACTTACACATAGCTAATGGCCCTATCTCGCCAGATGGCTTCGACCGAGTGTGAGCGCACTACTTTGCTCGTCTTTTGCACGCCGTTCTGAATGTCATTCAGTGGTGTTCTTGCCGGTGCTGACGCGAACTCGCTCTCCTTCCCTGGTCCGCTCATCACTGGTAACAAGGTCCGAATAGGTCTTACGACGCGTTTGCATAACAGCTAAACCTGTTCCTTCCATAGGGCGATACATTCCAGCTGAATGTCATTGATGCTTTGACCGACACGACCATGTTGACCAGTACTTCCATCGTATGTGCTATTTTTTGGTGTTCGGTTCCATGCACTGATGGATATTTCTAGCATTGGCATGGATTCTTCCAAGCAGGAACCAGCTGGGCCGACGGTCCTGTAGGGGTTACTCAGTGCCCCATCTCTCCAGGCAATTCCTTCCTGTATCAGTTCAGCGCTCAGGACCAGGCGGGTACTTTCTGGTACCACTCTCACGATTGTAAGTTTGTTCTATTCATTTAGTACTAGAATTGATGAATGGTCCTTCAGCTACTCAATATTGTGACGGTCTCCGTGGTGCTTTCGTCGTTTACGATCCCGACGACCCGCATAAAAGCCTGTATGTGCACATTTATTTAGAGCAAGTGCTTTCCTGACTCTACTTTCCTTAGCTACGACTTTGATGATGAGTCCACGGTCATTACGCTCGCCGACTGGTAGGAGTCTACCATAATGGCTGTCAGTCTAATGTTCACAATTCATAGGTATCATACCCCCGCTCCATCCGCTGGTCTTGTCCCAACTCCGGATGCCACCCTCATCAACGGTGTTGGTCGCTACGCCGGCGGCCCAACTGTCCCCCTCGCAGTTATCACCGTCTTACCCAACAGGAGGTATCGTTTCCGCCTGGTCTCCACCTCTTGCGACCCGAACTATGTGTTCTCCATTGACGGACACAGCATGGTGAGTGTCGCGAACAAGGGCAACTCACGCCGTGGCGCTCATGATACCTATCTTGCCGAAAACAGACCATCATCGAAGTCGACACCGTCAACACTGAGCCCCTCACCGTCGACTCGATCCAGATCTTTGCCGGGCAGCGCTACTCGTTCGTGCTGAACACCAACCAGCCTGTGGACAACTACTGGGTCCGCTCGGAGCCCAACATCGGCACGCAAGGCTTCGCCGGCGGGATCAATTCTGCCATTTTGAGATATTGGGGCGCAGACGAGGTGGATCCGACGACGACATCATCGCTTAGTAATCCGATGCTCGAGACGAACCTCCGCCCGCTGTCCGGCGCGCCCGCTCCCGGCGTCCCGGAGGTCGGCGCGGCAGACGTGAACATCAACTTGGCCATTGCGTTCAGCTTTGCAGACCTCGAGTTCACTGTCAACGGCGCGACGTTCCACCCACCGACTGCTCCCGTTCTGTTGCAGATCATGAGCGGAGCCAAGACCCCGCAGGACCTGCTCCCGGCTGGTTCCATCTATGTCCTCCCGCCGAACAAGGTCATCGAGCTCTCTCTGCCTGGAGGATCTGTTGGAAGCCCTGTATGTTCTGATTTCTTTTCGCTGTTGTTTCGGACACTAACCCCGTCTATCACCCTCTTCAGCACCCTATCCATCTGCACGGCGTGAGTGCAATCGGCCAATCACGGGATCTAATTTTTCTCATCCATCATTCTAGCACGTTTTCGACGTTGTTCGCAGCGCTGGCAGTTCTACTTACAACTACGCCAATCCCATCAAACGTGACGTCGTGAGCATTGGCGAAGCTGGTGACAACGTCACCATCCGGTTCACCACCGACAACCCGGGACCGTGGATCATGCACTGGTGCGTGTATTCTCTCGGCCTTCCATTCCCTCCTTTCTGACCACTTTGCTCCTCTAGCCACATCGACTGGCATCTGGAAATGTGAGTAACCCTTCTAGAACGGCCATTCCCGTATTTTGACACATGGAATAGTGGTCTTTCCGTCGTCTTTGCCGAAGATGTTGATACCGTCAACCTGGTCGATCCTCCTAGTAGGTCCCCAGCAACTTCCCTTGATGTAAACATACTCAGTGTCCTTTTTTCAGCCGCTTGGGACCAACTCTGCCCCCTTTACGACGCGGCTTTCCCATCTACATAAGGACAACACATACACGAAGGTCAACAAAGCCGAGGAAAATCGTAAATTTTAACTATTTATTGGAATAATCTTGGACATCTCTATACATCGTATACCGGGTAGATAGTGCGCTAATTACGCCTAGCATTATCCTCTTCACCATGTTTTGTCCGAATTTTCTGCGTTAATTAAAGAATAATAAACGTTTCGTCGATCCCACTTCTTTTTTCACACCGTTTGAAGATCCACTACTCAGTGTAAACCTGGCTCCACCTGCACGCGACTCAGACGCGAAATATATTCCCAACCAGACTTAGGAGAGGTGCTCTGATACTCTCATGCTTCAAGTTCCCGTGTGGCTGGATCTCGAAATCATACTGTCTCCGCCAAGACCTTCACTGTCATGAGAGAGAGGCTCGTGTTCATTTGTTCTCCCGAGTTCACGTACACCCACTTCTTGTGAGTATACTCGTACTAGTAGGGTCTTCATCCGAAAAGTAAGCACACCTCCAGGTGGGATCTTTTGAGGACCAGGCGACTTATTCTTACATCGTCATTTGTATCATTATGATTCATTCTTCGCTCTTTATGGCTTGCTCAGAAATAAAGGACGCAGGTGCGAACAGAATGTCCTCCGTCCCGCAGCTTAACATCTGCACTGACAAGAATCGATGACTGGTGCATGACTTTTTAAGAGGACGGTCATTAAGGCCAGTTGACGATGCCGTTGGCTCCAATTACACCTGAAACAATTCGGTGACTGTCTAAGTCAATGAATCAACTCTGTACCAGCGCTCAGCGCTTACCAAGGGCCTAGGGACGTCCCGGCTTGAGTGGGTGTATCACACCGTGAAGTTCTCGTGTCAAATTGTCTACATACAACTTACAAGGCTTATTTGCCTCAGACCATCTGATTCGGAGGCCTTGCCTCGGCATCATATCCGGAAGAGATTTATATCAGCTGGAGCTACTGCGTCAAGATATGAAGGATCGAATACAGCGCCCGAGGAATGAAACTTTCCCTTCATGAAGGGTTTCTATCGTGTTTACAGCTTTCCCAGTATTTTCGGACATTGGCATTCGTTCCACATCTTGGGTGCTTCAATCGGAGGACCAAGATTCATCCTCAGCGTCAACTTGACAGTTCTCATAGTGAAACAAAGTCTTGGAAGCGCCGGGTAGAGATTTGGGTGCCCAGTAGCCAGTCGGACCTACAGCCCACGGACTGTGCCGGACGCTTCTATCAGACAGACTGTGGGAATGCTCGCGGCAATCGCCGACCACTCATCCTTGCCAAGCATTTTGCAAGTTCCAAAATTTCCCAACAACCGCACAGTCGAGGCATTTGTCTACGACGTTCTCTCGGGCGTTTACTACTTGATTTTGTTCTGAGGTCTGTATTAGATCTCTCTCTGCTTCCTTACCATCATCACAATCGCCAACAGTGACCAACAACTTCATCTTGATATTGCAGAAACTGCGCTCCCAATGGCGCTGTTCCAGGACTTTTTTTGGGACAGGACTGTGACTGCATCAGATGAGCGCAAAACCGCGGCATGTCATCCCTCGGGATATGAGTTTGTGTTCGACCAGGCTCGCCGGATATACACGTAGGTACGGCCGCCGTTTACGCTCTCTCGAGCAGAAGTTGCTGACACCCTACCTTAAAAGTTTGAAATGATATGAACCCTTCCGAGAGGGCTCGCCTGAAGCAAGTGCTATTTTTTGTCATTGAAGGACATTTCTCCATCTAACGAGTTTCGGGTGTACAGTCGATCTTCAGGAGCTACACCAGGCTGCACCTGCTGCGATCAGTCAACCACCTAAGTAAGATGCCGTTGGGCTGTTCCGGGTCCACGCGTACGACGTCGACAGAATCTAGAACGAGAGACATTCCGCTCGAATGCCGCCCTGAAGCCCGATTGGGCTTCACGTTTGACTGCATTCTAAAAGTAGCTGGTAGGAGAGGCAATAGATATTCAAATTCTGGTAAGTTGGCCCGCTCTCACTCACTACGTGAATTATGCTCACGGTGGACGATCCCTCCAGGGGCCGTCGTAGCCGAGCTTTGGATCCATTGCTTCGACCTATTGAACTGGCGACTGTATACGGGGAACATGACTCAGAATGGGTTCGACCGCCGTGCCGAAAAACATCAATCGGAGGTTGATTTTCAGAACATACAGGGTGACGTCGACAGAGATTCATGGTTATCCGCTACGTCGCCTCCTGCAGACGACCTATCAGCAGAACTCTCGACATTAAACCCGTGGGCCATACCCCGCGGCGTTGCGTGAAGTCTTCAGGGAAAATTGCCTCAGTCGAACGACCTCCATGAGGTTTCTGTATCATCCCGCCGCGTCTCGGTCTCACCTTTGTGAGGATCTCGCTCCCGTCCACACAATTTGCTCTCCATTTCCCTACTCTCGGTGGATTTGACTCTCATGGTACGGACCCGACGCTTGACATGCTGATGTAATTTTAGACCAACTGGCAAACATCTGGCACGAAATAGACGAAACGCTACGGCCGACTGCCTGCTCTGTCTCATTCTCACAGCGTGCTTCAGGAATTCGCCTCGAAGAGCTCACCAACGCGCAGATTTCGGCATTCTCACTATTCGGCGTGGATATGCCGATGCTCACACAAAACGGCGGGTAGATTCGAGAAAGGAGCCCCGTAAAGCAGGCATTTGGGATGATAGTATAAAGGTCGGCTGGCCTTCGCAAAAATACGACATCCCTCTATTCTCACAAAGCATGGCTCTCCCATTTGCTGGCCTCGTTTGCCTCTCCATCGTTTCCAGCGTTTATGCTGCCATAGGTCCCGCTACGAACTTGTTCATCGCAAATAAGTTCATCCAGCCGGATGGGTTCAATCGATCGTAAGCCATCGCTTCTCCTTGTTCGATTATGAGCCCCTGACTAGAAATCTTTAGGGCTGTTCTTGCGGGAGCCACCACAGACTCTGTATCATTCCCGGGACCTGTCATCACTGGCAAGAAGGTCAGTGAGCACCCAGTGCAATGATGTTGCTCAAAAGTATGAACCTAGCTTCTTCATTCGTCCAGGGGGATACGTTCCGCATGAACGTCATCGACGCTTTGACCGACACGACCATGCTGGTCAGCACGTCCATCGTAAGTTCTTCCCTTTATCTCAACCAGGCTCTCTTTTCTAAAATTGGCCGACTTTGTTAGCACTGGCACGGCTTCTTCCAGCACGGTACCAACTGGGCTGACGGACCCATAGGAGTGAACCAATGCCCTCTCGCCTCTGGTCATGCTTTCCTCTATGAATTCTCCGTTCCGGACCAAGCTGGAACCTTTTGGTATCACTCTCACTATTGTCAGTGTAATTCATCAGAAATTTACTCGCAAAATTTCTGACCTCTTGCTTTGGCCAGCGACTCAATACTGTGATGGCCTCAGAGGAGCGCTCGTGGTCTACGACGACAACGACCCATACGCCCATTTGTGAGTGAGCTATTTTTGAAGTATAGAATTTATTTTTAACGTGACATTCGGCAGATATGACTTCGACGACGGTGCGTGGATTTCAGACCCAGGAGGTCCGCAAAACACGACTGATTCGTACCCGGCCTATTTTCAGAGAGCACCATCATCACTCTGGCGGACTGGTAAGTTTATATTCCCCATCTTTGTTCCATTTTCTGATAATTCGTGTTTAGGTACCATACAGTTGCACCCTCTGCTGGATTGGTACCTGGATCGGACGCGACTTTGATCAACGGTATCGGCCGCTTTGCTGGGGGACCTGCAGTCGATCTGGCGGTCATCAGCGTATTGCCCAACAAGAGGTACCGCTTCCGCCTAATCTCAGTCTCTTGCGACCCGAATTTCACTTTCTCCATCGATGGGCACAATATGGTAAGTTCCCACAGATTCCTGTCTGTCACGAAATTGACTCGATTGCCTTTCTAGACCATCATCGAGGTTGACTCCGTTAACGTTGAGCCCCTCACCGTCGACTCCATCCAGATTTTCGCCGCGCAGCGGTACTCCTTCGTTTTGACCGCCAACCAGCCCATCGACAACTACTGGATTCGCGCCCTCCCTAACGGCAACCCCGTCGGCTTCGATGGTGGCGTCAACTCTGCCATATTAAGGTACAGTGGCGCACCTGTCGCCGAGCCAAACACGACTTCCACTTCGAGTAACCCGATGCTCGAGACCAATCTGCACCCGCTCGAGAACCCCGGAGCGCCGGGCATCCCCGTACCCGGTGCGGCCGACGTCAATCTCAACCTCCAGATCGTGTTCAATCTGACGTCGCTGCTGTTCACTGTCAACAATGCGACGTTCATCCCACCTTCGGTCCCGGTCCTGCTTCAGATCATGAGCGGTTCGTTGACTGCGCAGGAGCTGCTTCCTCCTGGGTCGGTCTATGTCTTGCCGCCTAATAAGGTTATCGAGATCTCCATGCCAGGTGGCGCCATAGGAAGCCCGGTACGTGCCAAATTTAACGCGTTATTGTCGGCGGTCTAAATCTCCGCCCATTTAGCACCCTATCCACCTTCACGGAGTGAGTAGAAACGCTTTTCCTGGACGCCAGATAAGAACCTTACTGACTACAGTTTCCAGCATAACTTTGACGTTATCCGGAGTGCAGGAAGTTCTGTATACAACGTCGCAAACCCTGTCCGTAGGGACGTCGTAAGCATTGGAGCTGCGGGCGACAATGTCACCTTCCGTTTCACGACCAACAATGCTGGACCGTGGATCATGCATTGGTAAGAAATTATCCTGTATTTCTCATCCTTCACCTTCTGACTACCAACCCCTCAGCCACATCGATTGGCATTTGAATCTGTGAGTATAGGCTTGTCCATTAATATTCCCACTTAACCTTGCTGGGTTTTCTAGTGGTCTTGCCGTCGTATTCGCCGAAGATGTTCCAGAAGTCACCACCTTCACTCCTCCCGGTTAGTGTCACACTCCTCATGTCGCCTTCTAGGTACTCACTGTCGTGAATCATCAGCCGATTGGGACCGAATTTGCCCAGACTTCAATGCGCTACCGCCGCAAACCCTCTAATTTTCCAGACCCGACAGTAGCCGAAACTGAAAGTGAAGTTATTCTATGTAATCGTTAAATACTCCTACGTCATTTACCAGTCTACCCTGTCCATGTTCTCCGTGTTTCCCTGTTACTATTAGAATGTTATTCAACGAGTATTGTTGTTTTCAGCTTGTCAGGGTGGCACAGTCTCGGTGCTTGGTGAGCAATGGTGAGCAATGGTGCCTAAGAGTAGTTGTGGGCATCGAGCGGTGTAGTTAAAGATGTGCACAAGCTAGGGCCATATTTTCGACGTGAGCACTTAGACTTTGAACTCCTTTTCGCGCCATTGGCTTTGCAGCGTGTTATTCCGGGATTGTTAGAGAGTAACTCTCCTTCGGGGGCCTTACCGGTGTCTACTTGGACCGCCACCGACGCCTCCTCTGAGTATTGGAATTTGTGAGGAAGTAAGGGATTGAATTTTCGTTTGGCTATTTCCTAATGGACGTTATGGAATTGCGCCACGCTGTTGCCGCAGTGCCGTTATTTCGAAAATGCCGTAAGTACCAGAAAATCTCTGAATTGGAAACTACGGCGCCAGACTACGGCGATCACTACGGCGGCAACTCCCGCCGAACGGTAACGTGGCCCGTTAGAGGCTCAGCCGGACTCCCGTAGCGTAGTCCTAAGACGCCCATGCCACCCCAGAAATAATAAGAAGGACATATTGGAGCTACAATCAATCGAGGAGAGTATAGTTTTGACAAAGCACCGGAAAATCCACTCGTCTCATCACCGTTTGTCTCAGCTTGGCAGCATAATTCCCGGCGCCATATCTACGACGAAAAAGTAAGGTTCTCCCTCCTCTGAGTGAAACACTTGGTAAACTGACCCTATAGTCATGCTACTCATCCGCCCACAACGTCGTTGTCCGCGGAGATAGAAAGGAGACCTTGAGGCGAGGTCTAATGCCGGAGGTGAGTCTTCCACCTATACACGAGAATGCCGCTGACAGACCTTATTCTGGTCGCGCTGTGCATGCCGGGGTTGTACTGTAAGAGTCCTGGTACGTAGAGACTCGAGATTAGGCGTTTGGGGTGAGTGGGAGGGTGGGAGGCACTAGAAGGTAAATCTTCGTTTATGCCTTCGGTGACCCTGTATTCACCTCATCCCAGCCATTCCCTTCTCGCTCAGATGTCTAGGCACTCTACACCATCGCTCTCATGGTCCAACACATTGTACGCATCCTAGAAACAAGGTAAGACCATCGCGAACGTGCATGACAACGAGAAACTCACCTTTATGCGGACGTTCTCCGCCCATCTTCGTGTTGGCCCACCATCTTCCACACCGATCTCGGTCCAACGTCCTCCAGTACCATCGATGCTCTCGCTAGCCTCGCTGTCGTCGAAATGCCCTATCGAGCACCTAAGAACACAGTAAGTTCGTGTTAATCGTCGATGGTGAGGTGAGGCACTCACGACGGGTTGGGTGTGATTATGTCCAGCATCTCGGGGATAGAACGTGTGTTGGCCCTCGTCGTGAGCTTCTTGTCCATCGTCGCCGCCGCTGGGTGTGGTAGGGGTGTCTTGGTCGAGGGCACTGAGGAAGCGCGGTGAGAGTGCGAGTCATCGCCCACCTCCGCCGTCGATGTGTTCGATCTCGATCTTCATCATACGAGTTGTCCTATCGATCCTGCGTTGTTTTTTCAGTTCTTCGCCTCCGTTTATATTTTGTAGGTCGAGTAGGGCCCCTTGTGTTCGAGCAGGACACCTCGCGAATCCAATGGGGCCAGTTGCCTGTCTTTGCGAGAGGCTTGAGCGACAACGCGCGATGGCACTTTTATCAGGCGAGAATCTTGATGTCTGCTTTGTACGTTTCCGTGTTGAATAGGGTATATACAATGGAGGAAGGCGTAGAATACGGAGGTGGGACGAACTTGCCTGTCACTGCCGGCAGATGCCGCCGTAGTGATCGCCGTAGTTTCCAATTCACGAATGCACTCGTAAGTACTGTCTCCGGGATTCCCGGTGCTACGTCAATAAGCCTCTGCCTCATATTTTCAGGCCGTGGCTTTACGGTAGAATCCTCCAAGTTCCGTCATCCAGGGGCGTTGAGTATAGGGAGCGTGTTGGTTGTGTTGTCTTGAGGAAGAACCAGCACGTTGACAACAATTCTTCTACTCTAAGAAGGCTTTGTTCTGACTCTACTTCAATAACTTGATTCTAAGCTTGCTCCTATCAGTGAGAATGTCACTGGTCGCCGGGCCTTTTTTCTTCGGGACAGGCTGATTAACGGGATATCTACGGCTTATTTACCTCCTATCACTTTTGACGCCGAGTTTCTTGGAACATGGATTCGTATCAATAGTCGATATCCTTAAAGTCTTTGTAGGGTCGACCTGATGCCGAATGGGCCGCTGACGATGTAAACCATCGTCGATTCATCTTGAGAATTCATCTTATTGCTCGGGTCTCTCCCGAGCCGCTCGAACACTGCCTCTGACACTACGTTCAATCCGAGTCTTCCCACTCGGAAATACGCCGCCACAATAACTCGGGTCTAATCTATGCAAACGCTGCTCTAGTGATGTAAGCATCCCATCAGCCAAATTAGCGCGCTAAGCGCTAACCGCGTTCGTCATATCATTGTCTGAGCAATCATGGCAAGCGAGGTTGGATAAGGTCAAGTCTAAAAATAGCTTGCGGAACGAGGCGATTGGATGAGATAGTCGGCTAGGTGGTCATTCGCGTGAGGAAGTCGGTACCGATCCATTTCGAAACATTGTCGGGCGTATGTGATATTGTGACGTGGTTCGAGGGTGATCGTCGCCTGCTTTTATGGTAGGAGTTCCATTTGGGGATGCGATTTTGTGAAGGTCTCGAGGGCGGCGGGACGGTTGCTGCTTGATGGCTCCGCGCAGCGCTCGTTCACTTAGCGCGTATCGCTCTTTCCGTGCCTAGGTGCGTCGCCGCTCTTGCAGGAAGACAACGGACAGGAGAGCACCGTATGCTGTAGAAAAAAAAAGACACGATGATGACCATGTCGTGTACGTCCATATCGCACGGAGCAGTCTCAGGCTTGTATACGCTACACCCGTCGATGAGCAGTTGCATATCTGGTGCTTGAATTCCCTGCAGAGTTCCATAAGTTGTTGACATCTTTGGCCAATGAATGACGGCTATGGCCTCAGATAGAACTGAGGTTTCAGACAGGTAAAGACAACAAGCGTCTGAATCAAAACAGGTGAGTACTAGTACGAGTAGGCTTTCTATAGAGATGGCACTCATCTGGTGAAGTCATCGGCTTTTCACGAAGCCTACGATGCGGTCAGCCCTTTAGGGAATCAGACTTCGAGCCAAGCCAGAATGAGCGATAGGAAAGAAGAGTTCTCGAACCCGGTCGTCGACGTCGACCGAGGGATAGTATTATTGTCCCCAGTGGTTGAATCGACTTGAACGATCTTCCTGGTCTTCCAAGATGCCCTCCGGTTTATAAGCTGCTCAGAATCGTCATTGTCCTCCTGAGATTCGATACAGCTGAACCAAATTCTCTTTCTATACACTCTTCGCGGTACCCAGGCAACTCCAGCTACACAGTCGATAGTCGCAACATGAATGACGAAGCTGAAGAAGTTGGAGAGCGCCCAGGCAGATGGGGTGGGTGTCTGCGAGACTCTCGTATCCTTTGGTTGAACAGGAACGAAATTCGGCAGTGCAACATCGAATGTGGATGACTCAGGAGCAGGAAGATGGCGACAATGCAGCCCTTGAGGAGACGTTTGATATTCCCAATTCAGATGAAGAGCACCCACGTTTCTGGGTCAGCACGACGGTTGGACGACGCTGGAAGCATCAGAACATGTTGGCTCTTTGAAACTGTCAGTGAAAGTGTTCCCCTGAATGTTTACGGGTACCCGTGCAGCACTCGGACCACATACAGGATTTTTCACAGTCGCGATACACGCTGCTGACGTGAAGAATTTGGTGGGCCCCTATCGACTTTCGACGTCAGATTTCGGTTTATGAAATTCCTTGGCTCCAACGAACGGATCAACCAACCACGTTTTTTTCATCCGCGAGAGACGTCATTGGAGGGCTGAGCTCTATGGCCTTTAGTCGTCCAGAAATTTGTGAAAGAGCACAAGAACTTGAGGCTGCTTCAGAGGAAATGTTGTTGAAGATGTCGATGAGGACTGGATGAGGACAGCCGCAGCGCCTCCCTCGGCTCGTTTTGTTTGGCACTGGCTTGTTAACCAAACAAGGTGATGACCCGCGCAGAACGCAACGAGCCCCTATATCATCACCTGCTTCCGCCCGTCGGTGCGCTTTCTCTGCTTCACATCAGTGCACCCATGTTGAAAATGGCAACTACAGCCGGCGGAACGAATAACCGGCTGATGCGCCCCACATGAACAGCAGCCCTCAGAGCTGGTCATGGACGTTCTTCGAGCACAGGAAGCAGTTCTCCTCGACGAAAACCTGATAATCAGTATATCCAAGGTATATCCGCCACCGAGAAGGTGCTTGGAGTGTTACAAGAACCAATTCCACGCGGTAATTATCAGGGACGCCGAAGCTCCTCGACGGCGCGTGGCTTAGCGATAATTCAGTCCAGTGATTTCACGCCGCAACGGTCAAGGATCCGCTGATTCTTAAAAAGGCCATGGGTCACTGACCGATGCCAGCCGTCGAAACCTACCCCCTCCCTCCACCATGGCCATCATCGGACGTTTCTCGCGTCTTTATACCCTTTGTCTGCTGTCCCAGGTGGCTCTGGGAGCCATCGTATCGAATGTTGCGGACCTTCCTGGGCTGACATACGACTTCGTCGTCGTTGGAGGTAAGGAGTGCATCGAATGACTGGCTATGAAGTGTCTGATGAGTCTTTGCAGGAGGGACTGCTGGGAATGTCATTGCTAACAGGCTGACGGAAAACCCTAATGTCTCTGTTCTCGTTCTTGAGGCCGGTGGATCGTACGTACTCTATATTCCGATTGGAATCCCCCAAGCCTAATGCCACCCAGTCACGAAGGCATCGCCAATATGACGATCCCCTTCTGGTGCCCCACCTTGACACCCTTCACCCAATACGATTGGAACTACACAACCGTTCCCCAACCCGGTCTCGGTGGTCGCTCGATTCCCTACATGAGAGGACGCGTTCTTGGTGGTAGCAGCTCCGTCAGTGAGTAGCAACAAATTCGTCCCACGTGTCAGTCATGACGTTAACGCCTTCAAGATTACCTAGTCTACACTCGCGGTACTTCAGAAGACTACGATCGCTACGCGAAACTATCAGGTGACCCTGGTTGGGGCTGGAACGCTCTTCAGCACTACTTCAAAAAGGTAAGCCTTCACCGATCTTATCATAATCCACTACCTGATCCTATCCTCGTATAAGAACGAGAAGTGGAGCCCCCCCGTTGACGGCCACGACACCACCGGCGAGTTCGACCCCTCCGTGCACGGCTACAATGGTCTCCTTGGCGTCAGCGTCCCAGGGCACCTCGAACCCATCGACGCACGCATCGTCCAAACCACCCAAGAATTACCCGAATTTCCCTTCATCCAGGACTACAACTCCGGGAAGCATCTCGGCATCGGTAGGTCTCAATATGTGGCGTCTTTCATTCCCAGCGTTCTAAATATAAGATGCAACCTTATCTTCCAATTGAATTCAAGGTCTTTTGCAAAATACCATCGCTGACGGCGAACGCACAAGCTCGGCTACTGCCTACCTCGCCCCGCCGTTCCGCCAGCGCCAGAACCTCAAAGTTCTGATCAACGCCCAAACCACCAAGATCAAGTCCGTGAACTACGGCTTCGGTCCCGTCTTCAAGACCGTCGAATTCGTCTCCGGAGGCGCGACCGTCCGCGTCACCGCGCGGAAGGAGATCGTCCTCTCCGCAGGCAGCGTCGGGACGCCGCACATCCTGCTCAACTCGGGCGTTGGCGACAAGAATGACCTGAAGAAATTCGGCATCAAGTCGGTGCTGCACCTTCCGGACGTGGGCCGGAACCTGTCTGACCACGTCCTCACACCCGAGGGGTGGCTCGTGAACTCGGAGGACACATTCGATTCCTTCTTCAGGAATGAGACGGCTGTGCAGGAGGCGACGGACCTGTGGACTTCGAGCCGCCAGGGCGTGCTGTCGGGTACGATCTCGAATCATGTTGGATGGGCGAGGCTGAAGTCGGATGCGTCGATCCTCCAAACTGTTACTGACCCCGCTGCCGGTCCGAACACTGGTCACTATGAGCTTCTCGTTTCTGTAAGTCTTGCTTCGGGTATTTTTTGTGAGGTGTCGTGTTGATACGCCCTTAGAACGGTGTTCCCATCCCTCCGTACCCGCCAACTGGAAACTTCCTCGGTGCGACAGTGGTTCTCCTCACCCCAACATCACGTACGTTCCCCCACTTTTTCCTTCCTCCTTTATTCATAGAAGCTCGTTTACCACCCAGGCGGCTCCATCACTCTCAACTCTAGCAATCCCCTAGACGCACCCCTGATCAACCCCAACCTCCTCGGGACCGATTTCGACAAGTTCACCGTCCGCGAGGCCATCCGCGCCGCTCGTCGCTTAGTCGGCGCGCCCGCCTGGACGGGGTATGTTGCCGCGCAGCTGAACACGGCGACGACGGACGCGGAGCTTGACGCGTACGTCGCAGGTGCGGCGGGCACAATCTTCCATCCGGTCGGCACGGCAGCGATGTCGCCCAAGGGCGCCAGCTATGGTGTTGTGGACCCCGATCTGAAGGTCAAAGGCGCGAGTGGGCTGAGGATCGTGGATGCGTCAGTTATTGTGAGTTGCTCTTTTCTTCTGGTTGTTTGGGAGAGACGGCTGACTGCATTTCCTCTGTAGCCTGTCGTACCAGCAGCACACACCGTCGCCCCGGTCTACGTGTTTGCTGAACGCGCTGCTGACTTGATCAAGGCTTGCTGGGGCTTGTAGACATTCGAACGATGCACCAAACGGAATCTGGGTATACCTTTTTAAATTTAAATTAAATAATAAAGTCTGCTGTATCCAAGTGATCCTTTTCATAAGTAAGTCCAGACATCGTACCACGTGGCTAACGAGACCAAACAGGCAGTCAGCGCAAGCTGTGTGGCGCATTCTCGTTATCCTGAGAATGTTGTGATGAGCACTATTGTGCAAGGTTATATGCCTCTAAGTCGAACTCGCGGACTCGAGACACGGGTGTGAGGCAAAGGATGCATATGGACGACAGCCAAACTAATCACCACTATCGAATGTTGCTGTGTTCAATTCGATTGATGTTCAAACGTCCAACTCAGACTACCATCGGAATCTCTTGGCACGAATGACAACCTTCATCGCAGCTTCAAGAAGTTCGTTACTGGTCCCATCTAATAATCACTTGTCAGATGATTACAGTTAGTAAAGGAGTGGTTTGTCTGATACTCTTGACCGCCAACACCGTGAAATGATGTCCATCGACAGATGTTCGAATCTACTACCTTCAGTGTGCAGCTCGACAACTACTCTATTCCAGAAATTCCCAAGCCAGAATACGGGGACAAGAGGGACGCAATTTACATCACCTTCTTTGTCTTGCTTCGCGCGTGGTTGCATTCGTTGTCGAAAGTCCACAGGCTCCGTTGTAGGGGAAACAGACGTCTCGCAGCTTTTCATCACCACCCTTGATCAGGTAGGTGTTCCAGGAACGTTGAATTATTCAGTGAGATTGTACACTCACCCTTTGAAATGGAGAAGCGCTCCATAGAGTATGAAAAGCACTCCCTGCTGATGCAGCTTAGATCCTTGTCAACTGATTCTCGGGACGATTTGAAATGGGTGGTTCACTCAACGATCTCCAAACGGGATGCAGTGAGGAATGGTGACTATCATTTGTTGGGATCATGAACTATTGCGAACACCAGTAGCGTTGCCTGGGTCGGGCATACATTGCCGTGCAAAGCTTCAACAATCCCTCAAGTTTCTTGGTTCGTTGATAATCAACGACTCATGTTGAGTACGCTCAAGCCTATACTTTGTGAGAAACAATTATACAAAGGATGCTTCCATTGGTCTCGCACACGACTTCGCTTCTCGGAAGGCCCTGTCTATCTCATCTGCCGTCCCTCTTGAGGATTTCTCGGGCGTTCAATGGGTTGAGCTGCTCGAAAAGGTTGCTCGTTGGGATGAACTTCGGCGTTGTTGGTAACATGAATATTCGAAGAAGGATGGATTAAAATAACCCCAAGCATGGAGAGGGCATAGGTACAAATCGTCAGAGGTAGACCAGCATTGAGACATTCTCGAGGCGTGTTGGGACGAAATAGCCCCTACTCATCTATACCGGGCCGGTCAATTATATGTTTTAACATTAATTATGTCCTGCTTTCGTTCCAAAGGCTTTAGTAGAAACAGGGAAAGTTTTTTCCAGAGATATATATCTCTCCTTGGTACATTATCGGGTCAGGCTTCTGTATTTCTACCGAACACATATTCTCCGGGTCACTCGGAGTTCCGCCACAATTAACTTCTTTAATTTACTCCAAGGTCACCGTTGATCGACTACGTATACAGGCTCTCAGTTGAGACGTCAGGGGTGACATATCTGTGTTACTTAAGGCGTTGGCATGAGTTCCTGGCCGCCCTGCGCCTGGAGGACATGCGTGGGCCACACTTGCTATATCTGGAAATTGCCACTGTTCTCAAGCTTGTGTCTCATAATACAGTGCGCCAGCCGCGACCAATAAGTACCATAAAATTACAATATTACGTGAAAGTAGGCCTCACGGAGTAGAGATAAGATAGTCCATTGCCATCGCGAGCCACAAGACGCATCCGAAGTCAGCATTCCTCTTGAGATTCCCTACGTTCTCGGATATCAGCACTCATCAACCAACAGAGCTAAAAAAATATGCCCACGTTTGCACGTCTCCGGCTTAGCCGGATTGGTATTCACTATCTGCCACGCCATCTCCCCAATGGCGGTGACCGCGGTGAATACGATGAGGGGAATGCTGTGGCCGCTGGCGCGAAGAGCATAGGAGAGGAGAGAGATGAACATGAGAGACAGAAGGAAAAGGAATGGCTTCAGTGTATTCTGTAATGCTATGGCAGACGAGCCAATGCCGATCTTGATGTCATCTTTATAGTCTTGACACGCGTAGATGGTATCTAGAATGAAGAGCTTTAGGCTTAGCCCCTCGTGAGCGGGGTTTAGGCTTACCATAGAACATGGTCCACCTAGGGTTGGTGATTAGGTTCAGAATACTTGTATGGTGATATGTGGGTCAACTTACGCCCAAAGTCCACCCATGAGAGGGGCTATTACGTTCGACTTGAGTGGACCGTAGACTGTTGTCCATGCGAGAAGGGCACCCCAGTTCATCTGTTCCCCGGAATTGAGATATGAAACGAATTCAGGTGAAGTAAAACCTACCGCAATGCCCAGCCACGCCTGAGGGAAAGAAGTGATCCTCTTCATTAATGGATAGATGAAGATCCTAGTAGGTGTGTCGGCTACCAGTAAGCGCCTCAAAGCTTCCCGATTGTCCAGGAACGCACAGTGGGAGCCATATCAGGCGACAGTAGAATCTTCGGGGGATTTTAGTCGTCCATGGCAAGCGCGGGGAAGATATTCGGAAACGCACAGCATGCTGTCCCTTGTCCATACGAGCCCGATGTAGGCGGCGACCTGGAAGAGCAAGAAAACTCCCGCGGCAAAAAGAGAAATCTTTCCGCTTGCAATCGGACGTCCTTTCGTGCGTTCTGTTTGACGGACGACAGCGTGTGAAGCTAAGTAGGCGAAGAAAGTAAGCGAAACTCTGCTCACCAACCCTACGATCATATTCTTGATCACACATATCGTTGATGGTGCACGCAAGACTCCTTGCCACAAACGCCCAGACGAAGAACGCCGCGACCCAGTAGAGGTAATCCTGTGGAGGGATCCCCTTCGCTCGGGCAGCCATTGTGAGACCGTACGCTGTGTTCATGGGCATCCTCAGTCCTCAGTCGACGAGGAGGAGCGCGTCTCGTAGAGGATCCTTACCATGTGGCACAAATACGAGCAGTGTTCCCGCAGGCTGAAAGACGTGTCACTCTGTGAGAGACCTGCCCGGAGTGGAGTGATAAGGGACTCTCACCTTGTCAAACCGAATGAGATCTAAGTATGATTTAACGTCGTTGAAGGTGAAGGGGGGATTTTTGCCTGCCATTTTCATGGGGGTATTAGTTGAGAAGCTCCTCGCTTGTCTTGAAGCTTTATGAACTAATGAGAGCCTTGATACACTCCGATCTCCCGGCTGGTTCCTCAGGGCCCTCAAGTCTCAAGATAGAGCCGCAAGGAACCAGTCCGCGATCTCCGTACAACTTGTGGATAGACGGCAGACATTCCTTGGAGAAAGTCTCCCGAGTCCGTGATAAGATGATGATCGGGCGTATTAGGTTTTATCTGCGTCAGATGTGCGGGTCCGAACAACTCCACCGGCCAAGATCACAGCCAAAGATCAGTGATGAGTCGATTGGTCTCACTCAGGGTCTGATCCCGATGCTGACAGGTGGCAGGATAGCCCGAAATGGCCAAATACAGTCCCTCGCGCGCTCCCGCCCCCAGCGCATCAACACCAGAAGAGTTGAGCATCGGGAGGACCCAGAACACCCCGGAATAAGATATTTGCTGTATAATCGCCGTTCGATGACTACGATGCAGTTGCGGGTGACACGGGCTGCGGGCCGCAAACGGTGAGCAGGCGTGAGAATCTCTCTGATCTCCCTCGAGATTTCGTCTAATTTATGTCGTATAGCTAGCCACACCAACCAACTTTCCGGCAAACTATAATAAATGGATAGAAGTGTACATAATAAACTTATTTGTGAGAAAAGATAATGCAGCGTTCAATAGTGTGGTGCGCTACAATCCAAATCCGACGACGAGCGCTTGATTAGTGGCTGTGCGAGTCGTCGCCAGCTCCTCCGAGAGCGATTTGTCTACCTAGCTCGGAGTGGAAAGATAAAAGAGGCCACGTAGATCTAAATACATTAACAAGTACCCTATAGATACCATAATGGACACGTGGATCATAGAGAGGGAAAGTCAGTTCGTCTGAAATATATCTCAGTCGGGAGGTGAGCGCTTGAGCCAGCAACGGCGGCTACCATCCGATCCTGGTCAAACCCGTGGGCGCTGTATCCTGGGTGCAGATATTAAAGCTTTATACAATAAAATAAATTGTTGTCTTCTTAAGCGTCGACTGAGTAAAGTAGTATTTTTCGAGTCTCAGGCAGTTTGCGGAATGCGAACCTCAGTGCGAAGCAAGTGAGGATGCGCATCTAATGCGGGCCTCCTATTTAAGGACCTTTCATATTCCGTCTAGTTCACATTGTAGGGCACAAAACACAAGTCGCATTTTAATCAACAGTACTAAACCGATACACATGTACACAGTAAACATAAATATAGAGAAAATAGATCCACGCATCGATAGCATGCTGAAGACGAAATCCGACAGCGAGCGCTTAATCGGTCCTTTGTAAACCGTCATTTGCCTGTTCGAGAATGAATCTCATATTTAATGAAAGACTTAATTGCTGCCAACGCTGGGAAGAATCACACCTTACTCCAAACATATTCAATCCTCCGATGCCTTCTATAGCTCGGTGACGAGCCAGCTCCCCTCTGACTCTGTAAAACCTGCAAGAATATTTTTTATCACCTCGTCACTGTGTTTCGGGACTCTATACTGCATATGGTGTCCAACCGCTTCCACCGTGTCATACAGGTCATGGCAGCAGATAGATGGGCCTGCCTACCCTCCGTCAGCATGCGCAGCCAGCCCATGACAAGCACCACCCGTTTTCACGGCAACCGATGCGCTCGGCATGCCTCCCTTTCCTCCTCAAGAAATTCCTCCTCTCCCAACATTGACATTCATATCGCGTGTCCTCCCTAATCCCCCACTCATTCATTCTTGCTTGAATAGTTTCTGTAGTATAGATAATCTACTGATCAAAAATTTGCGGGCAATAACATGGTTTGCATCTCGTATTCACCCTCTGCTGTCCTCACCTTGAGGCTCGTGGGTGCCGTTGCGTCGTCACCCGAACTCTTTGTCACTCTTCTACACTAGCCCTTGTTAAGCGCCCGCATTTCGTAGCGCTTCGCATCTTGTATCATACTACCGTTCCGTAACTTCGAGTCATGCGCTTGGCACTTGTTTAGAGGCGCACAAGTCCAGCCACCGACGCGACGCGTACAGGCAAGAGCCGGCAAGAAGCTCTTATTTTTAGTGTACATATCTAGCCCACGCGGCGCCAAGTCAAAACCCGCAGCTAACGCGCTGATGGGCTTCCTGGGGTCTGCGATGAGCCTCGTGTCATACCTGTCCCGCCTGCCATCCATTTTCGGCATGATCCCCGGAATGTTCAGGGAGATCAGACCCTGAGTGAGACCAATCGACTACGCACTCCTTCCAGAGACATGAAAAGTCGTTCATAGGTTTCACGTCAAGTTCGGATATGACAAGCATAACAGAATACAATTTCTTCCCTTCTCGGGGACCTAATGGCACCAGCCTTAGCACTTGAAGGTACACGTTTACTAAGAAACATGGACATGACATACCCTGTCACTCATCTCTCGTGAATTTTTTCTTCCTGCACGCCAGAAGGGCTCTCAGGCACTCTTCCAGTCCGAATGAAAGCTTGCGACTCACAAAACATTTGATTATTTCGCCCCGGCGGCGCTAGTCGGCTAAGCGCCCATCATTCCCAAGGTGATTTGCGCATCATCTCCGAATTTCGCCAAGAACGGCGTAGAGAACCCTACTCCAGCGATGGAGGGTTCGTTAAATATGCTCTCTCCGTTGGAGAGCTATAAGACGGTGCCCTTGTAGCCCCGAGCATGCCTGATACTGGGCAAGTTGAAGTGAGGTAGTGATTGGTTCCATAGCATACGCTAGACAGATAGGAAGCGTGTTTTGACAGATATCAAAAAATGATCATCGACTCAATGATTGTTGTGGGTTGGCTTTAGCGGTGCGCCCACCGTCTCATGCTAACTTTACCACCTACATCACGGTAATACCACACACGCTGAGTCTCGTGCTTGAAGCCAGAGTGAGCAATCATTTCCGCTTAGCGTCATCGCAAGGAACAATCATCATCCACCTCATGGAGCCATCTTTATGTAAGTTCCGCCATTATATCCCTTCATAAGTTCATGTGGAAGCATCTTCAACCCACAATCCACATCTTGACGCCCACATCCTTGAATCCATAGCTCACGGTACATCTTCAGAGGAAATTTCAATAACACTGTGGGCTGGAGTGTCCGTGATCATGAGGAGATGGGTACTTGCTCTACATGATTGTTGGTGGTCAAGCCGCGGTATCTGTCTATCAGACGCTCGGAGCCCAGGTCCAGAATATAGACTACCTTGTACATTTCTACCTTCCAGACTGTTACAGATCCGAGTCTCTCGCAGACTCAAGTCCACCGTTCTCCAATAGGTGTTTTCTGGACGGTGACTGTAGACTCAAGTGAACAATAATAACTTCTTACCTGGCCTTTGTATTTCCCACATCTTCGATGAAGGAGAGAGAAAACTCGGACTTAATAGTACATTTTGATATCCGGAAATATACTGGAGGCTTAGGACAAGAAACGAAGATCACGGGAACCTACAGAAGCCGCGCGTTTCCGAAAAAGTACACACGCCGCGGGGTTCGGCACGCACGCAGTGGCATACCACCTATTCGCAGGTCGAACACCCTCATTCTGCAGCCTGATATCATACTTGACCACTACGTGCGCCAGCATAATCTTCAGCTCGCAAGTGGCGAAAAATCGACCCGGACACGCGTGCCTCCCCAGACCAAAAGCGAGCGAGTCGACGCTGGTGGTCACCATGTCGAACTTCCTCTTAGAGCCACCTCCGACGTCCGGGTTAGAGCACAAGGTCTGGCCCAAGGCGCGTTCTCGCATTTTGGCGTAGCGGAGCCCGTCGAATCGGAGAGGGTCCTCGTACGTCTGCGCGTTGAGATGCGTTTTGGGTGTTGCGACGGAGAGGAAAGTGCCTTTGGGCAGCAGCGTGCCGTCGGAGAAGACGTGGTCCTTGAGGACGACACGGTTCACTAGCACTAGGCTATCGTCAAGTTGCATTGCTAACAAAAAGTTATCGTTTGTCACTCACGGACGGCGAGCGGGTCTAACCTCTGCGACTCCTTGATGAAGCTATCGACGCGGTGCATCTCGTCAAGAGCGACTTTGGACCATCCGTGTCTTTTCACGACTTCTTCGACCTCTTCTCGAAGGGGCTTCAGATACTCGGGATACGCCGCCAAGTAATAAAGAGCGTGAGTGAAGGTCTGAGATTTAGATGGTAAGTATCATGAGCGCCCACAGCACTCCAGGCGGGCTTGGTGATACATAGGTGCATACCATAGTCGATGTGTGAACTGCCACCCAGTTCATCATCAACAAACGAGATGTCAGATGCCAATCTGTTCTCTCTTCTCCTTGGGCTACTTCCATGAGCCACGATAAAAAGTCAAGCTACGGCATTGCGGCGACATTCGCCCTGTAAGATGGTGGTGATTTGCAGCCAGATACGGGCTTGGCACGTACCGATTTTTCAGAATCGGCGTCTCCCTTCTCCTGGTGACATTTTCGGCGAGCGGCGAACACCGGCGCTAGATGCTTCATGCCACGCGCAACTCCTCTCGGTACGTGAGATATCATAGCGTTCAATAGTCTGCGGAGACGGGCCTGAGGATTGAAGTGATCAGAGTAGAGACGCAGATACTCACGGACGAAGGACACTCGGCACGAGACGAAGAGTGGTCCCGACCCTTACGACATCCACGGCGTGCTGCACTACGAGATCGATGTAATCAGGGTCTCTGCCTTTAGAAATTACAGTCAGCTTTCGCGCCGGCAGGTCGAAGAAATTACCCACATAGAGGGGCGCCGACGAAAATCCGGTTGCTCGCGCGAGCGACGATCTTCATCATCGTCTCGAGGGCTTTTACACTGGTCCAACCTCGAACAGGGTCAGCTCAGCGTAGGTACACGGACCTGATAAATGGGATAGATACCATCTGTCGCCGGGATGAAGTCATCGAACGCGTCCACTACTTCCTCGTGGACCGCAGGGACGAGTTGTGGAAGCGCCCGCGTCAACTGCGTTCGCACGATGGGAAGATGGTACGGGTTCGTGACGATGTGCCGTCCGAGGCTGTACCATGTTTGGAGAGACTACACGAACGGATTGGTGAGATTTTTCGTTACCTGAGACTCGGAAGATGGAGGCTCGCCTCGTTTTGAGCATCGAACGATGATAAGATGCCGTCAGGCAGCATCTTGACTTCTTCGATGAGCTTTGGATCGTGAATCACCACCTGCCATCGGAAGACGTCGGCCACTTTGAACATGCTGTTGGGGACCTGTTCGAGGATTTAGGGTGAGAAGGGGGTTGAACGAAACAGTTACCTTCTCTATGTGTTCACGAATGACGTTCGATGCATCGAAGATAAATCGGAAAGCACCGATGTACGAAAGAATCGGCGTCGTCGGTCCAACGGTAGGGATGTGTCGTAGCTTTAGTTAACGCGCGAATCAGCTGGGTAGTTCTGGGTCGCGGCCCTCTAGGTGGGCTCACCTTGCGCGTCTCCCCTCTGTAGTAGGAAAGAGCCATCAAGACAAAGAGGCCCGCGATGTTGATTACGACGATGTTCCAGCCTGTTAGTCCACATCCTGTGGCGAAGAGCGATGTCGGTTCTTCCATGGAAGGTCGTAAGCTAGGGAAATTCCTCTCCGCACATATCGTGCATGACATGCGATGGTTTATAAGTACGAGGTGATGGGTGGTTTGGACCAGACGTTTTCTTCCCGAGGGCCCCATGACATGACATCGATGCCAGGGACGAAGGATACTTTGGTGTTCGCCGAATTCCTTCCACGGGCAAAGGGCTGCAGTTTGACGTGTCAGTGACTCAGGGATGAACACAACTAGAAGAACGAAGCAGACTCATAGAAAGAGACTGACATGTCCAGGACACGAGGTCCTAGTAAAGTGACTGCCATGGGATCTTCTTCAGGTTACATAAACCCATCCATCTACTCGGATAGATTACTACCTGGCGAAAAAATCGTCAGAGATTTGACCACGAGACTAAACCATCGCTGAGGAGCAAAAAAGCAAGCCTTCAAAGCTTCATACCTTGCGTCTCCCTCATAGAATAGAGGAGCGAACGAGCGATCATCGATCAGGCCCGTACCGGTATGTTTTGGCTGGACGTTCACCGGCACCCACCAAACGCCACAAAAACCTTGTATCGCGCTTCCTCTGCGCAACGTGATGGGTTGACATTAGGTTCAAACGTTCGAGGGTATAGAACGATTATAACACTACATTGACTTTTTCACTGACTCCGATGGCAGTCTGGGCTCTTCAGAGCATCTGCCCTGCTACAATTCAAGTCAGTTGGAGCAAGAACCTCAAAGAACGGCAAGCCGGACCCACTAGACGGCGTCTTGAACCACAACAAGACTTCAACGATGGTAATGATGTCCTGCAATATGTCAGTTGGATGCTGGGGCCGAAGTGGTCGGATTCAACGCCTTTCACCCAGTGCTGGTAAGTAGTGGCAAGAAGTGGCAAGCAGGATCGATGCAACGTGGATCAACTTCCGGGCCGCTGAAACTTGTTTGGTGTGGGCCATCGTAAGGTGTGGCAATACGAGTCCGCTGTATTCCAGCCATGTTAAGTTTATCTCAGTCATGGCAAGTCGGCAAGTACTATCAAGGAGATTTCCGAGTGATTTAATTCAACTGAAAATTGAAAATTGCAATTCTGCAGGCTGTAGTCCACTTAATATGGACCTATTCAACAGCAGAGAGCTTTCTCAAGCTCTCGCGGCCCCACGCACAGCCAGTCGCTGTGCGACTGGCACATCTGCCTATGCCCGGCGTTTCACCAGGAAAATAGCCCGTGTACTTAGTAGCTACTAAGCGCCTCCTCCAAGAATCCTAACCAGCGCAAGTCCCGTCTGATATTGAGGACACAGTGCGCGGAATGTGCCCCTAGAGTTGATAACACTGCTTGCACCTGAGTCGTTGTCAGTCTTGTTAACTGCTGTTGTGCTCCAGGTGAACGCCCTCAGAAAATAGCTCCAAGTTGGAATTTACTCGCCTGTTTAGGGATTCGAGCGAACGCCGCGCACTGGGCAACAGCATAGGTCCGTCGCCGGCCCGCCTCTGTGACGTGACCATTTGGGCCAATCATAGCGTGGGAGCAGTTGCAGAATTTCCACGGTTTTTTGATGTGACGGACCCATCCCCATAATATGAACGAGTTTAGGACTCGTAACCCGGAACCTCCCACGGATACTCGTACTTACCGTAGGTTGACTTACGGCGCAACCCAAACGCAACGAAATCTTGTAAGTAAATTTTCCTCATGCTCTGCTCGAGGAAGAATTCTCGACAACCGTTTCCCGCCCTTTCTTGAAGTCAGGAGGTCAACTAGTTTCCTCGGCCGAGCAGCTGGGGCCCAATTCTCTAGCGACGAAACAGAAGCTTCACATAACTAAGTTCTAGTATTAGGCACTTGGTAATTTATTTTTAACGCTACAAATCCATGCGGACGGGACACGCTACAGGCTCTCTGTTCGTCCTGTCTCGCGTCGACGCCTTGTAATTTGTCAGTTCTTTCGCCGCGATCTTCTCAGCTTTGTGCCAATTAAAAAATCGTATATAGAAGATGGAACAGATATGAAAAAGGTGATGTAGGTAGGAGTCATCTAAAGACTCGGCTAAAGTGTCCAAAAGTGTGGAGGCGTAACAAGAAAAGGGTCCACGTGAAATAGGCGCTGAAGAAGTGAGTCGTCAGGGCCGCCAGAAGCGACAATTATGGAATGGAATTTAAAACGGCAAACATAACCAGGCCGGCCACGTATCTACTTCTTGAGGAGCTTCTTGTACTCAGCGATCTCCTCGTTCTCGTAGTTGACCATATCGCGCGCGCTCGCCTCCTCCTTCCCCCAGAACTTCTTGTCCTTATCGTTCGTCGCCGCCGCCTTCTTCGCCTTCGCGTCCTTGAGCTTCGCCTTCGCCTTCTTCAGCTCATCCTCATGTTTCTTCAACTGCTTCTCGTACTCGGCCTTGGACGCGGGTGACGGGCTACGGCCCTTGCCAGGCGGCGGCGCACGAAGGACGAGCACGTGCGAGATGTCGTCGGCGCGCACACCCAAGGAGGCGAGCGCTCGACGGCTCAGCACGAAGTCGTCCCCGTCTGCGTACCCGCGGGTGTAGTAGCTGGGGGTGTCGTCGTAGTCGCGAGCGGTGTAGGCAAGCCCAAGCTCGCGGGAAGAGATGCCCTCGACCTCGTCGTAGTACTCGCGGACAGCGAGCATGTCTTCATCGTCGTAGTATGCTCGAGTAGCGCTCATGGCGCTGAGGGCGAGCAGCAGACGGAAGGCAAGGTGGGTGGAGACCATCGTGGTGTTAAAATATGGGCTGGTCTGCTCGGGGAAGTCGTCAGAATTTTGGTCAGGTAAATTATACTAATAGGTCTCGCGCTCACTTGTAGTTGTACAGAACGATTATCGGGCGGTCGTTAAATGAGAGATTTGTGTGGCGGATGTGTTATGAGGCTCGACTTGCTCACTGCCGACACAAGCACTGCAGTACTGTAGACCAGCCTTTTATATATACTGCACAGTGGATTATGAAGCGACAGATAAAATTACTTTGTGAAACGGGTACTTCGATGGAATGATTTCTTGAAACTGGGAACCTCGGACTATGGAGGATTAGCCAATCCCCGGGCCCTGCTGTTTCGAAAGATTAATGCCTAGGGACTAGCGTCTAGGGATTAAAATATTAACCAACCGCAGATGTGATAAAATTATGGTAGGCCGTATAGCTGAGTACGGTACCTTTGTCATCCTCCTTGGGCCCAGGGGGCGTGATTCATGAACGAGAAAGGACTCCACCTGGCGGATCATTTCACGACTATTTGCCCACTCATCCATTCTAGTGTCTAAGTTTATGTAGAATGAACTTCGGAAGGCTTCCGCAAACATGGAGGAAAAAAAGAGCACCGTGGCAAGCTTCTGCGAGATGATAGTCTTCATTCGAAATGGGATCAAAAGGCAAATTTACACGGAGCTAAATTTGTTCACCACGCACCCATGATCCCCGCCCCTCCAGCGTGAGCCAGCATTTTCTTAACTTCCAAGTTGCTACAACTCCCTCTCGTCTCCTGACGTCCATGCCAGGCTCCCCTACACCCTATCCTCGAGCCTTTAACCCTTTTCAGCATCACCCCGCCACGTTCGGCGTGAGTACGACTCGACAAGACGCACGATGGTAGTGCCGAGAGGTCCGGGATGACACAACGGTGACCGGAGACCGGAGACTCGGGACACAAGCAGACTGCCCAAACTCGTCACCAGGAGATTGCACAAGCTCCGTCAGAGAGGGGAGGATAATTGAGAGGTTGTTGAGGTGGTAATGCGATCGATTTCCTCCACCCTAAAACAGAGATGTAACCACCATGAAAAGCCTTGCATCGCCCTTCCTCTGTGCGACGGGACGTCTTGAAATATGTCAGCTGAGCGCTGAGCTTTGAGGTTCGACATAGAAAGCGCCGAGGTGTTCGGTGTTGGAGGAGGATCAGAGCCTTTTGGCAAGGCTTGGTGGGATTGTAGCTGGAGCAAGCCGGAGTGATAAGATTAAATGAATGGGTAGATAATCTTTCGGCTAATGCCGGTGGTTTCAGGAAATCCCGACGTCCGAGAATATCCGAAGGTTGAAATAGTGCTCGGCGTCTGCCTTTGGGAGATCTATGCGGACCAGTTACACCTTGTACTTAGCCCTCGAGGAACCCTGTTTCTGCGATCGCCACGCTCTCCAGGAGGCCTTCCTCGAAGCGCACCTTCAAGAATTCGGCTCACCCTGAACAAGTGGAATGGTTGGATTAGGCCTATGTAAGCCAACCGAGGGCAGTCTGCGTAGGTCGCGGTGGGGAGGCGCGAGGTAGCTTCCAAGGGGGAGTAGTCGACGGAGATGCAGTGCGAGGTAGCCTTCTAGGCTGGCTCCGGGGGGGGGGGGGGCGAGAGCACTGTCCGTGAGTGGTTGTTGATGTGGTCGACGGCGTCGAACCACTGGAACAGTTGCTTCTCGACAGCAACTCGAGCTCGCTTTGACTCATTTCCATCGTCTCGCTCCTGCAACGGATGACGTCCATCCGCCTCCGCCGCGTCGCTCTTCTCTACACTTCGCTGTCCCTGCTATTCGCTCTTCGCCGAGGCTTTATTATTCGAAATCGAGTTTGGCTGCGTGTAAGAGTCCGCACTTTGGCCATACGCTGGTGTTCAAACATCCTTTCACAAGGTATATACACGCAATCTACCCGACGATGAGCTCCCTGTCCATGTATGTGATCTCCTTTTCAGTTTCGGCACGATAAACGCCCCATCGTTCAAGAATCGACAAGGCCAAAGGAACATCGTCTGATGTTTCTGACGTAGGCGGCCGAATGCAAGCAGTCTCCGTCTCTTCGCTCAGCTGATTGCTGCAGAGGCACCGAGGCGGCGATGGGCAGCCAGATGTCCACTGTTCGTCATTTCAATCCCAACACACATCATTCATCACCGTGCTGTTCTGACTCAGCTTGTGTTTTCTCCATCCAGAATACGCAGTCACCTCTCAGGATATGCAGATACGAAGATAGATATTGAAATACTGAAAGTTCTTGTTGTCGCACGTGCAGATCTGACCAACACCAAGAACGCCATCTCACTGCCATCTCGCACCATAACGTTCGATTCTTGCAAAATCCCCTCCCTATCAAACCTATATCTACAATCTACACCTCATTCTCCTCGTATCTCATCTCTGATATGGCTGCTGCTCTCGTTGATCGCGTCACTGATCTGTTCAAATCCAACCTCGATATCAATGCCTCCACCCCCGAGGTGACTTCCGAGAAAAATTCTCGAGTTGACGTCGTAGAAGTCGTTATCGACACTCCGAAGCAGCCAGAAATCGATTATCACCCGAACGAGGCTCAATGGAAGGCTCGAACTGCTCGTCGTCTCGCTGAGGACCCTTCGCTGCCCCAGACAGCCCTTCCGGCAGGATTCCCCAAGAAACTCGAGTCGCCACTCGTTTGGGATGAAAAGGACTGGACGGACGCGTCGCAGTGGGAGTACAAGCTCTCTGCGGAGCAGCTGAAGGAGATTGACGACGCTGTCAAGCACTTCAAAAGTGTGTTGCCCTACTCACCATCCATTCCTCTCCTCGTGTGCTCACGTTCCGTCAGGTCTGAACAAGCCCTTCGGCTACCTCTCTCCCTCGACCTTCCCTCTCCCCACCCTAGGCCCCATCCTCAAGGACCTCTCACACGAGCTACACAACGGACGCGGCTTCTTCGTCGTCAAGACCATCCCCATCGACTCCTACACCCGCGAAGAGAACACCATCATCTACGCCGGCGTCTCCTCGCACGTCGGCGCCCTGCGCGGCGTGCAGGACAAGGGCGTCTCCGTCGTCGGCCACATCAAGGACCTCACGGCGACGCACCCGCTCAAGACGATCGGCGGTCCGGCGTACACGACGGACAAGCAGGTGTTCCATACGGACGCGGGGGATATAATATCGCTGTATGTGCTGGAGACGGCGGCGGAGGGGGGTACGTCGAGGATTAGTAGTAGCTGGAGGGTGTATAATGAGTTGGCGGAGACGCGCCCGGATTTGATCAAGACGCTTTCGGAGCCGTGGCCTTTCGATGGGTACGGTGTGCTGCCTTCATCTTCACGCTCAGCCTCTTTTACCCTCTCCTTCTTTCGATGTTTTCTTCCTTCAGGTTCGGAGGCACACCAGCGTACACCAACCGCCCGCTCCTGTTCCACACCGACAACAAGATCATCATCCAATACGCCCGCCGTCTCTTCACCGGCTTCCTCGCCCTGCCTCGTTCAGAGGGTATCCCGCCCATCACCGAGGCGCAGGCCGAGGCGCTCGACGCCATCCACTTCCTCGCGGAGAAGCATGCACTTGGGCTCAGCTTCGAGAAGGGCGACATCCAGTACATCAACAACCTCAGCATATTCCATGGTAGGGATGGGTTCAAAGACACCCCGGAGCGCACGTACGTTCTTTCTGTTTGTCGTCCTTGCTGAATTTTTGCTGAACCCTCCGTTTACGTCGTTTTTTAGACGGCACCTCCTCCGCCTCTGGCTCCGCAACGAAGAGCTCGCGTGGAAGCTTCCCTCCGAACTCGAATCGGTGTGGCAGAAGATCTACTATACCTCGACGCCCGATACCGAGCGCTTCCCGCTGGAACCCGAGTTGCGCGGCTCGTCGACGCTGGGAGGGGCGAAGTACACGGTCGATAATAACTTAGACAAGTGACCTTTCCGCCAATCAATTACCTAAACTTCGTGACGGTGCATACGAGCAAGAATGCGTTTCAACCCCATGACTTTCGCGTGCTACTAATATGAATGCGGTTGCCCTACTGATTTCTTTGATTGACATCGATCCTTCCAAGCGTTTCCTGAGTCTTGTCGGGAAATCTTCTCGGGCAAGTCGAGGGTCACACACCCAGAGTCGACACCTCAGACGGACGACTTTTTTTATCTGCCTTCGAATATCCATATCGCCGTTCTGGCCGCTGAGGTGGCGTCTCGAGTGCGCAAGTATTTAACAGAGACGTCAAGCGGATTTCATAAGGAGCGGAAGATTCATCTAGTCCACTGATGGCAAGACGATAGAAGGGCAGGATATTTCTTGTCGAAAACCTATATGGTCCCTCGTACTAAAGCGATCCGACTAGAGGCAACATATGAACCCCGGCCTCGAAGATGTCTTCAGTGTCTTATTTAGGGATAAGGTGAGGCATTTCAGGTGTGCACTTTAGCGCCTCGCTGGAATACTTCTCTTACCCTCAAGTTCATTATAAGTTCGTGGAAAACTACTCTCACGTCCAGTGGCGGGAAGCCAAAACTTCTTCCACACCGCCATCGTAGTTGCATCCACGACGGTCCTAACCTGACGATGCATCAAGAGGTGCGTGCTCCACTTGAAGTCGAGTTGACGGGTCTTCAATGAATTGATGCCGATTCTTGCAGTTTGGTGCAGGTAGACTATGTGGCGGCCCAAGAGGTCGTTTGGGAACACCGTTTTCTTCTTTGTGTGCAGCCTGCTATGTGTACAAGGTGCGATTTCCCCATTATATTCTTCGATTTGTGCTCTTCGTATCTGATACTGGAATCCCTGGCATTCGAGTTGCCAATGCCCCACCAAGGGCCTAATTTAAAGGGTGGGTGAAGTAGTTAGCTTTTGAACGTCGATACTTTGGCATTGACACCACTTCAGAGGCTTAAAGCTTATACGTCGCCCAGGTCAACACCGACAAAGTTCACGGCGCACGTTCTTCCAGTCACTCTCCGCGTGACCTACGTAGCGAGTTCCAAATGAAGTAGTTCTTTCCGCATTTATATGGCGTTATGACAGATGAGCCGTTTAGGAGAAGAGGATGAATGGGACACTCATATCTTGAACACGACCTCAACCGAATTATGGCCCGGTATCGCTACGCTAATACCATAAGCAGTACGAGCTCTGACATGTTCGAACTTCGAAGATACTCATATGTATTGGCAAGGAATGATCCTCGTAAATCAATAAAGAACAACATTCTTCTCATATTGGCAAGCATCAACCCCCTTAAAGCTGGCGCAATTCCTGAAGAAACTAACTCGGAATTAGTGAGGTACTTGTGATATCTTCTCCTATGAAAGGCTCGTGGACTGTCAGCCCCGGCTGAAGGTTCGACAATCGCGCTCTCGCCCTCAAATTGAAGATCGTGCCCGTACGACGCATTCATGGAGTGAAATTCCACACGCACGACTCCCTCTCTCTCGGGGCAATCAAGGCTCGAGCATTGTGCGGTCGTGGAATCGGCCGCTTGCCTTAGATTTGATGGGTACCACAGGTCGTCGAGAATCTCTACCGCCGATATAGAAGCTGTATCAAACTCGTGTACGTCTCGTGCGATGAAGCTCCAGGGTTTCGTAATCCGAAGCACAGGAACCTGCTTCAAATAAGCCAATCGAGAAGCCTATCGGATTCAATGCGGTGGCCATCTTGACCATGGGGACCAAACGAGTCCAGAGGTTCAAATAGTTCCTTGTAGTTTCCTTCCTCTAACACCCACCATAGCTCTTAAGAGACGACCACCAAAGGATCAATACTCCATCTCGTCTATCTCAGCAATTCTTTCAGGGATGGAAGAACTCATCTCCATTTTTTGGGCCGCTCGAGAGCTAGTCAATAGGAATCTCGTCCTTATTGCGATCGCAAGCGTTATTTATTTGGTGGTGCTTTCCTATGCTAGAGGGGAAACACGCAAGGTGTGTGTGTGCTCAATCAGGTGTCTGGCATTGCTACGCTAACGCAGTCACGAAATTTGAGGCACATTCCAACCGTTGGGCATACCGCCGCCTTTCTTTCTTACCTCGGAGCGTTCAAATTTCTAGTTGACGCTCCGAATGTTATTGGAACTGGCATGGAGAAGGTGACATCCGCTAACGTTCCCCATATTCCCACCCTCTCGCTGACTCTTTTGCGCTCGTCGATTAGTTTCCCGATAGTATATTCAAGGTGGCGTCAATGTTTCGATGGATAGTGGTTATCAACAACCCCAAGGTCATCGATGAAGTCCGTGCTCTCCCAGACAGCGTCCTGTCTTCTCGCGAAGCCAACGAGGAGGTGCGTCAGATCCGCTTTTGAGCCCCATTCTCATGGCCATGTAACGCCACTTGGCTATGCGGACATCTGACGGCGTTCTTTGTCTAGATAGTTCAAACGCAATTCACCCTGGGAGAACATATTAGCAAGAACGGGTACCATGTTCCTGGCATCCGCACCCGGTTGACTCGGGAAATTCCCCGTCTCGTGCCCAGCATTTATGAGGAGGTCGTAGTTGGATTCAAGGACTTTATTCCACCAACAGATGGTGGGAATTTTCGGTGGCTCCACCGTTCATCACCTCTATGGGTTCCAAGTCATGTCCTTTTTCAGATTGGTCCAGCATCAAGGTTCTTGACACCATGATGAAGATCGTTGCGCGTGCCAGCAACCGCATATTCATCGGCGCTCCTCTTTGTGAGTCGCTTCATCGTACGAAGCAAGTCTACGCTCAATCTTAATGGAATTCTAGGCAGAGACCCAGACTACATCGATCTTAACGTCCAGTTTACAGTAGACGTTGTGAGGGCTGGTGAAATTCTCTGCATGGTGCCGCATGCACTTCGTCCGTGAGTGTTCTACTCCAATTTTCATACAGCTGAACACTCACGATCGGCCTCATTGTGATGTCTTCAGATTTGTCAACGCTTTATTTTCCAACGTTCCGAAGAGGATAGAATGCGTTCTGAAACACCTCGCACCTGTGTTTTCTGCGAGGAGGAAGGGGCGCGAAGAGATGGGAGATGATTATCCAGGAAAGCCGGTGGGTCCATAGTGCATATCATCAAACTCTTGGAAGTTGGCTGACTCAAGTACCCCCCTCCCTACAGCAGGACCTTCTATCATGGCTTATGGACGTAGCAAAGGGAAAAGAGACAACGGATTGGTATCTCACGTCAAGGATATTGACGGTCAACTTCTCGGCCATTCACACCTCGTCTATGGTAGGCCACAACACACTTTTCAAGCCTGCAATCCTTATAAACTTTTGTATACCTTAGGCCTTCACGCAGGCACTGTTTTACCTGGCAGTGTATCCAGATTACATGCAGCCTTTGCGCGAGGAAGTAGAGGATGTTATTAAGCGGTACGGCTGGTGTAGGGATGCACTGGACGAGATGCATCGCGTCGATAGCTTCATCAAGGAGTCGCAGAGACTGTGCCCGATAAGTATCCGTGCGTGTCGTTACTTCCATCTTTTATACGTTCATGCTCACCTACGCCCCCACCGGTCACCTCTTAGTGTTGTTGAACCGTATCCTCGTCAAGGACCACATCTTCTCTGATGGCACGATGCTGCCCAAGGGCACGGCCATCGCCGCCGCCACGCCAACCACCCACCTCAGCAGCAGCCGTTACGAAGACCCGCTCACATTTGACGGCTTCCGGTACGTCAAGCTGAAGGCCGGTCACATCGGAGCAGCAGGCACGGAGCGCAAGTTCGACATGGTGGGCGTGACAATCGACTCGTTGGGTTTCGGGCTTGGGCGCCACGCGTGCCCCGGGCGCTTCTTCGCTGCGAACGAGTTGAAGATAATGCTTGCCCAGGCAGTGGTTACGTATGATATAAAGTTGGTCGAAGAGGCACGGGGTGTTAGGCCGCCCGATCTGTGGGTGTCGATGGCGTGTGTGCCGAACCCGACGGCGCAGGTATTGTTTAGGAAGCGGGCAGCTGCTTGAGTACTGTTTATCCAACTAGAATATTCCCCCTTTATTTTTCCATTCACTTAAATCCTTTTGCACGATGCACCCCTCGAACTCGCCGTGCCCACCGATACTTACTCAGCAACGGAAAAATGTTGGAGGTTCACCGGAACCATCAAGCACTACATACTGTTTCAGTCTTCAGGCACTAATCAGCCCGACGGAAGTTGCGGGAAGTCGGAACAGACCTTCAGGCACGAGGGCGATATATTCCCTGCTCCTCTATTTAGCGCTCGCGGACGCCACATAAATACCTCAACAATTGCTTAATTTAGACTTGTCTCACCACGTGGTCTTTCGTCGATTAACCGCAATATTAATGTGCCGCCGCGCATTGTGTGGTGAGCAACTTATCAGCTAGAGAATTGCCCATATAATAACGAACCTGGCTAGCTACAGGATAAACCTCTCGAGATTCTACTAACATGCTTATATAAGACCTGCCATTCGAGCTCCTTCCGAGTCATGATGCTGATGTTGGGGGGTGGAAACAACGTTGAAATTTTTACATCAGGTGAAGACAAGAATTTCTAGCCTCAATACCACGACGTAATGCGCCGAGAGATTCTTGATCATACCACCAACCAGTTCCCGAGCGAGTCTGAAAGCATTCCCAACGGCTTCATGTCGACGCCATGATCCGGTGGGGTGCCTCAAGTCACTCAAGGCCGATGTCGGACTGAGAGATACTGTGCTTGTAATATTTATCCAGCGATCGAGCATATTCGACGAGGTATGTCAGGTTCGTTTCCCCAGAAGCAAGCTTGGGAGGTTTCAGCCACTATGGGGTTCAATCCACATGCACCATCCGTCGAAAGACCCAAAAATGGCATCTATAGCTGATCCATAGACGCCGTTTGCGCTGATTTTGCCGGTTTCCCATGTCACGAATGACGAAGACGAAATGATTATTTCGTCAGTGTAAGAATCTATTGCACACTCGATCGCATGATACAGACTTCACGATTCAGAGTGAAGGTATAGCTATTTGGGTTTATGAGTTCCTTGTACTACACCCGAGACGTTCTTTGTATGCCCAATTTAATCATCCTGGGTGATGTCAGCGGCCTGGCACAAATTTTCCCCTTTGGTTCCCTCCGAGGCGCTTCCTGCCCGTTGATCGGGCCTCTGGGAACTCTCTGAGAAGGGACCGACACCCTGTCCCGTTCGGGATGAAAGTTAATTGGAAGCGTACGCCGACCAAGAATAGTTTTAATATCCCATACGATCGCCAAGCCCTTCCCCGCCCTTGGAGCAAAACGTTCTGGATCAGCTTTTCGGGAAAGGTTTGCAATGATCAGAGGACACCGGTCCTCGGGATGAATATAGTCGCCGTTCGTGGTTATTCACTCGCTCTCCTTTCCCCGACCTCGTACAATTCAATCCCATCGTGGGTTTGACTCGACCTTACGGAAAGATTTTGAAATGGCACAGAAATCGGTGACTGCAGACGGCAGGCTGGATTGTTGCATATGCATATTTCGAAGACACCCTTGAATTGACGGCCCTCTGAGTAGGGTACGAGAATAGGCTATCAGTTCCATGAGTCAAGCTTGGCTCTTCAGATTTTCACACAAGTCGTGTAGGACTCGAGTCGCTACCAGATTACAGGACTCGGACCTCGGAGATGAGCGTTGAGATCTGAGAACTTACTTTCGGGTCGATTTGAAGGGAATTTGTGAGAATATACCTTCTTCTTATTCGTTAGAGCGGTCTGAAGCTTTGGATCCGATGCCACTATTGCAGGTAGCTGATGTAGAATAGACATTGCACTGATGGGCGGCATTCCGGGCCGGCTGCAGAATTCCATTGGCTGTCGCTGTCGCTAAGCTTTGCACACTACCACCATCGTCCGTGTGGCGATCTTCAGAGTTATTTCCTTTGCTATGACTTTCACCGACTGTCACCCTCGACAGAAGGTTGCTTCGATGATGTGCTTGTATGGTGCCGCGACCCTCATAATAACGCATCTTTATCGGAATGCCCTGGTACATTATTCTCGCGTTCAAGTTCAACATCATTGCTCACACAATTCACCGTTTCAGATACCTAATACATATTTACATTCGTACCACTGTTGCAAGATATCGGTGTAGGCGCTACGTATACGTGGACTTGACTTCCGAATCCGCCCGAAGCCTGCATTTGCAAAGAACTGCTTGCCTATCTCTCGAGGGAAGGTAAGAAATTTGCCATGGTAAGCCATGAGTATGGCTTACTAGATTCAATAGTTGATAGTCGGAGTAGGGGGAGTGGTAGGCTCGCTCGAGCTCAGACTCGCGCTCTGACTGGTCGGAATGAGATCACTCGGAGGCGCAAATAAAAGCGCACTCACGTCCAGGTGAGGGTGGTCGTCCTTTCAACCAAGAATGGCGACTGATTGACTATGGTGTGGAATATCTTCTCGACAGCAAGGACGTTGGTCGCCTAGGATAAAGCGTGAACGTGAGGAATAGCATCGGAGACAAGCTCGGGCCACAAACCGCAAGAGCAGCGAGGACTTGGGTGGTCACGATGACAAGACTCTTGAACAGCATGGCGATACACGTTCGAACGATGGGGAATCCACCAATCTTTCAAAAAAGCTTTATATCGAGCTTACCCCGGCAGACCCAGAGCGTTTTAGGTCATATTTGTGCGTGATATTCCTTCCATACTCGACCGGTATGTAATCTCCACCAGCTTCGACAGCTTTCCCGCAGCGTCGCGTGAACCCGCGAACTCAGATCTTCTTCGTTGGGATCCCCAAATGTCTCACAGCAGGCCCGCGACTGCCGTGATGGTCTTTAATGGGACTTCCTGATGTGCCTAGTTCGCCCAAATGCCTCCATACAATCAGGTCCACTCAGCAGTCTTTCGATTCCTGTCGAAATCTACATACGAATCTCCCACTTCTGCACGATTGCTTCGTGTTTCATTCATTCCCCCATGCCGGGGAACTCCTTCCTTTACCTCAGCGATTTTACCCGGCCACGTAGTTCCACGCCTCTCGTGGTCACAAGGAGCTCTGGCCTAACGAAACCGGCCATGGATTAGAAATTTTGAAGGCACTATCTTCCCCGGAAAGCCGTACAGGCGAGTATAAAACCTCTATTTCAATCTTGAAAATCCCAAGGCTCATACCCTTCTCTCAGACCCGACAATATGCTTTCTTTCGCCAGTCTTGTCAGACTGTTCGTCGTGACGAGCGCCTATGCTTCTGCAGCCGTAGGCCCCACTGCGAATATGTTCATTGCGAACAAGATCATTGCTCCTGATGGCTTTAATCGCTCGTGAGCTGTTCCTCTGCGCTCCTTGAGTAGAACGATACTGACTTCTTCTCGCTCAGCGCTGTTTTGGCTGGCGGCGCCGCGAACGACCTCACATTGCCCGGCCCATTAATTACCGGCTTCAAGGTCGGAAAATATATTGTTCATTCCTCCGTCACAGTATTAACTTCTCCATGGCAGGGTGATACCTTCCGGCTCAATGTCATTGACCGCTTAACCGATGCTACCATGTTGAGGACTACCTCGATTGTAAACTAAACATCTTCCCCCACATACCCAGTAAATGAACTGAAAATTTCGTAGCATTGGCACGGGTTCTTCCAGCGCGGAACCAGTTGGGCTGACGGTCCAATTGGAGTCACACAGTGCCCTATCACTCCCGGGAACTCTTTCTTGTATCAGTTCTCTTCCACCAACCAAGCGGGCACATTCTGGTATCATTCCCACCACTGTAAGCCGTCCTTGAACCCGTTTGTGACCCTGCTGTTAAACTTTCTTCGTCAGCCACACAATACTGCGACGGCCTCAGAGGAGCGTTGGTTGTCTATGACCGTCAGGACCCCCATAGGAGATTGTAAGAAGCCTTTCCACCGTATCAGGAAAATTAAACCCTTATCTCTCTCCATAGATATGACTTCGATGATGGTACGTGCCACGAGAAATAAGCTTTACGTTTTCTCACACATTATCGTTAGAGAGTACGGTTATTACTCTTACTGATTGGTACGATCATATCACAGGCATTGGAAAACAGAGCTGACACATTTATAGGTACCACGTTGTGGCACCGTCCGCGGGTCTTGTCCCCACACCTGATGCAACTTTGATCAACGGGATAGGACGTTACGCGGGTGGCCCGACTGTCCCTCTCGCGGTCATTCGGGTCTTGCCAAATAGACGCTACCGCTTCCGTCTCGCGTCAATCTCCTGTGATCCAAACTATACGTTCTCCATTGACGGGCACAATATGGTGATTCATGTGCTTCTCTCCCTTTCGGTCGCACTCACACTCTATTCCCAAGACCATCATCGAAGTCGACACTGTGAACACCGTCCCACTTGTGGTCGATTCTATCCAGATCTTCGCTGGGCAGCGCTATTCCTTTGTCCTGAACACCAACCGACCCGTCGCCAACTACTGGGTCCGCGCGGAACCAAACGTCGGCACCCAAGGTTTCGCCGGTGGGATCAATTCTGCCATTTTGAGATATTGGGGCGCACCTGCCGCTGATCCAAACACGACCTCGACGCTTAGTAATCCTATGCTGGAGACGAATTTGGTTCCGCTCTCAGGGGTCAGGGCACCTGGCGTCGGACAAGTTGGTGCCGCGGACGTCAACATCAACTTCGACATTGTATTCAACTTCACCGATCTGCGGTTCAGGGTCAATGGCGCGACTTTTGCTCCGCCGAGCGTTCCTGCTCTCCTGCAAATTATGAGCGGCGCGAGGACCCCCGCAGAATTGCTTCCGGCGGGCTCTGTTTATGTTCTGCCTCCCAACAAGGTGGTCGAGCTCTCCCTTCCTGGGGGGGCTGTTGGAAGCCCAGTATGTGCCAATGCTGATTTGTCTGGTCGTTCGCCCTGCTGACAAGAAATCATTCTGTAGCATCCCATCCACCTTCATGGAGTGAGTCAGATGAAATCCTGGGGAACACTGAGCAGGCCTCACTAGGACTTTTAGCACACCTTTGACGTTGTTCGTAGCGCCGGAAGCTCCGTCTACAACTACGCCAACCCGATCAAACGCGACGTGGTCAGCATTGGTGCCGCTGGCGACAATGTCACCATTCGTTTCAAAACGGACAATCCGGGACCTTGGATCATGCACTGGTGCGTCATCTGCGTAGATTGATCACACCGCCGCTTGCTTACATCTCACTTCATCAGCCACATTGACTGGCATCTTGAAATGTAAGCTACCGGCTCAACTTCCGCCCTGCCATGATCTAATCTCATTGCATTATTTCAGCGGCCTGTCAGTGGTGTTTGCCGAAGACGTTGACACACTGAGCCTAGCCAGTCCTCCTAGTAAGTCTATCACAGGAGAGACGCGCACCTGACACTGATCTTCTTTCATAACAGCCACCTGGAGCCAACTCTGCCCCATTTACGACGAGAGCGAACTTCCGTAAGCGCTGAAATGAGGCGTTCGTTGTCCGGGCACCCACCTCTCATTCTTCTCGTTACTCATCTTCGAATCTTCAAATGTAATCCAAAGTCTTATGTATTTCCCAACGGTCTCTTGTCTAAATCCCAAAGATGAATACAAATTATGTCTTCCCTTGTTCGAAAGCTAATCAGAATAGTAAGCGACGACTGGGTTGTGAAAACAAGGAACGCTCTGGGGAATTAATGACTAGGCTTTCCACGCACAGTCGCTTCCATTCTCGCAGAAGTACCTCTTGTACGCGTAATGCCTCAAGTACCCTAAAGCCGGTGTAAAGACCCAGGTATTGGATGATTCAAAGGGCTATCTCGAAAGAGACTTACGGGGAAGGTACTCTTCACACAGGCAGCTCCTGGGCCTAGAACATGATTCAACGGTTAAGCAAAATGAATTCCGGTACTCGTCATTTTTCTCAGGTATTGCCCGGTACACGCTCGCCGTCGATTTTGATGTAAATCCGGAGTACTTACGGAACGACAGATGTCAGGAACTCTTGGCTTTCAACAACGATGCTGCCTTCATCGGAGCGAAACATATGGCCAACGAATTGGGTATCCGATGTGGACTACAATTGCTCGGATATTCGCTCCGACGAACTTTGATGCGGAACAGACGAAATAATGCCATTTCTCGACCAACGTGGTCTCCTTCTGAAGTTCCTAATCGGGCCCAGGTTCAACGCTTCTCAGATGTGATCAACGGCAGCAGAAAACGCGAAGTGGGGGAATGGGGAACGATCGAAGTCGACACGCACAAAGGGTGCGAGAAGAGGGCTTATGTCAATCAGGCCGGTACAGTCCAGCAACCAGGGATCAGGGGACGTGTTCTGCCTTTCTCCCGCAATCGATTCGCACCGTGTGAACTACCACTAATCTCCGAGTAGAGAATACAATAATCTCCTTGCTAACGAAATATCATCTCGTGGTCTCAAGTAAATCCAATCTCATGACACGAGAGTGCGGTATTTTCTAAGAAAGGTCGTGGAGTTCTGATGGACATGAGGATCGCGAATTTCCTACTGCGGAGAACCGTAAAGTAACTTCTTATCTTTTTCGACGCCAAGTCTATGCATGATTTGACGATTGTAGAACGTCACAGGTCCTGGTGCAGGGAAAAAATAGCATATACACGGGAGGAACACACGCTCACCATTTCGGGCCGCCCCTTTCAGTCCTAGAATGATGACAAACTTATGTTACCAGACTGGATGTTCCCCTCATCAAGCGTTAGTCACTTCCCATCCTCGTCGACATGGTTGACATAAGGCTCTCATCCTTTCACCAAACAAGTCCATTTGGTCGCATGCTCGAGCCGAAGCTACTCCACATTACTCAGTGGCGGAGACGAACCTTCTTCGCGCACATGCACCCGAAGTCGACGACTGAAAATGATTCACGAATCTCCAAGGACCATATGCACATTGGAGCGCTCACTGCCTAAACAATTTAGTCTAGATGTTTACCCTCAATCTCGTCTTATAATTCTCGTTGGATTCGTTCTAGTAGCGATTAGCGGCTCGAATCCCTGTATCCGCATGGCGAGGTTGAAAAATAGCATAGAGTAGATGCAGGCAAAGCAAACGTCTGAACGGCGGACATGATATTGATAGAAAGAAAAAATATTATTTTTCACTCCTTCGTGAGCCCGTGGTGGGTGGATGTTTATTTTATCCGACTGGGCGTGATCCTTGGCGCCGCGTGAACGAGTGCGCCGCACTATCCACGTGGCTAGCGGATTCCAAATTTAGTAGCTCTTTGAACATTTATGTGGCGCTGACCAGTACAGCCAGAAGCCATCGATGCCGCATTCATGGGTCTCTTGCTTTCCTAGTCACCTCTTACGTTGGCGCTACAGATAAATGATGGGACGCCCATTGAGTCTGAGAGTGAATTTGGATTTTTCACATTCTGTTGTCACTACACGGTGCGATCGTTATTTCAGGCTCATTCCCGTGAGGCTGGCTCTACACGGATATTAAACCAGCTCTAATTACAGTTTATCCTCACGGAAAATTTACAATTGACGGAATGCGGGACACGACTCCTACGATAAATCTCAATCAATGTGAAGAGTTTTTTTCGACGCGAATGTCGGAAATTTCCAAATTGCCTTACAAGGAAGACGCCTTACCAAGGCATCACAAGAAGCCGAAAAGCCGTTTCGGCACCTTACAAGGCGGTTCAAGATAGGGGTGTTCAACAAAATCCTTTATTTTTCGGCGACTGTGAGGAATATTAGAGAAAAAACAGTACCAGAGGTATATGTCAGACGTACCTCACCTGTTTATACTGCTTTCAGAGCAGCAGGACGAATTTTTTATTGGCCTAACTAACTCTTGTAATGCGTTGTAAGGCAAATGTCTGCCGTCGCTAATAATGCCTTGTAAGGCATTTCGGAAATTTCTGACATAAGAGCACCTCTGTTGGTGAAGGTAACCACTGCGGTCACCGTCTTTCATGTTACTTCAAGAGTAGGCTGGATAAAAGTGTCGGCCAATGATTCAACACCTGGATTGGCTCGTAAACTGATACTTAACGTCAGTAATCATTGATACACGGCTCCCTTGAAGACTAGCAAAGCAATTCGACCTTAGGTTCTTTGAGGCATCACGATTCTGGCATATGTCGCACTGTGGTCCAAAGCCTTTCCGCTGATAACCTACTCGCTCTTCGCGTTGCAGATGGGACTGCTGCCAGCAATTTGCACGAGGTATGGCCGTCTCCTTCCGATCCATCTGATACGACGCGCCTCATTCATTTCACTACCCTCGGCGCGTTGTAAGCTGCTTCTCAATCCCCGGAGAGCAACAAATAGTGAGAGTGCGGAACGCATCACTGGAGTTTTGAATGGCAGCTTGGGATCGCTTACTTTTGCGCTGGCGAGACCTGAAGATGATACGTCTGAGATTTGTTGTATGTCCCGGACTCCTGCATTCTTGAACCAGACAATTTATATAAACAGAGCTGTTCAGATGTGCATCCAACCCTATCGGGGACGAGGGCCGCAGAGTGCTGGTAAATATTCAGTCGCAGAAGGAAACCGACTGCCCCTATGATTTCCGGGCCGCCGTGTCCGCTCTTTGATTAAATTCTCACGCTTGGTAATCCCCAACTTGAGCCAACCGTCATTTCTCCTCCAGTCCACCATATCTCCTATAGCCAAGCTTCAAAGCTTCAGGCCTTCAGGCCTCAGGCTTCATGTATCAAGTCCAAAGAGTCTTCACCAATTTTTGAGCATCCCAGAACCTTTCTACGCGAAGATGTTGGACCCATCATGCATCATGTCTGGCACCTCCCTAAGGCTCGCAGCGCAAGAGGTGGCTGTCGAAGGGTTACAAATCTACAGGATCTAATTTTTGCCAGATGCGATTTCATTGTATTCTTACGCGTCAGGTTTGCAGGTCGGCATGACTATGGCCGCAACTAGAGTGCAATTTGGTCAGTGGCGTGGTGAAAGTCCTTTGTTCTCCGTGAACAAGGCGCAGGGAAGGATTTACACGTACTAAGGTTCCTTTCAACCGTCATTTGGCCTCTCTCCGACTTCTTTATTTCTCGAGGTAAGTATCGCTTCTCGTTCGAGAATGTCCGATGACTGAATGCATGAAGTAGAACACCGATATGACGAAACACAGAACTCCCAAGTCCTCAGCAACTGGAAGACACGTATATGTGGCACAGTTCGACACAAGTATCATCAAAAAACTTCCGGTTGAGCTTCTTTCGATCGTCTTTGAACTGGCCGATGATGAGCCAGCCCGCTGCCCGGCCTCGGAAAATCCTTTTTTCGACTTTCGTCATCGCATTCTCGTCGTCCCCTCGATCTCCGACACCTTTCCCATCGAGCCATATGATTCCTCGACGCACCCGGAGACCCTCAGCCAGAACATCAGCAAGCCCCGTGATCAGCCCACATGGTTCCAGTCGAAGCGAAGCCTCGACGCGCCACCCTTGCCATATCAAGACCATCAGCGCAGTCGTCCGTTGCGTCCCCTCGTCATTTGATTATTTTTTATCATTCTTATTTATTTATGCGGAAGATTTTCTCTTATTCTTTATTCCTGCAGCCCGGTTCGGAGAAATACCTCACCGGTGCTCCTGTTTTTTGTAGATACAAAATGTCTGTACTTACTCTTTTCCAAAATAACACACAGTTCCTCGTCTCATTTGCCCACTCGGGGCACTCGTATCTCGTCCTCGCCTCTCGTACTCGTTGTCTCTCGCGTCTCAGCCTCGTTTCGACTCACCGCCTCGACCCGCAGTCACCTTGTTTTTCGATTTCGCCGTCATCGTCGTCCCATTCCCACGCTTAGCGCCCTCGTTCGTCGTCCCCGTCTTCGAGTCGCGCGCGCCCACTGGTGATGTGCCTACAGCGGGGTGATCGTGTGGATAAGGAAAAGAAGAAACACACACCCAAACACCGTAACGAGCGGCTCTGAGGTGCGAGGACGAGTTCCACGGCTGTGCGGCTCTAACCAGGGGGCTCGTACGACTCGAAGACGGACTACGAACGAGGGCGCTAAGCGTGGGAATGGGACGACGATGACGGCGAATTCGAAAGACAAGGTGACTGCGGGTTGAGGCGGCGAGTCGAAACGAGGCTGAGAGGCGAGAGACGACGAGTACGAGAGGTGAGGATGAGATACGAGTGCCCCGAGTGGGCAAATGAGACGAGGAACTGTGTGTTATTGCATAAAAGCACGAAATACAGAGGTTTTTATACTATGAAGAAAAAGGGAGACCGGCAGGGAGTGCGTTGCCGAACCGGGTTCAGGAATAAAGATAAAGAGAAATTTTATAAAACATGAATGAAGGAAAAAGAGAATAAGAGATGAAACGACGAGGCAAGGGGCAGGGGAGGTAGCAAGACTTGCCTCAAGCGGAAAGAGTGGCGCGCCGAGCGCCTTCGTGCACATGGAGAGAGCTGGTGATGGTCACGGGGATAGCTGTGCTTGCTGAGTGATCATTTGTGGCCTATTGAGTCGCTTGGGTGATTGTTATGACGCATCTACGAGGTGTCGGAGGTGTGGTGCCAGATCGCGATGACGAAGTGTTTGAAAGAGCCGTTTTGCGTGATTTCCGGGGTTAGAAGCAGAGCCGGCTCATCACTGGTTAGAGCCGCACAACCGGGAACCTGTCCTCGCACCTCAGAGCCACTCATTGCGGTGTTTTGGGTGTGTGTTAGTCATTCCTTATTCGCACGATCACCCCACCGTAGGCACATCACCGACCCGGCTTCTGATTTCGAGGCATGGAGGGCGAAGATGGCGGCAATAAAGTCCAGAGAAGAGGACTCCTTGAGAGCACTTTCTCCCCTTCTGGATAAACCGACGCCGCCACATACACGTTATCCCCACAATCTAGCTGCCGTCTGCCGACGTTGGAGGGCTATTCTCGGTGGCTTACCGCGTATCTGGGCAACACCCATCGTCTTCCTCAATGTAGACAGTCAAGAGACCCTTGCCAACTTGACTTTGTCTCTGATTCTCTCGAAGGATGTACCGTTGACAATTATCGTTGACCATGTCCTCGGCATGGACGGACGGGGAAACGCAGCTTACTATCGTCAGGAATATGCCCGCACTCGTCGTGTCTTCAACCTACTCAGGCCCCACCTCCACCGTTGCAGGAGTATCGACTTTCATACCCTCCGCGGATTATCTCTACCTTCTCCTTCCCAGGACTTGCCTCCCATTTCTTCAACTCTGCGCTCTCTATCGCTCAGATGCGAAGAGGATGATGAACACCCTGCCGACATCATTCTTGGACCCAAGCTCCCAGAAACTCCAGACACCGCGTGTTTGTCGCTCGAACTAGAGAATATCTGCCTCAGCGGGTATACGGTCATGGACGCGTGTAGGAACGCGCCGTACCTCTTCCAGTCTATTTTAGGCACTTTGACGCTCTCCAACTACAAGACGGAGGAGAACGAAGACGACGCTGAACTTGTCCCGCTCTTCCTGAAGGCACTATGCCTATCTCGAAGGAGCTTCAACTATCTCGAGATAACGGGTGTCTGCCTCCACTCGGTGTCTGCATTTCCAAACGCATTTGGTGAATCATCTCGTGCCAGGGCGTCTCGCATCACGTTAAAGAACCTCTGGTCCAACACGATGACCAACTTGTTCGATCATCTTTCCTTTCCGAACGCAGAAAGTATGGATATACGGGACTGTTTCCTCCCAAGAGCCGTGTCCAGGAGAATCAAGGATGTTCGGCGCCTCAGTTTCGACCGTCTCATTGGTGACGACGACCTGCTTGGAGCGCTGGAGGAGTGGAACGGCGATCGCCTCGTCATCAAGAATTACAACTACAACTTGGACGATGTTCTCATGCTTCTCGCCAAACGCAGGAAGGCTGGGACGTGTCAAGTTTCCGAGGTATCCCTATATAACTGTCCAAACTTCTCGCTGATGTCTTTGAGGGCACTGTGCGATTTGTTTCCGGCTATCCACGAGATCAGGGTAGCGGGCGCCAAACCTCCGTTTTCGGAGGAGGACAAGGGCTGGTGCCAGAAATATGATATGCATATGGTCCTTTGGATGGAGAACTTGGAGAACGAGGGAGAGCGAGGGTCATACGGTGCGTGTTCCTAACACGAGAAGAGTTGTTCGTTGATTGATGTCACTTGCCAGCACTTTGACGACTCCCGACTCCAACTGGTTGGGATGAAAGATGGTCAACAGTCACTCCACAAGGAAGTTTTGAAGTAGATTAAGTATTCCCAAGCTTAGATCTCAATGCCCTCTGCCTCATGCCAGGAAGCGTTTTCCGGAGTTCGCAGCGTGATTGAGGGGCGAACCTCGACAGGGGACGAGAGCAAAATCTCGAATCCATTCTGAATCGCCACGCATGAAATTTCTGGACTGCCTCTGCACTACACTACTCTTCGTCGTCGGAATAGCCCGATACGACATCAGTCATATCATCCCTATCTGCATAGTATGAGTTCCCTTCACTATCCATCATTTCATCCGCCCAGGAGATCATGTCAGGGTACCTTTCCTCGAACCACCGCCTGTCGTCCGTCCGAATCACTGGCCCTATGTCGTTCACACTAATGCTGTCCATACGGGAGTATTCACCCAAGTTGTCAGGAGTACGCGATTCGCACAACTCCTTCATCGCGTCGGCTGAAAACCTGGTGCAGCAGTTGAGCTCGAGCTCGTCCATAGATAAATCACCCATGCGCCGACGCCGAGCGAGCATGCGGAGGAGGCCGTTCAATGGCGGACCATGTGTGATCGAGAGGTGCCAGCCGTCCCACTCCGAGAGCATATCAGCAAGGTCGGGAAAGTTCGAAAGCTTTATGAGGAGGAGGGAGTCGACTGGACGGAATCTCGAGGCCCCGGGAGGAAGGGCACAGCGTTTGATGATCAGAATACCTGCATCATAAAAATCGACAAAATCTAAAATGTTGCGCATGGTTTCGTCGCCTAACGCGCTCAGCGTCGTACAACCCTGGAGTTGGAACGGTTCGCGAGGTGGCGCGTCGGGTTGCCAGAGCGGAAGGTCGATGTCGTGCACCACGATGTCGGCGCAAGATAGAGATAGAGCCTGGAGCAAGTAAGGGACTGTGTCAGCCGCTTTACTGTCTCTTGTCCGAAAATTGCGCAATGTGAGGGAATCTTGTGCTGCATGGATGAGTTCTGGGAAATTCCTGCAGGCATCAATAACGGTATACCCGCTGAGGGTGAGGCCTGATAAATCTGTGAGCTTGAAGTTCGCTTGGTTGGTGTCAGGAATGGGGGCGGGATCTCCACCGAATAGGAGGTCGCTTTGGTGTTGGAAGTCGTACTTGCATTTAAGGATCAGGTTTTGCAACATTGGCGAAACACTAGACAGGTCTTTCGACGGCGACGGCAGGGACATTCCAAACCTAGCTTCAAACGTGATATTTCTGCATCGAGGGAAATGCGGTCGTAAAGCTTCAATTACAGCGCGGCTTCGCCATGGCTCTTCATCGCGGTAGGGACTGATATCAGACCCCCATCGCGGCCATGAGAGGGAGTCGCCCCGCTTCTCTATCTTCCTGGTATAGTCGACCACCACTTCGAGCGGGACGTCCTGGGAGAGGCGAAGAGACATCTTCAGGTCCGCCAGAGTTTCATCGATGTCGTGGTCGAGGAACACAATGGGGTTATTCCACCTTTGGGGTGTTCCTGCAAGGACATCGTTCCAGCGCCGACAAACGCGGGCAAGATGGTGGGGGTACTGGGTAGGTGGGGGAGGGGGCTCTCGTTCGGGAGAGTTATGAGTGCCATCGTCGTTTTCCGCTTCGATGTGCGTAAGGTACTTCTTCCAGGTTCTGTACGCTGGCCGAGGATCGGCCAAGTCGAAGAGAATGTACAAGAGCTCGGTTGGAAACTTCATGATACTGGAAACCTTCTGCAAGGACGTTGCACTTGGCTGCTCCGTATAAGGTCACAACTTCGTTGAGTCGTTAACCGGGCTCATGTTGGAGATGGACACTGGGCAAAGAAAGGAACAGTTCTAAGAGCAGTCAGTCAAAATTTAGTTGCTTCTAGGCAACTATAGCGGACTTACAAGTGGTAGGGTTCGCTACACGAGGAGGGGCAAAATGGAGAGAAAGAGCAGAAGATGGTGAGGAAGTGGTGGTTAGGAGAAAACACTAGGACTTAGAGAATGAAAAGAACAAAGGCAATAAGCTTTGTTGAAAGTTGACGTCGAAGTCAAGCAATGCTTAAGACACCACGGGAGTGACAATCACGGCATTCATGTGCCGCAACGTGCCTAGAGTACTTATGGTACAAAGACTTGAGGGATGCCGCTGAATATCGACCCACAACGGAGGTTGCCCAGGGGTGATATTTGCCAAAAGATTAAGGCCGTTGAGGTCGTAATGGTCTCGCCTGAAGTGAATATCTGGACCGGCCACTATTCTTCGTCGGAATACGCGTTTCCCTCCCAGTCCATCATTTCATCCGTCCAGGAAATCATACGAGGATACCTCTCCTTGAACTACTGCCTTTCCTCCTTCAATATCACTGGCCCTATCCCAGTCACTTCGATGCTATACATGAGTGACATATCGCTCGGAGTCCGCGACTCGCACAGCGTCTTCATCGCGTCGATCGTGAACATGCCACAGCAGTCGAGCTCGAGCTCGTCCATGTAACAGTCGCCCCGGCGTCGACGCGACGCGAGCATGCGGAGGAGGTCATCCAGCGGATCTCCTTGCGTGATGGACAGATGCAGGCCATCCCATTCCAGGAGCATATCAGCAAGGTTGGCCTCGCAATTGGTGATTTCGTTGAGATGCAGGTAGTGGACGGCACCGATTCTGGAGGCTTCTTCCGGAAGAGGACACCGTTTGATGGTGAGATCTCCTGCGTGTTGAAAATCCACGAAGTCCAAGATATTGCACATTGTTTTGTATCTCAGATCGGTCAGTGTCGTTCGGTTTTGAATATAAAACGGTTCGTCGAGCAGGGCGTCGGGTTCCCAAAGGGGGAGGTCGATGTTGTACAGCGCGATCTCTCCTCGCCGGCGTCGCTCTCGCGACAGAGCCTTGAGGAAGTAAGGGACGATCTGTTCTGCTGTTTCTTCATCGCTTGCTATGAAGTCGCGCAGTGTCAATGTGCTCTGCGCTGCTTGAATGAGGTGCGGCGCATTCCTGCAAGCATCGATGATGGTATACCCGCTGAGATAGAGTTCGTTTAAATTCGTGAGCTTGCAGTCAGCACGGTCAGGGATGGGAGCGGGGTCTGCACCGAACAGGATATCGGTGGGATGGTGGAAGTCGTATTTGCATCTAAGGGTAAGGCTTCGCAATGTCGACGAAACACCGGACAGGTCTTTCGAAGGCGAAGGGAGGGACATCCCAAGCATCGTCTCGAACGTGATGTTTCTGCATCGCTGGAAATGCGGACTTAAAACTTTGATGACGGCACGGCTTCGCGACGGCTCTATGTCACAATAAGCATCGACCTCGGCCTTCTCTGTCTTCATCGTGTAGTCGACCACCAAGTCCAGCGGGAGGTCTTGAGAGAAGCGGAAAGACATCTTCAGGTCCGCCAACGTTTCCTCTAGGTCGTGATCAAGGAAAACGATGGGGTTAGCCCAGCGGCTCGGCAAGCCGGCGAGAATGTCGTTCCAGCGCTGGCAGACGCGGGCGAGATGGTGTGGGTAGTGGGTGGGTGCTGGAGGAGGCTCTCGTTCGGGAGTCCTGCAAGTGCCATACTCGTCGTTTTCGGCTTCGAGGTGCACAATGTACTTCTTCCATTCTCGGTATGCTGGTCGAGGATCGGACATGTCGAGGATGATGCAGAGGAGCTCGACTGGGAGCTTCATGACGGTGTTGGTCTTTTTGAAGGCTGCGGGTTGCATTGCATGAGTCGCCGACTTCTTTTCGTCACCAGAAGACATGTTGAAAATGAGTCGTTGTAGGATTTTGAACATTTGGAGTGGGAGTGAAAAGGAACGGAAAATTCTGGCACGTCGTTCAATTACCATCGCCGTGAAGAATATGAAAGACTTACGAGTCGTAGGACCAGCTACTGGAGAGGGCGAAAACTGAGAGACGAAGGAGAGAGCGAGGGGTCAAGTGGTGGTTAGAAGACAACCATAGGTTTGCCGATGACGAGAGCGAAAAGAACAAAAGCGATAGAAGTCGTTGAAAGTTGATGTCGCAGTCAAGCAACATCCGGAGAAAATCGGATCTCGGGCCGCGAGTATGTAGGAGCTATCGAAACATCTCAAAAACCATTTTGTTCGACCGAGCATACGAAGTCAAAATATGACGCTCTTTGTCTTCGACGTTACGAGAAAGCCGCCTCGAGAACCTTGAGGGGGTTAACCCAAGAGACAGGGCAGAGGCGTACCCAGATGAAAAGTGTATGTTGTGTAAAGCCTCAAAAATCTTCTGGACAGTCCAAACATGTTTCAAAGTGATGACCTGGGTCCTTCGCACTTAAACTCAAAAGCGCCGTGAACGCTCTCATACCCCGAGATTAGCCTTCAAGAGGCCGGGATCCTGAGTAGTTTGTTAGTATGAAAGACGGACCCAGGAAGGACTAACGGAAGATTACCTTCAGAATTCGACGGTAGTCTGACTAATTGTCATCCACTGGAGTTCTTTGTTACATAATGCGACTCCAGGTGCCGACGAGGATTGCCAACTGAGTCGTTGATTATGAGTGGCAGAAGGACGGTGTAGGAGGGGAAATAGGCCATTGTCAATGCAGTTCCAAGGGATAAACATTGTAATCCTAGAAGGGCGAACGAGAATCGATCATGTTGCACTCGGCCGAGGTCCCTCTTGAAGCCTTCGAAGATTGGTTAGCTCAGGAGGTCGGTCGGAAGATGACAGATGGTATTGACCCAGGGAGATAACCGCAACTCTCTGGTAGAGGACCTGTGTGAGTACAAAAGCCAGGTAGACGTACGCAGGGAAAGGCAACAAACGCACCTCATACACCAGCCAAAAAGACAATCGACCGCATCAACCAACGACACAATGTCTGGCCAGAAACTCAGCTTCGGACTCCTCATGCTGCCAGGCTTCCAGTGGCTTGACGCTGCCGGTCCCGTCGACTACATCAACAACCACTCGCAGGCCATGCTCCAGGCCATCGGTCTTCCCAAGGAGGACGTTGCCAAGGGCCGATCATCACCTGGCACTACATCTCCTTCGACCTCTCGCCCGTGCAAGCCACCTCGGGCCCACCCGTCAATCCCACCGCGACCTACGCGGACTGCCCTCCGCTCGACTACCTCCTTGTCCCCGGGCCCGACCCAAACGCACCGCTGCCCCCCGGCTGCGCCGAGTTCTTGAAGGAACGCTTCGAGGGGCTCAAGGGTCTCCTCACGGTCTGCACTGGCACCATGGCAGTCGCCCAAACAGGTCTTCTCGACGGCTACAAGGTGTGCACGAACAAGACCGCGCTGAAGACCGCACACTCGATGGGCCTGCTGAACAAGAATGTGCATTGGGTCGGGGACAGGCGTTGGATTGTGGATCGGAAGGTTTGGAGCGCGGCGGGAGTTACCGCAGGTATTGACCTTGGTGCAGAGTTTGCGAGGGTGAATTTCGACCCGATGGTGGTGGAGCTGACGAAGATGGTGGTGGAGTACAAGCCCAACCCAGATCAGCCGGATGACTTCGCCTACATCCTTGATGGAATTGACTACAACAATTAGTTAGATAAAAGTCAAAGTTTCGGCATGCATAAGTAGTCCGACTCACCAAGGCCCTTATATCTCGTTCGTCTTTTGCATCAGGAAGATGTATGTACAATATTACGAACTTCGAGATATTGGACGCCTTGTCAGAGGGCGTCACACTCGACTTTGTGTACTGCTTTCGGTACGATCTTCGGAGACTGCCGACTGAGTCCAAAGGTGGGTGATGGCTACGCACAGTCTAGGTCACGATAAGTCCGTAAAGCGGCAGTACGTCGGCAGACTGGCGATCAGCGCGACCAGCTGTCCCTGTCACGGCGTGGGAAGGAAGCAAGCCCCTCCCCGTTGTGAGACGATAACCCCCCTCAACACCAGTTGGATCAGGGTCCAAATGACGCTAGCTATAATATATGTCATGGAATCCTCGGTTGTCGAATTGGGAGTGACAAAAGACAAAGAGCGAAAAACTAGGTGTACACCTTTTGGCCTAGTGGTTCAATCGTGCTGATAGCTGCTTTATCGTGTGAAATCCCACAAAGTCAATGCTCTAAGTCATCGGTTCGATTCCTGAGACCTACAAATTCCCTTGCATAGAGTGGCACCACGTGAGTCGAAAGGAAGCTTTTGAAGACGGTTTCAAGCTCTTCATCTCTCCTTTTCCGCAGAGTTCGGGTGAGGCAACAATAACTCTTTCGACACGAGTCGCGCATTAACTCTCCTCGAAGAAAATGAACATCGGGTACAACCAGGGACCACGCAGTGCACGCACCTCGTTCTAGCAGGTCGCCCAACATAGGTATGGAATCTGTCGCGGACAGGCGTTCTTCAGAGTCGATGAGGTAACATGGGCCGCCCATATCTGAGGGTATCTAGTGTTGTCATCCGCTCTGGTATGTTCGCAGACGCCAATCCCAGTGCGCTCTCACCCAAATTCCTCAGACCGAAACCACTCCCGAACAGCAGTAACCGATTCTATAGAGTTTGATGGAATGAGGCGTTCACGAGGCTTCCTGACGTCCTCCCTGACGGCCATCCAGGCTCTTCTAGATGGGCAAGATCTGGATCACAAAATCGAAGGGCATTGGGAGAGCTTTGTGATGAATGAACTCCATCTGAATCCCGCTTTGAGGCGTCGGAGACAGGGCGCGCGAACAACACGGAAAATGCCGCCCGGCACCGGTCGCGGCACCGGGCACCCTTTGGGCACCACCCCTCTTCCTTTGCCTCGAACTTCAAGTAAATTTAGGCACAAGTGCCTACTAAGGTTGGCGGGACGTCCACGGCAGACTTTGCACTTCGACTTCGCGATCCTTTCCGGCTCTATCTCTCTCTCTTGCTCAACGTGCGTGTCGCATTCTCTCTTTCCAGACACCTTCGACGCCTTTCGTATTCTGACACATAGACTATAGTTAAAGCAAATAAAATGCGCGATCAATAAATGCGTCCAAAAGCAGGATAGGATAGAGGGCAGTACATAAAAGGGGTCGAGAAACAACCTGCAAACCCCAGGTGAACCCCTACTAACTGCGTAGGCAAACATCTAGTCTTAGTGACAGATCCTGCCGTATACGCCCGTGCTCGTATTCAAGGGCAGCTAGCGTGGGCAGCAAGTGGATCGTGGACAACGGTTACGGACGGCCGATGACAAAGTGATGGCATCAACGGCCAAACATCAAAGGAAAGTCTGCCGTGGACGTCCCGCCAACGCTACAGTGCACGAGGTATTGCTGAAACCTACTCCCTATGATACATTTTCCGCCCTTCGCCCTGGTGCAGCACAGGGGGCCTATTCTAGAGGACCAGCACTCCGCGTTATCGACCTCAGCACATCAGGATTATGCTTTCAGAAGCCCGTCGTAGAGCACTCTGGCACCTTGCATGGGAATCGACTTCGCGTCTCTTCTTCCGGCTTCTAAATCTTATAAAGTCTGGCCTTTTTTTGTCAACGAAAACTTAACCCCCACCCCAAATCTCAGCCTTCCCCAATGAATTTCATTACGCAGCCTATCATATTCGCCACTGGCCAATTCGCGACCCAGTGTATTCGCTTGGACTTGGTAGAAATACAAACGCCTGACGTTGGCCGGAAGTAGGTATGACTGAGGCGCATGTGAGTCAGCTGCACTGACTGGGAGTTTCGTCTAGACACACTCCGGGGAGCATTCGCAACCTGCTCGATCCCCCGCCTGTTGTTCGCCTCAGGCTCTTCGGCGTCGATGGGCATGGAACCTCCACTCAGGCAGAAACTGAATTGAACTACGAGTTGAGCGTACACGTTTATTACTGCTTTCTTTGTTGAATTTGATTCTATCACAAGCGCTATCCAGACGGCCGGATTAGTGCTCTCCGTCGACCTCCTCCACACCCAAGGCTCTGTAACACAGCTAGGAATTATTGCGCCCTTAAACCATGCAAGCTCCTTCGCCGGTGATGCCTACGTTCAACCCCTCCTCATCGACTATCAAGGCCGCAAAGATCTCTTGTTTACCATGGGTGTAGGTCCTTCCTTCCTCTCTTCGAAACTTACTCAAACGTTTAACGCACAGAATCTCGCGGTAAAGAGAGATGGGAATTTCTTCCTCCGATACCGACTCTGCGACCTCTTTTCTGCCCCAACAGTTCTTCAGAATGGCTTGAGTTTTGTTGCAGAGTGCCATGGAGTCCCTTTCAACGTCTATTCAGGACCAAGATTTCCTGGGTTCGCGGCTTCTACCGCGTTGACCAAGGTCGGTCTTTTTTTGGATACCATCGAGTGCCTCGATTTTATGCGTATTCAAGCATCTGGCTCGCGCTGGTGTGTCTGTCAGGATTCGCGTGCGCGATACAGTGCGTGCCGGTCTGGAAGGCGGAAATCAGCCCTCCGAAATGCCAGAATTTGTCGTGGAGTAAGTTCTTTTTTTCTGTCTCGCTTTCCGATGTTTGTACTGGCCTGTGTGCAGCTTGGTCCAACAGTTAAACTACAAATCAAATTTGGCTAAACTACGACGGTTCGTTTTGGATAATATTACTATCATGTCGAGGTACGGTGAATCAGAATGGCATATATATGAAATTTCGGCGTCTCCGTCTCCGTCTCCGTCCCTCCATAAATGCAACGTAAGTATTGCAGCCCGACAGATTATTACTTAAGTATCAAAACTTGAAGGCATGTAGAAGTCCGACGGTCATTTGGGGGCCGATTTAATTAAGTGGATATCAACCTAATGCTACAAAAGAATTTGGTCTGAACTACTATGTGCTGTCGGGACTGCTAAGCTCTCCTTGTATCTATCCTATCAATCTTGCCCGTAGGGGAATACCTGCGCACATCCAGTGCCGTTCATCCCCAGGAAAAAGAAATCGAGATTTCTGTTCAGCGCCTTGCGAAGGTCTCCCGTCGGGTTCGGGTAGAGTCCCTTGACGGTTATGTTGACGAAGTTCTCGTACAACAGGCAGAAAGTGGAAAAGTCGGCGGATGTTGGATCAAGGGTGTAGCTGTTGACCTCGCCAACATTGCCTCCAGGCTGGATAGGATGAGGCAAGAAGACTTGGTCCATTCCTTCTGCGCCTCGTGTCCCGTTTGCGCGGAAGAAACCCTCGGGCATACGGCTATGTTGGAAAAATCCGCGTGCAGCGTCCATATCCAACTGGCCGTCGTTCTTTCGTCCGTCGACAAAGAAATTGACAGGGAAGACGGACTCGGCGTAGGCGGTGTAATATCGAGGTGAAACCAAGGAGAATCGGGGATTGGTCGCGATCGAGTCTTGGATACGCTTGAAGCGGAGTTCTGCCGCAACCGTAAGGTTGTACTTTCCTCCTCCGAATCTGTTACTGAAGTCAACGAACTAAAAATTGTTAGTCCCTCTGAGCAACGCTATGTGGGAAACACCTCACCTGGTCGAAGAGCGTTTCATTGAAATCATGGTTGTTGCCGAAGAAATCGTCACCTGTACTTGATCAGCCATTAATTCGGGGTGGAAGGAAGAAATGCACCTCTAGTCATACTAGCGTCACCTAAATAAAAATGTGAGATACCGCGCGATGAATTGACAGATTTATCGTCACCTTCGAAAACCGCATGAGTATTGAGTCCACCGACAATAGCTGGGGCTGGAGGATCTGGCCCTGTGAGCGGGGTCTTGTGTCCAATGCTCAGCAAGTCCGTAATGAGGTTGCCGTCCACAAGATGAGCGCCGTACGTCACGAAGACTGCGAGTGTATTCTCCATGTTGAATCCTATTAACATATGTCAGGAATAAAGAAAAAACCAAGTATCACATTTCGAATCCTACCTTCCTGAACCGCGTTGATGATTTGTGCCGGGGTTGCAACACCATTTCTTGAGAGGTACTGTGAGGGAACTCATGTCAATTGGTTCAGGATGCGACGATGCTGTTTTACACACCCCATGAGATGCCAACGTATTAAGGCCAGGACAAGGCCCACGGATGTCCTCTGGTCGCAATGGTTGCCACGGGTGTGCCTCATCATTCACCAATTTGGCCGAGGTGTCCTCCAGAGGTCCAGGCGGTAATTCTGGCTCTTGATACTCGGAGTAGGAAGGATAGCGCCTAATTCTCGCTCGCTGAGGCCGGCCAACGAGGCATAGGTAGGAAACGCAATGACCCTCGCCGCGAACACCAGCGCTGGGAGAAGGGTGAGGTATTTCATGTTGTACTGGGCGGTATTTTGATGACTGCAAGCTGGCTTGGAATGAAGCTTTTATACATCAGAATAAATCTTACGTAGAGAATATTTGCCAGACACTCGCGTTGTCTGCGTGCTGGACGGCAAGCGAATGCGCCCATATGTACTGCGGACTGGTCGAAGGAGACGGTCAAAACAAGAGGCTATTACCGCTTCAACCAACGTTTTGGCTGCTCAACTAATCATATTTGGAAATTCTTGGCGCAAGAAGATCCATTAGGATAGTAGGCTATGAAATATCCTGTCGCTGATTGGTAAACTGGTCGCGGATGTATATCAGAATGGTGAGTAGTCGAGGCGATCCGGAGGCTACAGCCACCAGCGCGCCGACGGCAAGCTGCGCACGCACGCACGCAAGGCTCCCACGTTTACGTAGACCTGGGCACTCCGACGTCGAATGACCGGTAGCTGTGCAACGTCGGTAGCCGGTGCGTACGGCATTGAATTTTCAAGCCTTAACGGGGCGGAGCATTCGTACAACGCACACACTGCTTTCGCTGCGGCTCATGAGAGGTCAGCGAAATAGCTGTTTCACGCCATTGCGTCTACTAACAACTATCGCATGGTTCCTTGCAAGTAGTGGGTGCCGATCCACGAGCGGCTGATGCCCCTTCCCCATGGCCCATTCTTCGGGAGGCTGTCTTCGGATGCTGCTACTGTACTAGTAAACGATGTTCACAGCCCCATACACTGTAGATAGTATGGAGATTCCATGATATATTATGCAGCTACTGGTACAGGGATACTTTACATGCTGACTTCCAAAGAATTGTATTCCGAACTGTTTACACTAACTCTTGGCAGAACCCGCTGCATATGCGGATAAGAATTGCAACCTAGCCGGGTGAAGACGTGTGCTAAATTTATACTGGAGATCTGACGTATGTTCAGTTAACATCTAGCCTCAAATTTATTTCTTTGCGCTACCATTTAATGGGTGAAGCTCCAGAAGAAAGGAAAGGAAAGGACTTACGCACGGGCGCTTATAATTGGTTCCGAATTACCATGATAGGTACCGTGACTCCAAGTCACGCTACATAGCGCTTAACCGAAGTTCGGTTGTACCCCGCAAGCCATAGGCTTCACAGGAAGAAATCGAACATACACTTCCTTACTGAGAGAACCGGGGCTGATCATTGGCAAGGTACTTTCCACCATGAGCATTCTGCGTTGCCTGCAAGTTTGGTGCGATCCGGGCTCCGGGATAAGACAGGTGATCGGATGATGTATACGGAGGTGCAGACTAAACAGAATTGATATATTCGATTGCTATCGTTGTCAGTGCGCACTTTCCGAAGGCCGCATGACCGTACACGCTCTACACTGACAATCCTGAACAAGTTCGACGCCTACAAGGTGGCGGAGTGTCCTCTTATCGTCCGGCCCTAAAAGACAGGCCGACTTTTTCGAGGTGAAGGTCTTTTCACTCATGGCGCGATTCAGGCGTCTGCGAACCTGAGAATGAGAAAAAGCACGCAAGGGAGCGCCAATAGATCTCACTCACACAAGCAAAGGGTTCAAGGAATTCAAACCATGAGTTTTCTCCGTGTTTGGCTGCATGAGCGACTTTGCAGCTGCGAGGAAGTCGTCTGGACGAACACCAACGGTCGAAGCGGATATGCATGCGCCCATATAGCAGAATCTCACTAACACGGAACACGAAGTAGAGTAGTCCGATTCGTCCTGGTATTTGCGATGGTCGCTCCATAGCTGGGAGAGGCGGTCGAGCATTTGCGCCTGGCGCTCGGGCGGCTCCACGACGAAGTTGAGGATACGCAAGCCGCCATGTACCGGTACGTTGGCCACTTGGTCGAAAGACAACTGCCTGCAGACAACGATGGCCATGTCTGCTTCATCGAGGGGGTGGATGATAACTTGTGCGCTAAGCACGTACATCTTTTGGACGTCGAGAGGGACAGGGTAGACAGGAATAAGTGCCGATGAAACGGCAATTTGCAGGTGTTTGAGCTGTTCCGCGTCGTTTTGCACGCGAACGAGGTACTTGCGGATAAAGTGGAGTTGTGCCTCGGGCGGGGAACAATTTTCTCGATGGTCCTTCCTGTGCTATCCGTCAGACGAACGATATCCTAAGTAAGTGCTCGATTGCCACTCACCAATCCTTTTTCTGGCATTGTCGGGGAAGAGGCTTCAAAATTATTGCGACTGTGATGCAATAGCACAATAAAAGACCTCTCGCGAACAATACAGCCTAGATTTGCACTTTGATTATCCTCTTAGGCCGAGTGAAGCGATTGAGTTGTGATGAACTCACTCTAGCACATTTCTGGAGTGACCCCTCTTGTCCTAGTTGGTTGGCGTAATAGCTGGAGCAATAGCTGCATCTTAAGAACTGATTGCCTTTCTCTGTGTGGCGCTGCGCATTAGCGCGACCCTCCTGCGATGTGGCAGACATACGACGCACTAGTAGATCAAGTGGACGAAAGGGTGGGAAGGATCATGGTTTTCGACGTTGGACTTAAGAAAGAGGCAGAAAGAGGCCCTGATGATGGTCCAGTCTGAAACTTGCTTACAGTCATCCACCGGCCAATGAGACACCACCGGCTAATGATACACCTCGGAACACCATGAAGGATTCAACTGTTTGCTTTGAAAAAATAACCCCATTCTCTATAAGTCTTTAATACATTGTGTATAAAATTTTGTGGGTTCTGGTGAAGTCAATGCCCGGTAATAAAATCACCAAAATATTCATTTTGGTTGATTTTGTCACACCAGTCACTGGTACAGCATCTCTGGCTGTTTCTGCTCACGTTTGGTTGATTTTATGGCATACAACTGGTATAAATTTATTTTAATGGCTCTATTACACTGATTCCAAGTGGTTTTATGAGAATCCATGGGCTGGTTGAGTTCTGGGATCAAATTTAAATTTCAGTGTATCAAATGATGGTGGATGACTGTACATAATTACCTGAACGTAGCTTCGTCGTGGATTTGTCTCAGCTCCCTTACCCATCTTATCGCAGCCAACGAATAATCGACGAAAGGAAGACGGACTACGGGTGTTCTCAGTTCGTATAGTTATTTAACGACTACTTATTGAATTCGTACAAATGCTAACGTGTCTGCCGCGTCTTTTCAGTTGTTGTAGTCGATTCCATTTAGGATGGCTGTGAAGTCGTCCGGCTGATCAGGGTTTGGCGTGTACTCCGACACGGTCTTCGTCAATTCCACCAACATCGGGTCGAAATTTACCCTTGCAAACTCTGCACCAAGGTCGATACCCGCCGTGACTCCCGCCGCACTCCAAACCTTCCTATCCACAATCCAACGCCTATCCCCAACCCAATGCACCTTCTTGTTCAGCAGCCCCAATGAATGGACCGTCTTGAGGCCGAACTTGCTCGTGCACACTTTATACCCGTCGAAGAGCCCAGTCTGCGCCACCGCCATGCTGCCAGTGCACACCGTGAGGAGGCCCTTAAGCCCCTCGAAACGTTCCTTCAAAAACTCGGCGCAGCCAGGGGGCAGCGGTGCCCTTGGATCGGGCCCCGGGACGATGAGGTAGTCGAGCGGGGGACAGTCAGTGTAGGTCGTAGAGGGGTTGAGGGTTGGGCCCGAGGTGGCTTGCACGGGCGAGAGGTCGAAGGAGATATAGTGCCAGGTGATGATCGGCCCTCTGGCAACGTCCTCCTTGGGAAGACCGATGGCCTGGAGCATGGCCTGCGAGTGGTTGTTGATGTAGTCGACGGGACCTGCAGCGTCGAGCCACTGGAAGCTGGGCAGCAGAAGGAGTCCGAAGCTGAGGTTCTGGCTGGACATGGCCATCGTTGGTTGGTGTTGGTGATTGGTTTTTTGGCTGGTGTATGAAGTGCGTTTATTGCTTTTCCCTGCGTAAATCTACCTGGCCTTTGTACTCACACAAGTCTCCCACTAGAGAGTCGTGTCTATCTCCCTGGGCCAATAGCATCTGTCATCTTCCGATCGTCTCGCTTGCCTCTTCGATTTTTGAATCCTCCCAGATGAAATTAGTCACCCCGCAGCATGAACGATTTTCTCGTCTCGTTCGACCTTCAAGGGAGTCAATTCATCGCCCGGTCCTGCATTGATCGCAGTCCATCGCCCTTCCTCTAACCTCCTTCCGCAGTCCAGAATCAACGGCTCTGTCTGACGAGTATCGTCGGCACCTGCAGTTGCGAATACCCGATAAGGATCTAGTGGATGATCAGTGCTTCGAATTTGAATGGTGGTTGTTCCATTTAACGTTACCTAGCTTTCTCTGGGTCCGTTCTTACAAACAAAGTATTCAGGATTCCGTCGTCTTGAAGCTAGTCTCCTCGTGTATGTGCGTTAACTGCTTTGAAACACCGTGAAGCTTCTCTCAACATGCATCTCATCCAGTTACATCGTCGCTCTGTCGTCCGTGCAGTTGATCAATGATCATCCTGTGTAACGTGCTCGAAGCAAGTATGTCTCTTGTCAGTTTCCACCAAGAGTCCCCTGCGAGGCCTCAATGATAATCGTTTCTGTAGAGTGTAGCGACACTTTTCAACTTCGTAAGAGGCGCCGATCTTACGCTTAGCCCGTCATTACAGGATGAGCTATCGAGGCAATCCCCACGACTTCAAGCTGCAAGGACTGTCAATTCGCGGCCCGACATCCGACTGCCTCCACGATGTCTTTGACTTCTGCTTGACGTCGAGGCTGACTTTCAACAAAGCCGTTTGCCTTTGTTCTTTTCTTCGGGGCTTCAGCTTCATCACCGGCCAGCCTATTGTTTTCTCCTAACCACTCACCGCTCTCTCCTCCCGTTCGCATACCCTCTCGTAGCAGGTCCTACGACTCGTAAGTCCGCGGTATTTGCCTCGAAACGTTATTAATCAACCACTGCTCGAAGTTTCCTATTCTGCCACCTTCCTTTAACGATCTCCAACATGGGCTCTGCCAACGATAGAGAGCTGCCACTCGATGCAAAACACCCAAGTGCTACACCCTTGGAGAAGATCTCAAGTGCGATTCCCTCCGACAAGACCCCCAGCGTCATGAAGCTTCCAGCCGAACTTCTGTACACCATCTTCGACATGGCCGACCCTCGGCCCGCCTACAGCGACTGGAAGAAGTACATCACGCACCTGGAAGCCGAACAAGACGACTGTGGCGCTCACGATCCTCCTGACCGGGACCCCCCTCCATCACCAACCCATTATCCTCACCATCTCGCTCATGTTTGTCGGCGCTGGAACGCTGTCCTCGCCGGGTCTCCGGGCCGCTGGACAAACCCCGTCATTTTCTTGGACCACAACCTTGAGGAAACGCTGGCGGACCTGGAGATGTCTCTCCGCTTATCTCAAGACCTCCCGCTGGACGTGGTGGTCGACTACACGATGAAGATGGAGAAGGCTGATATCGAAGCATACTGTTACGATGAGCCGTCACGAAGCCGTGCCGTCATCGAGGCTTTGCGTCCGCATTTCGAGCGATGCAGAAGCATCACGTTCGAGACGATGCTCGGGATGTCCCTCCCGTCTCCCTCGAGAGACTTGTCCGGTGTTTCGTCGATCTTGAGAGGTCTTACACTTAAATGCAGATACGACTCTGAACACCCCACCGATATCTTGTTCGGTCCAGACCCTGTGCTAGGTTCTAACCTTGCTAGCGGCCGGCTTACGGACTTGGGCGACATGTACCTCTGCGGGTACACTGTCATCGATGCTTGCAGGAACGCCCCGCACCTCGTCCAAGCGGCGAAAGGCACACTCACGCTACGCAACTTTCAAGCGAGAGACGGAGAAACGGCGGAAGACATGGCCCCTTACTTCCTCGAGGTTTTGTCCCTCTCGCAGGTCCAGCGGGAAGAGATCGTGCTGTACGACATCGACCTTCCGCTCTGGGAACCTAAGGTCGCCTTACTCTCCCAATCGTTTTCTATCCGAAACTTTACGACATTGATCGACCTGAGCTATAACACCATGCGCAACATCTTGGAGTTCGTAGATTTTCGGGACGCATGGGATCTCACCATCAAACGGTGCCCCCTTCCGGAAGAGGGCGCCGAATTGGGCCCTGTCCATTACCTGCACCTCAACGACATCGCTGGCTGCGAGTATAACCTCGCCGATATGCTCCTGGAGTGGGACGGCCTGCACCTGTCCATAACGAACGGAGGGGAGCTGGACGACGTGCTCCGCATGCTCGCCAGGCGTCGCCGTCGGGGCGACTGTTACATGGACGAGCTCGAGCTTAGCTACTGCAACAAGTTCTCGGTCGATGCGACGAAGAAGTTGTGCAGGTCACGGACGCCTGGCGGTGCGAAGCTAATGTCGCAGATGCATAGCATCCAAGTGACGGGGATTGGCCCAGTGATAACGAGGGAAGAGAGACAGTGGTTCAAGGAGAAGTACCCTGGCACGATAACTTGGACGAATGAGATGATGGACGAGGGGGGGAATTCGTATCATCCGGATAGCGACGAGTCGTCGATCTTTGGAGCGGGCGATCCTGATGAAGAATAGCGTTGTTCAGCGCCGGTCGATCCACGCGAGGCGATTATGGAGCCACGTGTCGACATAGATATCTCTCGTTGAAGGATCTTCGACTGTAAGCACAAATCACTCATAAATCTCATCCATTGCGAGCGAGATTCAATTAAGCGCCGGTAGCGTGACATGTCATAGAACTTCCTCCCATAGGCTTTATGAGACAAAAAACAAAATATGTAAGCATGTTTCAGACTGGAACATCGGACTTCGCCTCCGCTCCTCCAGCGTCGGGGGTCTCCTTCTCCTTTCATCCGCCTTTATCTTCCGCCTATGCCTCCCATTTGGAAGGAAGATCCTGCTCCTACGAAACAACACACAGACCAGAGCAGCAACTTTGGGTTCTTAGGATGTAGCTATTGCCGCTACTACGCCCGCCAAGCAGGACGCGCCGATGAGTCCTCGCTGCGGAAATGTGGTAGAGTGAGTTCTTAGCAGCTCGTTCACTTGTTTCATATGGCCTGAAATATTTTCAATTAAGTGCAAATCCAAGCTTTACTGCTCACGAGAGGTATGTTGCTTGAGCCGTCATTAATTTCGCGGCAACCTTGTTGAATCCTCGGTAGTGCCAGAAGAAAGATTGGTAAATGACGACCGCGCATTCGTGATATTACTTACCTGACAGAGAGAGCAGGGCATCCCACCGAGAGAATTGTTTCCCATCCGAGGCGCAGGCCAATTACGTCCGCAAGTATCTCCTTCGCGTTCAAAACGACGTGCAACAGCTCCTCCAACTCCAAGTTGCCATTGCGTCGGAGCTTCTTCTCGTCTATAATGCTCCTCTCGACACGCGGAAGATATACGTTATTAGGTCACAAGTTATTCTCTATCCCGACGAATCCGACATGGAAGTCGTCGCCTCCCGGGACCTCTCTCTCGAACAAGTGGCCGAGATACCTGTCCACGGTGGTTTAGGGCTCCTGAATATCGTTGTGGAGCCGCCCGAGCGTCATACGCAGACACTCGACCCCCGCATCTCCCAGCAATGGAGCGACCATCGCAAACGCCAGGACGATTTGGGCTACTCTGCGTCGTGTTCCGTGTTGGTGAAGTTCTTCTATAAGGGTGGGTTCGTATCCGTTTCAACCGTTGGTATCCGCCGGAAGAATTTCGCGCGGCCGCCGAATTGCACGTCCAACCGAGCCCAGAGAAAACGCGGAGCTTAGATTCTCTGAATCCTTTGCTAACGTGAGTGGTGCTCATCTCCACCCGCTCTACATTCCTCACCTCATCCCGTTTGTCGCACCCGTCATTTTGATCAGTTGCGAGAAGTTTTTTTACTCAATGGTGTTTGTTGCCCTCGTCGAAGTCGCCTTTATTCATTGTATGTGTTCAATATCAGGGCATTGGTAGTGAACGATTAGATAACCAAATCTTCAGGTACTCTTGTACTATGCACACACTGTGGGCAGCCGACGCTCCTAAAAAACCCGCGTCGGAATAGCACTGATATCGACGGTATCTTGTATGCACCGTAAACTACCGCCTGTTTTAGCCTTGTTTTAACCTGCAATACAACCGGAGTATTAGGGGTTTCAGGCACCGAAAAAAAGTGGAAACACGTGGCAAAAACCCCAAATTTCGGCGCCTATTGCAGATTTTTTCGTGGCAGTCAGGCAGGCATTTTGGGCGCCTACACCCTGCTGCTATTTTCATCGGTCTCATAGGCAGTCATAGTCCTGGAGCTCAAAGCAGTTGTATTTGTAGTCAAATATTACATCTGTACATAGTATCTGAGGCTCCCCACTGACTGCTGAGTTCCGTCGCACCCGTGTCGAGCTCGCGGCGAACCGCTCTATTCATCAAAGGCCTGGGGAAAGCGGGGCACATGACGAGTGATTTATTGAACGGGACAACAATTAATTCATACCTAGCAGCTGTGGATGACGTAACTGGCGTTTCTGAGCTTGAGAAAGGTCTGGACGACATCGGGTCAGCATTTGTGTACAGCGAGAAGCAGCGGAATGAAACATACTATCGCTAGGGATTCCACATTTGCCACGACTATGGTTGATAAGGAATCAGTGTGCAAGAGTCAATTGAAGGCATAGATGTACCGGACAAGCCAGTACGTAGGCCGTCGTGATCCTCTGCTCGCAGTGGCTCTATGGAGCACTGGCGGTCCCTATAGAGCTCTTGATAACCGGGGGTCCTCCTGCGATCTTCCAATGCGAATGAGACTGAAACCCGGCGCCCCTCACTGAGTGTAATGGGAGCATGAGCGCGCACTAGATGTTGGTACAAATTACTGATCAAATCAGTACCAACACAAGGGGGTGACGGAGGGTGCGTACCTTGACACCTCCTTCATCAACGACGTAGACGCCAAGTTTCGGGCTGTGGTGCAGGTTAGCAATATTTGCGATGTCGAACCAAGCACACGAACAGATTTTGAATCCTGTAGACACGTCAACAAAATGCACTCTCAAAAGTCGATGAGCTCAGGAACAACGTACCTGCCTCACAAGAGCCACCCATGGTATCATTTGCTCCTTCTCGCAACTGGTCTTCACAGGAATAATGCTGTGAGTGAGTACATAACAGCAAAACCAAAGGTGAGCTTACCTTCACCTGGCGCTGTCTATAACCACCTTCGCTTTCGATGTGGTTTCTATACCATGCATGTGCCCTACGGCTTCAGGAGCCATCCCTGCCAGTTGTGCATATGCCAATGATGCCGCGCTGAAAGTTAGAGAGGGCTGGTACTCAAGAGTAGCTTCAACTTGCCAGAGATGGGGCCACAGTGGACAAATTGTGGATGAGTAGACTCCAGGCCATAGAAATCCAAAATATGAGCATAAATGAACGCATATATTGAATAAGAGGCCATACTTACAGCACCAGCATCACTTCTAGACACGCTCAGGCTCCAGCGGCGATCCGATTCGTGATCGGCCAGATTGGAGGGCGGAATTAGTTCGTTCGGGTATTCCATCTAGTTTTGAGGTAGTTATATGGCCGTGCCCACAGATAGAAGATCAGGCGTGGGGAGGGGGTGGTTGGGGTGCAAGCTGCGGAGGACACGTTGCGGCTCAAAATGGGACGCATACTGTCATGTGCTCAATGTTGCTTGGCATCGTCTTCTTCCCCACTTTGTTTGGACGCCTATTGGAACAAACAAAATCTCACTTTGTTTGGACACCTATTGGAACAAACAAGACGATGCCAAACACTAGTCGAACTGACCCCGTCCCTTGTCGGCATGCCAAGCTTTCCACGTTTGCGCTACCACCGCCGATGCTGCCCATTCGCCGGTGCTGGTGTGTACTCTTCTCCTCTGTGTGTATCCACAAGTAGCTAATTAAAGTGTCACAATTCCAGAGTCGTATTCGGTGCCTGGACTCATACCCCAATGAGCTGTTCAACCAGGTGCAGCTCAACGACCAACAGTCTCGCATTGACGAATGCCACCCGCTCTTGCAGGATCAGCTACATGAACTCCTTCACACTACCCTGACAACAATGGCCAAGCGTGGCTTGACAACTGGCAGACAATGGCGTGAGAGAAGGGTTTCGCAGAGGTGATTAGGCCCATCTTTTCACGAGAAAACTACAAGCTAATCATGCCATTTGCCCACATCGGACTCAACTGCAACCTCAACCTACCCACCTTCTCTCTATCGTTCCACTGCCCCTCTGTCCTAGGACTGCTCCACCACCATCAACATGACAACATGATGGGAGGGAGCTTATCAACACACAAAGGTATCACCCATGGCAAATGACAAGGTGTATTACAGCGCATATACAAAGCTTGAAGGTTGTGAACGTAGGCATATTTTTGGTGTATTGTTGAGCTATTTTTTCGATTCTCAATGTGAGGATGAGGACAGTTGGAGGGAATAACTATGGAAGGCAAGATGGTGTTAGAGCAGCAATAAATTCCATTATTTTAGCTGGATTTTATTTGCAGAGATAGCTAAGTGCCAGAATGACTACCTCGTAGGGCATAGGCAGGCAATTCACCGAAAGAAGCCATAACCCAGGATTTTACCTGCCCTCCGTAGCAGGGAAATAGATGGTTGGACCCATACCAGGAGATTTTAGGTATTTTTGGATATGGGTTAATTCCCGGTCGCCGGAAAACACCGGAAATACCTGCCTTTTGGAGGCAGGACGACCGAAAGCAGGGAATTTCATGTATTTTTAGATACAACTTATTTACCGGCTACTGAAAATCCCCGGAATTCCCTGCCTTTTTGGGGCAGGACTCCCCGAAGCAGGTATTTCCCCAGCTCCGGCTTCCCACAGTGCACACATGCGCTATGCCAGAAGAGATCACTCTTATTTTTTCTGATCCTCCTTAGTGCACTGACCTTCACCATGCATTTCACCTCTTGGGCTATTTTTTTCCCAATGTGCAAAGGCAGTGAGTGCAACCATCTGTACTGTTGGGTCTATGGATCTCACCAGCAGCTACTTAAGTAAAAAATAAAATGATAAAGGAGCTCACTGCTCTAGGCTGCCTCACAACTTGCACAGCTGGTGATAACTTAAACTTGCGCATCATGCTCACCACTTCATGGGTCCCGCTCTTTGTGCTTGAATCAGGTGAGAAATTAATATTGTCACTGGTTAACACAAATGTTACTTCAACGGAGTTTCCGTTTCGTGACCTTCGCGCTCACCGTGTGGAAATCCTATCAATCCTGCAAGTCTTGGTCAATGTGTAACTTTCAATGTGCTGATTACTTATATGTTATATTTGGCAGTGACGCCATATAGTCTGACTTGGACTAAATGGGTGATCAGGACTCTCTTGAGAGACCGTAGGTTTCTTTCATTTTATGCAACAATAGAGCGAACTAACCACCATATGTTGCAATACCCTGACGGCGCTCGGAAGGCTTGGCTTATTACATCGGTTAGTGAGACCATGCAGTGGAACGGGGCAGAACCGACACTTTCCTACAGTTCTTCTGGGTATACTTTAAAGTATAAACGGCGTCGATCTATCAGACTAAGTTGTAGACCTCCAGGCAACACTGGCCTTCGTTTTTTCAGTATATGGGGTGGTCTTCCGGTCACGTCATATATGGTCATTGCCATTCTAAAGGGTCTTCAGCCTGCAATTTGTTCCAGGTGCGATTCTCTTACCATCGAACTCCAAAATTTATTTCTGAGCGCCAACTTCGCTGACACTCAACTTTATTCAACTTATAGGCTGTTGCTCGACTTACGCAGTCTTGGGAAAGGCGAGGACTCCCAGATGAGGGGTGCCAGGAATTCCACTGCGGCAACAGGACCGATTGCCTTTGTGCAACCAAAGTCCGAATCTGAGCAGACGGAGCAGACTTCTACCCAAACGGCTTAGTATATTTAGTGTTCGTTCTGTTGCAAACGTGATTGCTCTTATTATGAACCGACAAACCGTTAACGCGTCAACGGTCTGAGTGGCCCACCAATTTCTTTTTATCACGCTATTTCTCTTTCTCTGGGCTTTGCCTTTTGTGAATATCTATTCCTTGCGAATTACGTATGTATGCATGTATCCTGGACAGTCTCACCTCAAGGCCTCAAGGCCTTACTTTTACCGACTATGCCTTGGTTATGCCGCGGTCTCTTATGTCACTCCCTATTCAGGAAAAAAAAAATCCTAGACCTTTCTCGTCGTTTAGACCGACTTCGCTACCATTTGGAAGCTGGGGGATATCAAATCGCGTGTAGGGGTGGTTGGCGCTTATGACCGGCGAACGGCCCGGATTTTTCACATGGCTCTACGATCCTGGCAAGGTGGCAACGACTCCACCGCCTACCACTACTTTATCATCGCCACCACCATTTACTTACCATTCAAATTTCCATAACACTTATTCTTTGAACGGCCTCTCCTCTACTGGACGAATACAATTATGTTCCTCCAGGCTACTTCTGAACAGACTTTCGGTAAGTTTATTTCTTGACTATGTACCTGAGGCAATAACAATCATTTCATCTTCAGTTGTTGTAGTCGATACCGTCGAGGATGTATGCGAACTCGTCTGGCTGATCAGGGTTTGCCTTGTACTCCACTACCCCCTTCACGAACTCTACCAACTTCGGGTCGAAATTCACCCTCACGAACTCTGCACCGAGGTCAAGACCCGCCGTGACGCCTGCCGCGCTCCAGACCTTCCTATCCACGATCCAGCGCCTATCACCGACCCACGTCACCTTCTTGTTTGCCAAGCCCGCCGCATGGAGGGCTTTGAGCGCGAACTTGTTCGTGCACACCTTGTACCCGTCGAGGAGCCCTGTTGTTGCAACCACCACACTCCCAGTGCAGACCGTGAGGAGGCCCTTGAACCCCTCGAAGCGCTCCTTCAAGAATTCGGCACAGACTGGAGGAAGAGGGACCGTCGGATCGGGTCCAGGAACGACGAGATAGTCGAGCGGAGGGCAGTCCGCGTAGGTCGCGGTGGGGAGGAGGGGTGGGCCAGAGGAGGCTTGTATGGGTGAGAGGTTGACGGAGATGTAGTGCCAGGTGATGACCGGCGCCTTCTCGACGAGCTCTTGGGGAAGTCCAAGGGAGGTAAGGGCCTGAACGCTCGCGTGCGAGTGGCTGTTGATGAGGTCGACGGGACCGGCGGCGTCGAGCCATTGGAATTGGCCCGGGATGAGAAGACCGAAGCTGAGGTTCTGTCCAGGCATTGGCGGTCTCTGGTTTCTTTGCTTTTTCCCTAGTGTGTGACTTCGAGGGTGCGTTGCAAGGTTGTCCTCTCGTGCACCAATCTGATCTGACTTTTATATTCGCGCAGGTTTGCCCGGAACCCCATGCCGCATTGAGAAGTTGATCGATTCATGATATCAACGGATATTGCAGTCCATTGGGAGACCAAGGCTGTATCACTTTCCTACTATCTCCAACAAGCCTCAAGCTAGCACCTGCACCGTCTGTATTGTCTGATATCATCTAAAATCTGCCAATAAGGACGACGAACATGCAATTTCGAAGATCTTCTTCGTCGGTTAGGCTTCGGTCCGTTCTTTCCTTGTCTCCTCTGTCATCAGTGATCACGCCCAAGTACTTACTCAATGCCCTCAATGTTTCGTTCTATTCTCGCCTACATCAATGATGCACGTACGTCAACTGCCTGTGCCCGCTCCAGCGCGAAGAGCCAAGCGTTCTCTGTAGGCACAGGAACGTGGTAGAAGTCGAGTGGCTCGGTACGCCTCCTTCCGACTCCGCAGCAAGTACGAACCAGAAATTCCTAAGTAGCCTCGTCTCTCCGTCCTGGACTTCCCAGCGCCATTCAGGTGCTACCATTCGTCTATGGTGGATCCCTACCTGTGCTTCCAACATCGTCGTAGCCGGGCGGGGGTCCAGAGGGCGGGATCTGTGCCACGAAGCTCTCGAAGGTCGCGCGCCTGAACTCATACAGTTCCTTCCGGAGCGTGGCGACCGAGTTTGCTTCATTTACCAATTCGTGGCGTGCTTCGTTGGCGCGTCGGCGTGCAGCATCTCGTTCCTCCGTGAGCTGTTGGGTGTGGGTTGACACGTCGGTCAACGTTTGCTTGATTTGCACTGTGGGATTCGTGGATTCATGATCAACCCCTCATTTCCAGCAACGGAGAAGGAGGAGCCTTACTGTACCTCGCAAGCTCTGGGAAGATGTTATCGAAGAGGATGTCACCTGTCGTGGACCTACAGAAGCTACCTCGAGGGAATGTGCTGGACAAAGGAACTCCGCACTTACCCCCCCGCGATGTATACTCTTCTAATGGATTTCACAGCACGAGAGGCTCTTTTGGCCTCCTCGACAAACCTTTCCGACTGTATCACACATCCACGAGCGTTATTCAAAGCGTGGCGCTCCAAAGCATGGCGCTCCGTCGTGCTGACTAGGGACTAGCGTCGGCGTTCCAGTAACGAAATCATGCAGACCTGTCTTCATCCCGCGCCTCTACTGGCGGCTTTTGTGGCTGACGTAGAGCCTCCTGCACGTAGCCATGGCAGCTCCCCATGCAGACCGCTGCCCGTCCGAGGAGCTCTTCGGCACGGCTTTCTGATTTCACTTGCTTCTGTAGATCCTCGCGTCGCCTGATAGCAGTGTTGAGAGCGTCTTCGATGCCGTCGTCCTCGGGAAACTCTTTGTTCCAAATGAGATAGGTTCAGGAATGACGTAGAAAAGAGGATTGTGTACCTTCCGTCTGGCCATCGAAGATGCTGTGGTAGAGAACCTGCAGCGCAGTCTTTGCCGAGTCGTACAGCGTCTGTTTCTCCGTCAGGTCGGCCATCTTTGCTCTCGCTTCGTCAAGAAGCTTGCTGGTTTGATTCTGGTTCTCTCGCTCGTTCATCTCGCGTTCCAAAGCCTCGACGTACGCCCTGTAGCACACCATCAAGCCTTGAATTTTGCTCCCCAAGAACACGTACAACTCACCACTCTTCCTCACTCTCTTTCTTCTCCTTATTCCCTTTCAAGAACGCTGCGAACCGCTTGGCCGTCGAGTCCCTAAGCGCCTCGTGTTCCTTCCTTGCGTTCTTCGTCTGCTCTGCGAGCTCTCCTATCGACATCTTTCCTGCGGCCAACTGCCATTTGAGATCCTTGATGTACACTGCCTGGCGCTGGCGCTCGGTGGCGACGTTTGCTAACGATGCTATGGTCGCGAGAAGGTCAGCGTGGTATGAAGCGTTAGTGACCATGGCCTCTTTCGCGTCCATTATTTGTATTTTTTTAAAATCGAGCGGTACTTGAAGAGGAGGGGTGCTTCAGAGAGCGTCGTTGTCCTGGGGAAGTTCAAGGAGGTGAGTTGGTCACCAAGAAGACAACGAAAGCGAGTTATAAGGAAGTTAAAGCTGTGGGCTAAGAGAGCCTGAGGCTGTTGGTAACTATCATGAATTAATTTTACCTGATATAGATGAAAATGGGGGTGATGCAAAGGGGTGGCTGTGGGGAGGCGGACTTTCGCCAAGCCAATTGGGATTTGGATGAACACACTCGAGAATCGCAGTAGAGACGACGAACTCGTGACTTACATGGAAGTAGCGCTTGTTGCATTGCATAACGAATTTTTTGTGGTATCAGAGAGCAAATGAGACGGCGGTTTGGGATATGAGTGCGCAAAACGTTTGCTCAGTGGGGCAGTGCTTGTCAACACTCGGAGCACAACTACGAGAAACCCGAATTGTCGACACGTTCGTCGATGGAGTACGGAAATAGAAGACGCGTGTATTCAAGTACGAAAACTTTCGGAATCCTTGAGGAATGTAATGCCCCCCTCACGTAACTGGGCGCTTACTCGGAGTTGGGATCACGTCAAACTGAGGATGTAAGCGCTGGCGTGGGAAATTAAACGCGAATCGCGGAGGCACGTGCACCAGATTCCTTTCATTCTTGCGCTGAACCTGCTACAAGCCTGTTGCCTTCACGATAGTTTGAAAGCTATAAGTTCGTGTATTTTGTCATTTTTCTTGTTCAAACCCTGATTTCTGATTATTCAAGGCGATGCATTTACCTTCACTCGTGCCTGGCGCAGAGACGTGCTATATCGCTGGGCTTCCGGTGGAGATCGTTTCGAAGATCTTTAATCTGGCCGATCCACGACCAGCGTACCACACATGGAGGGACACCAAGCAGGAGAGAGATGAAGAAAATGGCGACTTCTCTATCCAGGACGTTCCACCACCGCCACCAACCCCCCTCCACCACCTCACCCGGGTATGCAAACGTTGGCAGACTATCCTCGCATGTAGACCACGCTCTTGGACCGATATTATCGTCCTTCTCGATCGCGATATTCATGAAACTTGCGCCGATCTGAAGCTATCGCTCAGGTTTTCAGATGATCTTCCATTGAATCTCACCGTGGATCACCCGAGGACCATCGGAAGGATCGACGGCTATCTCAAGATGGAGAAATTCAACACAGCGGCGATTGTCGATCTGCTAAAGCCCCACCTAAATCGGTGCCAGCGTATCCAATTCAGTACAGTGAATGGGTCGTCCTTGCCTTCCCCCTCACAGGATCTCAAGTTTAGTTCGTCAACGCTGGAATATCTGGCCCTCCAATGCATGCTCGATGACAAGCACCCAACCGACATCCCTTTTGAAAATGGCCCAGCTCAATCTTCGGATGCCGACGAGTTCAAGCTTACGAACCTCAATGAACTGCACCTCAGCGGGTATACAGTTATCGACGCGTGCAGGAACGCGCCCCATCTAATACAGGCCGCGAAGATCGCGTTGAAGCTCAAACACTACAGCTCACGGCACGGGAGGACGAGCGGGCAGAAGAGACGGTCCCTTTCTTCCTCAGAGCTCTCGCTCTCAATCCTCCTCCGCTAGACGATTTCGAGTTTTGTCTGGGCCGTGACGCGACTTTGCTATCTGACATCCACCTTCCGTATTTGCAGCCAGGGGCCGGGTTGGAAGAGGAGTTTACCATCACAAGTGCCATGGATCTCGTTGATCTTGGGCACGACACCATGCGCGACCTCCTGAACTATGTCGACTTTTCTGATGTGGGGTGCTTGTCCATCAAGAAATGCCCTCTTCCTCTTGACTCGGCTCGAATCGGGTCGGTTGATTATCTCTTCCTCGAAGACTTGGAGGGCGATTTGCAGGATTTCCTCCAAGAGTGGGATGGCATCGGTTTGTCACTCAAGTGGCAGTGGCAGTCCCTAGATGAGGTGCTCCTGCTGCTCGCGGCGCGGCGCCAAGCGGGGGACTCCCATATGGACGAGCTCACACTCCATTGCTGTACGAATTTTTCGGTCGAGGCGATGAAGCTGCTATGCCAGTCGCGCACTCCTGACGAGGATTTTGGATTCAGGGTGAGGTCCTCGATGGCGAAGATCAGCGTCGAAGGAGTTGGGCCGGTCATTTCGGACGAAGAAAGATGCTGGTTCAAGGAGACCTTCCCATCAGTGGTCCAATGGACGAAGGATATGATGGATGAGGCTGGGCACTCATATGTGGCAGGCACGGACGATTTAGTACCCACAAGGGAACTCCCGCACGGGGTGCTGGCTAGCGAACTTGATGAGTCGAGGTGATTGAAGGGAATGCTTCGTTCACACAGCCGGAACAAAACATTTTTTTTTTCCAAAAAACTTCAAACAGTCCTTAAATAACCTATTAACAATTGATGCGTAGTTTGGGCAATGTAAACTAAGGGGAAAGCATTTTAAGAACTCTCCACGGATTTTATGAGACAAAGAGGCGCTAACAAAGATTCAACATGTTTTCCTCCTTGAGGCGGATGACATAATGTGAAGGCAAGGGGTTTGGTCAGAAGACAAAGGGAAAGAGGTGCAGAACATTTTATATCTCAGTGAATAGTTGACAACATTTGAAATATAGATCATCGTCGCTGTCTTGTGGCATCCACTCACTAATATTTTGCCTTCCTTTCCCACGTTTTTGAGCATGAGAAGGATGTTCTGAATACTTAATAGGTAGAACAACGACCTATACAAAATTTTGGGACAAAAAACTCTCTTGATGCCTGCTGTGTCAAGTGGAGTTTTTGATAGGTGAACTATATTCAAAATTTAAATGCACAAACTTTTGGCTCTGGCATCTTTTATAACCTCCAATGCGCCCTTATTAGATCAGCTCCTCGTTCACCGAACACGTACGCAGGAGCTTGGGTATGAGCCGCTGGGACGATAGGCTAAGGTAGAGCACGAATCGATCAGCTTTTTGATGAAACTTTCTCTTGAAGCACGAAAAACTCACGATGACCGACGCGTCGACAATTCTCAGCCCCACCGCACCCTTGACACGCAAATCCGGATCGACAACACCCCAATCCGCGCCGCGTGGGGACATTGACGCCGTCCCGACAGGATGGAATATAGTGCTCCCAAGGCGACTTATGTACGCGTCCAGCTCCTCGTCCGTCGTCGCCGGGTTGCTACGCGAGAGGATATAGTCTGACCAGGCGGGCCCGTCGATGAAGCGCCGAGCGGACCGGATGGCCTCTCGCATGGTGTACCTATCGAAGTCGGTACCGAGAAGGTTAGGGTTGATTAGAGGGGGGTCGAAGGGGTTTGTCGAGTTAATTGTAATGGAGCCACCTAAAATATGTTTAATTTATTGTGTGATTTATAGGATGAAAGACGTACGTGAGGTCGGCGTTAAAACAACATTGCTTACAGCAAGGAAATTGTCTGTTTCCGGGAAGGGAGGAAGCGTGATGCCATTCTGTACAGCACACTAATCAGCGTCGAAGGTTCATACCAAAGAGATTGTCTTACAGCAATAAGGAATTCATAGTGGCCAGTATTTGGACCAGGCGCCGGGTCAGGGTGTTGCTGGAAGATAGGCGCGTCGGGCTTCAACCGCAACCACGCAATGAAGTTGGTCGTCGTTAGGACAAGCAACCCTTGCTTTATCGTCGCCCAAAGGTTATTCTGCTCCTCTGCATATGTCGCGTTCCTGTGGTACTTCTCGAACGTGTCCGTCGAGTTGACAGTCCAGCGCTCTGGCACTAGGGGGTGGTCCGAGAGGTTGCGGCCGACCGAAGGAAGGTGGAGAGTAGAAGCGATGCCGATGCTCGCCAATTCGTCTTTGTCGCCTATTCCCGAGTTTAGAAGGATGTGGGGTGTACCAACGCTGCCTGCAGACAGGACAACTTCGCGACGCGCTGTGACGCGGACGGTTGTCCCCCCAGCGCCATCTGTGAATTCGACAGTCTTGAACGTCGGCTTGCCACCGGTGTTCTTGGAACTGATAACGCGCGCAACTTGAGCGTGGAGAAGGACGTGAAGGTTGGGGCGGCGGATGTAACGTGGGGCAAGATAGGATACGGCTGAGCTGCTCCTCTGACCATTTCCGATGGTAGCTTGTGTGAAGCCTGCCAACGGAGCATTTAAAGCTCGTCAATTCCACACGGGCTGACTGAGACTTACCCATGCCGATGTTATTTCCTGAATTGTAGTCGACATTGTAGGGGAACTCGTCCGGGAGGTCGCGCGTCGTTTGCAGGACGCGGTCGGTTATGGGAAGCCGATGTCCAGGGAGACTGACCGAGTTCACACCGTTGAGGCCATGATGAGAGGAGTCAAATTCTCCAGTCGTGTTGTGGCCGTCTGCAGGTGGAGTCCACCTTTCGTTCTGTTGAAGTTGAGTAGAGGAAGAGGCACTGGAGAAAGATCTTCACTTTTCGAAAGTACCGCTGGAGAGCGTTCCAGCTCCAGCCTTTGTCCCCTGTCAGCTCTGCATATCTGTCGTAGTCATCGGAGGTCCCGCGACTGTAGATCATAAAATCTAATACATAGTCGTGAATCGACGCGTAAAATTCACGATACAGCGAGACTCACTGATGGAGCTGCTACCACCCAGAACATGCCCTCTCTTGTACGCAACTGATCGACCACCTAGTCCTGGCTGAGGCGTCGTCGTGAAGTTCCAGTCATAGGGTGTCAAAGGAGACAAGAGCGGACAGAAGAACGGAATAGAGATGTTGAGGACTCCCTCATGTCTGCCAAATGTCAATCACAATTCAGACGAAGGCTTTCGAATACGTACGAGCCACCCGCCTCCAAAACGAGGACAGAAACCTTCGGGTTCTCCGTTAGACGGTTGGCGACAACATTTCCAGCGGTTCCTCCTGCGCACATCGAGCGTCAATGAGTCTTCCAACAGCCATCTTTATGGCTACTCACCGCCCACCACTACGAAATCGTACTCCAGTGTCTTCAGATCCCCAGCGCTCGAGAGGATTTCCCCCGCTGCGAACTGTGCCAACGCGCCAAGCGCGAGAGCGACGAAGCCCCAGCAGCTCTTCATGATCAAGGAACGAGGAAATTCACGTCTGGTCGCTGCCAGGAGTGCCTGTATTTAACATGTTCATCAACCATATCCTAAACGGAGGCCAGGAACTCGCGACATTTTTGCATGGCATAGGACACAAGGTGGCTGATGGCGTGCGACTTGCGGATGGACACAAGGCGATTTGCTTCCGGCTGGCCATCAAATCCACCCCGCTCCGTCTTCCCCGGAGTACTGACGTCGATTTCGAGTCCTTAGCCAGCGGCTATGTTTCGTAACTTCTGTCGAATTGTCTTCACTCAGTGCGAGGTACTTTGATAATGTATGGGTATTTTTGGACCAAGAGCTCTGGTTCCGAGTTAAATGTTTTCTTGTTGTGACATGCCAGGGCCGTTGGCGAACTTTATTCACCGAGCAAAGTCTCCCAGGGAACATGGACACACAGTGGCGCATGGCGGGTATTCTTGAAATTAGCGGGTAGAGTCTTGACTTCTCATCTTGTTAGGGGTTCCTCCTTTAGGCATTCGCCACCTTGAAGGGGCACAGTTTCTTGCGAGAAATGTAGTGCTATTGTCTGTATTTCTGATCCATCTGGCGCCATCCTCGAGGTACGACGCTTCTCAGCTGACGGCTATCCAAGTTTCAATTTTCTGGACTCGCCGAGTTGCGCGGGATATTAGTCGCTCGAAAGGCGAGAAGTTGAGTGAGGTCAAATGTTGTCGGAATCACTATGGATCATGTAGGCTGAGTTTATGTGCCCCCTCGCTCCGTCTTTGAAAATGTACTTGCTGCGGTTGGATCCTGAACGGGGTGTCCCATCAAATGGGTGAAAGAATGCTACAAGCGCTCGTGTCGGAAGATGCCGAATGGGCCGTGTTTCAGAGTTCGATGGCGATCGTAAACAAGCGCCCACGTCAAGAACACCAGAAGACTTTGAGAAGACCATAATTCAAGTGGCAGAATTCTCCTCTGGAGAGAAGCACCAGATTGAGAATGCATCCGACCATCTGGGCACTCTGGCGTCTTCGTCTTGGAATGACAAGGCTCTGACGCCGATCCCGAGGCGCCCGGGCGATGGGACCCTGCATGCCCGGGTTTTTGAACGGAAGCGATTGCAGCATTTTGGCAGGTGGATGTGCATTGGTATGCCTCTGGGAGAGCCTTCGGGGATACTTAATCAAATTTTGCCATGAAACCATTTTTACGAGCGAAGTGCAACTGACGGGATGGTCCAAAAACGACACAACACTGTGTCGCATCTCACCTCAAAGGCGTCTGAGCGTCGACATAGAAGCCGAAGATGCGACACAGTGTCGCATCTTCGGCCGCAATCTTATCTACGTGATTATCTGCCAACGCCTTAGCTAACTCTTCGTTGTATTATAAGAATGTACTCTACTCTAAGGACTCAATACGAAGTCCTCTAGTTCATATCTAAGCCTCCGGGGTGATTTTTCAAGAAGTTCTTCAGGATATGGCCGTCTCAGCCGTTGACCGGTGGAAGGTTGTCTAAGAAGTATTGTGGGTTGAGTGCGCCATGAGAATACTCACCGGCGGACATCCAATGCTTGAGATTAGATCGACTTCCTGCATGAAACATTCCCACTCATCCAGGTTCGACTTGAGGTCGGATTCGACATTCGTTCGGATGTTCGTTTCGCGAACTTTTTCGGCCACAGTGGTCGAACGGCGGACGTGGCGAGATAGACGGTGTTGAAGCGTGCCACGCGTCTGAGAGCCATCGCCGCTCGTCATCTACCTCCATCTTACTTTCCTCCACTGTAGTACCCGCCTCGCCTTCCTCATCTGAGTCGAGGATTTCTATCACGCTGGATGTCGCATATTTTGATGTCGCCAGCGGTGTCTGGGTGCATCAATTCGATGTCGAACTGCTCTGGCTTCGGCTTAGGGGTGTTCTCGAGAGATTTTGACGTGACAAACGTGGTGCTGGCAGCGTCTTCCCCATGTTTAATGCATTTTACAGGTGCATTTTCGTCGGACCACTGCTGCAAATGGCCTATGTTGACCCAGTCGGTGTTCAGAAAGGTGTCAGGGTGCGCTTGGATCCACGCGGGTGAAAAACTGATTGGTTGGCCGGACATTAGTATTGGCGCCGACGGAAGCACCGAAACGTACGTGATCACGGAACTCATTGAGCAAACGAGCGGGCACGGAATCGAGGAAGTCGCTGGACGATAGGTCTGAGGTCGCGGATTTCGGGGCCATGGTGGTGGTTGGGGGAAGAAATGCACGATGACTGGATCCCCCCCTCCTGGCCCTTTTTCTTGGTGGACAGCGGCCTCCTCCTGCAGCATGCACGGTGCCTCCTGTGGCACGGCACTGAGGAGCACGGAAAACAATTATATATTTCCTCTCAAAAATTAATTACGGATAACTTCTGTAAACATCACTCGACACTGTATCGTAGAAGGTATATACCCTGCAACTGACGAGTTCAATTAAAGGAATCAATCTCTCCTCCTCTTCGTTCCTTCCCTCCTCCAATTCTCGTCGGATGTCAGAACTCAGGTGTGTCATACACGAGGTACGTGATAGGTAAAGAAAATTCTAGGCAGCCTGGATAAGGCGGGAAGGCTGGATTGCGAGATGGACCTGAGCAACGCCAGAAGCGGGACGCACAACTTGAAGTTTTCCCCGTCCGACCTACAGACACCGACTAATATTGACACGATGTTAGTCTCCCGCAGCCAGCCTGACTGTCACTTTTGTGAACGCTTTTTCTTTCGCGTCGACTCCGGCAGGAGGCGAAACCAAGGTCGAAATAAAAGTCTCTTGCTCGACCTTGGAATGGCGAAGAATTACAAGGTTGAGAGAAACGCGTGCCAGGCGTGAAGTCGGCCCGGGTCCGCACGCTGCAGATGAATCGATGGCCCGAGTACGGCGAGGACCACTGGAGCCCTCAACAAATCGAAATCGAAAATAGGCAGAAGGCGGGAACACGCTGTTGGTGCCTACTCTCATGAGGTCAATGAGGAGAAATAGGGGTCCTGATTACCTGATTGAGGATTTTGCATGTGACTGAGGTTATGTGCCTGGAGAGGGGACCAACCAGTTTTCTTTCTTGCACTGCTGTCATCTTGCGCCAGAAAGCGCTTGTTTAAGCTGTTGCCCTTGGGTGAGTTAGTCAGGCTCTGGAGAAAGCGGTAGTAAGGGCTAATCAACGCACCACCAGCCATGGAGACGCAGATACAAAACATATCTAACGTCCCAAATTATTCCGAAAAGTCCTCAGTTCCAAGTCGCGGCCATATATCGCAGCTCCCAGTCGAACTTCTGTCCCATATTTTTGAGGCCTCAAGTCCTGCCTATGGGCTGCCTCGGGCTATACCATCCTCGGGCGACAAGAAGGAACATGGCTTCGATCTGCCGTTCCATTATCCCTACAACATCGCCAACGTCTGTCAACTTTGGCGCGAAGTACTTTCCGCTTGTCCCGGGTACTGGACCAGTCCCACCATCGTCTTAGACACAAATTTTCAGAGAGGCCTCGCCGATTTGAAGCTGTTCCTCGGATGGTCAGAGGATCTCCCGCTGCAAGTAACCGTCAGGCGTTCGGAGCAGCAAGAACCAACGACGAAGGGTCAAGAGTCCGAGCCGTTGTTGGGATCCTGAAGCCCCATATTCATCGGTGTTGCTACCTCGAATTCGACGTTCTTCGCGGGTCGTCCCTGCCTTCCGTCCTCGGAGATTTGTCCTCCATCAGCACCATACTGAAGACTCTCATCCTTTCCTGTCGACTCGATGACGAGCATCCGGAAAACCTGTTCGACGGCGCAAGGTCACCGGAGGGCCTTTCTGCGACCTTCGCAGGCGTGCATCTACAGAGGTTGGTCTTGGGTGGCCATACCATCGCCGAGGTATGCACCAAGGTCCTGCATCTGACAACGGAGAGTTGAGATTCGCGCAGTACAAGTCACAGGAGAACGAAAAGGCGGAAGAGATTGTACCGCACCTCTTACAGGTCATAACCGACGTGGGCGATGACCACACGGCGTTCTGGACCGTCGACCTCTTCAACCTCGATATCGCGTATTGGGACGCAGGCCCTCCTGATAAACCGTTCCAGGTCTGGGTGTCGACACACCTCCAACAGCTGACCGAGCGAACGATGCGCAACCTCCTCACCTATGCTGACTTCTATGGGGCGGGAAACCTCAGTGTCGACGAGTGCCACCTACCACCTGGCCAGTCACTCGACAGCACCCGCGACCTCCATCTTAGCAATTGCAGAGGAAACCATGCCGATGCACTCTCTGAATGGGGCGGCTTCGAGCTGCAGATCTCGTTCTACCCGAACCAGCTGGACGATGCCATCCTTATGTTGGCTGACCGACGCCAGCGCGGTGATTGTCCCATGACTGGGTTCTTCTTGGAAGGATGTTCGAAGTTCTCGGTTGAGTCCGTCAAAACGCTGGCGGTATCCGAAGACCCGACTGCTCTGTTAGAGAAGCGCCGCATGAACTACATCTATGTCTCGGGAATTGGACCATGGATATCGCGTAAGGAGAGGGAATGGTTCGAGGAAAATTGCCCCCGTATGGTCGACTGGAAAACAAGGTCGGCGCATGGACCGTGGAGTGAGAGCGAGTCAGAGGAATAACGAGAAATGTCAAATTGGTGTAGCACAGTTGAGGTTGGGTCTCATTATTTCATTCTTGAAGTAGAATAGGACTACGAATGCTGTGTGCAAGCCAGGTCTCTCCGGATCTTGCGTCTCTTCCTACCCGTCCACTAACGAGCATGGCGACGGTGTTCTTCAACGCCCAGCCGGACGGGATAATCCAGGTCGTGAAGAGCGGATGGATAAGTATCCAATATTACTGTTGTCGGATCTGAACAGGAGTTCATACGCAACAAGAGAGGACGCACCACGTAGCCCAATTAGCCCAATTTATCCCAGCAGACATTCCTCCCAGTACGCTGCCAAGACGAACATGGGTTATTCCCTTGGAGCGAGACGTGCGTAATGGGCATCTCCATCTCTCTTTGTGCCTCCTTGCCGTCGTACTGAGTGCCCGTGATCAAAGCGTCGTTGAAGTCTACTTTCACTGGTCTTTGCAGATTTGGGGCGTCGTAAAGACGGAGTTTATTTATGCTTTCGTCGCTTGCTGGCGTGAACTGACATGACTGACACGACGTTAGAAAAGAGGACGGATTACGCACTGGAGAGATTCATTGCATCGAAAACCAATGTCTTCAACAGCTAACAGAGTCAGGATGTGTGTGAACGCTGAATGACCGAAGAGAAAGCTTACCTTCCTACAGCACATCCGCAACAACCGTCCTCGAGTCCTCACTCATTCTTCTCCGCGTCGACTCTGGTGGGAGTCGAGAATAAGGCTGCGATGAAACCCTCGGCTCGACCTTGGAGTTGCAGAGAACTACGGGCTTGAGTGCAGAACGGGTGGGCGCAAAGTCGGGGTCTAGATTGTTGAGCAGGCGAACAGCAATGTTGGCGCTCTAATGAGGGAGCTTCTGGGACAAAAATTTCCTCGTGGTGGTTGTCGAGTTCAAGTGGAGATCATTGTTGCGTCAAGAAGTCTATTTATGGATTATGTAGCTATCTAACCGAGACTCTCGTGTCGTCCTTCAAGTTGTCTTCCTCCACCATGCCACCTGAGCCCGCCCAGGAACTAGTCTCACAGAAGGCTGAAATCTCGCCATAAGCTACAATCTTCACCCAAGCCATAATCCCCCCAAGCTGAACCCATGCCTGTCGAAAATGTTATCCTCAATTGGGTCTTCTTACCACTGTTGCCAGCCGGAAGACCTACTGTGATCAAGATACCGCGTTCACTGTTAGGAGTACCGCTCTACAAACTTAAGCAGCTATTCGCCGAACAGATACGAAACGACTATCACTTTGTCCCACAAATTGACGCAGCTTTTGAATTTTTCAAGGTAAGCAGTGTCGTTTTTTATTGTACTCGCGCTGATAGCCTGTAGCTTGAGAATGACGTCCTCATTGAAGATACTGGCGAAGACAATTGGTCGGGGAACTTGACATTCAACCCGATTCCCTCGGTCAGGAGTATCGCCAGGATTCTCGGAGACAAAGTAGACAACGACGGGCTTCTCCACTTGCTCGTCAAAGCCGAACCCGATACACGGGAGATGGTAGAAAAGTGTGACATTATGGCCGACCTGCCTGAAAGAAAACGTGTGTCATTGGTTTCGGGCTCACAGCGCTCTCTGACGAAGAGATGTTGTAGCAACCTTGCCTGACATCCCCATACATCTTGGTAAGTCGCTAAGTAGTCGATGTAAACTGTCCCTGACGCACTGCGTCGTGTTCATACTTAGCTGCAAACGAAATATAGCTGCGAACAACAAGCGCCCCCGAGGCGAGTCAACGCAACCTTCACCCACTAACCGCAGATTCTCACTTTGTCATGTAGACAACGATGTTAACGAAAGGTGGGGTATCAAACGACACAAGAGCCAGTTACCTTCGTGTGCAGAGCTCCTTGGAATTCTCGAGAAGCCCCTAAGCGAGGAAGAGAAGATACCCATCCCGCAGTTCATATATGATTGGCTCATTTCCCATCTCCGCCCCGATAAGTGTCTCGACGAAGACATCAGGACTTTGTTCAAAATAGGGGAACTTGACGCTAACGCCATTGAGATCTTCACTGCTGTTCGTACACCTCCGCCTTCAAATGGTACAAGACGTTCTTTCCTTTCATTTTGGGACCGCAATATCCGCGACATCCTCGAGCTCCTGATACCGACTGGGAGAAGCATCCGTCACAGCAACCAACATACGATGACACGAAAGCTGCGCCCGAATTTTGGCTTCATTCTCCAGAAAATACGCGCGTTTCGGGGCGAGGAGATGGGGCCAGAAGACTCGGGGGGTCCTAAAGCTGAACTGGCAGACAAACTCAACTGGGTTTATGACCCTGCTCTTTATATGCTTGGTGAGCATTTTGCCCTTGATCGCATGCATAATTTAAAATCTTTTCATAGGCTACTACTGCAACGGGCCTGAGATGACCCTCGCCGCCATTACTCCTCCCGCTAATTCCAAAGGAAGCAAACCAGTAGTCCACGACTTAGTACGCGTCGATTTGAGGTGGAGAAAAGATCGCATTCCCAACATACGCCACCTTATCAACCTCTCAACCATTCTCCCCCGTCTTGCGGAGCTTGTGCAGTCGCCCGTTGGTGATTTTGGACAGATTTCGGGGTAAGATTTTTACTCTAAATATGCCTGCTTAAATGACATGAGCGCAGGACAAATTCCACGGTCGAAATCATGAGCACACTTGTTGTCAAGACCTACACATGTGAGAATGCTAAAGCGAAGATTGACCACCTCCACCGAATTTATGCATTGCTTAGCAATAAGATGGTACCCAATACGGATATGCTCCTCTTCGCCAATGGGAATGCTGCGTACCTGAAGCCACGCGGAATTGTTAGCCATCCTGCAGTTGAGAAAGAACTGCGGGAATGTCTCATTTGTGTTCTGAAATCACTCATCGTATGGTATCTTTTTGGTTTCATTGATACTGAAGCTCATCGGATCCAGGTCGCTCATCAAGTACCAATACCAATATATCACCGCGATGTTCGGTGGAATAATGTTATTCGCAGGCTCGAAGACCGCTCAAAATGGTTTCTCATTGACTGGGAGGACGCCGCCACTCTGCCGACAAGGGCCGAACCGTCCTTTGCACGCTCAAGCCATTCGCCAGATATTCTTAAGGATGGCCACGGGGCTGAGGTTGACATTTGGGGTGTTGGCTGACCGCCGCCAGCGGGGCGATTGCGGTACAACCGCGATCTCCTTGGAGGGGTGCTTGAAATTCTCGGTCGAGTCGATCAAGGCGCTGGCACTACCCGAAGACCCGACTTGTATGTTAGAGTGGCGCCGGATGCGCTACATCAATATCGAGGTGGGCCAAGGATATCGCGAAAGGAGAGGAAATGGTTCGAGGAAAACTGCCCTCGGATGGTCTACTGGGACACTGAGTCGGTGTATGCGCCCTGGAGTGAAAGTGAGTCAGAGGAGGAGGACGAGAACGAGAATGTCGAACTGGTGCAGCACAGTTGAAATTGGGTTAATTCAGATGCCATTCTTGAAGTAGGACTACGGAATGCTATATGCAAGCCACGCCGCTCCGGATCTTGCATCGCCGCCCACCCATCCACTAATGAGAGTGGCCACAGCGTTCTTCGATGCCCAACCAGACAGGATAATCAAGGTCGTGAAGAGCGGGTGGATATCCAATATGACTGTCGGAGAGTGAGTAGACGTCGACACGCGAGGAGAAACTACCCACCACGTAGCCCAAACCCGGCAGACATTCCTCCCAGGACGTTGCGCACGATCCATTCCCGGTCAAGCTTGTCATCGTCGAGAAGCTGGAGAATTCCAGCGATGAAATCGCCGTCGCTGTGTAGATGGTTTACCCATGTCGGTGCGGGGTTGTTTGAGTGTGATGAAGAGGTCTTGGATGTTGGCAACCAGATAGTCAGGAGGAAAAGGAGGAAAAGCTTCGTAATAGAGGAGTAAAATAGGCTGAGCGGTATCAGGGATAATCTGAAGAGTATTTAGTGAGAAGTGAGGTGGCGAAGGAGGCCTCGTCAACGAACCGAAATTCCTGTCGAATATTGGATTGAGTCTTGCTCGTTCGGTTGAGACACCGCTGGAGGGAGTCTGAAAGTTTTATGACAAGGAAACAAGAGAGTACAATCCCTCCATGGAATGCAACTGTTTCTGCACCGCAGGTTAGCAAGCATTTGGAAGGAGGATGAACAAGGGCTCACCAGCAGCCGTTCCGAGAAAAACACGAATGAAGGACAGGGCAATCTCTTTCGTCCAAGGGGAAGCTTCTGATGCACAAGTGGGATCTATCGTGTTCCATCATTGCAGTGTAGGAGATCGATTCCAATGAGGAGCCTACTCAGGTAACTCCATCTGATGACTTGAGTGGGTAAGAACTAGCCTTGACAAGATCATGGCAACTTACACGCGTCGATCGCAACAAGCGCAGTCCCAAGCTGAAGGATAGACATCCAGTCGTTCTAAATTGCGTCAGATGGCTGAAGAAAAGAGAAGGCAGGGGACGAACCTTGCGTTTTCCCGCTGAACTCTCTTCGGCTTTCCCTCCTGGATCTTGCGTGTCTTCTGCTCTCTTGCCCACTGCCCGCAGTGGTTCGACCCCCCGATTGAACAGCAGATGCCTGTACACGCCCCTCTTGAGAAGGATGAGATCCAAAAGTAAAGTTATTGAATCATGTTCGACGTATGGGTCAACAAATTCGTGGCAGGCAGTCTACTTCATAGAGGGTCAGTTAACGAGGTGTATCCGAGAAAACTTATAACACGAACACACTGCTCCAGCCGTAAGTTGTGCTCTGACTCGTAGACGGTGTATAGATAGCGTGACGGTTGTGTACAAAGTGTGCAAATAGGCATATCGTGGTAGTGGTCAGATGGCAAGAGCGTGATCGTATCAGTGGACCGTCATCACATTTCCTTTTCTCTCCACTCGCATCGCACCACCTTCTGGAATGTATAATTTATTGATCCTATAACATCTCAAGGCACCCTCTGCACAGGAATACGCTTTATGGCGCACTCTATGGAAATGGCTGCCAACACAGGGGTTGCAGGCGTCCAATCTAGGGAAACTACAACTTCCAGTACGCTTTCTTCGAGGATATCTCCCATGCATGCGGTAACTAACGATGATTGCAGCCAAAAAACGAGGTCGCAAGAAGGCAGATGCAACAACTGAGGACAGACCTACCAAACGACGAAAGGCAGCCGATCCGTCACCGAAGAAAACAGTTACTGTGTCTGTGTCAGTCTCGACAGTGGATAATGACCAGGCGCCGAAGGCAAAGAGCGGAAGAGGAAGGGCCGCGAGAGCGAAGGCGAATGGTGAATCCCCATATCTTCGGCGCATGTTTTCATTCGCTCAGATACTTCGAGGAAAGCTAGTCTTGAACCCAAATGGAAGATCGTGGCTCCTCCGAAAACCGTGAATGAGCTTCAGAATTTCGAGAAGAAACCCCTTTCCTCAGGGTTAAAACCGAGGGTGTGGTTCAGCGTGAGCAATGCCCTTTAATTCAATTTTGAGATCTTCATATCTTGTTGCCAGGATCGAGACGAACTTCTAGCAACATTGCCGGAACTCTCAGGGAACAAGTGTGTCAATGGAGTTTCTTGGCTTCTCTACGACACCCCCGTCGTACTCTTGGATGAATCGAGCACCTGTCTCCAAGTATGTCGCAAGGATTTGGATGCTCAGACGCTGGATATTATCACGTACGCTCCCTTCCACGAGACTAGGTTTTATGACTTATTTTTTCGCCAGTGCGCGTTCCTACACGTGTCCTCTGCAGCCTCCGTCTCTCCTGAACGACCCATCCCTGATAACGATCTCGACGGACCCCCTACTTGACCTAAAACCAGATCTGGAGAGAACAATGGCAAAGGGAAAGCCTCAGCAAGAACACAAACGGCGGGTACGGACCCACTACCCCATAAAGATGGAGTCTATGCATGCCCCAATATCACCGTCGCATGTTTCAGAATTTAGTATGTATGTCCCGTCGGAACCCTTCCACCAACCAAATTGTGCAGGCCCCTCCTCTTATAACCTAACATCTGCTCGATGGCCAACCATCGAGACAAATAGTTGGACCGTGCCTCAAGCTGATACCCCATCCTTATCTAAATCTCATCAGCGCCCTACCTATGTTCCATGTCCTCCTCCTTCTCATCCTCCACCTCAATTCGTTCAGGGATCTTCGCGGCAGCCCATGGCACCGGCACCACCTCATCCTCCATTGGAAGCTGGCCCCAGCCCTCCCAGCCGCGTCACGTCTCAACCATATGTGCTCCACGACCCCCGATCTATGAAACGTCTTCTCAATGATGCCGGGCGGAAAGTCGGAGTTCGACCTACCTATATGGTGGATGTGGAAAAATGCGATGGGCCACCATACAAGTGGTTAAATCTACAGAAGTCAGAAACCCCGAAGCCAGCAAGCACAAGCCTACAGCTAGAGAAATCGAGTTCTAGCTTACTGCAACTGTACCCTGTTACTAACCCCATGCCTCCTGATCTGGTTCGAGGTCTTCCACACTCGACAATTTTGCGACGTATGGAGTATCAACGTCCACCCCTGCCGACACCCCCACCCGAAAATATATGGCCAATGCATTCTCCTATTCATTCACCTGCTCCTCCCATGCCTCACGATGCCGTGCAAGGTTGCTCGACGATACCGATCCCTCCACCACCGATCATCCAACATGAAGGGATAGCCCAACCACGTGAAGATTTCTTAAGCTCGAGTTCAATACCTTCGCCTATCCCTCCAGAGCTGCAAGCGTTAATCGACGCATACATTTTTGGCAGGCCCATCACAGTCATTATTTCAAAAGATCGTTTGCTCGCACATTGGTCGCTCCAGTTGCCTAAAACTTATGGGTACGCGGTGTTGGGGTTCTTCAATATTCTCGGCGTCGAGGTCAGTGTTTTCCCTTCTTTTCCTTTCCACTGTCTTATGCTTATGGTTAGGAAATGAAACTTGAAGTCGAAGAGCCGAAGGGTTCCGGAAAGGCCGAGCAAGTTGGCATGTATGGTCGAGTCAGATGGCGTTTCCGTCTTCGTTGGGCGCCGGGTGGCGAGAGGAGCATTTTTTCCAAGCTTGACAAGGCACAACTAGAGAGACCTTGGTGGGACCCTGCACTTATAAAAGATGTGCAATCCCGCAAAGCAGGCGACAAGCCTCCGTCCTTTGTTTCGCCTTCTGAAGACAACTTTCCTACCACATCGCGTTACCGAGAGGCCCGCATCAGAAATCCGGAATACAAGTACCGCCATGGCCACCTAGACGCTATTTATCGTTGCTTCTTGCCCAGTCACCTTCTGGGTGGATTTGGAAACTACATCTCAGACTCAGCTTTTCCGCGTGGATGGATTTGTCGGTTATGTGGACGGGTCAACTTCCAGGTAGGCATGCGCTATCGTGCATGTGTGACTCCGGGCTGTAAGGTGTGTTTTTGCTCCTTTTTACCTTCATCACGAGCTGCTTGTTTATTGCCTCTCGCTATGTCGCCAACCTTCTAGGAAACCCCTGTCGCCCCCTATGCCCTTGAACTCCTACTCCTGCGCGATCCTCAAGACCGCCTGCCAGTCTCCCTGCCTTACAACACGTACCCGAAGCCACTGGAGGTGACGAAGGCCAAGTTCGAGGGTGGAATGCAGACTCTTTCTTATTACCTCAAGAAGAAGGGCGAACACCCGTTTATCAAGCATGTCTTTACTGCCAACCTTCCCAAGTTGCAGTTGTCTGCGAATCGAATATTGAACGATATTCAAGTGGGTCTACGGATCTGTCGGAAAGCCGGGGACAGTGGTATGTAAGGAATGTCCGTGCTGGACGCTGGGTGCTGATGCTGCCGTTTTACAGGCCCTTACTTTACCTATATGCACCCAAATGACCAGGAACGGAAAAAGCCCCCTGCTGTCGTCGACATAGCCAAGAAGATGATGGGGCAACTGGCTCGCTGGTTTGCAGAGGTTGATAAGGCTCGGCTTCGCATTAATCATTTCGAGATCCTTGCCTGGGTAACATCGGGTACGAAGAAGGTGCGTGTTCTGGGATGAATATTGCGGAAACGGTGCTCACTGTTTCATCTTTCAATAGAGCACGGCCCCGATACGAGCCAAGCAGAGACCTGTGGTTCTTGTTAGCCTCGGGGCCGACGTTGTCTTGACGGTGCTACCTCGTTCAATGAAGGACTCAACGGCGCCAACGGCGCAACCCAACGACCAACACGTAGATGAATCTGCAGAGAACATCGGTTGGATCGGGGTGAACCCTGAAAGGGACGAGGTAGGAGAAGACGACGAATCGGCAGAGGTACCGAAAGAGAAAGGGAAGAGGATAGGGAAGAAGAAATATGCCGATCAAAGTTTTGTGTTTACCCTTGTTCATGGAGATGCGCTCGTTTTCGATGGGGATGAATTCGAGGTACGTTTATTCGTTCGTTGACCATCTACATGCCTGAAAACCCATTCCCAGTATTCTATCAAGCGTGAAGGGACATCTTTCCGTAAGTACATTTGGATCTTGTCTTTCAAGCCTCCTGCTGAAACGCCTGCAATAGTCTTGATGGGGTCCTGCAAGGATGTCAAATAGATCTGCTTTTTGACTAGAGTTGCTACCCCATTGATTTATTTCTTAGCTTATACATAATCCTCGTTACTTGCTATGACCACTACCAGTTCTTCGTCGGACGTTTCGTAGCGAATTGTAGGACTTATTTCGTACACAATAGTGAGGCTGTCGGATGAACGCACGGCATCCTTTTGGAGAAAGGCTGACAGCAACCCGATGCAACCAAGTTTCCTTCCTCACCACCACCTCCGTTCATGTCAACCAACCAAGCACAATCCTCCAACGAGCAGAAATGGGGACGAGGTACCCTGAACTGATTATTTATACTCTATACACCCTTCTAATTCTGTATTTATCCAGTGCTAATTTGCGGCGGTACAGACTGGTACGTTGTTGTCGTTCTCACACTCCCAAACTTCCCACTGACCGCTTCCTCCATAACTCCAGGCTCAAACTTGGCCGCAAAGAACGCGGAGGGGCGGCGAAAGCTGAGAATGGGGCACCACAGTGCGTAGTTCACCATCATTATGTTGGACACCGAAGCGTTCGCCTTTCATTCAATTTCCTGACAACTGCCCCCACCAGAAACCCCGACCTCTTTGAACCACACCTGCTTCGGTCACTCTTAAACGTCAAATCTGTCTCTGTTCATACTTCGTGCAGCGGGTGCCATTTCGTAGTTCTCGACATAGAGGGGAATGCATGGTTGTTTGGACGCAACGGGTTCTCTACTCTCGGAGTCCCCAAAGTCGAGTACGTCTCGGAGAACGCGCCACGGATGCTGAATCCTGCAGAATTAGGTGCTCCGAAAGGCACGAAGTTCGTCCATGCGGCATGCGGTCGAAACCACACGCTATTAGTTGGAAGCGATGGTTCCCTCTGGGCGGCAGGCCAGAATAACCTGGGACAGGTGCGAGCACCCTAGTTATATGGCCAAAACGGTGGATTTAACGAGCCCTGCAGTGTGGTCACCCTACGTGCCCTGAAGTTTCTACCTTCCAAGCTGTGTCCGTCACCCAGGGAGGAAGGAAGGAAAACGTCATTCAAGCCTCTGCAGGTGTTACATTCTCTGTTGTGTTGACAGATACTGGCAAAGGTACAATCCTCTAACCGCGTATCTGTTGCTCGTTTGGCTGACACGCTTTAGTCTTCACCTTCGGAAGTGCGGAGAAAGGCCAGCTTGGAAACGGCACGACTGGCGAGCGCATTACGACTGGAAACAAGACGTCGTACGACATTGAGACCACGCCAGGTCTGTCTGGACTTTTGCCCCTGTTTGCTACTTCCACTAACTTTTGCGGCAGTTTATGTCAAGGAGCTAGACGGCAAGAAGATCGTTCAAATAGCCTCCGGCCAGCAGCACAGTTTAGCCCTTGATGACACTGGGTATGCATTTATGGACATAAGGAAAATAATTCACCACCTCATCCCCTTCTCAGCCTTGTTTACGTCTGGGGGTACAATGGCTATTGTCGTTTAGGGCTAGGCAACCAAGTCGACGCCTTGAAGCCGAAAGTTGTGCCGCAGGTACGGATCCCAAATCTTTCGCTCTCCAAGTCTACCACTCACTTTTGATGCAGTTCGCTGGTCCAAACGAGGCCACGATGGCAGCTGGAATTGCGGCTGGCCCCAGTAACAGCGTCGTCATTGATAAACAAGGCATGTATTGGATGGCTGGTAAAGTGAGTCCTTAATCATCTTTCATAGGTTCATCTATGTTCAGTGCTTTCACAGTGGAAGAACAGCGGCGAAGGTGTGTTGATGACATGGAGTGTTCTTGACTGAACGCCAACAGCGACGTCTCTCAGGTTCCTCTGGTTCTCCGTATTCATCGTTCCGATATATGCAAGACATCATGTACTTTGTCCCTGCTTTGCCTCCATAATCCTCTCCTGACAAACTTCGCAGGGGTTGCAAGATACTTCTAGCTCGGTCAGGAGGTGTTACACACTGGCTCGTAACCCCTGATGACGATGGCTCTCCGATGACAGTCGGCTGGGGTCAAAACGCAATCAATGGTCAGCCGTCTCTTTCTCAAGACGCGAGTGTTGCCGACAGTGTATAGGCGAGCTCGGGTTAGGTCCTGACGAACCCAAGAGTGCGACCAAGCCAACTCGTAACATCCCTCTAGTTGGCATCGATGTTTTCGAGTACGTATCTCAATCACCTCCATACGAAACTCACTTCTGAGACACTTGCAAAGCATCGCTGCTGGACAGAACACCACTGTATTCCTTGCAAAGCCCACAGAAAAGTTTTCCGATATGCCCAGGCACCCAGAGGAAGTCGACGCTCCAGCTTACTGCGTCAAATGCAACAAGGACAACGGAGAGGACGATTCTCCCCTCGAATGTGACAAAGTATGATCATTTTTTGGCAGTGCCCTCTTCCTTCCTAATGTTTCATGCAGTGTGATGCACCGTGGCACCTCAAATGCTTGAATCCTCCCCTTAACGCGGTGCCGGCCGGCGAGTGGTTCTGTCCTGACTGCGAGGATGATCCTGGTGCGCCTGTAGGTGCTTGGGCCGTAAAGAAAACCAAGTCGAAGGCGAAGAAACGGTCAGCGAGTCCGGCTCCGATAGACGAAAGCGAGACTGGCCAAAGGAAAGCTGGTGCGTATCAGCTGGCGTTCATAAACCAAAATCTTTCTCGCTGATTTGCCTTCTCTTGCAGCTGCACCGGCCCCTAAGAAGAAGAAACAATAGGTTCAACCTTACGACGGCCTCCCGGACCTCTTTCGAGTCTTGGTTTGAGCGACTCAACCTTGCTTCAATCATCTGATACCCTTGTCCTTGTGTCCATTATTCCTGTCACCTCATTTTGTATTGCATCTGGCGCTTGTGCTGCCAATTCGATGTGGTCTACGCAATATAATCGTAGTCTGTAGCCTTTATCTTATGTATCTATCCTCAGTATATACTTCGTGTACGCCAGTTGTCCTCCCCACTCTCGCTTTCATTGGCCCATCGAATAAGGATAATAGAGGCTTTGCGCAAAGCCAGCTGGAGCCAGTGGTGGCTCAAATGCGTTGCGCTGAGACCTTTAGCCAGCAGAACCTGAATATCAGCCCGATGAATGCCATATATTAATATTACTTACATCTCTCTATAACCTCGAAATCTCCTGGAGAGCTCCACGCGATATCAGTCTGTGGGGGTGGTTGATCAACGGTTGATCACGGTTGATATTTTCTGCTGGCTCAGTTTCCATATATAGGTTAGTTTCTGGAGATTGTCGTAGCTGCACGGATGAACAATGAAATACTTGCATTGTCATTGAACTCCCCTGGCATCCAGACATACATGGTACTACATAAGACTAAGTTAAAAGAATAGTCACTAATTGGCCGCTACTGGCTACACGACACAGCGCAACGTTTTTGAGCCAGCACTGGCTCCAGCTGGCTTTGCGCAAAGCCTCTAATTTCCCTTTTGGGCCTAAATCAGAGGCATTTTTCGTGTGCCACAGCGTGCTGCTCCTTTATCTTGAACTACGTTCCTCCAACCTGCTACGCTACTCTTCTTGCTTTAATCTACGCCAACCTTAGCATTAATCTCATATATTAAAGATGTCTAAACGCAGGAGCATCGAAGACAACTCCGATTTTGAAGAAGGGTCGAGCACTGACCGAAAACGCGTCCGCATCGCCGAACCGCCATCTACAAGTCAAGAAAACCCGACGGCGAAGCCTTTGCGGGATGCCAACGGACACAAGGGTCGATACAAGGAGATCTTTACCAAAACTGAGTTCGACGAACTTGAAAAATCCTTCATTCTCGGAATAGAGGAACGCAGAAAGAAGAACGAGGGTCGGTCAGGGGTATGTCGTTTCTTGACTTTGAAGCGGTTGTCCCTTCGGGTTCTTATGAGCATGACTGTCCTCAGGCCGTTGCAGATGCTGGTGTAATTGAGAAAATCGAGCTTCTCCAGTTCATGTGTCATAAATACCTCACTTTCGAGTTCGGGCCCCAGCTGAATTTCATTGTTGGTCAGTGCTTCCGCAACGAAGAGACCTGACTTGAATCTCATCTCTGCCATCGTCTTAGGTCATAATGGAAGTGCGTACGATTTTTCTGGGTCGTCTATCTCTTCTAAGCGTACGTTTGGCGTCTATCATAGGCGGAAAGAGCGCCATCTTGGCTGGGATCGCCGTTGGGCTTGGTGGAAGAGCAGCGGTTACCGGTCGTGGGACAGGGGTCAAGTCTATGATACAAGAAGGAAAAAGGTGAGTCTTGTAGCGTTCGAGCTTCCTCCTTTCACTCAAAGGCCCGGTGGTACACAGTAAAGCTGAGATAACGATAACTCTGAAAAATGGTGGCCACCGTGCTTATAAGCCGGAGGTCTACGGAAACAAGATAATCATCATCCGTACCATCACTCACAAAGGGGTTTCAACCTACAAGATCAAGTCGGTAACCGGTCAAGTTATCTCTAATCGAAAAAGCGACTTGGACTCGATTTGCGATAATCTGGACATTCAGGTTGATAATCCAATTAGTATCCTGACGCAAGGTTTGTACATCATTTTGTATGCCAAATGCCCATCCTAACTCCTTGCTAGATGCGGCGAAGTAAATGTTTGTCACGCATCTCTGGCCCTGTACTCATCTCAGTTTGAAGGCAATTCCTGAAAGGCTCTTCGGCGGAATACAAGTACGAGGTGAGCAGTGCGTTACACTGTTGATCACGAAGAGTTTATCAAATTGGTCCGTCAGCTCTTCGCCAAAGCGACACGCCTTCAATTGATACAGGACGAATACAATGAGGCCGCTTCGAAAAGAACCGAAATGGACGAAATCCTTCTCTCGAAGAGTGATTACACCCAAGTTCTGCGAGATCGTTTTGGTGCCTGTCGCAAGGCGTATAGAGATGCTCAGGATGCTCAGGACCTCCGTTCGAGGAGGGATTGCCTTCTATGCGAGAAGGCGTGGTCAGTGGTTATGGAGAAAGAAAAGGTACTCGGTTGCCCTTCTTTACTTCCATTTCTGATCTATTCCTCAAAACAGGAACTAGAGAAGGCCTTTGAAGCCATTGCATCTTCGAAAGGCCGCTTATCTCAAATTGACGAGGTGCTGGGAGAGGCTGAGGTATGCCTGCCCTACAGCACCCATTTCCCTTTTGAACTGAAAGGAAGAAATATAGGACAAATTGAAAAATGCATCTGATAAAGTAAAGGAGATGGAAAGAGATCACGACACTGCAAAACAAATGGCGGAGGACATTTGGGCAAAGAGAGGCGAGGTTAAACGAGAACTTGGAGCGAAGAAGCAGGAGATTGCGAAACTGAAAGTGCGTTCTAATTCCTTACCACTATGCACTATAGACAGGGTTGACCAAGCATCTAGAAAGACGAAGATGCGATGAGCCGGAGCCAACGCGAAATAAATTTCGAACTGGATCGATTGACAGCACAACTGGCGGAAGAAAGTCAAAACCTTGAACAAGGCACACAAACGCAAAAGGAGGCTGCCCGGATCGAAATAGACAGGATGAAGGGTGACTTGAACAATTTGAAGGATCGGCGTTTAACTCTCCAATCCGACCTTACGCGCCTGAAAGGCGACTCAGACCGACGCAAGGCCGACGACGACACCGCTCAACAACTTCTCAGCAACCTCATGGGCGAGGACAGTGGTCTCGAAAGGGAGCAAGAACGTCTGAGATCCCATATTCGCGATCACCTTTCACGATTCGGCCAATCCCTGCAGACAGTTTTGCGGGACATCGACAAAACTCATTGGAGAGGCGTTAAACCTATCGGGCCACTTGGCAAATTCGTCACGCTAGAAGACCAAAGATTTCTAGATGACCTTAGTTCGCAACTTGGAAGCCTATTGTGTGCCTTTGCTGTCAGTGATGGACGGGACATTGGACCCCTGCGAACAATTCTGAATCGAACTCAAAAGTAAGTTCTCTTGTTCTCCCGGATCAGTGGCCAGAATAGCTTATACCTGAATGCCAGCTCGAGATCAATGATCGTCGTCTCTTCTGGAGAGCTGTTCGACTATGAGCAGGGCGTGCCTCCGCCGCAATACGATACAGCGTTGCAGGTTCTTAAGGTATGGTCATTGCTATTCGACTATCCTCGATCTATTTCACGATCGTACAACGCAGATAACAGATGAATGGGTGAAACGAATTCTCATTGACCGAGCTGGCATCGAGCGTCTTTTCGTCACGTCCAGTCGAAAGGAAGCGGATAATGTCCTAAAAGAAGTTGGAAGCGGAGATGCGCTTGGTGGTGGCATGCGTGTTAAATTGTGGGCGATGTAAGAATTTAAAGCTTTTCTCGTCCAGCCTCTATCTGAAGCAGCCTCGGCAGGAACACCGGACTCACGTCGCAGAAAATAAACCTTAGAGATGGAGACTTCCGGCGATCGATCCTCGCCCCCCAGGCGAACCACGGACAGCGTTTAGAGTAAGCTTCTTTTGACCAGGGAGATCTTGTTCTTGCCCTTATGGTCTCCTTTAGGGAAATTGTGACCAAGCGAAATGCACTTAACCGCCGCGTAGATGATGCAAGAGCTGACAAGACGCAATGCGAAGAGCGTCTTAAAGAAGGTGTCCGCCTAGTCAAGGAATGCGAGGTGATTCTTCCTTTATTTTTTGGCACGTACGATTGCTGATGTTACGCTTCTTGCAGGTCTCCATCCATGCATTAGAACAAGAAATATCAGGCGCGGAAGCAGCTATTAGAACCAGACAGGAGGAAGAAGAAGCTGACAGCCCTTTTGAAATCGCCGTCCTTTAACAGCTTCTTGAGGTTGCTAACTTCCAGAATGCCTTATAATTTTAGTATTAACTTTGTCTACAGGAAAGGAAGGAAGAGAGTAGTGGTCTCCAAACTCAGCTCAACCACGTTGTGACTGTGAAGGAGGATCTGAAAGCGGAAGTCATGGGGTTACAACAAACAGTGGACAATTTGAAGCAAGAAGGTGAAATCGCAGACGAAAGTTTGCGAAGTATTAGGGTGCGTTCTTCAGACCCGCAATGCATTTCGGCAGTCTGAATCAAGATATAGACCAGAGCTGAAGAGAGGGCGGTCGCCTATACCGAAGCCCAGCATCAGAAGGCACATTATTTGACGGTGAAGGAGAAGGAGCAAGAAACATGCGACAATCTGGACACTGCCGCAACGGAGATGACTGCGGTATTTACGGTATGCATGAGCCCTAGATACTCGTTGTTCCGCCCTAATGGTTGGCCGCATTGGAGTGTCGTAAAAAGGCAGTGTCTCTCGGAGAGAAACCTGAAGTAGTGCGCCGTTGTAAAACCATTGACCGAGATCTTGTGGCATTAGATGCCACCCTGAACCGTTACGAATTTGCGTACGTGTACCACCTGTTCCTTAGAAAATCTCCTCTTGACAATGAGTTGATGACAGTCGCCCCAAACCCCTGGATCAGCTACACAGAATTGGAAACTGCGAAATGTACACTCGAGGAACACGTTAATGAATGGTACCGGCTGGAGGAGCTCAGCAAGGCCAGTTTATTCCTCATCCTTGCTCTAAATATTGGTGACACTTCTCGTTAGACCCTCAAGGAAAATCTCGAGAAGCGAAGGATTCGATGGATCCAATTCCTTGCCTATGCATCAGTAACGGTCAAGAACGAGTTTATGATTCGGCTTTCTTCAAGAGGCTATTTTGGTCAGATCATTTTTGACCACGTAGAGCAGACACTGGAGCTCAAGGTATTTGTGCTTTCAGTGGATTTCAACATCGGCTAATGCACCACGAAGGTCCAGACAGACGACCAAGTCTATAACGGGCCTGAAGAGAACAAAGAGTTGGACAGCAAGCGGAAGAAGGACGTTTCGTCGTTGAGTGGTGGAGAGAAGTCTCTTGCTACGTTGTCCTTCCTTCTTTCCCTGTGGGAAGCGTGCGACGTCCCTATTCGCTGTTTAGGTTCGTCTTGTGCTTATTCCCTCCAGCTCTTGGCCGCTCATCTGGTATTATAGACGAATTTGACGTCTTCATGGACAACCAAAACAGACGATGCTGCATCAAGATGCTGGTACACGCAATCCATATGTCTACCAACTGTTTGGCTGACTTACTACTCTTCTTTTTTCAGGTAGACGCCTCGAAAAGTGCATTGGAAAGGCAAACCATCATCATTACACCTTTGTCCATCGACAACATATTCTCGGAGCCGCCTGTAGTCGTAATCAAGCAAATGTCCGACCCCAGGACACGATCGTAATTATGCACAATCACATTATCTACTAGACCCTCCCCCATCATCACCAATGGTTGTAGACCCTGATCATTATTTTGCTGGTGGCAGAGGATTCAGACGTGAGGGCACAGGAATCTTGTTCGAAACGTTATCTACCCCGTATTCAGGTGACACGGCAGACCATAGGGAATCGCCATCTGAATACGCATTCACCCATCCTACCGCTGCCACACCATGCGCTTCCGCTGGACGCTGTGGTGGCGGACAATCTTGCCGTACAGGTTGGTCATCAGTTTCATTCATCGTTGTCGGTGTTTGACTGTCAAGCTGAGTCAAATCGGCGCTGAGGTTTTGCGTTAGGTTATGGGTGTCAATCAGAGCTGACTCGTTGAGGGTGGTGGGCAACGTATGGAACGGCAGCGGCGCCAGTTGTGGAAAGTACGATGGTGCATCCTCCTGGGATGTCCAGGAGGTCTCTTGCAATCTTTCCATTGCTGAATCCGCACCACAGGGCCCGCTAGTGGGGTAAAAATCGGATCGCCTGACGGGCAACTTGGGCAAATAGCGATCGTTCAGATGGTAGTCATGCGATGCAAAGTTCCAATAGTCTTGAGCAGGCAGAGTACCCAAAGTATTGCACGCCCTATCGAGGTCGTGTCCAACAGGTTGTCTGAGCTCGCGTTGTTTTCCTTGCACTTGATACCAACGTGTCGGAAGTGAAGGAAGCGAGAGTCGACGCTGCTCTTGCGCCTCTATTGGCTCGGACGATACCGCAAGCAAGCTCTCGGGCGTGTCTTCCAGAGGACGTTGGCCTTTCGACGAGAGATCAGATAAAATATCCCTAAGACGGCCAGTCTGTCAGACGTCATCGTCTTGTTCAGCAGAACCAAACTCACCAAAGCCGGCCTGACTGATGCCACCGGTCCTCGGCCGCTTTGAGGACTTGCATGGCCTTCTCCACGTTTTCCCTGTCAGCCGCCTGCTCCGAAGACGGGTTTGATGTCTTTGCACCCCATATGCTAAACATTAGCACTACAGACGCGGTAAATGTGGCTATCTTCAAAGGCGCACAACACGTTTAGTATAAATCGGAATCACAAGGAATAGTTAATGGAGCAAACCTGGATGGGAGGCGGTGGCGGCGTATCACGTTGATGCTGCGCATATGCAACATTAATGCAAGCACGAGCAGCATTGGTGCATATAACTAGTGAAGGGAAAGGCGAAGAAGAGGGTTTACTCGGAGAAGGGATGAAGGGACGGTGGACGAGAATTTGGCCGTAGTAACCCAATGCATGCAACATCGCAGATTGGTTGAAGAACTTCTCATTTTCCCGTTTTGGATCCCAGCGTACTACGGAGACAGTTGTCAGCTTTGCTTGCTGTTGAAACCGGTCGGAGAGGATAATGAGCACGACTCACAGTGATCCGGTATCGACCCCATCCAGCTATTTAAGCTGGAGTCCAATTCCCTTACAATATGTAATTTCCACTGATCTCCGACCAAACCAAGATGGACGTTCGTTTTATGCAACGAATACTACGACGACAATCGCGTTAGCAAAAGACACCTGATATAACCAAGGGAATGGCGTACAATCGCACGAACACAATACGACAAAATCCTGAACAACTTAATCTGAAGGACAAAGTAAGTCATTGAGGACGGCTTAATTGGCGGCTGCTTGAATCTTCGGTCCGGATCTGGATGCTCCCAATATTCATCGTCGCAGTCGATGGGTAGATCTAAGTCGAAGCTGCGATGGACGTCAGTTATGCCTAATTATACAATCAACCCAGAGTTCGCACTCATCATCGTGAATAGTTAACGGGCGACCTAAAGAAAGGCAAATCATCCTGTCGATGCATATAAGAACCCTGTTCAGGGCCATTAGCTCTTGATATTGGGCCCATCGTCAAGGTAGAGGCTCGTACCACCAAGCACGTTTCCATAGTTCGTTTTCCACAGTAGGCGGCGAATTTGTGCGTCGATGAGCACCGACGTCTTGTGCTAGTCGAATGGCGATGCCGATCATTGTCCACACGGACTGTGGCGCGGAAGAGCTGTGCAGGAAGACGATAGTCAACTAGTGGCGGTCAGCAACGTCGAAAAGCACGGAATCTGGCAAACTTACACAGTATAGCTGGAGGTCATATAAACTAGGCAGCGAAAGAAACGATGTCTTGCCCGTCTCTACCTGGTCGTACCACTTCCAACCCGCTGAATGATAAGAGTCGACACCGTCCAGCAACACCCTCAGATCCGTGGAAAATCTCGCGCCAATCGCGCAAACCAGGAGATAGACAGAGGCAAATCCATCGTGAACGAAGTGTAGGCCATCTCGTATTGACCTCTCAAAGTAAGGGCGATGGAGGAGGGGGAGACAGACGTTGAGGTGAGTAAAGTAGAGTTCGACCAGATCTTTGCCTAGAGCAGGGTCTGGAAATTCGTATCGGCGTGGGGTGAGGGTATGAGGTATCCTTTCCCACTAGTTGGCCATATGAATTACTGCACCATGGATATGAATTAGGCTACGTACCGGTCGGAGAGTCCAGAATTCTTCACGTCGTTGGGAGAGGAGAGGCCGCTCACTATCTCCAACACATTGGCGCTTCATTGACAACGCCGTCCGTGCCAGCTCCTCTCCGCTTGACTTTCCAAAGAACCGACTTGTGTCGAGGCCAGTTCCAGGGATGAGCGTTGGGCCGTCTTCTCCTTCCGGGTGAGGGCGGCTGTCGTTGTAGGCTGCACGAATGGCTTTGGCTATGCTCTCGACTGGTTTTGGTCCAAATATGCTCGGCGGAGGAAATTGCAATCCAGTGGCGGGCTGGTGCGAGTGAGTTAGGTCGCTTGGATCGATGAGATTTTGGCGTGGGCGTTCTTCGTTCAATGAAGCTATCCAAGTGTTGAATATCCTCTTGTCTGGGCAAAGCTGTGGAGTGTCAAGAGTACTTCGAATGCGGAGGAGGCACAGACGCACCCGCCGAAGAACATCGATCAGCTCCTCTATCCTGTCCTCCAAGCCCGCGACGTATCTTATTTGTCCTCCGTGTTAGCGTGATACCAGTAATTTTGGGTAAGACTCCGCACTTCTTTGAGGGAACACGTCTCTGTAAGAGAAGTTAGCATTGCAGAGAGGATGACGCAAGACAGAGCTGACAGTAGACTCTTCGACATACGTGCAGTTGGAGCTAGTAGCGGCGCAGGTCGAGCAGATCATATCGGTGCTCTCTGGTCCGTCGCCTGTAGGAATGAGCAAAAATAGCTGCTGGAACTCGAAATCGAACATACAGCGAACTAGGAGTGACCGTTAGCTCCGTTTGAGCCTAACACAAATGACGCACCTTTCTTCCTCCTACAGATATCGCAAGCTCGCGGTCGCTTCTGTGTCCCCGTAGAGACATTCGGGGTAGTCTCTTCCTCTTCGCTGGAAGACATGGGTGAAAAGAACGAAAGGAGTAACTTGAACAGCCGCAATCCGCTGACGACTTTATCGGAAAGGATGCTTCCCTTGAGTGGCTACCTGCAACTAGCTTCCGGACTTGCTGCAACAACTGGCGAGGCAATAAGGAGCAGAAGCGTAGCTGACTGATTGAAGAACATATCGGTCAGGGAAGCGTAATGGAGATGACCGGTTAGCCGTGTTCCGCAAAAAACTCCGCCAACTCGAGCAGCCGGTCTTCGCTCAAACGTTCAAGATTTCAAAGGTCGAACAGCGGTGAGGTTGAAGAAGTTTTTCCAAAAGATTCACTACCTCCTCATGTCTGAGTCACCGACGGAACCGCAACACATGGTTCAACAGCCGAGAGGACAGGACGATGAGTTGTTCACATCGTCCGAGTCACGTCGGAACAGTCTGTTCGGCCAGCTAGGCCCTCCTTTGAAGTTTGGAGAGTTCCTCGTATCCAGCCGCATCTACTAGATGGCACCAACACCAACCACTATACAGACATCCAGATTATTGCTTCGCGGGGCCAAGGAGGGTGACACGGAGGCATTCTATGCATGGTTTCGCGATCTCGAGACCATGAACTACTGGTATGTCTCTTCGTTATACAGTAAACCGTGTTGGATGGTGAAACTAACCGCAAGAACATCTGCAGGTCCACTCCAGCTCACACTTCGATCGAACAAACGAAAACTTGGGTTGATTCCATGATTACATGGCCCTACAACGGTATCTTCGACTTTGTTGTCTGCATCCGTCCAGAAGAGGGTAGCAATGCGGAACCAGTGGCCATTGGCAAGGCCGGATTCTGGGATGGAAAAGAGATTGGCTACATCCTAAACAAGGCATATTGGGGAAAGGGTTACGCGTCTGAGGCATTCGCAGCCATTCTACCGCATTATTGGGCGACGGAAGGAAGTGCTGATATCGTCAAGGCCGACGTCGATCCTCGGAACGAGGCTTCTTTACGATTACTAAAGAAGTTGGGCTTTAAGGTGACAGGAACCGCGGAGAGGACGTATGAAACCCATTTGGGCTGGTGCGATAGCGTATATTTGGAGCTGAAGAGGGCAAAGGAATGATGGGACAAGGGCACCGACGACGACAATGGAAGAGGTGATGGTGGAAGTGCACATGTTCATGCCTGGCCCATTGTCTCTAAGAATTCTATCATCATCTCTCTTCTCTCCTCCGACACCATCGAGTGCCTCTTCGGCGTCGCGTTCCATAAGAACCGCTGATTGTCCATGACGCAGTGGAACCAAGATCGGTCGACGTCCGACAACTTTGGTCTATCACTGGTGACTTCAACGGTCCTCATCTCCTCCCCATTGGCTACGTGCGCACTCAACACCCTCGCTCCAACCAAACGCTTGAGCGCTTCAACGGAGAAGTTGGGGCAATCCAAGATCCTAAGTACGGTCATGGAAAAATAGCCCACTTGGGCTGCAAAATGATCGAGAGTGTCATCCGTCAGCCCTGGACACTCGTCGATCAAGATGTCGTTCCCGTCCCAGAGCGAAAGAAAGTGGGACAGGTCGTCAGATAGTCGATGAAGACTCAGGTCATTCGGGCCTTGAATACGGACGCCTTCTACAGAGCAAGAGGTGATATCGATGCAGTCGATGCTAGATAAGTCCAGGTGGTCGAGGAACAGGCGTGTGTTGGCGTTCGTGAGGCCTTGAAGGAATAGGATCTCGATCTTGGCTACAAAGGGCGGATCCTCATCACTTGCTGGCCAACTTGGGAGGTCCACGTTAGCGAAGGTGCACATGAATAAGGCGCGAGGGTATTCGAGGGCGTCAAAAAGGAGCGGAAGTAGTTCAGAGCACCTGGTATGGCTGTAATTTGCGACGTCGAAATGACTGAAGTTGAAGAATTGCAGATCCACGAGACTATCGAGGAACCTGCTGTTTCTCCAGAGGACGTCAAGCATGGTATACCCATGCAGCTCCAAATTGCGAAGTTTCGGCTTCGCTTTGACTTTTTGTGCCTTGCCTATCTTCATGAAGCCTGGAGGATAGCCATCGTCGACCTTGCAAATCAACGAGAGTGTGACCAAACTCTCCGACAGAGCGTACAAGTCGCGAGACATGGAGGGAAGTGACGAGCCGTATATGACGTCGAACTTGATAGATGTGCATCTATGGACGTGTGGCTTCAAGACTTCGATAATGGCACGCGCCCTCTCATTCTCTTCAGGATCTACGTCCCTTTTGTCGCGTCGACCGACTTGAACCGTGATAGGGAGGTCACTAGAGCGTTCCAGGAGGGCTTGGGCATCAGATACCGGTGTCGGATTCGTTGTGTCGACAAAAACGACAACACGCGTCCAATACTGGGGCACAGAGGCAAGAACGTCGCGCCATAGCGTGCAGACGGAGACAAGATCGTATGGAAACTGAAGAGGTTGCTTAAGGTCACTATTGGAGAGAGACTCTGATGACGTCGCACCGTCAGGTCCCTGATGTAAGGAGCAGAAATTGTTTACTCACCTTTGCTTGTCCTGCCTTCACTTGCGAACTTGAAAATAATGGACAGTAATTCAATCGGGAGCGCATATATGGGAGAAAAGTTGGGATTTTGGGAATATGGTGCGCGGCTCTGCGCAGCCGTTCCATTGTGGCCACGTTGAGACTCGATTTTCATTATCCTAGGACCTGAAGCTAAAGGGGCTGTAAACCACGCGTACGACGCGAGAAACAATTATGTCCATACCTTGCTAGTCCTAGGAATGACCGTTTAGAGAATCTATGAGAGAAAGCTGGCAACCAAAGTGCGGTGAAAGTGACGGAACCAGTTGTCGTGGAAATCCGCGTTGACGCGTACTTATGATGGATACATAGTACGTAACTGATGTCAAATATTGATGACCCTGAATTTGAAATGTTGTGCCGTACGTTGAAGTTGATAAACATTTCGAGATGGCAATGGCGAGGTGGGTGAGGAAGCCAACGACGGAAGGGAGCCCAACGAAAATTTCTCACGCTCGAATATATGTGGTCAGGCTCTTTCCTATTATGTAGAGCAAGCCATATTTCTATTTAATTGAGAGAAGCCATCTATAATATGTAGCGGGTTCATGGCTCCTGGCCTGATAGCCTACTCAGATGCATCGTCCACAATCAGTGTAACAATCTCAGTCTGGCCAGGTCAACCTAAATGGATAAAGTACTATGACTGCAATGTGAACTTATAAGTAATTGTCAATTCGTGATTCCCGCCCGTACTTACATCAAGTCAGACAGTGCCCATATATTGAAAGGACCATTGTAGCATGAGTTTTTGCTCGATCCCCTCTTTCGCCTAACGCGACGCGACGCGTTCATTAGGAATCACGCGATCACGTGTTTGCCTTCCTATTCACAGGCTGGCATGGGAAACCTGTTAGGAAACCTCTTGCCAATGAACAACCACTGCCAGCGCTCGTGAACGGGAGTCGGGTATGTCAAAGGTCCGAACCTGTTTTCCGTTCACGACGGACTGACGATGTATCAAGGATTACTCGTCGACTGCTGAGCACTTGCATGTTGCTGCATAGTAATTGCTCTAAGGCATCTTCTCCGTTGTCGGATTTCAGAAGTCTGGACCCGCTTTCGAGTCAATTTCACCCGTAAACCAATCGGATGGAGTCTTCTACTCTCCGCAGAAAGGCGGATGACGAAGGAAGAGGTGGTTTGAAAGGTGTTCGTGCAAGGTGGATGCTTGAAACACTACCCAATCTCAAGGTGTCGGCTTGTGTAATTTGTGTAATGTTCTCCGTCTTTTTCTTGTCCTATGCTGTCTACTTCGGGGTCCAATCGAGCGCAATGGTCGTACCGACCAAGAATTATGTGGCGCGTGAACTTCTCGAAATCTCTCGGGGAACGCTCCATCGTCGATCATACTTCTATGTTGGCGGCGCTTATGTCCCAATCGCCGACGGGACTTCCTCCATCTCAGCTAGCCAGATGTACGTCGAGCATCTGACGCCATCTACGGTCAGCCAAAAGCTTCCCATCGTCATGATCCATGGAAATGGTACGCCTTTGGCATCCTGTCGCTTGATACCACATTCCTCTGACACTGCACAGGTATGACAGGCACCAATTTTCTAAACACCCCAGATGGGCGACCGGGATGGGCAGACTATTTCATGGCTCAAGGATACGATGTAAGATATTCCGTCGTAAATTCGTGATATTTCTGAACATTGCTTTTGACAGCTTTATATCATCGACCAGCCGTCTCGCGCTCGGTCACCCTGGCAGCAAGGAGTCGACGGTCCGCAGATGATGTTCGACGCGCTCACCATCGAGCAACGATTCACCGCCACGAAGGTGTTCAACTTATGGCCAAACGCTGAGCTTCATATCCAATGGCCCGGGAACGGCAGTCGTGGCGATGAAATATTTGACAACTTCTACCGCTCCATCGTGCCTGCCTTGAGCTCGAATGTTGAAGCTTCACAGAAATTCAAAGCGGCTGGCATAGCTCTCCTGGACAAAATTGGCGTAAGTTCTGATCATTTCTCAGCAACATAAGCTAACAAAACGCCTCTAGCCCGCCATCGTCATGACGCACTCACAATCTGGCCAGTTCGGCTGGCCTCTCGCAGACGCCCGACCCCAGCTCGTCAAAGCCATTGTCGCGCTCGAACCAATGGGACCTCCATTCAAGAACGCCGTCTTCCCTCCATTCGCAGCTGCGCGCCCCTACGGCCTAACCGAAGTACCTCTGGCTTATGACCCGCCGATCCAATCTCCCAGCGACCTCCAGACCGTGATCACCTACTCGACAACAAATTTCACCTGCATCCAACAAGCGTCGCCGCCGAGGAAGCTCACAAACCTCCTGAACGTTCCCGTCCTCGTCGTGACATCGGAGTCGGGATACCACTCCGTGTATGATTGGTGCAGTGTAGAGTTTCTGAAAGACGCTGGGGTGCCGGTAGAACACGTGGAATTGGGGAAGATGGGCATTAAGGGAAATGGGCATATGATGTTCATGGAAAAGAACAGCCTCGAAATTGCGGAGCAGGTTGTTCAAAAGTGGTTAAAGACACTCACAGGCAATTGATTATGTTAGTTGGCCAGAATATCAAGAGACGTTAGTTAATGTGTAAATTGGTACCAGGACGGCATGCTGCTCTGTGAGACAAGTTACGAGAACGGGCATTCCAGTATCTCCAGCTTGTTCAGTTTCCAATCAATCATGAATTGTAAGGTGTCTTGCGAACGTTAGATCACATTCAAACCTGCCTTTGAGAACCAAACAGACTTGCCCAGAGTGGTGCTGCGTAATTTAAGGTCCAGAATAGGCAAGTTGATGTCTAAACTTGGAGAAGGCCCAGCCGATCGCAGCTGTGCAATTGATTTCAAGCAAATTCAAGCTGTATTACTGACCGCCGCTTATTGCGGGCAACTCACTTCTACGGTAAACGTTACCTGGCTCGAAGATGAAAGACACGGAAATCTTTCACGGAGTCGAGACGCTGCGATTGAGCGATTGAAGTTCTCTGGATCGAAGCTCCTTCCTGCTTTACCTAAGGAAAATAAGTCAAACCCAACATAGAGTCCCACGTGGCCTAGGGACGGAAACATGGGGCCCGATAGTATCTTATCCAATCCGGAAACCTGCGAATTTTCGTCGATGCCTAATATATCTCTTTGATGGTCACTTTCTGTGGTACCGGCGGTCGCATCAACGTCCTCCGCGGATATATCGAGAGTAGAACCAATGTGAAGGGCGACTTTTGAGAGAAGAGAAACAGGGGATTGGGCAGACAAGATCGCCGTGAAGAGTGAAACAAAATGTTCTCCATCTAGGGGAAGGCGGAAGGACCCCATATCCAGTCTGTGGACGAGTTCCAGAGAGGTCAGACTGGGAAAGACACCCAAATCAAAAGTGTTTATAAGAGCCCATGATCTGTCTGGAAACGAAAGGAGTTTAAGCATCTGACAAAACCAGCGATCCTGGAGGCTCTGTTACGCCATGTACTCACCGAACTCCTCTGTACGCATACGGAAATGAAGCAGCGATTCTGATCCCACCGAAAGAATTCTCAAAGCGTCCTTGTAGATTTCCGGCCGTATGCACCTCATATCAAACCTCTCCAAAGCATGAAAGTATAAAGCTGAGGCCGACTGCAGGAGCGGGCTGGGATGCCGTAGAAAGCAATGAAGGTTTCGAATTGCCGGTTTCGGGAGACTCGGAGGAGTATCACCCCCATTGGGTCTGTATTCGCTGAATTGAACATCATTGAGGTGAAGCTCTTCAATTTTCGTGTTGTCCAGGAGGCTGATGGGAAAGTCTTTAAGGCTAGTGAGAGCCAGGGATTTTAGAAAGTGGGAGGACGAAACTCGTGAGAACGCCTGAGCGAAGTGGAGTGTGCACTTGCTCCAGTCGATTCGATGATAGATGCTGTGTGATCTGAATTGCAGCCTTTTGGGACCGTAGTCCTCGCCATGAATTCCATCCAAGATCGCGACGATGTCTTCTCCATCGATTAGTTCCTTGATGTGTTTGGGAATGATTGGCTGTCTCCCATGAAGTCTGAATTCAAAAGTTATATCCTTGATGTATCGACCGGCGTGGGGGAGTGTGCTATTCGGAGTTGGTGCGATAACTCGACGAAGGGCTGAGAAGCCCTTGACTAGCACTCGTAGGCGGCTGGAAGAAAAGTTTACGCATTTGAAGATCCACATCAACGCGCGATCTCGGAATGATCGTGAGACTAGTATGCACGACGCGAGCGCTTGTTTGCTCTGCCTGGTCTCTTCGAATCCCAGCTCGTCCACAATCGTATCGAGAAGTTCTTGAGGGAATGCCATCAGCATCAAGGGAGCAGGGTGCTATACTGTGATGAGGTTCAGATCAGGTAGTGAATAGATGGTTTTTTGACAAGACGATGGTTGGCTGTAAGAGTTCGGTGAGGAGTAGTTATCGACTCCTCCAGTTATTCAGATAGATTCAAATATCGTGATGCCTGTGAAGATGGTGTTCAAGTTTCAACTGGGAATTACGCCTGACCGGTGCCGATACGGACTAAAGCAATTGCCGGATGCCGTGATGCCGAGCTCAATGAGCAATCCCACGGGTTACCTTTTCTGTCATTCACGATCCAAACTCTTCCGGAATGCATCCTCCAGGCCCGCTACGTCTCTACCTCCGTAGGCGGGGTCTCCCAATCGTCCAACAACCCTTGTATTAGTCTCCATATTGGAGAAGTGTATGTATATGCACTACGAGATCAGTAGCGTGGATCGGTAAGAAGGGGCTTGGGTTGGGACACTCGGTGCGGGGCTTCGAGTGGGAGAGTATTGAACGTGGTGCTTTTTTCTTATCTTCTTTTTCTTCTTGTCTTGATGCTGAATTTATTTTACGGTTATCATAGACATATAGAACGCCTACCTTGTTGGACCCAACCTCAATCTCGTCTACGAATGTCCCGGTTGTTGGAAGCCTCCAATGACATCTCTATTCGGATATTACTATCCGTTACCCAATCTACTGAAAGCAACTCGAACCGCTGTCTACACATGTCCATTTCCGCCCGAATCCATCCTTTCTGCCACCTCAACCTCAAACGTCGGCGTCCATACCATCACCAACGTCCTCTTCTGCTGTGCCGTTCGCCCTTTCTCGGGGTCTCTAATATTGTTCGCCAGTTTAACGCTGCGGAGCCCTACTCTTATCAACCAGCATTTCAGTGTTTGCAGTCGTTTCTTTTTCCATTGACACCGACGGAAAAGACCCTGTAAAGAGAAAGCGGGCGTATGTCAGCGCAAGGCCTTAGGTCTGCCGAAGAACTTCGGAAGGGCTAGCCAAGATCAGCCCTGTTGTCCGCATCATCACCTTTCCTTCGCAATTCCTCTCCTCTTTTGCCTTCGTCGATGGCATCTGCGAAGGCAACAACTCCTCACGCAATTCCTCACTAGCGCTGTCGTTGACGCGGCGAAGGGAGGAAGATACGAAGATGGCCGACGACAGGTCCAGCACGTCTCCTCGAAGCCAAAAGCTGATCTTGTGCCTCAGGGCCTGATTCGCTGGTGTCAACGCCGTCGTTGAGGAATGACAGGTCCCTACGACATGTGGAATTGACGAAGGACTTGGGGTTGAAGGAATGGGACGGAGAAGTGCGTATGGGCGGGGTGGACGCTATACAGGTCCTCAATTTCGCCCTTGGCGTCGTACCTCTCCAATTCACGTGGCACATCCCTCCACCTTCACCTCTCGACGTGGCCTTGTACTCTCGCCTCGTCGAGAACCACAGCAGATTGTGACGAGTGGTTGTCACCTCAACGCCACCCTACGACCAGTTCTCTGCAAGAAGGACAGGAGTATGTATGACCCAAATCCAGTTACCTCATAACTATTCGATTTGCCAGCGGAGGGGCAACAGAACGAGACCACGCCATGATTTGGTCTTTGCTTTGCATGGCCTCGAAGCGAACGGTAAATTATTTTGGGTTGGGAATGGGTCGGCGATAATGCCTTACTCAGCGACCTGCATTATTGGAAGTACGTGATACGCTTCCACCTGTTCTTCTCTGTCATCATCTTTAATCCTCGTCCATCGATCTCTAGTGCCCGGTCTTGCACCTCAACAGCGATAAACTTGCCGCCATCTGTCCAAGCGAAATTACCCACCTACGCAACCCAATGCCCGACATCCTCCATGCCCTATCAATGATCATCGTCGTTCGCCATATGTACCTGCGAAGCGAGAGCATGAGGCTGCGTTTGCTCTAATGGCTGCGCTCGTTGACGATTAACCAGGATCCCGAAATCCTGCACCAATGCCGAATGGTACGAACAAGTACGGGCAACAACGACAAGAGGGAGAATGTCGACCTGAGGCCGTCGATTGGGAGGCAGGGAGGTCAAGACAAGGGAGAGGACACTATTTAGCGGTGGCGTGAAGATGGTCCCATCTCAACCAGAGGAGGCTGCTGGAAGGTCGAAGACAACGTGAAATCTACATGACGTCGTTCCAGTCCCCGTCATGACATCGGAGTCGAATTAGGGAATGCGGGCATTAGGGGGAATGGGCAAATGTTGTTCATGGAAAAAAATGGCCTGGAAATTGCGGAACAAGTTGTTCAAAAGTGGTTAAAGATAATTACAGGCAAATGATTGCGTTGGTCGGATGGAATGTCGAGAGACGTTGCTTATTAACAAGTAAATTCACATCAGTATGGTACGCTGCCCTGTATGTATGCTACGAGGGGGGCCGTACAGCACCTCCCGGCGAGGTTTGAACGCATTCAAACCTCTATTTTAGAGCCAAAACGACTTCTGGGCCTGATTCTCGCCATTTCAGGTCCAGAACAGGCAAGTGGATGTACAAACTTGGAGAAGGCTCAGTTGATTGCAGTAGTACGCAACTACGTATGTGAATTCAAACAAATTCGAGCTGTACTACTGATTTCCACTTATCGGCGACACACCTCCACGGTAAATGACACCTGATCCGAAGATGAAAGACGAGGGAATTTTTCGCGGATTTGAGATGCCGCCATTGACTGATTGAACATATGTGACTCGAAGTTCGGTGCTTCGTTACCCAAGGAAAAAAGGTTAACTTAACCAAGAGTTCCACATGGCTAAGGGACGGGAACATCGGACCCGATAGCATCCTATCCAATCTAGAGACCTCCGAATTTTCGTCAGGGTCTAGTATATCTGTACGGCAGTTGCTTTCTGTGGCACCGGCAGTTGGATCAATGATCACTGTGGACATATTGAGAAGGAGATCGATCCTTAGTGTGACTTTGGAAAGGAGGAGAACAGGGGATCGGGCATGTAAGATCGTGGTGAAGAGTAAAGCGGAGTGTTCTCCGTCCATGGGAAAGCGGGTAGACTCTGTATGCCGGTGGACGAGTTCCAGAGAGGTCAGTTTGGCAAATACACCTAAATCAAAGGTGTTCCCAAGAACCCATGATCTGTCTAAGCAACGAATTTAAGCATTTAATAAAAGCAGTAATCATGGAGGCTCTGTTACGCCATGTACTCACCGAACTCGTCTGTATGCATACGGAAATGAAGCAATGATTTTGACCCCACCGAAAGAATTCTCAAAGCATCCTTATAGATTTCTGGACGTATGCACTTCACGTCAAACCTCTCCAAAGCATGAAAATATGAAGCAGGAGCCGACTGCAGGAGCGAGCTGGGACGCAGTAGAAAGCAATGAAGGTTTCGAATTGCCGGCTTCGGGAGAGGAGTGCCACCCTCATTGGGTCTGAATTCGTTAAATCGAACATCATAGAGATGAAGCTCTTCAATGTTTTTGTTGTCCAGAAGGCTGATGGGATAGTTGTGGAGGTTGGCGAGAGCCAGGGATTTCAGAAAGGGGGAGGACGAAACTCGAAAAAACGCCTGCGTGAAATGGGGTGTACACTCGCTCCAATCGATTGGATGATAGACACTGTGATTTGAATTGCAGCCTTTTGGGACCATAGTCCTCGCCATGAATTCCATCCAAGATCGCGACGATATCTTCTCCATCGATTAGCTCCTTGATGCATTTGGGAACGGACTCCTGTCTCCCATCAAATCTGAATTCAAAAGTTATATCCTTGATGTACCGACCGGCGTGAGCAAGTTTACTATTCGGAGTTGGTGCGATAACTCGACGAAGAGCCGCGAAGCGCTTGATTGCCACCCGTCGAGAGCTGGGGGAAAGGTCTACGCATTTAAAGGTCGGCGTCAATGCTTGATGTCGGAACGATTGTGAGACCAGTATGCACGACGCGAGCGCTAAGTGGTTCTCTCTTGTGTCTTCGGACCCCAGATCATCGACAATCGCATCGAGAAGCTCTTGAGGTAATGCCATCGATGTGGGCCGTCAAGGTAGCGGGATATCAGTATGCTGTCTATATCATGTTATGCATTTTGTCCAGGCAGACGATTTGAAAGGCTGTACCTCAAAAACAGTTATAATTTATCGTAGCCAGTGGTCGGCTGTGATAGTTCGGGTCAGAAGGGTACCTCCAGCTATTCAAATGACCGAATTAAAGAAAGCGAGATATTCAGTTGAGAAATTGCTGTCACTGCTGTGCATGGGAAGATGCCCAAGCTGGGTCTAATGATGTCGCTTGTCAACGTGTCAACTACGCGACTGAGCGTCAAATTACACCTTCTCCGGCAATGTGCAAACCTGCGACTCTTTGCTTAGTGTATAGCGCTCATTTCATCACTTGGACTCCACTCTCGAGAAGGTAAATGTCGATATTGCCTGGTGCCTCCAATCTCATCGTGAACGGCGGTAATTTCACATCCAATTCCCTCAATGTGAAGCCTGTTGGTGGGTCGAAAGGTGTGTATTTTCTTCCTCAGAGTCCAACAATACTTACAATAACTGTACCTGTAAGGTCTGGATTTGTTGAAAGAGCAGTGCGCCTTCGGTGGTCTCTTGAATTCACATGAACGGTTTGATCCTCCGCGATGCGACGAAGATACAAGAGTCGCTATTATCGCCCAAATCATGGACTGGATTAGAGATACTGACGATGCAGCGTCTATGGTTATTCTTCGCGGCTCCGCAGGCGCCGGCAAGTCTGCTCTGGAGCAATCCATCGCTGAGAAGTGCTTGAAGGAGGGACTTTTAGCTGCTGCTTTCTTCTTCTCTAGGGCAGCACCCAACCGAAGCAATGGGAATGCCCTTATTCCAACGCTGGCATATCAGCTTATCCACGCCATTCCAGCATTGCGTCCTCGAATTGAAGAGGAAATCAACAGCGATTTTGGCTTGTTCGCCCTTACGCGGGAAGCACAACTGGAGCGTCTCTTCATGAAGCCTTTGCAGCCTCCTCAGCGACCTTCTCTACTCCGGCGCTTATCCATGAAATTAGTCAACAGCCCTTCTCTGCCCCAGGACGACGTTAAAAGCTGGCCCAGACTCATCGCAATCGATGGGCTTGATGAATGCGATGATCCTATCGTCCAATGTGACCTCCTCCGTATCATCGCCGATCTGATTCCACGTCTTCAGTTCCCCTTTCGGTTTCTTATTTCATGCAGGCCCGAATCACACATCATCCATACTCTCAGGAATAGTCCATCTCTCCGAGCAATACTCTCTCATCTCGACAATTCATATTCGCCTCGACTGTCATCAACTATGTGGGATCTCCCAAACACAGACCTGATGATAGGCTTGACACCGACCTTCGAGTGTGCTTGTCGTGCGCCCATCGGGAGAACCCGCTTGCGCAGCTTGATATTTTATACTCTCACATTTTCTCTTACATCAGGGATGTGGATACCGCGCTACGCGTTCTTGGCGTGATCAAGCTCGTTTCTCAGGGACACGTCGACTACAATCCAATTTCTGAGCGGCATTTGAGCGTTGCCTCCCTCGAGAATATCTTCATGCTCCGCCCCGGAGACATAGAGCTCGTATTGGACGAGCTGCGCTCTCTCGTCAACATCCCTTCGCGTGACGAGCCTATCCGGGTCCTACATGCGTCCTTGTTCGACTTCCTCGGCAACCCGGCCCGGTCGGGCGCTTATTTTATGGACATCGCACGAGACGCTCGCCATATGGCAATGGAACCAGATTGACCTCAAAAGTAATATATCCCAACATTATCAGGCAATAACTGATAACCTTCAAAACAGGCCTCTCCAGCCAAAGCGTCATCCAAATGCGCAATTTTCTCTTCCATTGTCGTTTGGCTCCAGACACCCAAGAGCTGCAGGAGCTTCTCCTCAAGGCATCAGATTTTGCTTTGCCTTTCCTAAGGCCGTACTTGCGTCACAGCTACATGGACAAGGAAGAGGAACATGATCTACAGTTTTACTTCAAGAACCAAGTCGATATTTTACAGTTATGAAAAAGTGTAGTTGTCAGATTGAAGACAAAGGTCAGGAGTTTCAACGTTGCTTAATTCCTCGCAACATTCTGAGCTCTTCCTTTGACTAGCCTTTTATTTACGACCAGATCCTTTCCACTGTCAGTCAAAGGCTCCTCCGTCACGTCAGCGGTTTCGTACTATCATTGCCTAAGGAATCGATATTCCTGGAGATTGCTCACGAGTTGGCTGTGTTTCAACAGGAGGTTTGTACCGTTTTTTCTTGCACTTACATTAATATTTAACATCGCCTGATTATCCTGTCCCTCTTCTCCAAACTGCGCAACAGAACGACCCGAGCACTCCACTTGACAAGTCGGTCGAAGTTGCGAAACTCATGGCCAGTACACAGCTTCTGTGGCTGTATCCTGCGGCGGACGACAAGAGGCACAATCGTTACGTCGCCAACCTATTCACGGATTACTGCAGCTACTACCGCGGCGTGAAGAAATGCGACGTCGACCTTCCGTGCTGCGGCTCGGTTGGGTAGGTGTCTGTCGAAACAATGTCTAATTTCGTCGTTCACATTTTTTATTCCATAGGCTTGAGGGATACCGTCCGATACTGGAAAGGCTTTGCTGGCGAGCCACAGGACACACGCAGAACAAATTCTGGGTGTACAGCACCCCTTGAAGTCGATCTCAGCAGCACAATCGAACTGACCCCTCAGCATAATGATAACAAGTTAGGTATTCTCGAGAGCAATCTTGAGCAAGTAATAGTAGCAGAGCAAGTCTTGTACACAAATAGGTTTACGTGTGGTATCTCGATTAACCGAAGTCCATAAATATGTCGTCAAAATTTTTGCCAGCTGTTCAACGGAATAGCAGGTGTCTAGTGCCGAGACTCAAATCGTCATTACACCCGCAACACACCCCATCAGCAGTGCATCGACAGCCCCGCCAGTGCGCTTGTCTAACCACGTATCCAGCTTCTCGAACAGCTGCATCGCCGCTCCGCCTTGGGCCTTTACAGCACGCTTGGCAGGCCACATGCCCTTCTCTTGCAGAGCCATGAAGTTGACCAGGATGCCCGAGTTCGAGTCGGAGCCAGGCGGCACTTTCACGACCATGTCGAAGGAGGCCGTGTCCGTCCCGTAGAATGAAGCTTCTTTGATGTGGTGTCGGGCGTATTCGTCAGGCGGGTTGTCATCGAGAGACCACTGAAGGACGTGTGCGTCGAAAGCAATAGCTTCATCGAAGAAGGTTAGGACTGCTTAGTGACTAAAGGTTAGATGACTTACTCGTCCAGATCAGCCCAGGATGTGAAATTGTCACGGTCAGGTTTCGTGAGCCCGGAATCAGGCTCTCGCCGTGGTCGACGCTCGTCACAAGGAAGGATTGCCCATTAACCCATGGTGATACATAAGAAGGGTCTACGGCCAGGGGCACCTTGTAAGGAGACAAGAACTAGAAACGGAGAAAAAGCAGGTCAGCATCTGTCATCTACTTCACATTCAAAGCTACAACGTACTGCAGAAAACGGATACAACGAATCCCAATCGCTGTTATATCCGTTCATATGCACAGGCGCAGGTGCGTGTTCCGTCGTCCCGAACTCATGGACGATATCCTCAACCAGGGTGTCGAACCCCGGCGCGCCATCAGCAGCAGCAAGGTGCAGATGCTGCTCGCTGCTCGTGATGTTCTCCGTGTGCAGGATGAACAGCCGCTTCTGGTGCATCTTGTCAAACGGCACGCGCATGGCGTAGAGTGCGATGGACGCAGCGGTGGCCATGGTCATGAAGATAACACCCCTGAGAAGCGCTCGGTGCCCGAAACGATGTGTAAGTGGCAAGACAAGAGGAAGCGATATTGCCCCCAAGCTGGAGACGATAACGGCAATGATGTTCTCTGCAGGAGCATCTGCGCCCATTCTGCCAGTCTAAGTGAGAAAAAGTCAGCCTAAACGGCAAGACCTAAGAAAAGAAAAGAACACTTACCAGTGGAACAAACACCTCAACGACACCAATTATGAGCATCGTCCCAGTCAAAAGAGGGAAAGCCTGTCCAATGCCATAGGTCCATAACGATAGTCTCTTTGTCGTTCCAGAGAAGAGCGGGTTGAGGGACAGAGCAATGAAGAGCGGCGAAGCCGTGAGGAAGAAGATCGCTGCGGAGCCTATGCCTGCCATCTGGACAACAATAGCGAATAGCGACTGGAGGAGCAAGAGAGCTGTAAACACGGATTGTTCGTGCACTTCGCCGACAAGGTACTGAGAGAGCATCGCTCCTGAAAACGAACAATCAGATGAAGGATTCCCCCGAGAGAAAAGGCAGTAAAACGAACCAAGCAGAGCAGACGGTCCATACAACCCAAGCGGCGCCAACGGGTTCGAGAACCAGCTCATGGGCTTGTTCAACAGGCTCTTCATCAGCACTGCAACCACGTTTGGAACCAGCATTGTCCCGACCATGCCCGCGACAACCGCGACAGCGCCCTTTCCCTGCTCTCTCCAAAAACCATGGCCAGTCTTCAGGGCTGGGGCCGGGTCAACAAACGATAACCGGATGAGACCAAAGGACAGTACGAAGAGGATCGTATACATAATATTGGCGGTTCTGAACGAGTAGATGAAGAACGTCGGACCCAGGTGCGCGAAGAAGGCGGTGGTCGGGCGGGTGTATCCATTTGTAAGGCTGGGCAAAGGTGAACCAGCGGATGAGAGGTATCGGATAAGCTCGAGTGCGTTCTCGCCCATGTGCTGCGCGACTCCCGGTTCGATGTTCTCAACGACGTCCTTTCTCATGTGGTAGAGGTAGCTGTTTCCGACGACAGCCATCTGGAAGGAGAATGAGGGGCGCAGACGACATGCTGGGCTAAACACTCACGTCTAGACCAGTTACGTTGAGATAGAGCTCAAATTGACGGAAATCGGTACTGGAAGATACTGATAAGACTACACCGCAGCCTTGACGAGAGGAAACACATACTCCGACATGATAATTCCAGAGCTAAAGATATCGTTGGCGAAGATCGTCCCATAGGGTCTAAATGGGAAGATTAGGATGCTAATGACGTGGTAGCACGAATATTACCTAGGTACATGGGAATACGCTTCGATCATGGCTTCTGACGTTGCTTGGAATAAGAGTTCTCGTCCCGTCGTTCCGGCAGCTTCATGAGAACGTGAGCCAGATTATAACGACGAAATAGATGGCATATAAAGACCTTCCAGATTTAATGCAGCACGAACACTATTGAACAAAGTCAGTACAAAGATCGCAGGCAACTACGGCAGAGAACGCACGTCGATGCGATAGGATGTTGGGTCGAGAACAAGTGCGATCCATCCTGCAGAGATTCTTCCGCATTGTTGAACACTAACACGGCACCATCAGACCTCGAGCTTACAAAATCAACGCAAGCCGACTTACAGAAGATGATAGCATGTTTAGGAGACCACTTCGGTGTCTCCACCAAGACACGCATACAATCCAGCATAATACCAACGGCCAATGCATCATCAGCTGCACCAGGACTCGGCAACGTGCTGTCAAGGTGCGCATTGACGAGGACAGCATGCTCCTTGCCTTCAGGCGTGCCATCCGATATACGTACGACGATATTGCTGAGATTCACGTATGTCTTGTACAGCCGTTTGCCCATCATGTCGAATCTACTCTACGATCAGATTTTTTTTAAAAGAAATAGAATATTATTTCACGCACCTGTGGTTCCCACTGCCCTCCTGTCGCCAGACCTCACACTCCAGCTTGCGCCCGTGCTTCGCAGAAATCCTCTCGCAGTTCGCCTGGACCTGCTCAGCTGCTTGGAGCATCCACTGGTCTGCCAAAGAATGTTCATACGTTCCGACTGTACGATACCCAATGCCTTCTGAGAGATGCCTTGCGACCCCTAAGATACGCTCCTCTGAGATTTGTGGGCGCTTAGTTGTTGGGTTCGTCCTGAATTCGCGTCATTTGGTAAGGGCAAAGCGGAGATAATCAAGGGATTCGTTTACAATGCAGAAAGAGGCTCCGGCAGCCCTAAACTATCAGTGAGAAACGCACTAAATTCAAGAGCTCTTTCGACGTACTGTAGTGGTGGTTGTATGCCACCCATGGCGAACCAATGAGCACCGGAGAAAGAGCCAACAAGGAGAGCCATGGGCCCCAACGGCTACCAGAGGGCATTATGAAGCACAGTCAGGACGAAAGACGCGATTTGGCGAGCTGGGAGTACCGAGAGGCTAACCTCTGCTGCTTTTGGGCACGTCAGACGTTCTGCCGCGTGGCAAAACCCAAATCACGTCGAATATCCTTCCAGGTCCTCCAACTCTCGACGCAGAAGGGTTCCCAAGTGTTCGGGACGGTGTTGGGGGTGGGGACAGTGGTGGGAGTTGCGGTTGAAAACTTGGGTTCGTCCCCCCGGTCCTTGTGCGGATGTGCAAAATCCGGTGTTTGCCTGCAGCGATTGGCATAAACACGAGCTCAACGTCAGAAACGATGACAAGGCTTGTTCTCGAACCTCATCGTTATCTCGTAAAATCTGCCGTGCCAACAGGATGTATTCTCTAGACTTCTCTTGAAAATTCGGGTCCTTGCTCAATGACCGGTCTGAAGGATTGATTTGGACTGTTCTGCTTGTTCTGACGTTGCTGCACCTCAGGACTGTCGAAAACACTGTCAATGGCTTCACCTATTGGCGCATCTTGTCGGCGAAGTAGTTCCATCATCGCAGTTCCTGAGACAGTTTGTTCTTGGTACTACTAGCTTAGACACCATGGCCTCTACGAAACCTCAGCCTGTCGCATTGAGGGCATCGGCATCGCCTCTTGAACATCTCTCTACAGCTCATGTATCAAGATTCACAGATTCTCCTGGACAATTCACCCCACAAAATTTCGAAACAACCCAAATTATAATTATCATAACATAGCTCGCTCGTTCTGTGTCTACTCTAACGTCGGTGCCTTCCGTGTCCGGAGGCAGGCCTATGAGCTGCTGCGTGGTGACCCTTCTTCTTTTGTACATTCCCGCTAATCTCACCCAGGGGCTGGCGGCACGAGCATTCGTGCACACAGAAGTCGTTGGCAATCTGTGCGTGCGGCTTGCGTTGGGGCGGCCGTGTGTTGGAGACGCACTCGTGCGTCGATTCGCACATAATTTTGTAGTTGTGACTCTTACAGTGCATAGGGAGTGAGCGGCGCCTGGGGGGTTGCAGGTGGCGTATATCAGCAACGGGGTTCCGAAAGAAAGCAGAGGTCAGGTTACTCACTCGAGTGTGGAGTACCCCTCGCTGCGAGGAAGATGCTCGTTGCGGCGGTAGTGAGCGGGGCCTGGTGCAGCGACGACGGCAGAGGCACCAAAGAGAGCAGCAACGATAACGGTTGAGAAACGCATGACGAAGATATGGGGTTGGATTGATTGGAACTAGAGAGGAGAGATCAGCATCGAAGAAAATGAGAGTGAGAAGGCTCTCACCAAGTGACCGGCACTGGTTATAGAGATAGGAAGCGCAGCTTGAAGAAAATAAAAGACCCTCCTGGTCCTTATATACCGCCACAGGATCCAGGGTCGGAGGTCATTGGAGCAGCTCAATGCCAGAATTGGTACACGTCATGCTTGATTCAAGGAGTGGGGCCGAAGGTCGAGAATATACTGTGAAAAAATACGCGAGGTCCAGCAGCTTCTAGTAGTTTCCAATGCGAAGCCGCTCTGCAAAATAATGCCTTCACCAAGGAATCATCGAAAAGTAAACGCTCCTCAGCCAGAGCAAAACCTCAAAAATAACAAAGAGGTCTCTACGACCCACGCACTCTCAGCTATTGTTCGTCTTGCAAGCTGACACATAATGCTGATCAGATGCGCCACACTTTTCGGATCCTGCTACTGCCACCGAAGAAGGATCGCTGATCCGAGAGTCGCTTGTACCCCATGCTACCCGAAACACTTGCAGCGTATCAAAAGAAGCTCTAGATTAGCCAGGGTGTCATGATTTGCACCTTATCTCGCTTGCCCTAACGTAGCTAAGACCATGAAGCGACGACTTGGCTGTCCAGATCATCCAGACGTTGTGGAGTGAGGGACTCTGGGTCGTCGTGAGCGATTTGGTTCTCCTGGTGACTGATCTATTGAGCTTCTTGCAATTTTACTTGAGAGAGTTTCAAGTTTAGTTTATCCTTGAGAGGCGAAGAATATTTTTGTGTGACCGAGAGTACTGCTCAGCTGGATATGTATCAGGAGGAAAGGTTTTCCGATTATTGTGCTGGGTATAAAAAGAACGAAAAAGAAATAAAAAATAGAAAAGAGGGGGAGCTTGTGTGCCCCTCAAAAACACCTTCACGACAGGACAGACGATCTCGAGGGTGTCATCCCAATGCTCTGAATGGGAAAATTTTCTCTCGCGCGCCGTGCGCGCTTCGAGATTGCCAAATTGAACGGGCCCGGGTCTCCGCGTCGCACTGACAAGTATTGACCGTCTTGCTGACACCAAATTCAAGGCAAAAGAATAAATTTACTTCATATAATTTATTGCACCATCATGGTACAAGACCAAGTGGTGAATATGGGTGGATTCCGCTGCTCTCTGATGTGCGTGCTCTGGGCAAGATGAAGAACCTCAACCTCACTCAAAACACTCACGCAAGTACGTGGGGCATGAAAGACTTCGATTAGAATATAGAAATGGTGTCAGAATAGAAAGAAATAAAATAAATAAATGCTTCGTCGAAACGTCGCATCTGAGTGCCCAGGAGTGGTCTTCCTGCTCCTAAAACACTCAATATCGAAGACAGGGACGGTCTTTCACTCCCTGAATCCGAAGTGCAAAGGGAATGGTCTTCCTTTTCCCCTAACACTCAAAACCGGAGCAGTGGTCTTCCTTCTGCTCAAAAACTCAAATCCTCGGGTGGTCTTCCTTCCCTAATCCCTTGGATCGCACTATCTCTGCGGTGGTCTTCCTTCCGCTGTTATCATCTCTCTAGCTTGCTGGTGGTCTTCCTTCCAGCTCGCTCCTCTATCTCATACTCTATCTCTGATAAATGTGTCTTAATCGTTTATTAATCCCCCGAACCCTCTTAGAAGTCAACCTGGGAGCTCACGAGCGTCCTAGCGGACCGCCTCGCTTCGCTACCCACTCCCAACCTCGGGGAGGTGGCTGCTTGCCTCTCCTCGTCGTCCTCCTCGGGTTTATATACTCGAGGATCTGGATATCCGGAATCTCATCTTCCGGGTGTCTTACTCAGCTCGTAGGTGTCCAGAATATTCTATTAGGCTTGTCCGACCAATAGAATATAGTTTACCTCATGATATGAGGTCATCACGACCTTTCTCGGGGCGTCTATCCTCGTTGTACACCATTTATGGTGTTGCCATGTCTATATCTGGACTACGGAACATCAACACTCCAGGTATCTGACTCAGCATTGTGACCCAAGCCTACTCGAGTGATTCCTATTGGTCGATTCACACAGAAAACACATGATTGTGGCGGTTCGAGCGCCAATACCATGTGGTAGCGCTCGTTGTCACACATCACAACTGCCTCAAACGGCGGATTACAGTCACGTCTCACTGAGGATTAAACCTCATTATCGTTATCTTATCAATGAAATAAGAACTTCTTTATCGAAAAATTCTCAGCCGTATCATCTCGCGGTTCCAGGAGCCTACTCAGTTTCCTGCTGTACGGAAAAGAAATATTTGTGGCTGTGCGGTGGCAGATAGACTTAGGGGCTCGGTAGCTACCTCGTTCCACATTCCATCGTGCTTGGTGCACACACCACCACCAAAAATTGACACATGAAAGAATATATTTTTGTAGTCTACCTGTAAGTTTACAGCCGGAAGACTGCACTGGAAGCTCGTGAAAATAGTCAAGAGATATGATGTGTCAGCTTTCTCAGGCAGGTATTGGCAGATACCCGCCCAGCACAATGATCGGTAAACTGGAGGAACGCGAATATATGAATACACATCGGCTCTGTTGGCAAGTCTCGTTGAGTAGGTGTGTAGAGCCGTTATGATGTAAAACTTCTCAATCCCGCCTCGGCCCTCGTATGAATGCGCGCTTATTTTTTCCGTGAGACGGTGCTTAACTGATCATCAACGTCGCCACTAAAATTAGGCTGCTATCGCTATCTACGTGTCCTCACATGATTCTCGAGCAGTGTGGGGGGGCTCGAACCCCACCTCCTCCCACCGCCCCTTGAAACTGGACGACATGCTCGCTCTGGACTCTAACATCATCATCGACGTCGCCGTCGCAGTATTCTTCATCCTTCTGATTGTCTTCTTGGACAGAAGGTCAAGATACCGGCTTCCGCTCCCTCCAGGTCCTACGAGGCCTTTCCTTAGCGATAACCGGCGAGATGTCCCGGCTGCGTTGCCCTGGAAGACTTTCACGGCTTGGCAGAAAGAATATGGTAAGTAACTTTCCAAAAATATCATGAGAGATAGCCGGGTGCAGTCATTGGTCAACGTAGGCGATGTTGTATCAATCCAGCTGGGTCGTACCCCAGTCATCAGTGAGTACCGGTATCTCTTCAACCATTTTCGCCTTTTCCATGGGCGCTATTTCTAGTCTTGAACACCATCAAGGCGGCCATCGACTTGCTGGAGAAGAGAGGAAATATCTACTCAAGCCGCCCACGTCATATAATCGGGTGAGCTCTTGTACTATGATGTGATTGAGAATAAGAACAAATCAAAATTTCTGTGTGTCCCAAGAGGAGAGATCTACTCGGACGGAATGCGTGGAATAGGAATGCCATACGGCCAGAGATGGAGGAACTGGAGATCGGTAAGCCACCCAATGTTGTAACCTCGGAGTAGCAGCTGTCAGCGCTGATATTCTCAGCTCATGAACACGGGGATGGGCATCGAAGCTTCTCAAGGTTACAAACCCCTCCAGGACGCTGAATCCAAAATAATGCTCCGAGACTTATTGAACGCCAAATCTTCCTCGGAGAGATCCTCCTTCGTCCGACGGTCCAGCAATTATCTTTCATGAGTAGCACAGATCGCTGAAATATTATTCATCCTAGGTTTATCATATCTGTTGTCTTTTTCGTATCTTATGGCAGACGAATTTCGTCGATGGAGGACCCTACTATCCAGATGAACGAGGAGATCGAACACTGTGAGTAATTCTTACCTATGTACTGTTCGCCTCCGTTTATTCTGAGTCCTGACGTGTGATCAGTTATTATCGGGTGAGTCGATTCCTCTGTATTTGAAGGCTTTCGTCTGAAAAGAATCCAATGGAAATTAAAGCGCACAGTCAGTGGAAATATCTTCTTCCACAATATTTTCCTAAGGCGTTCGCAGCATCCCCGGAAAGCATCTCGTCGAATCAGTACGCATACCACTGACCATCAGTTCTAATCATGAGTTAATCATGTAACGACCTCTAGTGGCCGATTTTACTCCTTCTCCCGGTCGCTTCACATCTTCCCTTCTTCAAATCATGACACTAACATGACCATTAGCGGTCCCTGCAATGGTTCCGCTGGAAATACGACAAACAACGCGAGAGGGGGACGAAGTTCTACGTCGAGCTCATGGAATCTGTCAGGAAGAGGATGGCCGAGAACACAGCCCATGCCTGCACGTCGACCAAAGGGTTAGAGAAGCAGGAACAATTCGGCATGAACGACGTCGAATTGGCGTATGCACTGTCGTCTCCCGGGCAAGCTGGGGTAGGAACGGTACGTCTCTCTACCCTGAACGAGGTACCGTTGATCCAACGCTAACGTTCTGGAAAGAACTATGCCGCGTTCCATGTGTTCTTGAGCATGTTCAATTCGAATTCCTTCAAATGTACGTTGGCTGACGTTCGCCGACAGTGGCAATGCTGCTCAATCCAACAGCCATGAAGCGAGCCCAAGAAGAGATCGATTCTGTAATCGGCCTTGAGAGGCTTCCGGAATTTTCAGACATGGAGTCCTTGCCTTACGTCCACGCTCTCATATCTGAGGTCTTGAGGTGCGTAGTCCAAGCCCAATGCATTTCGCCGAAACCTGAGAGTCGTCTGGACGATAGGTGGAAACCAATAGTCCCGACCGCCCTGGCGCACAGCGTCATCGTCGACGACGTCTATGAAGACATGTTCATACCCAAAGGAAGCACGATCTACGGCAATATCCAGTACGTGGTCCAGGGTTGTTTGCTTTGTATTCGCCAATTCAATCAAATCCTTTTCAACAGTGCGATGTGTCTGGACGAAGAGGTCTTCCCAGAGCCAAAGAAATTCCTGCCCGAACGGTTCTTAACACCCACCGACCCACGCCTGGCGAATTTCACGCTTTGCTTCGGGTTCGGACGGCGGATCTGCCCTGGCATACACATCGTGCGCCAGTCTCTGTTTATCACGATCGCCAGGTAGGTTAAAGGTCACATATGCGGGCTACCGTTCATGGATCTCGCAGGATACTCTGGGCCTTTGATATCATGCTTCCGATTGGTCCTTCAGGAGAACCGATCCTGCCAGATGACAAAGACTTCAGTACCGGCCTGGTGATCCATCCAAAGCCGTTTGAGTATAATATGGTTCCGCGAAGAGATGGGATCATTGAATTCTTGAATGAAGAGGCGAGGAAGGCAGACGAGGAAGTGTTGGCGTGGTAGGGCCTTCTGCGTAACCTGAAAGAATTGCAAATGTATGCGGACATTTTGTATCTTGAGTATTTTTGTATCACCAATCCTACATCAGAGAGGTCAACTTGACCTAGAATAAAAAAATGCTAGCAACGGAACCTGAGTCACGTTTCAAAACCTACCAAGACTTCACTCATCCCCATCGCCCCCACCGCCTTTCTTCCTCCGACTAACCTTCCCAGCCTCCCTCCATCTCCTCTTCCATTCTCTTGTCAGCTCGCCCTTGCACCCTTCCCACCGTGCCCGAATCTCGTCCTCGCTCTCCGTGCGGAAGAATCCTACAGCCGGATCGCGCCAGTACCACCCACCATCCTTCGCTAAATCAAACACATCTCGTTGTCGCGCTTTGGTCGTGCTGCCTTCTTGCGCGGGTAAAGGGAAGAAGAGGGCCTGGCGTGGGTTGAGCACAAGGGGTGCTTGCGAGGAGTATGTTTGGAGGGTAAGAGTCGTTGGAGCAGGAATGGAGACAGAGGTTGTGGTCTCGAGATGTGGAGCCTGGATGGGCTGTTCAGTCAGGAAAGGCATTTCTTCGTCAAGTTCCATGTCTAGGTCAAGGTGCCCAAGTAAAGAAAACCCAGCTGAACATATAATTTTCAGTAGATTGTAAAGAAGTTCAAATGAATGACATACTTTCCTCCTCTCGAGGAGCGAATAGATCCTTCAGCTTCGCAGTTGTTGCCTTCGGAGGCGAAGGAGCAGTATGAAGGGCCTCTGAGGTCTTCGTTTCTGGCGCCATTATCACGTCCTCTTCGTCTTCCGAATCTTCCTCCGACTCATCCACCTTTCGTTTTGCAGTAGTTGGCTTGCCTCCGGCCTTTGGCACAATCTCGAACTCGGGTGCTTCGTCATCATCTACTAGCATAACGTCGTCTTTGACCAGCTCGTTTTCGTCGATGTCCGACCCTACACTTTCGCGACCGATCCAATCGTCGTCATTATTCCCGAAGAGCGAAGCGAGGAAACCGAGTGTTTGAGACTTCTCTTTTTGAATGTCGATGCTGCCTTCAGGAAGAGTTGCGGAGCTTGTTGGTATCGTTGCGGGAGGAAAAACAGTTGCTTTCAAGGAAGAAGGGATCGGAGAACCGTTCACTGGAGCAGGAGCAACATCGGGTAGAGAATTGCGAGGGGCCAGCGGGGAGGTAGCTTGGGCAGGAACATCGCTTTCACTTTCGCTGCTGCTCTCCGATGTGCCATCGATAGGTTGATCCTGAGTTGGAGTTCGCCTCCGCGCAGTCTCTGGAACTTCAAGATCGAGGAACACTCCCTTCAAATGCGTACTACCATACGCGGGCATGTCGATCGTCGTCCTTCGAGCACGAGTGTCTGGATCTTTCGCCCTTTTCTTTTTCTTCTTCTCGGATTCAGCAGACTTCTTCCCCTTCTTGGGCTTTGTCTCTTCTACGTCGACCAACGGATGAGTTGGACGCGTCTTTATGGGGTGTGTCATCCGGCCGAGGGCAGAGACATTCCAACCTTCTCTCTCCGCAACATTTTCTGTGGTGATTAAGGACATGTCGTCCGAATAGACAGCCCCGTAATGCCTCTGCCTTTTCTTGGGAGGCTCTTCAGCGGCTTTCTTGTTCTCTAGTGCGATCCTACACTTCAGGTAAGATATTAAAAAAATCACGAAGATTATGCGAGTACATACTTATCAGCATAGTCGGGTTTCGCCTCTCCAAGCCGAAGCTTTGCACCTTTCCAAGTAGTTCCGCTGAGGAGATTCATGCCTGTTCGGGGACCCTGCTGGTCAGGTTTATACCCGTTCTTCCAGAAAGCAACTCTTCGGACTCACATTTGGCGAGATTTCCCGTCGTAGCCTCTAAAGTGACAAACGCGAACTTTCTTGGTTGCCCAACGCCATCAAGAAGACCAAAACCATCTGTAGCTTTGACAGTGCCGAAAGATGAAAGTCGACGCGAGATATCGTCTGCACTTATCGCGGGTGTAAGACCAGATACGATGATTCGCTTCGTTATAAGAGTGTCTGTCGTTGTCATCGTCGGAATGAGTGCGTTATCGTCGCCGCCGTCGCGGTTAAGCCCACAAAGAAAATGTGCCAGTGGCTGTGTCAACAGTTTGGCGCAGAAGATCCGACAACAAGAAGAATCTCCCGAGTTGACCGAGGTTGACCACTCTGCCACCAACCACGACCATGATGCACAACTCCCCGTTCACCGTTGCCGGATTGTCGTCCTCGACGTCCTCACACCATAGCCCCAACTTGTCGAACTTAAATTCATGGGGGAGTTCGAGTACGAGCGGACCACTCGCGTCGTCTTTCAGTGACTCGCTTTCACAGTCTAGAAGTCACTATCAGTCAGGTTACCTCATGGTGAGTATCACAGTCTTCTGGACCTTCATGAAACTCATATGAATGTATTTCTTCGAACAGTCCGCGTCCCAGAACAATGTACGCGTTTCACGTTGCCAGAAGGTGTAAGCTTCAAACTGACACCTTTCATAGAACGCGCCTCAAGGAAACCAACGTGTTGATGAAGTTCCTGTCGTGCAGACGAAGGCGAAAATGAACCAGATTCTATCTCGAGGGTCCACAACAGAATTTGGGATGGACTCCATGTTCCAGAGTAGCAGGTGTGTCTGAATGCCGTACTGCGCCTCATGTTGATTCAACACCTTTCCGCTCTAGGCAACGACAGACGCTCGCAGATGAGGATGCGCCACCCATGAGCTCAATTAACGATATACCTAACGAAATCAACGTGGATCCCAGTCCCAATCGCTTCCAAACAAGAGTGAGTTGAATGTAGACCAGACAGTTGAACACTTCTTATGTCTCCTTGTCTTCTAGAAAGCCGCCACCGAATCACCCTTGTTCTCCTCGCGTCGCAATGCTCCTACACCTCCTTCTGGCCCTTCACAGCCCGTCTACATCCTGGTGTTTGGATACCCGCCAGACAAGTACAGCGTCACGGCTGAATACTTCAAATCTCTCGGCGCATCCACAGAGCCCGACCAAAATTTGGACCTTGTGTCATGTTTCAGGATCGGGTACTACGACGGTGGCGACGCCATGAGAGCCGTCCGTAAAAATGGCGAGGTGCTTGGTGGCAGCTTCATGGTCGGCGCTAAATGGGCGGTGCGTACTTTCCAAGTTACTCTCATCGGTTTCGCAACTGACTTGATGTTATAGGACCCTGTCCAAGCCGAATCTCTCCTCGGCCAACCAATCCTCCGGTCAACCTTTACCCCTCCAACTCTTGCTCAGCAAGCCAGCGGAGACTCGTCATCAGGTAATAATGCCATGGCAGTTGACGAGCCTTTCGCCTCTCCACACGCAACTGCGAGCACACCTACCGTCGGCACGCCCATCAAACTCGCACCTTCGACCTCTGCCTTCCGCAAGCCCGGTGCTCCTTCGAAGCCCTCCACGTCTCAGCGCAAGGGTTGGGGTTCCGGCGTATTCAGCAGCTCCGCCTCTGCGCCAGCGATGATGGGTCCTGGCTCGCAGCCTCTCGCTGCCGCCCCTCCACCCCCTCCAAGCAAGAGCGTTATGGGCCAGATGTCTGATCTGATCTTCGGGTGGTAGTTTCGTCAAGCTTTATTGGTGACCGGTAAGGGCTCGATCCTATTCTTATGAGTCATAGCCGGCAAAGCTGACTGTGTCCATTACACCTAGACCTAGCTTCTCATCCGCACGTATACAAAGGAAGCAGCGCTTTAGTTCGTCATCTGAGCCAGACTTGCGAAGCGTGCTGTGCGATATGTATAACACCCTCACACTCTAAGAACTTGCGTACGTCTATGTCCGTGTCTTTCGCGCGAGGACCGCCGTCCTTTTCGTGTGTTTTCCCTCCTCGAGTTCTACTCGCTCTTTCACTTCTCGAGAGGCGACGATCGACGCGATCACTCTTGACGCTCAAACCTCGAAGTCCTTGATTTTCTGCTCAACGTCATTTATGAGCACCGATGAGCAGTTCGTTGAAGAAAACCGCCTTCTCGGTGTCTGGAAGGGCTTATTCCCAAACAGCGCAATACCCTTGTATAAGCAGCGTCTTCCAATTTCCTTTCACCACGACCATGCGGCACCCTCAGGTCCTTCTTTTTATCTCCGGGTCTCCGACGGTATGCAGTCGCACGGTTTTCCCGGAATCCGTGAAGCAGTTATTTCCCTTTGGCAATTGGTATGTCTTCCAGCGCGACCCAGTGTCCTGGAAATACCCCCATGATGAATGATTGTGTGATAAGTATGGCGAGATCCTCGGCGATCTCCATCTGCGCAGAAATCGTGGTTTTCCGGGATCCTAATGTCAAAAAGCTGACACACCTTGCGTGGTGGATGATCCTTTCTGTCAGTCTCAATTGAAAATGACGTAGGACGAGTGCGCCACAATCACCCGCCGCCTACATTCCAAAGCCCGACGACGGATAGGCACATTGGTGACTTGACACTCTGCACTTAAACAGCCTCAGGTCGAGCGCTGATGAGATACGGCTGCAAGTCAATTGATGTGCTGGGCATGACAAAGATGTATTCAAGTTGGGAGGGAAGAATATTTATTGCATTCGCGGCTTTCAAGTCCGAGTCGGGTTGTCGGAATCGCTCTACAACCGTTGATCACTGCGGAATGTGGAACCAGTTGCGAGAAAAGCGAATATTTCTCTATCTACCGAGGGCAGTCGAGACCGACAATTCAAAGGATGACGGAAGACGCTTAGTGGACTTAGGTATCAGTTGTTACACGAGCAGAGTCTCGATCTGAATTCGAAGCGTCGCCTCCGAAAGGAAGCACCTCCAACTCAAAAAATGCGTCGTCTAACGATGTGTAGAGTCGTCATTTTTGAAGCTTTTGTCAACCTCGGAGTATAATATTCGATCGTGTTGGGCGCCTTTGAAAAATGGGACGTGCGTCATATAAGCTTGTCCGGACGATGAACGAGGGGCGCGGGCGAGCTGACATATGCATATAACCGAGCAATGTATCGCTGGCTACGATCATCGGAAATAGCGAAGAGGTCGGAGAAGTGAACGTCCGATGTCTGACTCGAGCGTCGCCATACCAGCCTGGCAGCGTGAGGCGAGTACGAGAAATTACAATGTACTCTGCGGAGACCCATCGAGACGAATAAGCCAAGAAATGAAAGGGGAGTAAAGACGATTTCCGCCGCTCTTCGCCACATGGGATTGTGAGTGAGAAGGTGAATTGCGTTTCTGCAGACCATATGGCCCCAGTTTACCGTCGAATCCACCCTTGAAAAAAGCACTACACCAAACTTCAAAGCATAACTATCAACATGTAGAAATTTTGGATCCAAAGTAGAATTACATACGTCGTGACAATTGAACAAAGACATGATCACCCGTCTGAGCCTGATCACCGTAAAGAGGTGCATCAATCCGAGATGTACTTGTCGACTCAGAAAGAGGACAGAGGGGAAAAAAAGAGCAGGTGCCATAAATTATGGAAGTGGTTGACAGCATCCGCATTTATCTTCCGCTCAAGGCACCATAATTTAACCGTAGAGAGAAACGAAGCAGAGTTTTCGTCGAACTTGTGCCTTCGCGAGCAACAGACCGAGTGTGGCGTGCGAATATTATCCTGGGAACGGATTACTCAAGTAAGGTGCCTTTGTTTATCGATTTCTTGGGAACCTTTCTCTTGAACCGTCACCACGGCGGTCGATTTATTTCCTTATCCTTTGTTCACGTCAACGATGTCCACGATCGCTGCGTGTTCTGGTTATCAAAATACCAAATAGTCCAACAGAAGTCCTCCTGAGACATGGCGAACCTCAAACGGGAGCCAAGGACCAGGGAGCTGGCGAACATCTTCAAGCCATAAAACTTTATACCCGCAAGGAAAACTGAGTTCCAGAATCTGAATACTCCTTCCACTTGCATCCGGCGCATTCAATAAGGCGTAATATCTAGCCTGACCCGTGAGCGGCGCCCGCAATTCAATTAATCCACTAAACTCCAACACCCCAAACTCTTGCAGAACAGTTCGACGGATACGAAGACTGGCAATTGGCGCCGATGTCGGTGTTCTGCCGTGCCTAAAAATGGCTCTGTCTACCACAATTGTCGCAGTGGTCTCAAGAGTCTGAGACAAAACCGTCGAGACTCTTCGAGTCTCCTTGCTTGGCCAAGGAATCCAGATAGGCCTTCGGCCCTGCTTTCCGAACTAATCGAAAGCATGTTCATCCGCTGCTCGGTGAAAGAAAAGGTCTGATTTTCCTGCCGCTCACGACACCTGTTTCTTTCCCTGACCGTAGGAAATCGGCAGGTTACAGCGAGCGCTTGCGTCTACGCCTTGAACGAAGAAGGGAAGCAACGTCGAGACTCGACAATACTTTGCTACAATGACCTCATCGTAGACCGTCAGAAAGCCGGGAACTGGACAGTGGATGGTCCTCGATTGGCAAAAGGAGGCAAAAGGAAAGACCTGGATCACTAACGTGGTAGGTGCCACGCGTCGATCGATCCTCCGAGAGTCCGCGTGCCTCGCCCATCTCTTCTCTTGGCCAGCGGAGCAAGCTGCAACCTGTGATGGCCTGGCCGGCGATACAAATAATGTGAAGCTCAGGACGCAGAGGCCTTTCAGTGCAAATGAACTCGTGATAGAGGGATGACTACGGGGAGGATCCTAATAGCCGCAGCTTGGCCTTGAGCGCGACGCAATCGTGGGACAATGATTGGGTCGGCTTATCTGACACTTTGCCGAGATCTCGCATGTCATGGATTCTCGGTTGGATGTTCCTCTTGCATGGGCACGCAGTCCGGTTCAATCGTGTCTTTTGCGGGACTCAAAAATATTCAAAATGACCCATTCCCTTTCATATCCTTCCCTCGTTCGCAACCCGTCTTGTCACCGCTCGCGTTCCGACGCGTCCTCTTTCATTCGTGTGGATTCGACGAGCTGCCAGACCGACCATGACAAAGTTTAGAGTTGCGATTTGGTCAGTCGCATCTTGCGCGTCAACGTTCCTGAAATGATCCTAACACGCACGGTGTAGTGGAGCTGGCATCGGGGGGTTGACGACTGCAGGTACGCAATTTCTGTACAGCTTGCTGCAGATTTTCTTTCCTGATCACCGTCCCATTAGTCGCACTATCTCGATACCCGGACATTGAGGTTGAGATCTTCGAAGGTGCTAAGGAATTGGCCGAGCTGGGGGCGGGAATTGGTCTCTGGCCTCGTGCGTGTCCGGTACCGCCTCATCGTCCCTTTCAGGTTTCTCATTCCTTCGCCCCTCTAGGTGTCTGGGAAATTATTCAGAAGCTACACCTCGAAGAGGACCTCCTCAAAGTAACGGAGCTGAGAGCGACAGATGCCCCAGGTAAATTCACAAGCACGTCTTGTCCTGAACACCTACTCAGTCCTCGTTATCAGTCAGTTCTTTCCGGTATCGCAAGAGTGACCGTCCAGAAGGGCTCGACTTCTACACCTTGATCACTAAAGGTTAGCAGCTCGCCGTCCATCGTGGAGCTTAGGCCACCTGTGCATCATTCTAATCACTTCCTTTCCCTCCCACAGGGCATCTAATGGCCTTCCATCGACCTGACTTCCAAAACGCTCTTCTTCGAAGACTTCCGCCATCGTACCGGATACATTGCTCGAAGCGTCTCCGGTCGTACACCCAGCGGCCGGGAGGGCCTGTCACCCTGCTCTTCGAAGACGGGACGCAGACGACCTGCGACGTGCTCGTGGGTGCTGATGGCTTAAAATCCGCAGTACGACGCACGCTCCTGGGCGAGAAAGCAAGGCTGGCAGAGTCGAAGGGTCTCTGGTCCGAGGCCGCTGATCTAACGGCGGTCATTGAGCCTGCTTGGAGCGGGACGAACGCGTATCGTGCAGTGATCCCCGCTGAGCGATTGAAGTCGCGGAGTCCTGGTCATCGGGTCTTGAAGCAACCTACACAGGCAAGTGTCGGAAAGTCTGAACGATGACGTATGCTGACTTCGGTACATGGCTGGCGTCTGCTAATAGTATCTCGGAAAGAACGGCGTAAGTCTGGTCTCATTATCCGTCGTCCTTACCACTGACTCTTCGGCCACCCAGTATGTCATCGCGTACCCCATCGCACACGGCACAAAAATCAATTTCGTCGCCTTCAAGTCTCAACACCACCTGGAAAATACGAAGTTTAATGGTGCTTGGGTTGGCATCGCTGATAGGTCTGAATTCGCGATAATGTTCCGAAATTGGGAACCAGAAGTCCAGGCTCTTCTTGATGTCAGTGGACTAGCATAATGCCAGATAGGCACAAGCTCACTTTACCTCTGACAGTGTGTTGACAAGCCCCTGCGTTGGGCCATACACACCGTCAAGCCTCTCGGTTCTTTCGTACACGGTAACGTGGCTATCCTTGGCGATGCCGTATGTAACCTTCTCTCCAGGAAATCTAGTCCGCTCATGGAATACATATTTCTAGGCGCATGCTATGACACCCCATCAAGGGTCTGGGGCCGGGCAGGCTATCGAGGTGAGCGCCCGCCGCCTTCGTTTTCGTTACGGCCATGCTAACCATAAGTTCAGGATGCCTACATTCTCTCCACTCTCTTAGGTCATCCAGCAACTAACAGAGACACCATCGCACGCGCGCTAAGCATCTACGACCACATCCGAAGACCATTCGCGCAGCAAGTGCAGCTCCGGTCGCGGCTCAACGGACAGTACTTCACGTTCTGCGGCCCCGAGGTCGACTTCAGTTCGGTGCCGGAGCACGAGCTGCTCAATCATCTCGGCCATCTCGGGAAGGCTTTCACCAAGAACTGGGACTGGTGTTGGACGACGTCGCTGGGCGACTCGGTCAAAGAGGCTATCCGGTTGCTCGAAACCTCATAACACGACGAGTCGATTGGTTTGCAAATCTGATCACCTCTCGACGACCTCTGTGCCCCACACAGATTATTTATTTTCCGGCCTCCTCCTATCTCTCAGTGGGAAAGATATGAATTCACCCTTATTCACGAAACCAGATACTCTGCTGTAAATTAAGAGACAATGCTTGTGATAGAACCTGCCCTTCCTTCATCGAAGTTGATTTTTCTGCTTGTAAGAGTAGAGGGTTAACAGATCATCCATGGCGCTACTTCGGCGAGTTTATGATCCTGTAATTAAGTGTAACTGTCGTCATGGTGCATGTAAACCTTCTCGACAGTTGCGTTGTGCATACGTTTTTGTGCAGCTTTGTGTGGCGTTCAGCGGGATTGTCGGCCCGAACACCTGTCAGCATTTTCTCACCATCGGTCCATCAACAAGGCTCCCATCGTTGCGTTTGACACCTTTTTATCTACACACAGACCTACTACCACTACCTCCTGCAACTCCGCGTCTGTGAGCTTGAAAATGGGAAAGTCGAACAAGAAGGGCGGATTGTCTGGCATCTCAAGGTTTGTCGTCGCCTCGATGAAATCCAGTTCTACCGCAGCCGACGCAACAACTTCAAAGCCAACACCAACGGCTAACTTGGACCTAGAGAGTAAGAGAGGTCTCATTGAAAGGACAGCAGAAGCTCCACCGACGAAGAGAAGGAAAGGGAACGATGGCTCAACCATGCTGGATGATACCAGCACGCAGACGGAGCGTAGATGGATCGAAAAATATGACGCGACGGGTTTAGCAGAGCATTACACCGAGGCCAACCAGGTGCCAGAGCATCTACAAAAGTGTGGGTTTCATTTTTTGGCCTGATTTCCGTTTCGTTGATTCGTCTTGCCTGGGACTAGACTTCTCCCAACGATACCGATTCTTCTCCTTATACTCGACGCCTCCAGGATGTCTCCTGGACGAAGAAGGCTGGTACAGCGTGACGCCGGAACTCATAGCTGACCAAATCGCTGAACGGTGTCGGTGCGACACGATCCTGGACGCTTTCTGCGGGGTTGGAGGAAACGCGATCGCATTTGCGAAGACTTGTCAGCGAGGTACGAGCTGTGGTTTTTGCGTGACTAGCTATTTGTTCAACCTCTCTTAGTCATCGCCCTCGATACGTCACCCACACGCCTGGCCCTAGCCAGACATAACGCGCAAATATACGGTGTTGCGGATCGTATCGAATTTATACTGGCAGACTACCTGTCGTTTGCAAAGTCCTACCTCTCCCTTCCATCTACAACCTCAAGCGAAGGACGCAAAATCGACATTGTATTCCTCAGCCCGCCATGGGGAGGTCCCTCATACCTGTCAGGATCGTCCGAAGGCTCTCCGACTGCACCTGCAAGCCCCACAACCGATCAACATCCCTCATACTCTTTATCATCTATCCAGCCCATCCATGGAGCGGAGCTGTTCGACCGCACACGGAAAATTACGCGAAACGTGGCTTACTACCTTCCAAGGAATACTCGACTGGACGAGATCGGCCAGCTGCTATCCAAGGAGGCAGAGAGGACATCAGGAAGAGCCGCCTCTGCCGCACCAGTAGAAGAGCAAGTCGAGGTGGAGGAGGAATGGATGGGAAACAAATTGAAGGCTCTTACGTGTTACTTTGGAGGGTTGGTTGCCGGGCAGGAGGATATGTTCTGAGGTATATTTTTTCCTGGGACGAGTAGAGAGTTTTCTTGAACACGGGGTACCTTGTTCGTGCCTTCTGGTCAGATATTGTATATACTGATTATTCTACTCAGAAAATTACGGACTAGCTTGTCGTTCGGCATGCGAAGGATGATCGACATAGCTGGGTTGGGCATTTGAACTGGACCATCTGTTCGGGCGAACCGAAAGCCTTGAATACTCCCTCTGAACCTTCGGTAAGATTTGAGGTTGAGGCCATGAAAACTAGTCGACTGATCATACAATGTAGAGTCTGCATTTGATTCATGGCCGACGGCAGCGGCGGCGACAGTGAATCTGCCCAGCCATCTCGATGGCGCTTCGTCGCAAATCTCCCCATTATGCTGGCTACTATCAAAACATGCTCGTTTAAGCCATATGCCTCAATATCGAAGAGGTCGTTACTTACGAACGCGAATCGATTTCTCTCGCCAGCTGACAGCACCTACACACCTACTCTACGTAATGCACAAATCCATTCACAATGCTGAAAGGCGCGAACATATCTTGATCTCTGGAGCGCGACGGCCGTTTTACGACCAGGCTGCCAGGTCTTTTTCCGTAGATCAGCGCTTGGTCTCCTTCGACCCCCATCCAACCCACTGAATTTAAGTAGGCGTCCACTGAAGAGGACCAGGCTCGCTCGATTGCTTCAACACGACGGCGATCGTTCTCGTCTGGAATGCTGCTACTGAGGAGGTTGCGGACATCACGCAGGAGTGCGGCATCCTGACGCAGGAAGTAAGAAGTATGGTAGGTGCAAAGGATTGGTGTTCACCGAGACTCACGTTTAGGCATCGCGGAGAGACATCGAGGTGTTCGGCGTGCGATAACTACTCGTTCAGCTTTCGACGAAGATGTCAGAAGCCGTATCTGCAGTTGCATCCAATCCCCAATTCTCCTTCATCTCACCTCGATATGTTAACGCTTATATCGAGTCTGTCTTTCCCATCAATTTGTTCATTGATGGACGCAAGAACGATGGCCAGTTGGACTTGGACGCTGCGCACGGGTTTCTCCAATACGGCCTTTTCCCCAACGACTTCTTCCGCGCGAACGGGACGAGGGACATGGAAGGAGTCGAAAAAGTCTCCCAGGCCCATCCTATGCAACCTGGAAAAAATGTCGGCCGCGTCAACAGCTACACTGTCGATCCAACATCTGGCAACTTTTCGACCCCCTGCTTGGTGTACGAGAACTTTGTCAATAAAACCGTCAAGGGACTCTACCCGAATCCAACAGGAAAACTTCGCAAGGCCCTTAATACCAATCTTGATTTCTTCTTCCAGGGGACAAACGGTTCTGGTTGTAAGCAGGTATTCCCATACGGGCGAGATTGATGGGACGGAGAGCTTGGATGTCAACAGTAACTAGCTTAAATTTTCCAACTTCGTACTCAAATCTACATGAATGCAACTCAGGACTTTACCTCTGTAGCATGGACTCGTCTGAGTGCGTATATGCGTATTAAAACACCTTCTGGTGTATTTTCTGATCCGCTCCTGACATACCTAAAGCATACGAAGTATTCTGCCCGTTTGCCCTTGCTACAAGTATGTAAGATTGACTGGCAGGGGACGCAGAGTAAGTACCATGCGGAGGAAATTCAGCACGCAATGGCTTCCCTAGTCCCCTCTTTGAGGACTACCTTCCGGGGCCAGCAGACCCGTATATAAAAATTACAGGAGAGCCCGAGCATGTTCCGGCGAAACTCAGGTCCTCTAGTGATGCTTCGAGCCAAGCATCCGAGGCAAGGATTGCCAAAAACGGACTTGTGTACTTTGAGAACATCCGGCAGTTTCCGGCGCCTCTTGTCTCTGTTCGTCTTCCTGCTCCTGGGTGCTCAGGTCACAAAATCCCTCTAGGCTACTTTGAACCAGTATCTTGCGCTAATGACCGGTCACGCAGCGAAGCCTTCGGGCAATCGCAGACACGACGGTCAAGCGACGCCGACTCAGCTATTTTCGTTCTCGCGGGCAACATGGTCAGTCCATTTAGTGCACTGCAAAATGACGTTGAGTCATCCTCTGTATAGCGAAGGCGCGACTCGCGGCCATTTGTACCCTCTCTCTCAACGTCTGGCACTGTCAGAACTCCATTTCCCACTTATCGGTACGGTCGTGAGCCGTCCATAATACTCGCCGGAGCTCGCGGAGCACAATACTTTCGCGCCCATCACCTAGGTGCTCATCCATCCGTGAATTTGCACGCCGGATCGCGTCCTGGACAATCGATCTCCTATCAGTAACTGCACTGTCGCTCATCTTATCTTCTGGCCACGTCAATTGGCCGTCTTCCTGTGCCATGCGAGATCCTCAACAAATCTCTACGTTCGCCATAGCTCTGCTTCTCGCCTTCGACGCGGATCTGGAGCACGCTTCTTCGCGCATATACGTTGATTTTAGCTCCTGCATGCTGCACACGCCGACATCACTCCAGGATGACATTTGAGACGCTGTCGGCGCGCCTCCGTAGACACTGCTTTCGGCGAAACACCCAGCGTGCTCCAGTAATCATCTGGACGGCGAGCAGAACCCGAATTTGGCGACCTCCCGCGAGTGCTCCTCTGCATTTATTGCATATGGCGGTGCCGGATATAGCGTCATACTCCCTATGGCCTCCTACCAGTGCCGACGTATAGCTCGAACTCGCAGGGCAATTTCCAAATCCCGAAGCCGCAAAAACGCGAAGGGTGCCCACCTGAGGCCTTCGACGATGAGATCGCCGATTGGCCGAGGCCCGGAGAGCTTCCTCGAATCTCCTCGAATCCCACCCTGCCCTACCGTTCCGTAAGCGAAGTGACGTCGACGGAACCATCGTCGGACCTAGTACGCGGAAATACAGGCGACTGGCACTTATGCGACTGCGAGTTGCGTATATATAGCCTCGTCGTTCTTCCATGTCTTGCCATCGATTCGATTCGACTCTCCTACGACCACTCAAAGCATAGGCTTTTTCACGACCTCCTCTCCATACCTTAATCTCAGCGACACACGCCCTCTACCATCCATCATGAAGTTCACGAGCCTGATGACATTCACCACCCTCGTCCTCACCTCCGCCCTTAATCTCGCGAGCGTATCAGCCTCGCCCATCGCCGCAGCAGAGAAGCGCGACGTCTTCGTGCCGCCCATCCTCTATCCCCACAGCGGTACCGTTTGGAACATCGGCTCAAGGCACAACGTCACCTGGTGAGTGCCCTCCAGATTGTTTACCAGGCTAGCAGCGCGCTCATGACCTCGCCTCACCCCACCTATTGTGAATTGTGAATATAGGGACACCTCCAACCGCCCGGTGAACATCACGAACAAGCTCGGCTTGATCATGCTTCGCAAGGGCGATCTCACAACTCCATGTAGGTTTTTCTCGTTTTCTGTCTGGACTCCGCAAGCATCGATTTGCTAATTTTGTATCCTCTTCTCACAGTGATTTTGGAGAATAAGTTTGATATTCTGCTCGGCAGAATCGAGGTCACCGTGCCCTGGGTCGTTGATGGCAGCGACTACCAGATTGTCTGTGAGTAAATCTCTTCCTGTATGGGTACCAGAGTGCGTTCTGACACTACTCCCATCGTTTTTTTTTTCAGTGTTTGGCGATTCAGGCAACTTCTCCCCTGAGTTCACCATCCAAGGCTCTGGAATCTCCTGGTAATGGGAAGGACGATCTCCACTCATGACTTGGACACTTGACGAACTTCCCGTTTGACGGACTTCTATTGTACCACATGTACCACCATTACGAGCACTCATGCCATTGGACTTGACTAGCACGCTTCGGACATTTTGATTTTTGTACAATTTCTTCGTTTTTCACCCTCATACCTTTCTTCGTTCTTCATCTTCGTACAGACACTTTTAATACTAATACCGACATTTAGTTTATGCTTCCGTTATAGCATCAAAATAATGACATTTTCGCACCTTATATTCTACACCTTTCGATTTCATGCCAGGACTTCCTTTAGTATGGCGATGATCTTCTGTACCTCTTCTACCGTGTTGTAGTGCACCAGTGAAATACGGACAACGGCGTCATCTATGTCCACTTTGGGCGAGAGGTTATCGATGAGGGTGTACGCATAGAAGTGCCCAAATCGAATGCCAATCTAAATTGAAGCAACAATTAGATCTTAGGGCAGGCACTACCACGAACGCAGATCACTTACCCCACCCTTCTTATCAAACGCAGCGACGATCTCGCGACTCTTCAGCGGCCTCTGTCCAACCACCACAAAGCTGACCGTCGGCACCCTCTCCAAGCCCGTCTTCTCCTGCCCGACGATCCTCACGCCCCTTTCCTTCCTCTTCTTGTCCGTCAAGAACGCCATCAGAGGTTCGATCAGCGTCTGCTCGTGTTGCGCGATAGCGTCGAAGGTCGTCTTGAGGTCGTTCGCGGGCGTTAGGGAGAGGAGGTAGGGTATGACGCCCGTGGTGGCGTAGGCAATCTCGTACCCCGGCCCGCCCGGCATGAGCTTGTACCCAACATTGTTGACTTTGAGGAAGTGGTGTGCGATGGAGGCGACGGAGCCTTGGAGGACGGAGGCGCGGACGTACATCGCGGAGATGTGCGGTCCGTATACCTGGTTCATGGTGATGTTAAGCTTTCATGATGAGAGAAGATGATGTTGGAAAAATACCTTGTAGAATGAGAACACCGCGATGTCCACGTCCCAGTCTTGCACATCGATCAGGCGGTGTGGGGCGTACGCGACACAGTCGACTGAAATCTCAACCTTGGGAGAGCCTTTGGTCTTCGCCTCTTCTCTAATGGCTTTGACGACCTCTTTGACGGGGACGATAGACCCAAGGATGTTCGAGCACGCCGTGAACGCAACAATCCGCGTTTTCGCCGTGATCAGGGGAAGGAGGTCCTCGGTCCGGAGCTTGATTGAGTAGGGGTTCTCTGGGTCGGTCGCGACGGGCCTCCAGTACTTGAGCACAGCACCTTTGCGTGCTGCGAGCTTCTTCCACGGACCAACGTTCGCTACGTTGAGAGCAGGTTTCATGAGACATTTTCATCACATTGGGGAGAATAAACACACCTTCATGTTCCTCCGTAAGTATGAACTCATCCCCCTCCTTCACATCATCATCTAACGACCTCGCCACATTCTCCAAATTCATCGTCGAGCTCATCCCAAACACGATCTCATCCGGGCTCGCTGCGTTCATCAGCCTCGCCGCCTCCCTCGGCGCGTCGACCACCGCCCGCGTCGTACTCTGCACCGAGACGGAGTAGTCCGCGCCGAGCTGCACGTTCGTGTTCGAGAGGTAGTCCGTCAGGCGCTCGATGACGCTGTGCGCGGCCTGGGAACCACCTGCGTTGTCGGCGAAGATGTAGCCGCCTTTGAGTGCGGGGAACTGGGATCGGGCTTTCTCAACGTCGAAGGTCGCCATTTCGATAGTGCTAGGTGGGAGCGTAGGCGTTTGAGACACCTCATCTGCATGAAAACGAAAGAGGAAGTACCATGCGTTTGAGTCTAGAAGAGCGATAGGTGAACGACTTGTGTTGTACATGTAGTGGGTAAGCAGTCAAACTCAAAGTCGGACCGCCGCGGCCGACGGTATGAGGTATGTATCACGGGATGTGGGACGAGTCACTCTCTTACTTAACTATTACTATTACTTAGTCTAGACCCTACACTTTCCACCATCATTATATTGTGCTCCTCCTTTCCTTCTTCATCTCAGAGCTCGTGGAGCCTCATTGATTCCGGGAAGGTTGATTCAATTCTGGGCATAGATCCTCGTATCTGCCTTCTGGCAACTTGCAAGAGTCGGCAGGGTCCGCCATTGCGTGCTGGAGTGGGTGGGTTTTGTCCAAACTTTTCTGTAGCACGTCTTGAAGAAGACTTATAACTTTTGGGATGGGGATAGCCCGCCCAAATATGATCAGCTCTCGAATTGGCTGACCCCTTGACAGGCTCGGGCGCAATGAGTCCACAAGCCGCGCTGCCCACACGTGGGTTGGCCTCAAAGAAATCGTCAGCTCTTACCACCACTTACTCTTCGCCTGACTGGAGAGGATCCCGGTTTATAACTGCAGACATGTTCCACACATTTCCTCAGGAACTTTTCGACCGCTTCGTGGACGAGCTCGTATCTCCCGATACAGGGTCTGCCGATCCTAATATTCGATCCTGCCTCTTCATATCACCCTTACGACACCGAGCCTTGACGTTGATCTTCAAGAAGGTCACTGTTAGGCTGGATCACCCACACGAGACCCGTCAGCGCCTCGCAAATCTTCTCCGAATCATCTCACCTCGCCCTCGCACAAAACTCAACGGAATTCGCCCCTACATCAAAGAGATCGCCTTCGAATTCGACTTAAACGGGAAGCAGGCGACGGCGAGAGACGCCCTCCAAACCATATTATCATGCAGGGAGTTCACCGATCTGATAAAGGCAATCCAAGGAAAGGATTACGGCCTGCGCGGACTGGCATTCGACATCCAAGCTTCTTTCACTTCTTACCACCCTGGCCCGGAGATCGTCAAAGCGCTTTCCCCCATCATTACCTCCCCGTTTCTCCGTTCATTGACGCTTACGAACTTCACGGAAGTACCGGTCACCTTCCTCGCGGGGGCTCATATAGACGAGCTCCTTCTGGAAGATGTTCAGTTTCGGGAATCTGCCAGGCTCGGAGGAAGGCGGTTAACGGCTGTTGCACGATGGCCGCAGATAAGATCCCTCGCCTGCGACGCACCCCTTCCCAAGGTTCTCTTGAACCCCACCTCGACCTCACCCTTCCGAAATCTCGAGAGTTTTTCGAGAGCGTCCAAAGGTCCCGAGCAAGTTTCCGAAGCTTGGAAAATCCTCTTCATGACAGCCGACACTCTTAGGCATGTCAACCTCGAAGGAGACGGTAATTCCACAATTATTTTGATCCAGCGGCCATGTTTTGACGTTCGAACTCGTCAGAGGAATTGTTCCATTGTGACGGCAAACGTGCCTACATCAGTCGCGCACCCAATCTTGCCTCGCTTCAGCTGGCCTATCCCCTTCGTTTGAAGTTTGATGTTGAACTCGACACCGGCCGTGAAAGCGTCGCATTTTTTACAACGATGCTAGCCGTCCCAGTCGCTATGTCGAATCTCGAGAAGCTGACTCTCACAGGGCATCTTGCCGGTGGCCCTGACGCGCCCAGGTTCTCCCTCAATGGAGGAACGGACAATATCCTCCTCGCTGAGGCGAAGCCAGAGTGGGAAGCGCTGGATAACCTCCTGACAGGACCGAAGTATCCTTCGCTCAGGCTGTTGAAGCTTCGCCTCAGTTTTGACGTTTTCGTCATAAATCGCTTACTGTTTTCAGAGGGGTTGATCGTCGGTGCCGGTGAGTTCTGTTCTACGTGGACTGCTGATGGTGAAAGAGAAGCGTTCGTGGAGACGATAACTTCACGTTTGCCTGCTCTGCTCCCTCAGATACACTCTTCGCGACGTATCAGTTTCTAGTAGAAATTGTTGATTAGTTTAAGTACATCATTCCATATGCTCGTTCCCGGCCCGGCCAGGCTGGTCCTTTTCTGAAACACAGCCGCATGGCACCCTTCAACTCCGCTACCTTCAGGTCGTCCACGCACAACCGACGCAACCGCGGAAGTGCGGCATGCTGTTTCCTCAAGAACTTCTAGACAGCTTCGTAGATGAATTTGGCGCTTCAGAATCGGATAGACCAGCTCGGGCTGCACTTAAATCGTGCCTCTTCGTTTCGCAGTCGTTTCGATGTCGCGCATTGATTTCGCTATTCAAAACAGTTTGGATTTCGACGCAAACATTCGAGGAAGCAAAGCGCTGCCTCTCAGGCCTTCGTCAAATCATAGTGCCTACCACGGGAACTCGACTTGTAGGAGTCGGCCGCTACATCAAGTACGCTAGGTTCATGTTCTCGTTTGACGGGGAGAACTCAGCGGCGATTGATATGATTCAACGAATACTCGATGACGAAGATCTCAACATTGTCTTAAATTCCCTGCATGGACACGACTACGGCGTCGATGACGAAGATCTCAACATTGTCTTAAATTCCCTGCATGGACACGACTACGGCGTCGATCACCTCGAATTCCGTCTGCTTCCACACCTCTATTGGGAAGGCCCCATCGCGAGCATCACGGAACCCTTATTGTCACTCATAGCTTCTCCATCCCTTCGCAAATTGTACCTCACGCGCGTGAAGGACGTTCCGGTCACATTTCTGAACGACACACATATAACCAGCCTTCATCTGGACAAATTTGGGTTTCTGGAGCCTACCGGAGACGATCTCTGTGCCTCCTCTCTCCGATGGCCGACGCTAGATGACTTCTTTTGCGACTCGTCATTACCGAGTATCTTGAAGAACGCCCATTCAAATTCGCCATTCAGAAAACTGACGAGCTTCGGGGTTGTCTGCTACGATGAGGACCATTATGTCAACGCCTGGCAGACTATAGCAATAGCGTCTCAGACGCTGGTAGAAATCAACATACAAGCGTACGACTCGGGTACGTTGTCTATCATCAATATTCCCTATCTGTGGATGAACTAGAAGTCTTTCTTATTTAGAAGCTGTACTTGATGGACGGATCGATCTCAGCCAAATTCCTAATCTTGCCTCCTTGCAGTTGACCGATGGGACGTCACCGGTGCAGTTCTTCCCGCAGGATGGGCAGGAGAGCATGCCATTTCTCATTGCTATCCTTGATGTCCAACGTCCCATCACCAAGCTTGAAAAGCTGCTCTTCTCAGTTCATCTGGCTGGAGACGCCCCAGACCGCAATGCCGGTTTCTATGACATCCTCATCTCTGAACCAAACTCAAGGTGGGAGTGGCTGGACGAGCTACTCACAGGTCCAAAATTTCCTTCTTTGAAGGTCGTCGACGTGATGTTCGCCTTCGACTTCACCATTCACCCACTTGACCACCAAATGACCGAACCCGGTAGGCATTTCGATATCGACGCTTTTGATAAGATGTTCCTCCCCAGTGTCAAGGCACTCTTCCCGCGTCTCCGACAATGCGATCGCATTGAATTTGACATCACAGTGGACACAACAGCGGATATAATTTCTACGTGATACCAGTCTATCGAAAGCAGTCGACCCCTTTGAAAGCCAGCACAATCGGCATGAAAGAATTCTTTTGCTCACGACCAAACTCGCCCTGACCTCACGTGGATACGCCCTCTTCGTGTCCCAAAAACACGTTGTTCCACTCTTTGTATATCTCTATCTTGTTGCAGATCTCTTTCCAGAGCTCAATCGCCAAACATGCCGCTAATCCGAACAAAGAGACATTGTACCTCAAGACAAAGAGCTGCATCCTCTGGTGCTTGATGCTCGGTGCTGACTCACAAGTTGGGATTCTTGGACCCCATTCCTGAACGCGAGACCCCCACGTGGACTAGCCACCGACTACTTACTACATAAACCTTAGCCGCCATCGCCACTCATCCGACTTGACACACCCCAGGTGAGCCACTGCAACGCCATGCCTAGTACCTTCCCTCAAGAGCTTTTCGATCGCTTCGTGGACGAGCTTGTGTCCCCAGATGCAGACATTTCGAAAGATCCTTCTATTAGATCCTGCCTCTTCGTATCACCTTTACGACACCGGGCCTTGACGCTGATCTTCAAAAAGGTTACTGTTCACCTTAATCAACCCCAGGAGACCTGTAAGCGCCTCCTGAACCTCCTCCGAATCATCCCACCATGCCCTCGCACCAAACTTAGTGGCGTTGGTCCCTACATCAAAGAGATAGCCTTCGAATTTGCCTTGTACGGAACATCATCAGGGGCGAGAAAGGCTCTCCAGCATATAATATCGAGCAGGGAATTCAAAAATCTAGTGAAGACGCTCAATGGGAGGGACTACGGCGTGCGAGGGTTGGAATTCCACATCCGAGTGTATTTCAGCATTAGAACCAGCTATCACCCCGGTCCCGATATTCTCAAAGCACTGTCGTCGCTCATCGCTTCACCATTCCTTCGCTCCTTGGCGCTCACGAACTTGGCGAAAGTCCCGGCTACGTTCCTCGCGGAAGCTCATATCGATGAACTCCATCTCTGGGATGTCTACTTCCAGGACTCAGACCCTCTCAGAGGAAGCTCGAGGCACGTAGCTGCCCTCGCGCGATGGCCCCAAATCAGATCGCTGAGAGGCAATTCATCCCTTCCGAAAGCTCTTATATCCCCCGCATCAACTGCTCCCTTCCGAAACTTGGAAGTTATCGAGAGAGAGTGCCTGGGGGTTGAACAAGCCTCGGAGGCTTGGAAGATCATCTACATGGCAGCGCATACGCTCGTGCATGTGAGTCTCGAAGGTCGCGGTAAGTGCGTTGAACTTCAGCCTACGACTTTGCTTAAATATAGGGCTTGTCAGAGGAATTGTCGCTCTGTGATGGCCAACGAGTCGACCTCGGTCGGGTACCCAATCTTGCCTCATTTCAGTTGGCTTTTCTCCCTCGGATGACGATGCAGGTTGACCCGGATGCAGGACGCAAAAGTGTTGCCTTGTTCATCGCGATACTACACGCCCCGTCACCCCTTTTGAAACTCGAGACTCTGACCCTCACAGGTTGGATGTCTGGTGGTCCTAGGGCCCCCGGGATTCCTGCTAATGTTGGAGGTATAGATAACATCCTCACAGAATCGAAACCGGAGTGGGAGATGTTGGATACACTGTTATCGGGTCCGAAATATCCGTCACTCAGGTTCTTGAAGCTTCGCTTCATCTTTCATGTGTTCCTTTACGCTCGTTTGATGACTTCCTCACTGGCGACAGACGGTAGGTACAGCTACCTGTGGGCTACTGATGCCGATAGGGAAGAATTTACGGACATGATAACTTCGCGTGTGCTCGTTCTCCTCCCTCGGATTCAATCCTCACGCCGTATTCAGCTTGTTGTAGAGGTTGTTGACTCGTTTGTTTGGCGAAACTCCTTTTTCTTGTAAATGATTATTATTTACGTTGTCAGATCACTTGAAGACATGCCAGGTTGTGGTACTTGTGTTGAGCGACGCTCAGAAGCTGAGAAAGTCGACTTACAAGGAACGGAATGATTTCCGTCGCCGTATTTTTAAAAATAAAACCAGCTGCAAATTTGAGAAGAGCAAAGTGTAACATAAAATGGTAACGCGGGCGCATTGAGAGCGCCAACACAGCTTCTTGATATTCCAACACGGCAGCGGCGGAATAGTGCCGGACCGTGCTCACGTGCTCACCCAGTGGACCAAACAAAATGCACAACTTTGTTGACCGGCACTTAACAATACCTTTATTGTATACAGCAGCAGTGGAAGCATCAACCAGACAATCCCCTCGCCTTTTACTAGGGGATTCCGTGCTGCTTCCGCATCTAATGCTGCGTTACAATCTTTGGAATCCCTCTTCCTCCGGAAGTCCTGACACCTCATATGGTGTTCAAGTTACTTTATTATTTTTCTTTCTTAAATTTTTTGGCCCCGCTTTGCGGGTAATTAGCGGTCCACATTATTAGCCAGCAAAGCAACTCTCAATTTGTTTCGGGTTGGAGAAATTGAGTATTATTTTATTTCGCAGGTCATGAAAAATATACTGTAGCGTCATAAGTTATTGGTCGTCCGTCTATCTAGTCGTGAAGCCTTCAAATATAATCCAGGGTATGTAGGTCTAGGTCTACGTATCAAACAAGTGTCAAAGATCACTTCAATGAACGCCGAGAAGTCCTAAACTAGGCAGACCGAAGGTAGTAGCAAGGTAAAGTAGCGCGAGAGGGATGACAGCAGATGCGACGAAGTGGTTTCGCTTCGACGTCTCGTTCGCCGCCCACCAGCGCACCTCCGTCCACAGCAGCGGCCCAAAAACGACACACGCTGTCCAGAAGACGCGAACCGCCCTGATGAGCAGGTAAGGATAGTCCAGCACGCTGGGTGTCGCGTAGACAGGTTTGTCCCCGGAGGAAGAGGAGACGAGCGCAGGGTGGGTGAACATCACCCAGATGGAGTAAAAGGCGACGGAGAAGAAGTGGTATGCGAGGAGGGACGGTGAGGGTGCGATGCTGCGATGACATGTGAATGGCCAGATATAGACGGCTGAGGAGACGGCTTACCCAGAAAGAAGTGATACAGGCCCGTTTACGCATTCACCTCCACGTTCAAAGTACTTGAAGCACCCTGTTCGTAGCACTTGCAGTTCGAAGTCTGGCGATATGGATCGTAAGTCATATTCAAGGAAGGCCGAATAGAAACTCACCATCTGCGCCAAACAGGTCGTAGAGAGCGACACTGAGGATGTTGACCGTCGACGCCAGGGGTTTCCTGCCCCAGTGCCATCGATGAAGCGCCTTCTTGACCTTGTCCCAGTCCTTCAGATCGTCAACCGAACCGAGCAGGTCGCGTAACACGACAACGTCGTTGAAAGCGACGGTCATACCACCACCAGTGAGAGGATGCCGCATATTCCATGAGTCGCCAATCAGAATAGCGCCTTCTTTCGTGTTGTTCGTACCTTGCTCGATGGGAGGCAGGAAGGAGTTGGGCATGCGCCGTAGGCGGTCTTTCTCGAGGGCAGCTTGGATAGGGAGATGCAGAGAGGAGGGCAGTTGAGGGAGAATCTCTTCAAGGATGACGGCCTAAGAAACATCAGCAAGCAAACTCGGGAATTGTCTTGATAGACGCACCTTGGGGTCGGAAGGAAGGGGTTGCTTGAGGTCGACGAGTATCCGTGTGTCGTGCTCCGAGATCTGGTACAGGAGTACTGGCCCAAAGCCCTTGATGAGCGCGACGGTGCCATGGTTAGGTATCGGGAGCCGAGCGTCCTCCAGAACGGCGCCTATGAAATGGCTCTTCGTCTCCGGCTTCACCGCCGCCGAGTCCATGACGAAGCTGCGGAAGTTGGAGAAGCACCCGTCCGCGACAATGACAACGTCCGCGTACATCGTCGTCTTCGTCTCTACCCCGCCCGTCTTCTGCGAGACATGTACGCCGACGATCCTGCCGCTGTAGTCCCTGGTGACGAGCTCGGACACCGTGCCTTCGATGACGACCACGCCCTTTGCCTTCTTCGCAGCCTCCCGCAGCTTCATGATGAAGCGTCCGTGGTGGAAACTCCGGCCCTCGTGCTTGCCTGGGTACGGGATGTGCACCGACTTGCCGTCCTCCACGACGCAGTACCCCCGCACGGGGATGCCGTCGATCCCCTCGAGACACCACTCCAGCCCAAGATTCTGCAGCGCCATCACACCACCGGGTTGCAAGAGTTCGCCGACAATTCTGTCGGGTTCGGCGAGCGAGCGTTCGACGAGGGCGATCCGGAGAGGTTTGGCGCGGGGGACCGTCGAGAGCGCATGGGCGAGCGAGCAGCCGGCGACGCCGCCGCCAACGATGAGCACGTCGTAGTTCTGGCACGGCATTGGGGTCATAGTGAGGTCGTGAATGTTCGTGGAGGAGCTGGTAAAATACGCGCCTACTTCAATTTTCTGTGTCGTCCCACTTCGATAGCCGGCGTTTGCCGAGCTATTCTCGAGCGCCCTGGGCGTGTCTGCTCAACATACGCATCAATCGAGGCAGCGACGACGATGGGCCAGAGTAGGATAGCAGTGGGACACAAAATATGGGATCGTAAGGTTTGTAGAATGAGGTGACTTTCCAAAGAAACTAAATGTCGTGCCGCCGCCATGGGTGAATTATTTATAACACTGCCTACATAACAAAGTATGGAAGGACCACATATTCTACCGCAACGTTCCGAGCCCGAACCCGAGGGAAGAGATCATCGAGTAGCGCTCGAGTCTGTTGTGCTACCTGCGAGGGGGCACAATAAGATGGCTCAAGAGCGAAGAGGAATCCGAACTTGATAAGCTTCAAACACGGGTACATGACGTCGTCTGCCAGGATCCCATCCAGCGAATCCCATCCAATACCAGGTTCGAAGAGGGCCTTTTCATTCCCCAAGTGGCGCCGTTCCCAGACTACGATGATATCGAGTTTGCCTATGTAACTCTGGCATCGTTCGAGTCGAAAAAGATGCAGTAAAAAGACGGGAAATTGAGGCGTTCGGTCGAGAGTGCAATAGAGAATGGCTTCGCGGAGGGAGCGCATACAGCTGAGGTCGAATACACCTTCCCAAACTGCCGAATAGAGTGGTTAAAAAAAGAAGGAATAACCAGGGGGCAAACATGTGAATGAGAGAAACGAGCCACATACGTTCGTCATCACAGGGAGGTAGCTTCATCCCCAATCTTTCCAGCGTTTCGGGTGCCTGCGATATGATTCTCCATGCTCTAACGACATCTTCCCGCTCCATGTCTTCCACAAATGACACTCGAAAGTCACGCAGCTCCGAACACTGGATATAGGTGGAGGGGTCATCCCATGAAATCCGACTTAACCCCAGGGATGTTAGAGACTTGCAGCCGAGGAGTGCACGAGGGGGGAAGGCGCAGACCTCCTTCATCTTCAAAGTGCGCAACAAGGGACAGGAAATGCATTCGACCAGCGCAGATGCAACACCTAGAGGCAACGTGTTCCACTCCAGCCCACTTTCATCCAGAGAGAACGTCTGAATATGTGTGAGGGACCGCAAAACACGGGGGAGGGGTGGGATTGTCCAGATCCAGGCAGGTTGCTCCTCGACGCAGTTGCTGGATAGACTCCGAATCGTGAGGGTCTGCACCATAGTAGCGATCGCAGGGTTGGTGCCTACAATATCGAGGAAGTCGTTCCAGCGCTTGATGGTCGGTGAGGTGTCCTGCACTGGTGGCCATGCATCGGCCTCGATGAGCACGCGGGAGAAGATGTGTCTCAGACTCCTGACGCGGAAGTTACGCGAGACGAGAGAACAGTTAACGAGCGCCCGTCGGTCGACGGCTGTGGACGCAGCGGTTATCCTAAGGGAAATCTGGTCTATGATCAGGTCGAATATTTCTTGGGGGAGCGGTGGTTCGTTGCACTCGTTTTCCATTGCTTGCGGATGTACGAGTTGAGTATATGCGCATGTTAAGTATCGGATTCTGTACTTACATCCCTGGTGTATTTACAGATCTATGCCCCGGTGTCTACGATAAATTTGGCTGGAGATGAGCTGGCGTAAAGTTTCAGCAAAAGATTGACGATTATGTAAACAGCCAACCATCAGCACTGCCACTGGTGCAGATCATCGGAATTACGGGCCGGTGATATATACCATTTTGAGTCTGGGATTCATGAATCATTGAATCCACTCCCCCTGTTTCAATAGTGTTGCTCTTGCTCCTGTGCTAAATATTACCACTCCACCATTGAAGTCTTCTCACGTTGTCAATGGAATTGATTTTTGCATTCATATTATTTCAAAGGGGACAACTGGGAACAAAACAAGCCCGTTAAGGCTCACATCAGCAAATCGTGATTTTGAGGGTCAAAACGGCCTCAATTTCAGCGGTATAGTGTGTTATGGCGCGTTACGTAGTGCTATGTAACACACCATAGCACTGTAATGCATGTCCTTAACTATTGGGATACCCCCCCAATTATGGAGTGCTATGTACCCTCGTATAGCACGCATAACAAAATCAGGAATTGCTAATGCAGTTAAGGTGCAACTATGAGAGCTCTCTGCCCATTTGTGTTCCTGTAGTACTTCACTGGTGGTGTCATATTTGTGATTGGAGTTTGCAATACATATATTGCTGTAGCCGAATAGCGTCGAGCTTTTCAACTTCGAGTCAACACATGAAAGGGAGTGTGGCCTGTGGATGACTGGCTGTGGACGGCTTGAGTTTGGCTTGTGGCTCCATTGGATTACAGTTGAAATCCTCTTAACCCATGATCCTAATAACCCATAACCCCTTTTATCCCATAGGATTCTCAATCCACCAACTTGGTGGGTGTGGATTTGGATCCCATAACCCATAGGTCCGCAATAACCCATACCCCATACCCCTTTGCAGGCAAAACCCATAGATTTTACTGGCCATCAGGCCATATTTAGTCTCATTTATTGGGCAGCAACTCACCCTGTTTGATGGAAAGGCTTTGTATCTCACCGAAAAACAGCCAAAAACTAATGAAAGTTGTCCCAAAGAACCATGAGAGCAAAAGATGGCTTACAAGTCAGACATAAGTGGTCCATTCCTAAACATGCCTGGACACTACCTGCTCAGTGAAGATTCTATTTTACTCATCTTCATGCAAATATCACTGGATGAGACTTCATATAGCAGCAAATATCCACATAATCTAATTTGTGCCAATACCTCTGTGCAGAATACAATATAGTGGGCAAAAATCTTTATGCAATATCATCTCTGGACAAAGATCCCTGGGATGTCATATACTCGATCAAATACACATACACCCAGTTAAAAACTAGATGCTGCTCCTCTTAGGCCTTCCACGGTGTGGAGGCACACCTTTTGCCAGGCAGGAATTTCCAGCGTGTTCATTAATCATATTTCCACCTGTATACCTTCAGAGAGGCCTTCTTATCTTGTACAACAGTGAATTGGCACAGCGGGGGGTGCAATAATGACTTGAAGAAAAGAATTAAACTGACTCCCACCTGAACTGGCCTGTTGGCGGGATGTCTCATGGATCACGAAATTTCCCTTTTGAACAGAAAAGAGTGCAATCTTTCCCACGCCGTGCTGTAGTAAGACCTGGACACAGGTGTCCAGGCATATTCGGTAGCTCATACAGAAAATCAGGCCGGTCATGGGTTGTTTACATTGTGCCCACTTGCATTAAAATGGCGCTTGTATGCTCATTGAATGGAGGCAATCATCTAGGCAAGCCCGAGAGCATGATTCATCCTAACTCAAGGGCAACCTTGTCACCAGTATAATGTCCAAACCCCTCTGGATCACTTGCAGTGAGCCTAAATGCACTATTCTACCCAGATGTTCATTGTATTTTTCATCCACTTTCCCAGTCTATTTTTGGCACTCCCCTCACAACCCATAACCCATACCCTGGGCCGTCCATGGAGGGGCTATGGGTTAAGAAGAGTTCGACTGTATATAATGCAGAGACATCACGTGCATGGGGCCAACTAAGCGAGGACCCCCGATAATACTGAAAGAGGTAAGGTATGAAATTCGGGGGTCGCGAAGGCTTTATGGGTTGACAAAATTTCCCTAAATTCCAGCCAAAAAAGGGGTTGATAGCGCACCCGACCTCCGAAGTGCGGCGAAATCGGGTTGACAACAATATCTGACCTTCAAAAAATCGCGAAAATTTGTGAAAAATTCTCCGCAGGCTCCTGTGTGTACTTGCATTGATGTATTATATTTCCTCATCATCTCCAGTCTGTTTTTGTCGTGTTATAAGCAGCCGAGTGACGGCTGCAGCAATCTGTGCCCTCTGTGGCAACAATTTGGCATAAACCTCGTCGAAAAACTCAGGGTAAGTTCGAGAAAGGCAGAGAAACTGTAGCAAGAAGTGTATGATTCATGGAATAGGGAGGCTCGAAGGCCACTTTGACGAAAATGCGCGTTGACGACTCGGAGCCACAATCCACGGCACAGAGGCGAGCAAAAGCCAAGCCAAGCCTGGCCAAATGGTAGCACAATGTTCGTCCGTGGCCCACAGTGGCCCACGGTACCTTGTGGGTTGACAGTACTTACCCAACCTCCAGGATGCGGCCAGGGTGGCGGGTTGACACCTGCATCTGTGTCGAGGCATTTCAGATGGGCCGCTGTGGGTTGACATCAGCCAGGGGATATCTGAGCTACGCGGCTGACAGCCGCGAGTTTCGGGTTGACCGGTATCTTACCTTTTTCAGTATTATCGGGGGTCCTACTAAGCGTGACATCCTTTAATTACAAGTGCAGGGCACCGAAACTCTATGGAGCTCGAAAATGCGACGGATATCTGGCGTGGAGGAACATATAGCACCCTGCTACTATAGTGGTCCGAGGGCGTTGAGTACTTACACTTTCTCCCTCGATCCAAGCAGAGACTTGCAATCTAACAGGTCAAACTAGACATCATTGCGAATTCCTGACAAACTCCTGACTTCGGCGCTGCCCTCGTTTTGCCCGCTATGAGGGTCCATTTCGAGCGCTTTGGGTGTGGAAGTAATTTTAATTTCCAATATAATTCTATGTGATCCATCACCGGCAGCTCTTCTTGCGGCGTCTTGCCGCCAGACGGACTGGGCACGAGCCTGGCACGAGCCTGGCACGAGCGCTAAAGTCCGGACAAGGATATTGAAAAAAAATCTCGCAGGGCCCTCAAATCCGCTACAAATGGACAGGGGTTTTGCAAAAATTTGCTCCTCAAATCCGCTAACTTTGGACAGGCCCTATCGGGAGCTTCACGGGGCCTTAACGCTGTATGGGTGCACCGTAAATTCCACCCCAAATTTTCGAGCCTTAACTCGAGAGAAGAGTTGATCGATTTGCGGCAAAAGCTCTTGCTTTACCTGCGAGGAGTCAGCATAAGATTCCCAAATGGCGAACTTGAACGTGAACTTGATGTGCTTCAAACGCGGATACGCGTCGTCAGTTAGCATCCCATCTAGCGAATCCCATCCGAGATCAGGATTGAAGAGAGACTTTTCGTCTCCCGAGTGCACCTGTACGCAGAGTATAGAGATCTCGAGTTTTTCGATGCTACTCTGACGCCGTTCCAGGTGAACAATATGGAGTAAAGAGTCCGGAAATTGAGGCGTTCGATCGAGAGTGAAAGATAGAGAAACTTCACGGAGAGTCTGCATGCAGCTGAGGTCGAACACACCTTCCCAAACTATCGAAAGTGCGTCACAAAAGACACCAGAGGAGCAAACATATAGTGGAGCCACGTACGTTTGCCATCACAGGAAACTGAATTAATCCGCAATCTCTCTAATGTCCTCGACGCCTGCGATGTGATTCGCCATGCTCTGACGGCATCTTCCCGCTCCATGTCTTCTAAAAGCGTCACTAGAAGATCGTGTAGCTCCGAACACACCTGAATATCGGTGGAGTGGTCGTCCCATAAAATCCGATGTAGATGCAGGTATGTGAGAGACCTGCAACCGAGGAGTGCACGAGCAGGGAAGGCGTCGACGTCCTCGATCTTCAAAGTGCGCAATGAGGGAGAGGAAAAGCATTCGACCAATGCAGACGCAACATCCTGAGGCAATTTGTCCCACTCTAACCCACTTTCATCCAGAAAGAACACCCGGATATGCTTGAGCGATCGCAAAATTCATGGAAGGGGAGGCATTGTCCAGATCCAGCAAGGCCCCTCTACGCTCTCGCTGTTTAGGCACTGGATCGTAAGTAACTGAACCAAAGGAGCGATCGTTGGGTTGGCATCTATGATGTCGAGGAAGTTGTTCCAGTGCTTGGTGGTCCGTGACTTTGGCTGCGTTGGCGGCTATGCATCGGCCTTGATAAGAACCTGGCGAAAGGTGTATGGCATACTCCTGGTGCGAAAGCCATGGGAGACGAGAGAACAGCTGAAGATGGTTCGACGGAAGCCTCCGTCGATGGTCATAAGATCTATGATCAAGTCAACTATTTCTTGGGGTAGCTCGGGTGGTTCGTTCCCTGCCGTTACTTCAAGGCTTGCTATCATATCAGTTGAGTACATGCGCGTATCAGATGTCGGGTACTTACTTCGACGATTCCCTGCGGTGATGTATTTATATTTGCGCTTCAAGATCTGTCAGGACTTGTGGTTTTGTTTTCGAAGTGAGCTGGAAGACAGAAGGAGCGGCAATTGGACCCGCAATTTGTAAGTAGCCAAACATCAACACTGCCACTTTTCGGTCATGTCATCACCTTTACCACACCCAACAACACAAGACACCAAAAGATGCAGTCATCGGCAACCTCAACTTACCTAGCCTTTCGGGTTCGTCATTCGAGAAGTGAGGAAATCTGCCTGTCTTCGAGCAATAGCATGTCTTTCGCTCGTCGCTTACATGATTAGGATGCCTATTTGACCTCGTCTTGAACGTACAAGAAATTTGTTACGAGGGTTCCTACCGTTGTGTATGCTGTCAGCGGTTCAGCATGAGTCACAGGTCAGGTCGGTAAGGTCAAGATCACCTGGTTCATAGCATTCAGTTCGAATTCGTTCTTACCATCTGCTCCCATCATGTCGTCCAACGAAGAGAGCAACATCAATGTGGCTACAGCGAAACGCCCAAGGGCGTGCGACGCCTGCCGCAGGAAGAAGAGTACGCCATTCTGTATAAAGGCCCTATTGAGAGCTTACTATTACCCCCTGGTTCGCTGTAAGTCGTATATCGAGATGTGAGGCGCTATTCTTCACTCATGCAAACAGGCGATGGAAAAGAGAGTCCCGGAACGCAGTGTTATAACTGCATCGATAGTGGTTTGAGCTGCACATATGTCGAAGAGTCCACGGTCAGCGTCTTCTTCTTTTCTCCCCTACAATGCTTATAATTTGCTTAGAGACGAGTTCCTACAAAGAAGTATGACATTTCATAGCTATTATGCATCTGGCTGAGTTATACTTGAATCAAGATATGTTGCGAGCCTGGAGGACAGGATAGAGGAGCTTGTTGATGCTCTTCGAGATGTGCGTCCAGGTTTATCTGGCCTTTCGAAGCAATTCTTGACCCTCCACAGTTATGTCCAGACCAGAAGATATTCGACAGCTGGGTCACTTCCATGATTGAAGATCGCCCAAGCCGAGTTCCGCTGAATCCGAGCGACCTAATCCAGTCTCGAAGTCTTGTTGAGAATCCGCCTCCTCCGGAGCGTCCTCCTGCGCATATATTCGGACCCAGGCCTCTCGAGAGCTTGACCAAAGCCGTGCGTGCGGCCTCCAAGGGCAACCGCCTGCGGTCGGAGCGGCAAGAGGACCTCGCGCCCCCCATTCCCACGAGTAGCCTGGATACGAGTCGGTTCTTTGGCAAGTCTAGCGGTGAGGTCTTCGCCCGTACGGCGTTGTCGATGAAGGAACAGTTTGTTGGGCGCGGCGAGCGCCCTATCCTGTCTCAGCGACGTGAAGAGTTCTGGACCCTGCGGCCGGTATGTAGCCTAATCTGATTCACTTGTGTGACGTCGTGGCTCATGCGTGCATTCAGTGGGAAAGGATATCGCTGCCCTTCACCCCGCGCCGTTACGAATTTCCAGACCCAACTCTCGGTAAAGATCTGATCGACCTCTACTTTAAACACCACAACATCTACCTTGCTCTCCTCCATCGCCCGTCGTTTGAGAGATCGATACGAGAAGGCTTGCACTTTGTTCATGACGGCTTCGCGTCCGTATACCTCCTGGTTTGCGCCATTGGCTCAAGATTCTCGGCAGATTCGAGGGTGCTTCCCGACGGTGTCGACTCATATCACTCGGCGGGTTGGAAGTGGTTCGACCAAGTGGAAACGGGCAAGACGGTCTTCCTTTCGTTGCCAAGTTTATATGACCTCCAGCTGTACTGCGTACGTCGGCCATGCTCCACGTCCATCTGGATTTGCTGACGAGCTCTAGTTGACCGTGATCTTCTTGCAAAGCTCTTCCGTATCACAGTCCGTATGGACGATGGTCGGAATTGCCCTTCGGCTAGCGCAAGATGTCGGCGCTCATAGACGGAGGAGCACCACACCAACAGTTGAAGATGAATTATGGAAGCGAGCTTGGTGGTATGGGTGTTTCTTTTATCGATGATGCCACCGTTTCAACGTCCACTTCGTCGGCAGGGTCCTTATATGCATTGACAGAACTACCTGTCTGTCGTTAGGCCGCCCGTTGACTGTTCATGACGAAGAGTACGTGCTGTTGTGTCCGTCCGATGTCATTCGTAGCACAAGGCTGATCTCGTGCAGATTCGACCTAGACCTGCCCATCGACTGTGACGACGAGTATTGGGAACATCCAGACCCGAATCAAAGATTCAAGCAGCCGCCGAATAAGCCTTCCTCCATTACCTCCTTCATCCTACTCGTGAAGCTTGTCCAAATTCTGTCAATCTGTGTCCGTGCCATCGTATGTTGCTTCCTCTGCTAAATGCATACATACCTTGCTAACTCGGTTGAGATTAGTATTCGCTGAATAAATTAAACACGCATCTCGGATTGGCTGGAGATCAGTGGAAGTCGCAGATCGTGAGGGAGCTAGACTCGGGTCTCAATAATTGGATGGGGTCGATACCAGATCATCGTGAGTCCTGCCCTTTCTCCCTTTTCTTGAGCGACGAGAAAACAAAATTTGATCGCGCCTCAGTACGCTGGAATCCGCAACACAAGAACGACAAATTCTTCAGCCAATCTTCGCTCTTGTATGCTCTCGCTTATTACACCCAAATTCTCATCCACCGCCCCTTCATCTCTTCGCCGAATAAGTCTTCTTTGCCGCCCGTCCCTTCACTAGTTGTATGCACCAACGCTGCTCGCTCCTGTATCAACATCGCGTATACGCAGCTTGAGCGCGATAAAATACCACCACCACCCGTCCAGGTTTGGTCGAATGATAATTCTCTACGTTTCTATCTCACTAACCTATGAATTTGAAGATAGCTATGTTCACTTCGTCTGTCATGCTCATGTTCAGCATTTGGGATGCCAAAAAATTAAACCCGAATTCAGAAAGGAAGGCCGATATGGAAAATGTTCAGAAAGCGTTGGAGGTACTGAAAGCGGCTGAGGGTCGGTGGCAACAGGCAGGCCGATTTTGGTGAGATTCACTTTTTACTGAGCCGTGGACATCGTCTAACAGCTGGCGCCCTTTCCTCAAGGGACATTTTATCTGATCTCTCATCGAAAGACCCGCGTCCTTCTAGCAGCTTTCCTCAAGCTTCTGCTACGATCTCCTCCAAGCCCTTGAACGCGCGAGATTCTTCTCTTCCTGATATCCAGACGCGTAGGCACCGAACGCCCGGCGAAGACAGTGAATCAAGCCAGCCCATTGACGCTCTCGCTGGTGTAGGCAGAGATTCCTTCCTCGACCCGTTTCACTTGCAGGATTATCGGAATTTTGTGTCCACCGATTACCATCTGTATGACCTCTATCTGCCGCACGAACCCGTCAGTGAAACCGATTTCTGCCCTCCCGGCGCTACGTATTTGGCAACTTCGATCGACAGCTCTGGCTTCATGCAGCCCCAAAGCAATCTTCCAGTTGTGACTGCCACTGGCAATCAACAATGCACAGAAATGCAAGGTGTCGCGAAGCGGGGATGGGCGAAGAATCTGTATTCAGACGGCGAATCTCTGTGGTCAAATGTCTCCCCTGAATACGGGGTGGATAATGTTGTAACAAACCAGAGGTAGTGTACACTGTAAATACATTGATCCGAAGGGTGTTCATGCACAATAGCAAAAGATAACTATCGAAAAGGGCGCAATCTAACATCTCGCCGAGATGATGTCTCGAATCACGTCCATCCTGCGTCTATCTCAGTCGTACATCGTTCTATTGCCCAAAGGGATCACGCATTTTGTCAACGTGATATGTTTTTCCAACAACCCACGTCAACAGTAACTGCAATCTGACTGTGCTTGCTAAGGCGTGGAAATAACTCCTTAACGCGCGCAGTACCCAGATCGTTGAAGGTGTCTTCGTCAAAATCCTGTCCCGGTTCCGGTACTTGGTCCGTGGCTTGGAAACGGACCTCGAAGAAAAATGAGAGCTTCAGATACGTGAGAGATGGATAGTGAGATCCCGTGAGTATTCTGTCGAGTCGTTCCCATTCAGAGTGCGGTTCGGAAGTAAGGATGTTGGAAAAATCAGTGTCATTAAAAGCATCCCCAGACAGATGCACGAGGAGGGTAAGCTTCGCGAGATTGGCGACGAGACGCTGGACGTCGAGCATAGCGGTGAGAAAGGAAATAGACTGGTGTCCATTATGCGGGAAGACAGACGACGTCGAAGTCCCATCCGCGAGATCCAACGACGCGAGATTGGGAAGGAGGCTCAGGTCGAATAGCTCATCGTAGGTTACTATTATTTGCGTGTCAGATTAGTACTGGAAAGAAACCAGCCCTTACCTGGGCTATAGGCAGAGAGGTCAACATGGGTCACTGTCTGCGACGCGGCCGCGAGAATTTGCCGCGCGTTGGTGAAATGGTCCGCCGTTTCGCAGACAATTGAGAAGCTCTTCAGCTCGCGGAAAAGGGAATTTGAAGGGGTATCGTTGAAGGAGTCAGGGATTCGGGAATTGGATGAGAAGGTTTTTATTGGTGGACGTCGCCCCTGTGCGATCGCTGTTGCCTGCTTGAAGTTGACGCCTTTCAGACTGAGACGGGTGATCTGAGTATCGTCAATAAAATTAACTGGGATATTCTTGAAGTGTGTGATAGCTAAAGAGCGCAGAAACGGAGAGGCGATGAGTGATAGGATGGGCTTCGTGATACTGGCGATGCCGTCTGGCCAGATTTCGTGAGACACCAGATGGAAGTTCAGGGTTTCAATCCCATAATCTTCACCGTGAAGAGCGTTCAAAATAACGGTAAGATCTTCCCGGGATAGTAATCCTGCGGCCTCAGTGAATATCGATGAACGACTGCCTTGCAAAGAGAACATAAAGGCGATCTTCTTGATATAACGGCCGATGCCCAAAAGCCGAGTTCCTGGGGTCGGTGATATTACTTGGCGAAGACTTGACAGCTTCTTCGGCGCATCCTTTAATGAGTTGGGTGCGATGAGAACGACACTGCATAGAGAAATTAATGCGCGTTGTCGAAACGAATGGGAGACGAAAAGACATGATCTGAGTGCTGTACGATGCAGACGTCTTGGTTCTTCAGCTCCAAGTTCATCGACGAAGCGATCAAGAATCTCTTGAGGAAGGACCATCCTTGCGCCGAAGAAAGGTTCGGGTTCGAGAACAGGAGATTGAAAGTTACGGGATTCAAATTTCATAGCGTGAGAAACCGATGGAGGTGTCACGTGGTGTGCGCAATTACTATGCTGGGTAATATTATAATCTATGTTTCTTATCTCTGCTTTCCTTGTATCTGCGAACTGTTACGATGTCTGTGCGCGCATGGGCTCTATCAGCTGAAGACAGAGGGAAACTGATTCGCGGTGCATTCGAGGGTGAGTTCGCGAGTATCGATATTGACGAAACACTGATGTCACGGTTGGATGTCGTTTCGTAGCGAAAGAAGGATCTTATAGTCCTTACTCCAAGTTTCCAGTTGGGGCGGCTTTCCTAACACCAGAAGGACAAATCATAAAAGGAGCCAATATCGAGAACGCTTCCTATGGTTTGTGTTGGCTCACATACCGTCTCCTGTCTTGAGCTGATAGTACCACCATCAGGAGGCACAATTTGTGCTGAACGCACAGCCATTGTCAAAGCCGCTGTGAGTGTGTCTGAATATAGGTCGAATAGAAGCGCACATAACCGGGCTATCGTGATAGAGCGAAGGGATCCGGTCCTTTATCGGGCTTGCAGTCGTAACGTGAGCTGCTTGATATGTTTTCCTATCTCACATATCTCATCGTCTGTTTATTATGTTCCATCTCGGAACCAGGAACGTCAACTCAGCCATTTCTCCTTGTGGGATATGCCGTCAGGTTATTCGCGAGTTCTGCGCACTCAACATGCCTATTCTACTTGTACCAGGTGACTATCCACAGAAGCTTGAACCTGGACAGGAGCAGAAGTCGGGATATACGGAGGGAGGGGTCAAAGAGACCACATTAGGTGAACTCTTACCAGATTCCTTCGGCCCGGAGCACTTGGAGTTGCCCAGGAGGTCGTGATTTGTGGGCCTAAAATGATAGCATTACTATGCTAATAACAAACTTCCGTTCACTTTCACGCTTTCGCATCATTTGGGAGTAATGCGGCTATGATCCGTGCCAGATCTACTTCCTCTGTTTCTTCCTGCATTGCCCTTCAATCCACTTTTTCCCGATAACATCCAAGTCCAAGATGTTATCAGCGGATGACCGCGAAAGGCTTATTCGTGGAGCCTTCGAAGGTATTTTTTCAACCGGCCGTTTCTCGAAGGGAGTTGTCTGACAGGATCTGTAGCGAAAGAAGGCGCATATAGCCCCTACTCGGGTTTTCCAGTTGGGGCTGCTCTTCTTTCCTCTGAAGGGCAGATTACCAAAGGTGCTAGCATCGACAACACGATTTACGGTGTGTATTCGATTCCGCATACTGATTCAAAGATGTGATGGTCTAATGATATACTTAGCTGCCAACACCTGTGCTGAATGTACGGCAATCGTCAAGGCGGTGGTAAGCTTCTAGTTTTTCAAACATTATTTCAGTCTGATGCATCTTAGAGTGACGGGATCCGCTCGTTCATTGGCCTTGCGATCGTAGCGTAATATGCACTCTTTCTCCCTCGTCTATGCCGTTGATTCTGTAAGCAGGAACATCGAAGGTGTCATCTCACCCTGCGGGATATGCCGTCAAGTTATCCGCGAATTTTGCCCGCCGGACATGCCCATTCTCCTAGTTCCAGGAGACTATTTACAACGACCCGTCGGAGGGAGAGAGTCCAAGAAAGGATACACAGGAGGCATAAAGGAGACTACCATCGACGAACTTCTGCCTCAGCCTTTTGGTCCAGAGCAATTGGAGTTGCTGCACAAGTCATGATTTCCTCTATCGGCCACTAGAGCAGGGGAGAACGCATATCATTGGCCGACGCTATTGTCATGTCGCTCTGAACATGCATTGTGCATCTACTGTAAGTACGAAGTGGACCCGTTCCGACCCCGATAAACGAGGGAAATACTCCTTCAGTGATCTTCGTGTCGTCCTTCTAAATTCCATCGTACTGAAGTCTTTGACAACATGCGGGAGACGGTCCAACTGAACCACATCTACTTCAAACGCGATCTTCATCTTTCGCAATGAAGGGTAACACTCGCCGCTTAAAACTTCGTCTATCAGCACCCAGTGCTGGTATCCACCCAGTTCCGTTGGAATAAGAAAATTTTGCTTGACGTTTGCTTCCAGCATGGTTATCTGGAGCGAAATGTCTCTGAGTGCAGCCACGGGTGTGGATATATCCAGGAGGTTGGCAAGAGCATCAAATTTTGAGTCGCTCGTTTTTTTGTTGTATGGATGCCCTTTTGAGCGGGCGAGGGCTATCGTTAAAAAGTGGAGGTTTGGGACGGATCCAAAGTTGAAAGGGCCACCAAAAATTGAATTGGAAGTTTCTAGGACGAAGCGAGAATGGGATCAGGTGGTGCTTTGCAGGGGCAATGATGAAGACCAACCTGAATGATCGGAATATTCTAAGCGAAGATCTTCGAGAGTGTGGCGCACTGCGGTTAGAATTTGCCAGTTTCTAACGGTGTCAACTTCAGTGTTGTTGACAAGTACGAGCTTCCGCAGGTCCCTCAGCAGAGAGGCGGGGAAATCGGGATAGAGTGGGAAGTTGCTATTCAGATGCAACGCGTCTAGTGGAGGGAACTGAAACCTGCTTGCAATGCTGGACACGGGCGTGGTGATGGTAAAAATACTGGAATATCCGGTAGACGTCGAATCAGTGTCTAAAGGACAGCTCACCGATTTCAGGCTTAATTTCCGGAAGTGAGCGCCCAGCAGTACGGTTGGAGGGAGTGAAAGGTTGGTGACGTTCAAATATTGGAGTGCAGGCGAGCGGATCAGCGCCGCGAGTGCTGCGCGGAAGTTGGCGGGTAAGTTTGGCCAGGAAGGATCCTTGTGGGTCTCGAAAATTATGTCGAGCTGTTTGAGCGCTGCCCCTCCGTGGTGAAGGGCGTAAAGAATGAGCGGGAGGTTTTCGTCTTTCGTCAACGATGTCACCCCATCCGGAGCGTAGGGATCGTCATAATTCCGCTTGGCGACTTTGATGACCAGGACATTGACGCAAGGTGCTACTCTGGTCAGTGCGGCCAGTGGCAATTCGACGTCGGGTGCGAGGATGTCGCGGAGTTGACGCAGGTAGGTGGGGGTAGGTGTGGGGTCGTTGACGTGCTGGTCGGTGATGACGATGTGGTTGTAGAGATAGGGAAGTGCGAAATGGCGGAGGGCACGCGAAGCGAGGAGGCACGCACGCAGAGCGTCCCGTCTCCGTCCATCCTTGGGGAAAGGGTAGGCTTCGAGAACGACGGGCCCCAATTCACCTACGAATCTTTCTAAAAGTTCTGGAGGAACCACGGGATAAGAAGTTGGCATGGACAAGCTGCGCGCCCTGGGAGTTGCAGCCGCGAGCCAACGGTACAGAGATAACGAAATCTCAATGACGTCGACTTTTTGGCAGCGTGGACATTGATGATAAGAGATACCATGGCTATCGTACACACTCCTGTCAACTCTTACGGTATATAAAGAACACACACATTTATACCAGGGAAGGAATGAAAGGACCGAAGTACTGTCAATGAGCAATTCGTGCTCTGCTCCTTCTGCAATGTGACTCATCAATTAAACTGTGTTCAGGAAGAAGAGACAGGAAGCCGCATTACACGTGGATGCTTTGCAGAAGTCTTTCGTAGGTACAATTGTGAAACCTTGGATTAAAGCTGCAACCTTGGGTAAATATCCCTGAAGTCGATCGTCGGAGTGTCATTTGGACATACCATAAGGAATGCATGGGTACCATCTGTCGTCGTCTTCCAGCGCACATCCCGAAATGCGCGGCTTTTTTAGGAGAAAAGAAAATTCCCTGTCGTGCCTCGTCGCTGGAGGCTCTGCATTTACATGTTCGTCTTCGTACCTACCGTTCCTGGGGTATCAAAGATTCGAAACGGCTCCTGAATTGGCCGGAGCAAACGTAACTCAGCCTCAGAGTCCATCCGCAGGTAACTCCTAGAAGGTGGATTGTCCTATGTAAAAGAAATGAATCGGACCTTGAGATATTGAAGAGAATCAACTCAAAATAAATCAATTTTCAAATTTCAGGATTGACGTACTGTACCGGTAATTGGCAACAACAAGTCTGCAGACTGTGAAAGTTGAGGACCTAAAGTCCTGGTGATAACCAGATCGCCATAAGTGCCGCTATATGTATATTGAGCTCGCCGACGCGTTGAATCGCTGAAGCCATGTCTCGAAATGTTGGTATAGCGAAGCGAACATAGTCATTCTTCGCCCACATAAGTCGCACTTCCTTACAGTTCGCTTGCAAGTCGTCGACGGATTCTCGCTGCACCTCGAATACTGATAGCGGGAGTCACAGGGTTGGAAGTTCGAGAGGGGAAAGAGCAAGGCTCGATCAGGTAATCCCGCTCTCCCGACTTCAAGCTCCGATTCAAAGTTGGTCATCACAGTCTATGTCACTCCCATCATGTACCCTCTCCAGGGCACATCCTCTTCAGTGGACGATGAAGCCGAAGGTGCATATCTTTCCCATCTCCTCCCATGAAGGCTTCCTTGAAGGATCATAATGAAGTCCTCTGCCCACTTCCAACCCACTTCGCAACCCCGGCAGACAGTCCAAAGTTCCATCCTGAGGCTCAGGTATGTGAACACAATACTTTCCTATGTAGTGACTGATGCACAAATAGACAGCCTTTTTAATAGTTCATGATAGGGCTGAAATGCTTCATGATTATATGATGGCTTTACTATACCGTTTTCCGGAAAGTAGGCTGCGTTTGTGTCTACGTCTAGACTTCCAAGACCTGATGCAAAGCCTAAATTATGACAGTCCATACTGGACAAAAATCAAAATCATATTTTTTTTCAGGCCCATCCGAGGATTTCTTCAGTTTTCTTAGGTTTTCTTAAAGAATCTTGAGGGAAACAAAGTTTTCTTTGGGAAAACCTGGTATTCTTTAGCAGTTCTTGAGATTCCTTGGGATTCTATAAGAATCCTTAAGAACAGGCCATTTTTTTTTGCAGTCGGCCTTCTTGAAGAATCTCAAGGATTCTAAAAGACAAAAGAATATTTAGTATTCCTTAAGAATTCTTTCTAATGGCCGTTTCCCCCTCAAAAATTCGATCAAGTCCCCTGTAAAGAATCTTAGAGATTCTTCAGGATTCTTTAATCATGTCCATTTTTATTTTGTCACGAGATCCATTTTCTTTTCGACCCAACGCACCTCCTTCTTGCAGATTCCTTAAGAATTATTTGTTAGACCATAACCATACTGTATAGTTCATGATATGTACATGGTGTCTAATACTACACATGTGCCTCTACATGTGTGGCAAGCCACCCTGGTGTCAAGGGTGATCAATCCGCCCAGAAATCTGAAGTAAAACAGTAGGGACAGATGTGGAGGCGCTGGGTCATTTCCAGAAGGCAAAGAAGCTTCAGGGGGGGGGGATAGGCTCAGACGAATGAAAAATGAATGAGTGAGAGGAGTGTCAGTGCTCGTCAAGAATACGAGATTGAGGAGCAAGGGGTTTAACCAGCTGGAGTCCACCATGCAGCTGCCATGAGCTATCAAGGAATGCCAATGTTCAAGAAAAGCAAAAAGAAACAGCATGGCGATTGCGCTCTATTGTGTTGTCCCACCAAATGGCAGTGAAGCGCCTTTGCGTGTCTTGCGGCAAAGTCCAAAGCTGTCTTGTACTTGTCAGTGGGTCATAGGCGGGAGGCGAGAGTCTGGCACGCACGCACCTAAAAGATCTCATAGTCCTCCCTCTTAATGTTGCCAAAAACACTTTTTTCCACCATCCTCCCTTCTCCTTCCAGCTCGGCTGATAAGTCGCAGGTGTGTTGATCCCTTCAGGGAATGCATGGATGCCGCTGAGGTATGGCTTGACTCCATGAGCTGCGAAGACCCTTGCAGTGAGGTGAGGTGTGTGGCAAGTATCCGACTTTTCTGCCAGTGCCCTGAGACCGACTTGTTGTTAGAACCAGGAGGAGAAGGAAGCTGAACGCACGCTCACCTGGTCAGGATGACGATGACCCGGTTTTCTTGTAAGCACCTTCCTCTCCGCATCACTTGGATGACTGAGTCTTGCTTCAGAGCAACCTTCAGTGCAGCTTTGGCTGCACCAGGCTCCCAACGTACACACCCTTCTTTGTTCTTTCTGGATGTCTCGTTCTTTCTGACATACAACTCGGTGGCGACAATTTCCTTCTCCATAGTCGACGATGTGTGGGTGGTGGAGCATGTTGATGAGGTTTGGGGAGAAGGGAAAGTGTGTTAGCTGAGTCTGGCCAAACGAACAAAAACGAAGGTTGTGCCATCAGCTGCATAGTTCACCTATGTAGCCATGATTTCACACCCTATCAAAAATCACCACTCGCCGTCATGTGGTAAGTTCCTTCTGTCTCATTTCTTGTGGTTCTGATCCCATTCCTCAGCTTGTTGAAACACCATTGTGGAGAATGCAAGGGTCTTGTACGTCCAGCACTCCTTCTGCCTTGCTTCTCGTGGTGCTAACTTGACTTTTCTTGTGGTTCTGACCCCATTCTCAGCTCATCGAAACACCATATTGAAGAATTCAAGGGTGACCAGGGGTGTGGAATTGCTGTCATTGGAGATGTTTGGGGTAGTCATCCGAGGTATTGAGGGCTGAGAGACACAGCGAGAGGCTCATAAATGGCAGTGAGTACCTTCTCTGAGACACCGCTATGAGCCTGCTCCTCACCTTTTCCGCCCAGATCATGTATCCTTGCCTGCCAAAAGCCCTCGCCCGTCGTTCTCGAGCGCCCAGGCCCGTCACACATCCCCGTCAACTTCGTCTTGACCATACTCTTTGTAGCCTGTTCCCAACACATAACCTTTGAGTTTGATGTGTTAACGACCCCACATTCGCTCTTGCCAATATGCTGCAGACGTTCCCCTTTGGGGAATGACGTCCTGAGCCCAAGACAATCCTTGTAGCATCTGCACCTTCGCACCTCAAAATATAGGACATTCCATTGTTTGGATTGATCTCCCCATTCTGAAGACCATGCCCTGCGATAGACCCTCTCAATTGAGAACCTAGAAGTCTGCTCAGTTTTTACCCCAACTCTGGCCAATAAGCAAAAGGATGACTCACCATTCTGTCCTGTTCTTGCCTCTCGCTCGACATAGGCCTCTCAACCCCTTGGGGTACTGCATCTGACAGAGAGAAAGGCAGACGTTGCCAATTCGTGTAATAAAACATTAGCTGTAGATACATTTACGACCTTTTCGCTCTCTTCGCAGGCCTCTCGACATCGCCATCATCAGCTGCATCCCCAGCTGTTGTTGTCATCGTCACTGAACCTGTTCTTCCTGCCTGTGCCTTAACATTTCTTTTGTCAAATTCAGTGGTCCCTGCTTCGGCAAACCCTCTCATTTCTACAGACTTGTCAGAGCTCAACGATTACAAATCAGGAGATAATGGATACCAAGAAGGCCGTCAAGGACACCAATGGGTCTCAAAATAGTGAATTGAGACAGATTGCCCAAAAGAAGACTATCTGTCTCGATCTCACTTGGAATCGTGTTCGATTGCCACATCTCAAAGGCCTTCATGTCCAACTGGAGGGCGTTCTTGATCTGTTCTCGGAGATTCGCCACGGTACATCTTGGGGCCCCACTGTATGCCTGCATCACAGCTTGTGCTTTGTAGTTGAGAATACCGCAGCTCTGGTGGGCCAGAAACAGTGCCGGAAGATCCACAGCCTGTGAACTTAAGGTCACTGTGAGATACATGTGTATCCAACGAAAGACATCCAATGGCCTCCCACAAGCGTAACACATGTGCTTCCTCTCATCGGGAGGAATATTGTTCATGTCCCACGTTTCTTGCAACAGCCTCTGCACCAGGGATGCTGGTCGGTCCTTCGGTTTCATTGGGTGCGCTGTATGTTCGATGGTCCAGGATGTTGCCCAGAATGTTCAGGTTGCAGATGCAGAGCAAGTCAACCAAGCCTTCAATGGTATCAACGTCGGGTACGTGCTCTTGCAAACAGACTTGCCCCATAGTCAGGTAGATTGGCCAATTTGCAGGGGAATTACTCACAGGCGTCATCGAACACCTCTCCTCTGACTATTGCCCAATGATAAAATTCCATCATTCAGCGCAACAGAAGCCTGGAGGGCATGTGCGACATGTTGGTAATGTATGTCCCTATAATGAAGCTGTGTATCAAACTTGTGACAGTGTCTTGCATTGTTGAAGTCGTGTAGAAGTGCCCGCCATGGCATATGCTATGTTCCGGGGTGAACACAGCATGGGCAACATTTGCACGCATGATCCTGTGGAGATGACGTGAGGCACAAGAGGACCTTATTTCACTGAAACGAAATCCTACAGTCGGGTGTTCAGTGGCAGGAGGACGGCCTCGAGATCCCAGATCCTATTCCCAATCTCTAAATCGGCCAGACACTTGGGGAGAGGTCCATCCAGATCCCCCGCATTCGGCTGTTCTAGCTCAAAATCTGGCTGCAAGAACCTTTCGATCATGGCGCTCATGTCTCTGGAACTAACCCCAAAGATCCAGAGCTTTGAACCGCACAGGACATTGATAAAGGTGTTGAAACTGTTGCTGTCAATGTGCCAATAGGTCAATGCCCATGCCAACGTGGCCAGCCCCCAGCATATGTCTTTGACAGGTATGGGGGTCTTGTCGAGCGGACGATCCGTAGCAAACCAAGCTGCCATATCACTGGAGAACACCTCACAAAGTGACCGGAGTGACTGAGCAAACGGAAAATCCAGCGCATTCAGAACCTTGCCTTCCTGGTCCTGCGAGGCTTCCAAAAGCTGTTCAAGTGTGCCATCTCGAAGACGGATGTTTGGGTCATCCTGGACCTCGATAGAATAATCTGATGCCACCAGGTCAATTGGGCGCTTGAGAGACTCAATCGGTGCACCTTGGATGGAGATCGTATTTTTGAAAGACTGCTGCAAAGTCTGCAGCCCTTTCTTGTTGAAAGAGACCTTCTCGAATGGCATTTCGGTGATGGCGATTGCATTCTTATGGCACAGTATCTCAAGAATGTCCTGGCTGGACTTGGCCCTGTACGTTTCAAATGTCATGACCTCCAACACTGATTCCTGAGGCTGCTTCATGTGCTTTGGACCACTGTCTACATAATTCGCTTCTATCTTGTCGAAGAAGAACTCAACAAGGGCCAGCTCTCTCCCAAACTAGGTTGCATGTTTGGTATCTTCTTTGGCAGTTCAAACATGGACTTACGTGCAAGCACTGCAGCAGATCATATGCCTCCCCATGTGGGCCATAGAAGGTGTGTGGTTGCGCAGATTCCAGCTTCTTTACACTAGTCTGTCTCAACCCTTTATGCAGCAACAGAAATCGCCTACCTTGGGCGCTGTGACACCTGAAGTTGTCAGGTCCGGAGAGGCCTCCACCTCCTAATGAAATGTTGAGATTAGGAAATCCTCGGTGCTGCATGTCACACACCCTCAAAGACCAGGTAATCACATCATAAGCATCCCAGCTATCCATGTTGATAGGATGGTCTGCATCTCGGCCTTCCGAAATCGCTCGCAGGACTTCCACAGGAGTGCTGCTCTGTTCGTTTCTTCTGGCACCTGCCAGCTTTTTTCTGTTCTTCAGCTTACCTTTTTTTGGGGGTCGGGCGAAGTGGCTTCCTAGGTGGAGGAGGAGGTTTGTTTGTTTGTTTCCCCTTGCCCAAAGTGCTGCATAGTTGCCTAGTTGAGGTTCCGATGTTGTTGTTCATACCATCCACCTTCATTAATTCCAAAGCAGCATCTTGCTGACCGTGGGTATCGGTGGGTAAAAGAATGAAGCGAACTCTCTTCTCTAGCGTGTTGGTCAATGCTCCCACGTTCTCAGCGTAGCCGGCATCGAGACCAGGCATTTTCACATCTTTACATGGTCCATTGTCGGCCTCCACGTCATTGTCTATCTCGGAGTCATCGCTTGTGAGGTCGCTTGTGAGATCACTAGAGAGAGATCTCTGACTACTGGTCCGTGTGCCCCTCCCTCTCGGCCCGGGTAGACCATCCTCGTCCTCGCTTGAACCCTTGCTGGATACCTTGCTCTCGTCATCACCGGTCAGGTCAACGAGGAGGGATGGCTCCTGCTGCTCATTATAAGCTAGTGTTGCCACCTGTATCAGTTAGAAAAATATAGAAATACAAGGCAGTTTCCTAACTATGAATCTAAGCCCTGGAGGGCAATATGCTACCTTCCGCTTTGGGAAGGCTCTCCTAATAAGAGGGAGGGGTTGCCGGGTGCCCGGCATCTGCAAGGGTGATGAGGAGGGGGTAAATAAATTAGTAAGCATCCATTTCCGGGGTGGGCAGGTGGTGGGAGGTGCAGGAGGGGGCAGAATGGGGGCAGGATAGGCCAAGCAGGACCCCGGGGCACTGCAGGGAACTGGTCATGTGATCTGTTTGCTCTGCAGCCTAAACCGGGGCCGTTTTTTATGAAAAAAGTGCCCAGGGCCAATGTGATAGTATGTTACTGTATGTCATAAAAAATCAGGAGAATCTGGGATGTGGAATGTTGCGAAACGGCGCATATGAGGTGTCACCTTAACTTGGCGCGCGTTTATTTTTAGCACAAGCTGCTAAATTGGGATCTGGCATCAAAATAGCCATTGCTGGCGCATTTCGGGCTCGTTTGGCTTCCCCCTGGGTGGAAATTAATGGGAACGATGACGCGATAATTTTTAGGTAACACATAGCTACCTGTAGACACCCAGAACGTGTGAATACGTCCATTTTTGGCGATGTTATGGCCTAAACTGTGCTTCTATGCACAAAAATGCGAAAATGCGCACCTAATGCTCTGCCTGTCATGCATCCCTGCCTCATAGAAACTGGCCGATAATTTAGTATGCTACTAGAGCTTTAGAACGAGCCAATAATAATGGCCTTGCATGCATTATTGGTTATGCAATGGGCCTTTCAATGTTTATGTGCTAAAAACCCGAAAAATCGCACTCAAATCTCTATGCCACACATGTATCTATCCTTCCAAAACATTATGCGTTCAGATAGAGGTTAATAAAGGCTACAAAACGCGCTATTCAGCGTCTCCACGCGTTCATTTGTTCCAAAGATATACCTACAACACTCCTCATCCCTCAATATCACAAAAAGCGAACTTCTGTATCTCCCCCAATTATTATCCAAGACCTGTAGAACTTTTCAGTCAGTCTCACCCAGTGCCCTACTCATTTACCATCACATAG